CAGTGTCCCGGATTCCGACGATCGAGAGATTTGAACAATGGGATGTGCCGGTTGTCACGAACTGGACGGCAGAGAAAGTTGTTGATTGCAGCATGTCTGCCTGGCACACATGCGCCAGGCGTTTGAGTGATTGCCGCAAAGGGTCAATTACTTTGATGAAATGGTTGGTTTTGCCACCGGCCAGAAACATTCTCGTCGTGCATCAGGTCCAGATTTCTCAACCTGCCCCTTGTAGGTCAATTTGGTTTTGGTGGTCCAGAACCCAGTCTCGTGCCTAAAGTGAATCCTTCCAAGCACGCGAGACTGTGGGAAGCGAGAACACTTCGACTGCATCAACACTTCCACCTGGGCGATACGCTGTGCCACATGTCTTCCATGTTGATATGTGCATGCAGTGAAAAGGGGGTGGGAAGAGACATTGAGCTTCCCTCGAAAGACACAGGACCCGTGGGCTTCCACTCGGCAGTAGTTCTTTGCCGGTTTCTTGCAACACAATTGGCCCGATCTCCAGTCTAGCCATCTTCATTGGCCCTCCTGCACACACTTCCCTTCACTCCCAACCTTCTGCAGTTCCGAAACCGCTCCGGCAAAGGGGGATTTGGTGCCAAGTGAGTGATGATTTCCCACGAGAAAAGTAACCGCCTATTGAAACCCAACGACTGATAACGGAACCTAGTACTCCTTACCTAATTCGAGCGTGGTATAGGTCGCGCAGAAGGCGCGTATGCCGGCTGCATACGTGCCTGAGGCTGCCTTCGCAAAGGAGTGAAGTTGACAATCGCCCTGCGACTGACCCAGTGGAACTGACTTTCACATGGTCCAGCGACTTTCCATCTATCGTTCGTGCGGATTGCGAACGGCTCCTTGGCAGAAGTCCTGCGCAACGGGCTTCGTCGTTCGACCATCATGGAAAAGGGGGTATTAGGCCATCGCCTTGAACTCTCTTCGTCTCGGTGGATTGAAAGAACGAGGGAATACACCCAAGGCGGTATCCCAGCAAACTATCTTCCTCAACACTTCCGCTACAGGACATTGCATGGAGATTGTGTGGATAGGGGGTATAGTGTTGCGAGACTGACACCCAGTAGGTAGAGCCTGAAGGCAATCAGTCCAAGTTTCTGTCTCTCCCCCACACCCTCAACCCTCTCTCTCGATGCGTTGCCGTCCACATGGTCGGATGGAAAGACCACTAATATTTGTGTTTTCTTGTTTTCAGGCCTTCTTTGGCAGGCAACCTAAACGCAGTTGTCGCAAGATCCTGAAGAATATGGATATTTTCCAAGATATGTTCGGAGTATTCCATTGTCCGGCAGGTTACCAACGTCGTCATAAAAGTCTCCGTGGAACGCCTGAAGGCTGTGTGGCCTGTCGTCACTGGCTTTGGATAGAGACCACAATCGCACTAAGGCCTAATCGCAACAGTCTTTCGAGGGCAATCCCAAAAGCAAGGCCGAGACATAACAATACCTAGGGCCGCAGGGGGAGGCCGTGGCCGGGCTGCCTTGATACAACATCTGCATGTGCGAAACATAATGGAGCAAGGAAGGGAGCAGAAGACAAGCAAGAGGTGTCGTGGCAAATAGGCCAATGCATTGCTGCCTCGCTCTGTTCTGCGAGACTAGGGCAAGCAAGGATACCGCGACGGTAATCGCGGTGCGGAAAAAGAAACAACAAAGTGCCCCCTACTGTGAGGGATAGCGAACCATGGACAGCTTGACTTCTGCCGGCCTCTCAGGGACAAGAGTGTTGTAGGCGGACGACTGGAGAGATAGTTGGCCATGGAATTCCAGTGAGAGATACAACAGGGTCAGCTTCGACAGTTCCTGGGAGATCAACTGCGTGCTCTGTAGGTAAAATATACTGTGTTCAAGCAATAACGATGGCGCAGGAGGGAGCAGGAGAGGAACAGCTCGACAGGTTTCCCCGCCTTCTCTCCGCAACAACTAGTGAGTTTTTCCGGCGGAGATAATCCGTCCCGGCCTCTTCCCTCCAGATTCTCCATCCTCCAGCCTGCGCTGCAACCTCCCCCTCTCTTTTCTCTCTTATTTCCGCAATCTCATCAGTACACCAGCCTCGCCTCACGGTCCATCGCGGAAATATCTCCACGCCTATCCACTGCCCTGTCAACCCTCTCACGAAGCTCTGTTGTAGGGGAAGAACTCAAAAATATCATGGTCTCTTCCAGTGTCGCTACTGGCACTGGTACCGCTTCCGATGCCTCCCCTCCCCAAACCAATGGACATGGCGAAAAACGCAAAGCCGAAGCTGACCCAACACCGGAGAAACAATCACACACGAGGTCAAAAAGGAACAGATATATCTCGATCGCGTGGTAGGACCCCAGGGGAAACAATACCAAAGAGATATGAGATGACTGAGTATGCTGACATTGGGTTCTGTCGATGAAACAGCAATGAGTGCAAGCGGTGAGTGGCTCTCTCTGTCGTCCGCCTTTTCCATCATCGAAATAGAAGCTGACGCTTTGGCAACTGCAGGCGCAAAATAAAATGTAATGGGAACACCCCGTGCCAGAGATGCGGCAATTTGAATCTCGAGTGCATCTATGCGCCGAACTGTTGCACGAACTCGCTCAAGGACTCTGTGTGGGTGTTTTCCCTTTAGATCAGCTGAAGGCGCCATCACTTTTTTTCTCTACTGACCTTCGGAGCAGGGAGTTCAACCAGATGCGCGACCACATCGCTGCACTCCAAGAGCAGGTCAATGACCTGTACGCCAGCCTGAACGAACTACGAAGCAGATCCGACATCGCGTATTCGGCTGCCATCGACCCGCAATTCTCCCACGATGGCTCAAACCGATCCATGTCCATGTCGGCGTCGCGTACGCTACCGCCCCTCATCTCGCCGAAAAGAGCTCAGCCCAAGGCTTTGCCTCAATTTCACGGCCCGACAAGCACAGTGTATGGATTGGATGTGGCAAAATCTTCCCTTCAGACCATGGGGATTACACACAGTGCCGCGGATGACGGAATGATGTCTCGCGATCGAAGCCGGGCAGCATCACCTATCATGATGCTCCCACCTCATCCTAGCAAAGACCCACTCTGGCTAATTGACCATTCCGAAGTGGTTCGTCTGTGTCGAGTTTATGAGGAAGAAATTGGCATAATGTACCCGGTGGTGGACATCGACAAGGTACTGAAGCAAGCAAACTCATTGTACAAGTTCATTGCGGCATCCCTGAGAACTGGGTTGGGCCAACCCGGGCTCCCAGGCGCAGACACATTCGACGATGAGGAGACCACCGTTTTGAAGATGGTTCTTGCTATAACGTTGACGGTCGAAGGACACGGTCGCAGCGAGTTGGGCCAGAGATTCTTTGACGCGGCGAAACCGGCGACGGATCTGAAGTTGGTTACCGCACTGGATATCAAGTCCGTCGTTTTGACGGTGTTGACGGTAAGAAGAAACCCGTTGTGCTACTCATGCCACGCAATCTGACTCCCATCAACAGGCCACCTTCTACTTCCAAAAGGATGAAGAGGCACAGGCCTGGCGATTCATTGGCATCGCAGCTCGCATGTGCATAGAAATGGGTCTCCACCGAAAGGACTCTTTGCTCAAATCCTTTACGAATGAAGCCGAGTATCAGCAAGCCATCCGTATCTTCTGGACGGTCTATGCGCTCGATCGGCGTTGGAGCTTTGGCACAGGGATGCCATTTGCACTGCAAGATGCAGACATTGATCCCGCACTACCTGAACCGGTAAGTTATCTCAGCCCATTTCCAAGATCCTTATTGACCCGCAGTAGGACGAGAGTCATCCATATTTGAAACACATTACCAAGTACAACCAAATTGCTACCAAGGTCTGGTACCACAACCTTGCGTACGAAGCTGGGCAGAACACGAAGAAAGACGAGATTGGGTTTTTGGATTACCAGATCCTGCAGTGGTACGCCCAGTTACCAGAATCATTGCAATTCAACAATCGAGACCTTGCCAGAGAGAATGAAATACCCGGCCGCGGGGTGCGCCGCCTCCGACTCCTGATGTATTTGCGTAAGAACCAGGCACGAATCTCCATCTACCGTCCCATCCTTCATTCCGCCACTAGCATTATGGAGAACCGACATTACGCTCAGAATGTGATTGACGTGGCTAAGGACACTATCAACACCTTGACGGCAGTCAACCAGATGTCTGATATTTACAAGACCCAGCAAGTGCTGTACAACTACTTCCTAGTCCAGGCTCTCGCTGTGCTGTTCCTGTCCGTGGCCCACGCTCCGGCTGTCTTTTGTTCCCAGACCAGACAGGAGTTTTACGCCGCGATTGAGATAGTAAAGGGCTTCAGCACTAAATCCCACGTGTCCAAACGACTATGGCGGACCATTCGGGGGTTGAAGGATATGGGAGACAAGATCGGTCTCCTGGCTCGCGGCGGCAACGGCATGAGTGATGCTGAACAGGACGCTCACTCAGATGCCGCAATGGCAATGGCTGGGCTTGCCGGTCATAAGGTTGATTACCAACAGCCGTATGGCAATTCGAATTCGAACCAGGCGAATGGAGGCCAAAATCAGCAAGAGTTAGGAGTTAGCCCGGACGATGCACTGCAGATCACGAATGAGTTGTCCAGTCTGTTTGAACTGGCAGGTGGTTACGGAGCGACGACGCCAGGGCCGGACACGTTCAACTTTGTGGGCGCGAACGGGGAAATCAGCATGGCGGAAGGATTCAATGCTCTTGGGAATGAGCCGGAATTTGCCAGGATTATGAACGAGTTGTTTTGAGAGTTAGCAGTCTGGTGACACTAGCAGAAGAGTCTAGTGTCAATGAAACAATCCTAGGATATCATGATGAATGGACAAGCAAGAAATTACATGCTATTCTATCAAGTTGTCCTCAAGCACTGGACCATCAGGGACATTGGGCTTGCTCTTTAATCACATGACCGTGCGCCAAGCCCGCTGGTGTCGCGACTGATTGGTCATGATTGGACTTCACTGCGACGTCCACTTCGCTCTCGGGCGCATGTCAAAAGTGCGGCCGTGGAATTCATATCCAGCTATCCTCCACCTATCACTCCTTTGTGAGTCCACAGACAAGACTTGGGACCAACTTCCACCTCGAGCACGCGGATTTGTGCACGTTGCCACATCAAAGGCAGCCCCGGTTGCTCTTTGTATGAATTCACCGCCTGCCTATCCTTGCTCCTGAGTCAACACAGCCCACCGAGCGACCCTCTGAGTTGATCTGCCCCTCTACCGTCCATATCAACCCCTGAAACTCCTAGGACGCCGACAGCGAAAACAATTGAGCGACGTCTGGTGCCGAGAATCGACGGAAATAGTGCAATCCTCCTCCATGTCGCCCACGATTTCCATCTCTCTCCTCTCCTGACCCCTCCCACCCCGCGCCAGAATACTCCTTCATCTTCTCGTCATCTTACCTTCCACCAGGAAGCTAAGTCCTCACAGACAGAAGATTCTCTATTGAACGCAACTCTTATCCCAATCTGTCTGCCGAACAAGCCTCCGCCCTGGCCGCTGGCCTGGACAGGCTCGAAATTGCTTCTGAGTACTCTGAATCCCTTTACTACCAGCAGTTTACCAGCTCCTCCGCCACGCTCTCCAACGCAATGTCTCAATCCTCTTCTCAGAGTCCAGATAGCTGGATCGGCACCTTCTGCAACCTGGTCGGCCATGAATATTTTGCAGAAGTCAGTGAAGATTTCATCGAGGACGATTTCAACCTGACGGGATTGCAAGCTCAGGTGCCCATGTACAAGGATGCACTGGAAATGATACTTGACGTGGAGCCGTCAGAGACCAACTCGTCTGCTCTGTCAGAAGAGGAGGAAGAGGAAGAGGAGGAGGAAGATGATGGCCTTCTGGGGGACGAATTGGACGAGCCAGCTGCGAATCAAAACGGGGCGTCGAGGCGACAATCTGGCGGCCCGGCTGGCGGCAGAAGACATGGTCGGACCTCATCTGATACTTCTGTCATTGAGTCGTCCGCGGAACTCCTGTATGGTCTGATACATGCTCGATACATCACCTCAAGACCTGGGATTCAACAAATGATGGAGAAATACGAACTGTCGCATTTTGGCTTCTGCCCTCGGGTATATTGTGCTGGAGCAAAAGTGTTACCGGTCGGTCTAACGGACACCCCAGGGCAGCAGACGGTCAAACTCTTTTGTCCAAGCTGTCTGGACGTCTACACCCCGCCGAATTCTAGGTTTCAGGCGGTCGACGGTGCCTTTTTCGGCACGACGTTTCCATGCCTCTTCTTCATGTCCTATCCAGATCTGGACGTTGCTCCAGTCAAGAAACGAAACCCTCGAGATCCCGGTGGCCAGGGAAATGATGACCTCGAAGGCACATTAAGTCCCAACGAAGTGAATGCCACGCGAGGAGGAATAACGGCCAGTCGAAGCTCAAGCTTAACATTACCTCAAGCCCCACCGATTCCTGGCATCACATCAGCGAAGGACGAGAAGACATCTGCATCCGCAGTTGCTCAAAACGCGCTACCTCCACAACCAGCAACTATCAATGGAATCGCCACGCACAACCTTGCACCAGGTTTAGGCAAGGGCAAAATCTATGAGCCCAGAATTTACGGCTTCAAAGTATCGGAACGAGCGAAGAGCGGCCCGCGGATGCGCTGGCTTCGGTCTAAACCTCTGGACATCAATGAGCTTGACGAAGCAAGACTATGGCACGAACGATATGGCGGCACCGTGGATGGTGATCCCGATGAGGAAATGCGGCGTGTGCCAGGAGGGATACAGGACAACGAAGACGATGATGAAGAGGAAGAGGAGGAGGGGGAGGAAGAGGAAGGCGAAGGTGGCGGTGGAGAAGTCGCTGACCAGGACGGAGATGCGATTATGGCCACCCAGGGGCAGAATCAAGCACCCCTCACTCAAACCAGCCAACGGGCCAAGTCAAAACGAGAACCTGATGCCGATGGAGACGCACTGATGGCCAGTCAAAGTCAAGGCGGTAGTCGAGGCAAGTCTCGGCGAAAGCCAGGGACAAGGGGTCAGGGAGTCGACGTCTCCGTGCAACAAACGGGAGAGGGAAATTGGATATGATCATGGCAGCAAACGAAGGTGACGGACGACGATGCAGACGACGAAAACAAGATTGAATGAGAAGGGGTGCCCCCTCCAAAGCCGGACGGCGCAAGAGTGAGCATACCAACCGACGTTGTCGATGAAATGAATATGGAAAGAAGTGTGTCTTTGACTAGCAGCCCAGCAAAGCATCTACTCTGACAATTCTAGTGGTTCCCTCGCGGACGGCCTTACCCAGCAGCATGGAGTTCCCAGGCCGCCCTTGAGGATCATTGCGAGTATGCGGGGGCATCTGAATAGGGGGATACAGGTCCAAGGTTTCACGTTCTTTGCTCGATTCACCACCTGTTCATCACACGCAAGCTCAAAGCTCGCTCGAGATCAGTGCAATAGGAGGAAGGATCTGCGGCCGGCAACAGCCGCAGCCAACGGCAGAACTGGTATGGAGACCGGCGTGCTAGAAATCATGGAACAACCACGGCCAACGACAGGCAGACAGCAGCACAGGAGGAGTAATGGGAGATGAATTGACATCCAGGATCGATGACGGGGAGCAAGCGGACGAGACAGCGCTGGTTGATTTGGGATATTGAATTCTGGCAGGAGGCAGACGTGTTGTTATTACACATAGTGGACAAGGGCAGTATCTGGCATCTACCCTCCTACACATCCCATCTGCTTCGCTTCTTCACTTCTGCTCTATCCTTGGTGTTGATCTGTCTTTGCGTTGCTTCCCACAATCCGCTTTTGATCACACACACACGCACAAAAAGAAAAGGCCAAACCCCCCGGGGAGCAAAAACTTAAGCACGAAGCAGCTCAACTCTGGTTCGTGATAAGCGAAACTCGCCCCCGAAGGGGTTGGTTTTTCTCGGCCGGTTTTACTACGGGTTATCTTTACTGCGGGTAATATATAAGTTGAGTCGACGACACTTCCACAAGACAAGGTCTTTTCAACACTGAGCATCGCATCCGAGGACCAGCATACATCATTCCACATCCGCCAAACGGGCTGCGGCAGGGATTTTCCTGCAATCGACTATAACAAGCCTGTTTCTCTCGTGTTTCAAGACTTCTTGAAGCAGACTATCAACCAGGAGCGCACGCTAGATTGTCTCTGCATTCTTCAGGACAGAAGTATCCATGCCGCGGATCTGCCCTCATGGGCTATCGACCTACGCGTCGACGTTCCCCGATACCGTATGAAAGCCCCGGTCCCGGCCAGCTTCAAGCGATATACGAAGCTGAGCCAGGACTTCAATGATCATGGCATTCTCGTGTGCCGTGGCTCGCGATTCGCCAGCATTGTTTCGATCAGCGCAGACGGCAGTCCCTCAGTTCCGCAGTCTCGCGACAGTTTCGACAGCGACAATCTTACTGTGGTGAGAAGGGAACATAATGGAGACCTTTCTCCGGTCCTGCAAGACGTCCTCGAGGCTCCAAAGCGCTCGGAGACCGTTCGTATTCCTGCTGCGCCACTTTCAAGTTCTCAAAACACATTGATCGTATCCAAAAGGATTGCAAATACACACGGCGGCAACTGTCTCTAGAGGCAGACGTAAAGTCGTCTCCGCGTTGTCAGGAACCTCTTTATGCTTTTGTGTCGAGCTTGACGAATGATGGAGATGTTTTGGTGCAGTTAGACGACTCCGATTGCTTCTTTGTGATGCGGGAAACCACCGATGGACGATTCGCCCTCCTGGGGCCCGCGATTGTCTTCGAGCCCACGACTTTCTGGAGGGGAGAATTTCTGACACAGGGATTAAGCCGATATAACCCTGTCCAAGGATATCAATATATTCGGCCTCTATTGTCTATGCACCAAAGGGATTACAGTCGCCCCCAAGAAGAGTTTCTTCTTGTCTGAACGAGGGTGTAGGACTGAAAATTTTCAGTTCAGAAGCCAGTAGATAGCATAATTTGATTGACACTCTCACATTTTCATACTGCCGGCTTCAGGCTCATCGGAACCACCAATTGACGCTGGCTGTGACACCATCGCCAACCCCTTTGACACTGTGCCACCACCCTTTGGGGGTAAAGAGTGCCTCACCGAGTCTGAGCGTCGTCTGTATGCCATGGACCCCGACAAGGTCGCTGTAAATGCTGGAAGGATCCCAGATGGCATCGTGCAGCGCCGCTTTCTGTGGCCCGACCATCATCTCCTCGCCCCTGATGGCGGTGGAGAACGAAGTCGAGGTCGGAGATAACTTCGTGATGACCTCGTGATACAAAGCGTCGCCGATCTCTGGAGGCAAGAGACGAATAGTCTTTTGGCCCGCCAGTTGGATGAACAAGTTCGGGTTCGGATCGCGGTGTAATGGGGTGTAGGTTGGCGGACGACCGAGCCAGAGGGACGATGCGTAGATGTCGCCTTTTATGGTGCCACGGGAAGACGAGGGGGGGCGAAGCAGCTTGGGGATGGGGACGTCGGATTGCATTGATTCCGGGAGAGAGGAGAGGTCGCATTGCGCGAGGTAGATTGACATATCACGGTCAAGTTGGGAAGTGTTGGTGGGGTTTGTTGTCGGTGGTCTGGCAAGATACGCGATCAGGATCTTCAAGGGGGCGGTGATGCGCTCGAATCCCTCGTTCTCCGCGTCAATGCTGCCGGGCGGGAGAACTGATAAAGCGTCTCTGGTGGTTATCTCCAACGGCACAAATGTGGATTCATGCTCTGACCAGAATGAGGTCCGCAGCTCAGACGAGCGAGGCACGTTGATCCAATCGCCGGGTCGACCTTCTTCGACATCCCCGTCCGTGATGACGGAGGGGGAACCGAAAAGATCAAAGTCCGGGTTGCCGTCGTGGATGAACCATTTCGAGCAGGCCGGAGGGAGATGCGTTCTTGAGCGAGGGAGCCGGACTGGCAGATTCCGCTTGTACGCCTGTTCGAACACCCCCGTATCCCGCGAGGGGAGGATAGGGACCTCCCGTATGGTGCCCTTGGCGTGGCTCGCGATGGAGGACCCGAATCGACGACGAGGCACGGGCAGCAGTGAAGAGGATGAGGCAACGGTGGGCGGGGGTCGTCTAAGAGCTGAACAGGCCCTTGTCCGGAGGGCGAGCCATGGCATCTGATGGTCTCTACGGACACCAGCTCGGATTTCGTATTCTTCCTCGTATTCTTGCTCGTGTAGGTTGAAAAAGGGAGGTGGATGGAACTCGTCAGGGTGAGAACCAAGAACCTCGGCGGGCGCAGCTCATTCGGCGTGAGATGGCGCGACACGAGCGACACGAGCGACACAATAAACTGCGGGTTGCCTGATCTGTCACTCCCCCTCCACCACCAATAATACCTAATGACAGTATAACAGTGCATCGTTTCTCACTCATTTGCTGCTGAGCAGTAGACAGTCGAGAAGCCTGTCGGCATCTCCTGCGATTCCTCTGCTTTCTTCTTTACACATACACACCCTCTCTCCAGTGGCCTCGAGACACTACCCCTCGGATTCTACAGCATTGATACCCTCCGCGTCTCACTGATTATTCTACTGTCCTGCAACCATGACTGGTGCTCGCGTCGACCGCATCCGCCATGGCGGCCCGGCCAACAAGCCTGGCTACACCTTCTATCCGGTCCTAATCATCGGCGCCGGCGAGTCTGGCATTGCCATGGGCTGCCGACTGCGTCAGGTCCTGGGCTTCGATCAATTCCGCATCTTTGAGCGGAGGTCTGCATTGGGAGGCACATGGCACACCAATCAGTATCCCGGTATTGCTTGCGATGTGTAAGTTGCTCTTGCCCTGTGTCTGTTTCTCTATGGATTGGCCCATTCAAATCTAACGACGTCCCCGGAGAGGGAAAACAGCCCGGCCATCATGTACTCGTTCTCCTTCGCCCAAAACCCTCACTGGACGTCCCTGTTCCCCTCCGGGCCCGAGATCATCCAGTACCTCTACGATGTGTGCGAGAAGTTCGAGATCCTGGACAAGATCCAGTTCGACACCTCGGTCAAGGGCATGCGCTGGCTCGACGATGTCGAAGAGTGGGAGGTCGAGCTGGACCACCTCGCCCCGGGGATAGGTGATCTGTCCACCCGGGAAAGGCAGGCGCTGGAGAAAGAGAACGGCCCCAACTCCAAGACAGTACTGCGCACAGAGATCGTGCGAGCGAAGGTCGTCTGCAGCGCGGTGGGCGGCCTGGTCGAGCCGAAACCACCTCTAGACGTCCCCGGGTTTGATACCTTTGAAGGCGAAATCGTCCACACGGCGCGCTGGAACCCCGACCTCAATGTCCGGGGCAAAGATGTCATTGTCATCGGTACGGGCTGCTCGGCAGGGCAGGTCGTGCCTCAGCTTGTGAAGCCCGAATACGGCGCCAAACACCTCACGCAGCTGATGCGCTCGCCGCCTTGGGCCGTGCAATTCCTCCCTCCCGCAGCCAAGGAGTTCTGGAAGAAATGGATCCCCTTGTTCTCCACGTATGTGCCGGGCTTCCAGAACGGGCTGCGCAAGTTGATGTTCGCCATGAGCGAGCTCGAGTTCGTCGAGCTGTTCACGCCCAGTGAGGCCGCGAGGCAGCGCCGGAAGAAGAAGGCCGCCGAGCTCCTGGCGTACCTCCACAAGACGGTGCCGGAGGAGTACCACGAGATCATGACGCCAGACTACGAAGTGTTCTGCAAGCGACGAGTTGTGGATGAAGGGTGGTACCAATCCCTCGCCCTGCCGAACGTGGAGATCACCACGCTCCCCATCACGTCCATCCAGCCGCGGTCGGTGACCCTGGGACCGGGTCGTCTCTATCCGCCCATGTCCAAGACCGACTCCAAGGCGCCCACTGAGCAGCGCACGGTTCCCGCGGACGTCATCATCATGGCCAACGGCTACGAGACCAACCAGTGGCTGCACCCGCTGGACGTGACGGGCCGCCACGGGCGGTCTCTGTACAAGACGTGGGACGAGCGAGGCGGCGCGCAGGCGTACCTGGGCACCGCGATGGACGGGTTCCCCAACTTCTTCATGATCTTCGGCCCCAACACGGCGACGGGCCACAGCTCGGTGATCCTCGCGAGCGAGAACATGGTCAACTACGCGCTGAAGTTTATCGGGCCCATCCTGCGCGGCGACGTCGACACCGCCGAGGTCAAGGAGAGCGCCGAGCGCCAGTGGACCGCCGACCTGCAGCGCGAGCTGCGCCAGAGCGTCTTCATGTCCGGCGGCTGCGTCAACTGGTACACCGACGCCGCCAAAGGGTGGAACGCCACCGTCTACCCACGCACCCAGGTCGACTTCACCCTCCGCTGCATGTTCCCCGTCTGGCGCCACTGGGACCTCAAGTACACCACAAAGGGCCGCTTCAAGCTCGCCGCCTCCCGCGCCCTCCGCGCCCTCGGCCTCGTCGGCCTGGTCTGGGCCATCGTCTTCACGAGGAAGCACGGCCTGCAGAGATCCAAGGACCTCCTCCGCGAGCTGCTCAGGAACGGGCTGGAGGGGATCCGGGGTGTGTTGCTGAGGAGCAGATAGTTGGCGTCCTAGGCGGGGGTTACGGATGTCCCCTGGCCGGTATACATGGAGATCACCATGGAAAATTAGATGTAAGGGGCTAGATATGAGGTGCATTTGTCGGTCTAATCACACGGGAGTCATTCTGCTATTCTTTCGATATTCCATGGATGCAAGGCGACAACGCGGAGGCCAGAGCCCCCTGTTCGACTGCGGGAAAATTAAAATCAGTTTCGTCCGACGATGCGCTCTATTCACATATCATTATTTCATGCTTCAGGCGTAGCAATGGTTATCACCCGTGCAATACGCCCTTTTCTCTATCTCTATGTACAACCAACCCCTTTTTTGCGCATACCAGACCTTCGTGGACAAGAAGATAATACAGTCGGGAACTCACCCAGGCTCCAACGCGTTTTCCGTGCTCGGACACCTTGCAACATTCTCACTCACGAGATCATGTATCAGGAGAAGCCCCCTTTCTTTGCAGGATCAAACAGCACCCCGACGATCTCGTCGAGAATCGTAAAGGCAAGGTGCTGATTGAGTCGTGCGTTGTTCATGGTGGCCGTGATTCTTCTGGCGGCAGCTTGTGCATTGGCTCTGCCCACCACGTTGCCAGCTAGGTCGGGAATCAGAGTGGCCAACATCAGCGCCGCCTCTGACTTTGTTTTCTTCTTCTCCACGGCTGTTCGTGGCTTCGCCTCTCTTAGTTTGCCACCTCCCGGCCACATTGTTTCCTTGATCATGTCAATGTACTTGAGGAGTGATTCCTCTTGTACAAAACCATTGAAGATTTCGCGAATCTTGCGTTCAATGGTCCCTCCGAGTAGCTGATGGAGGACCACTATCACGGCACGGCCACGAAGCCAGTTGTTCCCTCGATTCAGCTCAAAGGTCTCGAGAAAAATGTCACAGATTGGCTTCACAAAGGGTTCCAGTTCCTTATCCTCAAAAGCTGCCAACTCGGCCTCAGCTTCCGCCACCGGGCCAGGTTCCAGAGGGACAATGTCGGCCTGATTCATTCCCAGCTGATTCGTGGCAGCCGAGATCAGGTTCTGCCCGGCTACCGACAGCTGATCCAGGACCGACACATTACCCAAGAACTCATCCATGCCCTCGGTGACAGAGTTGTAAATCCGAGTCACGATATCTTGTGCGTTGGACTCTTTACTCGTGTCCTGCTGTGATTTGATGCTTGACTGTGAGAGAAATGAGCGCAGTTCTCTGCTTCGACACACGTCTGGCATTTGGAGGAGTTGCTGCAAGTAATGCTCAAGTGCGAGCCGCCGGTTCTGCAGGAATTGCTTTTGAAGCTTCATTACAACCCTCCTTCTCGGAAACTCGAGATTCCTCGTCGAAGGGTATCTGCGTCGTAGCCGTTGATGTAATTCATGGAATTCGGAATATCGTCGAGGAATCGCCCACACTGCGGCCGGCATTTGGTCGCCAGCCTGCCTCTGCACTTCGATAACATACAACGCGAATTCTCGCCCGTCGTCTTCTTTTCCCACTACAACAGACTTGATAGAGATGCTGGATCGACCATACAAACTGTTGTCGCTTTCTTGGACTATATATTGCTGGCGCTGGAGCTCCTTCCGACGGATTTCCCTCTGGAGACTTGATTTGGATTTGTTCAAAATCCGCAGCTCTGCGACATTGTTTGTTAGCTCAGCCTTGCGAGTCAAGGTGTCCACCACCGATTCCTGGGCTACCAGGCGCTCTATATCGTTATTAAGAGCTGAGATCGCTTCGGCGAGGCCGAGATCTCCTGGTGCTGCCTCGTGGATCTCATCTTCGTCTCCATTGTCCCCCTTACTGTCGTCATTGTCGACATATTCATCCTCAATGAACTTTTCCTCGTCGGGAAAGAGATCATTGTCGGTGAATACGCCGATACGGGAGGAAGTATTGACAAGGCCGAGAGTTGCCAAGCTAGGTTTGGGTCTGTTGGCCTGCTCAGCGCCGGGGATATCGAGGGAGCTGCGGGGCGAGTCGATCTTGGAAGATTTGGTCGCCGACACTGGGGAACCAAAAAGTGTATCGTCATCGTAGCCCATGGTCTCGTCCATCGGGCTGTCCGTCATGATATTGTTCATAGCTGCCTCCATGTTCTCAATGACCTGACGCTGGTCTAGGGAATCACCATTCAATGACTCGTGTCCAAGGCTGTGGGTGGAATGTGCCAATGGGTCAGTGTCATAACCGTCGTCGAACAATGGGGTGGAACCGCTAGACCGTTTGGCAAAATCTCCATCGTCAAATAGCTTGGTAGAGGCCAGGCTTCGAACATCCGACGAGGACACCGCAGCTCGCCTCAGATCTTTGTTCCGCGTCGCAAGTTGTGAGCTGGTTCTCGTCATAGAAGGAGTCTGGGTTAGGGTTCTCGTAGTATCAGCCCCAACCTGCCCGTTCGCCTCGGCAAGATTACCCGTGCTCTGCTGGCGCGGGCGCGCGGCGGCTGCGTCGGCGGAAGCTAGAAATTTGTAGTAGAGATCGGATTTCCTAAAGTTTGGTAGATGTCGTGTTTCCAACTCTTCCAAGACTGCGGACTGAGCGGCCAGGACGGCAGTTCTAGCAGCTCGGTATTGTTGAGGAGTTGCTTTCCGGCCGGCGGCCAAGAACGCTTTGATGGCGTCCTTGGACTCTTGTGGGATGTTCAGTTCTTCCTTTAGCATGTATTTTTCACTAATTTGAGCGATGTCCATACGATCTGCATCGGTCCAACTTTGTTGAATACCTGGATTCAACTCGTCCCCAAAATCATCCTCGAGGGGATTGCGGAAGCCGTCGACCACCACCCAAAACTGGACCAGAGACATACGATTCTGACGATCCATATATTCCATGAAATACGACAGCCCCGAAGCAGTGTGCATGATCTCCACCATGGTCCATTCGCGCGGCTTCGAAGCAGGAATGGGCCGCGAGTCGAGCGGCGGTGTCACCGCCTGCGGAACGGGTCCAGTCTGAGTGAGTTTCGCAATCTTTTGGTCCAGTACGCGTTTGGCCATTTCCAACCTTCGCAAATAAACGGGATCCTGACCTTCAACCAGGCTCTCGCGCTGAATCTGGCTGGCGACGGAGCTCCGAAATCGCCGAGCATCCGACAGGTTCTTGGTTTTGCGTATGGCTCTAACAAATCGCTCAAAAGCACGTTCGCTGTCATTGGGTGCTAGACGGGGCAGCTCTTGGCCGGTCTTGCTTCTGGGGATCGGAGACGCATGCTGATCCAAAGCCGCTCTCATTCTGCGCACGGTCTTTCTGTCTTGTAACGTGGTGCGGCCATAAGCTTCGATTATTTGATTCCATGTGTCCGGATCAGATAGCAACTGCATGATTGGAAACAGGACGGCACCGGCGACAATTTCCTTCACGAGCACCAGAGTGGCGCGACTTCCCATCATGGTCGAGGATAAAAGGTCCGGTAAAATGCGGACCAGGGTTTTCCGAAGGTGGTCTTGCTGTACTGTCTTTGTATCCGAATAGGCAAGGGCGGCAGCAGGATGCAGCTTCCCATCCTTGTACTTGGCTGCAATGGCCAATTCCAGCTCCTCCGATTCGGTGACGTTACGGTTCAAACTGCGGCCTCTCACAACCCGTTCAGCCTGATCAAAGTCACGCAAATGTGCTGTGATCAAGGGTACAATCCTGGACACGACAACATTGACCATGTCCTCGGCGAGAATCCGGTCTCTGATCTCCACCAACACAGCGCGAATGTTCCTGTCCACTTCATTGACAAAAACCGGACTCTTGGAAATATTCTGGTACCAGGAGGAAACGAAATCGCGCAGCGCAAGACCAATCAGAGTCTCGAGGGCTTGGGAGACGACAAAGGATTGGTCGTAGAGATGTAAGGGTTGGTATTGTTGGGATACCCGGAGGACTGACACTTCGGAGTCCCACTTCTGGGGGAGAAGGAAGACAGGGGAGGCATTCGGAGGCGAGGACAGCGCCTGGTATGTCGCGCGCGACCTAGAGACTCTCAAGGTGGCTGCCAGCAAAGTCATCAGAGTGATCAGACAGCCAAGCGTGAAAGCGTATCCCAGGAAGCGCAAGACGGGAATGGCGCGGACTGCAAAGCCCCAAGCGATGAACGCTGCAATGGCGGCAGACAAGACATGTCTTTGGGAGAGGTTCATTCTTGATCTTGAGAGCAACTCATGTTTGAGGGATCGGTGTGGCTGCGCAGCCAGCCCGGTGGGGAGGAGGACGGCAACCTGACATCTACACCATCGCACGGGTCAAGCGGGAGGTGGGGAACGGAGAGGACATGACGAGGATAGTCTGGTGGCAGAGATCAAGCCGTGGCGAGCATTCAACAGCCTGAGGAGCAGGCCAGAGCAGTCCCTTGACCGACACGGCAAGAAACAATCAATATACGAGGTATGACATGGATGGTGGTTGTAGCAAGTGCCCAACTGGCGCAGATGGGCGCAGCCTGCGCTGGGAGGGTGGAATCTCGATCGTCACACCTTCCCAAACGGGGCGGTCACCTGCGGCCAGCACCGTGCACCTCCTGCAGCATCCATCCCGCCTAATGCATGATCTGCCTCTTGCTGTCTTTTCTACTGGTTGCCCTCCCACGCCCGTCGGTTTCTTGGGACCAGTTTCTCGTTGCTAGGAGTCTGTGGTGAGTCAAAGGCTTTTCTGTTATTGCTTCTGCGGCATGCAAAGGTGGTGGGCACCAACCAGAATCTGCACGGAGCCATGCTTCATTCCTTCCGCGACGGATGGGTTCCGAGATCCAAGAATTCTGCTCCCTCGCAGCCCCCAACTTCTCCCAGCACTCGCTTACTCTTACCATCAATTGCCCCTGGGGCACATCTTGAGCTTGCTGATCCGCCCTTCGCGCCCTGGCACCGAGTTCTGAACCCACAATGAGTGTCACCTGCCCCAGCGCGCTGTTGTTTGTCAAAGATCCCTGAAGGGCCTCAGGCAGAACCACCAATCCCAAAGATGCTGGCATGGGCTGTCAACTGTGGAGAGTTTCATCCAATGCCCTCCATCCCGCTGTCAGTCTGCTCACCTGCACTTGCAAGGACCAAGGGGATGCATTAGACAAGCATGATTTCGAAGAGCTGCACGAGTGATTGAGCCAGACCACAAAGTCCACGGCAACCTGATGCTGGTGATGATGGTGTGTGGGCGAGCTCCCCTTCTGGACGGCCATCCCCCTACCCTGGGCAGCAGCCGGCTGCAGAAACAAGACCTTGGATGGTCACCGCTAATTGTTCACGAAGGTCCTCCCTCGTATTGCACACATTGGGCGCCGTCCTCTTTTTTTTTCAGCTTCCATCATTCGGTACCTCTAGGCAGGGCTGCGAATCTGCTCAGCCGAGCAAGGGATATTGTACAGTAGCACAACAGATCGGGATATTTTCTACATCCACCGTGTTCTGGTTGCCTTGCAGACACCGGATAGTCCCCACATGAAGCATTGTCGATTCTACAAATGAGGCATAAGGTCGAATAACCACCACCCGAGTACGCGCGGCCGACAGCTCGACAGCTCGACAGCTTGGAATAGGGATGGCCCAAGCAAGGCGCCGCTGATAGACCTCGCATGCACGCCGTTTCGGAGCCGTGACAGATTGCAAAACAAGATTCATGGTTGCACAAAGGCGCTGTTCACGAGGTCAGTGACACGGGAGGTACAGGACCGATCGGGAGCAACGAGTGGTGGACACAGCGCCTAAATCCTCCAGATCGATAGTATCCACACCACGCTAGGCACCGCCACACGGTCCAGAAGCAACCAATTTAGGTACGGGGGGTGGACGCCACAGAGTCCCCTCCATCCGTCCTCCCACCCGTGGCATTGCTTCTGGCTCGCTGCTTCCTGCGATTTGAGGCGACTTACGAAGCGGCAGAGAGCGGATAAGTCGTCCTTTCAAAGTAGGTCTCGCTCCGCGTGGGTGGACGGAACATTTGTCGACCTTGAAGCTTAATGGCTGTTCAGACTTCATCACAACTTCGGATTCAGTCTCCGTGGCACAGGCATTATCTGGTGGCGCGGACTCGTCCCTCTCCCTGGCCATGTCCTCGTCATTGACACTTGACCCGGCCGCCCCCTACGGTCTAGGGGATGCGTGCGCCGAAAATGATTCTGAGGCCCTGCCGGCATACTCCAGATGCATAGATTCCCATTGGGGCAATTCAAGGCGACCATCCAAACATGCTGAGGCCCTTGGAACCAAAATCTCTCTTGCCCGCAAGCCGTCGCTTACCCATGACCGCCTGTGTGAGACTTCCCGTTGATTGCCTTCCGGGCGTTTCCCTACGAACAAGGTCTGGACAAATTTCTCGAGTATGCAAGTGCCATCGTCAGAGCGGTGAACGTCCACCCACAATTTATTGGCGGGAACGGGGGGCGTACATCCCAGTCATCCAGGCTCCGCGGGTCTGAGTGCTATGCCAGCCAAACTCACTTTACCCGCCTCAATGGGACTTTTCTTTCCTGTACTCCGTACGCTGTACGTAGTAGAAACTACAACCTAGCGCCACTAAAAGGATGACATGGCTGCTGGGCGAAACAGGTGGGTCGACACATCGACACGCGAGCAAAAAGGAAGTATGACACACTGGTGTTGCCAGCCACAGCATCCAACTCTATGACATTACTCGTACTAGAGGGTCTATCCAGCAGAAAGAGAACACTTTGAGGAGAACGGAGCGGATCCTTCAATAGCTCTTTTCGCTTCTGCGTGCGAAGTCGGCGCACCATGGCTCCATGCCGAAAGGTTCTCGACCCTAACGGCACCCGTCAAATGCAGGAAATGTTTCCAAACAGGCTGTGGTTTTATACAATGTTGCGACGGCTTACTCCGTGTTGTGGCATTTGGTCCACCTGGTAGGACAGCAAAGCACCAACCCCAAGGATTGCGGCATCTGTCATTTGTGGAGACGTACAAAGACCATAGCGACTCTTCCACCCTCCAGCAGCCGTGCGTCCCGCTTTCGGCTTCGACTCGCAAGGGGGAGGGTTGATCAGAGACTGCAACCCTCCAAAAACAGGCGATCCTTTGAGAATTCATCCAGCTTTCAATCTCTACATGTCTGAAAGTTTGCAAAAGATTTGATTGAAAACGAAGGGACGGGCCCACGCCCACACACCAACAGTCGGAATTGTGCCTTATGGGTTCCCATGCGGGACAAGGGTTGGGCTGAACAGCTTTTAGCCTCATGCCTAAGGAACCCTACTCGTAGGATGCCAGCACGCCCCTGGTCAGAGCAAACCACCCTGGAAACGCGGAACTGCAGGCTGCCCCTTCCGGGGAATCCAGGTTCCCCGTCGAACGGTGCAAACAGCCCCCCCAGCTTTGATTGCCCCCTCCCCCCAAAAGATCCAACCATGGACGGCTGGCAACATGCTCATGGGCCGTGCAAAGTAACACGACAGCTTCGACGTTCGTTTACCTCCCAAGAGCATGGGGGTTGAGAAGCGAGTTTTGGGAAGGTGGTTCTCTTCCTCCTACCGTTCCGACTCTGCCCTCTGAGCGGGCCCCATCACCGAAGCCAGAGCAACTTGATTTTGGGATGAGGTGTCCCTGGTCAAGCCCGTTCGCGTTCCGCACTCCCTCCTGCCCCATGTGCTCTTCCTCGGGCATGAAATCTTTGGACGGGGCTAGTCTTGCCTGAGTTAGGCGGTGCAACCGAACTTGAACCACCTTCGATGCCTGAAGGTCGTGGACGAAAGAACCTTTCGGGGCTTGTCTCACTGGGGCCGTGGACTCAAACCCATCCTTTCGAAATCTCAAACTCCCCCTCTCCTTGCCGTCGCCGGCCCCTCTCCCGCCTGGATGTGCAAAATGGACATAGAATTCGACGAGAACTGCGGCATCCCGCTCCCCCCAAGGCTTGCGGAGAAATGCTCCCGCGCTGCCACTCTCGGCTAATAGATCATTTTATCATCATGCCTTGCCGCCCATCACGGAATCACTCGTCTGGGAAATGTGACCAAACGGTCAACGATGAGCCTTTCCGTGCAAAGCTAGGGCGGATGATCCTGAGCCATCTGCCCCCCCCATGGCATGGCCCATGCCTTCTCGAGACCCCGGTCGCGACTATCCCACTCTCTGACCACTACTGTTGCTATCTGGTTCTTATCCAAGACCACTCGTCCCTTCTCCTCCCACAAAATCCACACACCCTTTTTCATCATGCATGCCGCAGTAGTGCTCGATGTCAAGCAGCCGGCTCGCTTGCGGCCTGCTGCCCTTCACCATTGGCCGCATCGCCTGTTCGTCCTTGCCTTCGAGCGACTGCTCACACACACCTCCCCTTCTCCGTGCCTGCACCAGCACCGCGCCGCCGATCTGCAAGCCGGACCTCCACCGCCTGTGTCGCTCAGCTGACCCAAGATCGTGCTGCACCTCTCGAGTCGTCCTCTGCCTCTGCCCCTGCTTTCCTTACTGCTCCTGGACGAGTTGGGAGAGCCGGTGCGAGCCCACCGTGCGAGTCCACTCGCCGCATTCGATGCATCAATAATGTGTTCCAAACTGTATCGACTGCATTGGTGGACCCTGGGATGACTCTCCAAAGGCCAACGGGACATTGACGAGCGAGGCTGACTGCCTTCGCGTCGGCAGAGTGGCGAGGTGACACAGCGCCAGGGGACCGACGCCCTGCCCTTGCCCTGGTCGTCGCTCATCTCTGTCAATCGCTCGCCTTGCAGACCTGCTGCTAACTAGTCCACCGCACCTTGAGATATCCAGCATGCCAGCTTGCTCGATGCATGCCCCGAGTCTGGCTGTCTCTTCTGTACTGTGCCTGCCTGCCTGCCTGCATGCCATCCCTGCCTTTTGGTGAGTGCGGTCTCGTCAAGGTCCATCGGCCCAGGGAAGTTTGGGCAGTTCCGCCCTCTGGCGAGCCCAGACACCACGCACCTCTCTCAAACGGGCAGCGCTAGCCCGATAATTAGGGGAAAGAAATAGACAAAGCCACATGGGTCGAGCTGCAGAGACGCAAAGCGGGCACGTAAGTTTTAACCATGCCATTCCCCACCGCGATCACAGAGCATGCCGGGCCTTTGCGCAGAAAGGCAACCAATTCCTCATCCTTCATCTACACCGGGCTATCCTCTTACCTCTGCTCTGGTTCTCCTAGGATGTCTTCGTCTATTTAGTTCCCTTCGTCTCTGTCTCTCTCCGGCTGGGCTAGTCAATTGCAGTATGGCCGTTCAATGACTCTCTGTCTCTCACTCTGGGGTTGGATTCTTACGTTTGCGCAACCATCAGCCTGCCGGCATATGATTGGCCTGTCCATCACTCTGACCGACTGAACAGGTTTGCTACCGGTTTATATGAACAGGGAGCCTTCCAGAGTAGTGTGCTGTCTTTCCGACTTCACCTGAACGTCATCTGAACTTGAGCTGTCGAGGAGTTGGTGGTGACTGGGGCTGCTTTCTCTCCCTGTTTGTTAGCACAGCAACGTCTCATTTCCCCGTCACGTCCAGGTATATATCAATTCACTGTCGGATGGTGACTGCCCCTGCCTCAAACGACGCCCCTGGTTCTTGTCCCTCGTCACGGTATTCACCTCCAGGCAGTGACGCCTCGAGGGACCTGCATAAAGATCCGCCAGCCATGCTCGTTCTCCAGCATAATGCCATCACACCAGCTTGGCGAAACCCAATAAGCAACAAGAACTCTTTCTCAGCCAACATCAGTCCTCTTTTCTCACCTCGCGCTGGCCCTGGTAAACATCATTCTCAAGAAATAGCTCCATCATGACTGATTTCAATCAAGAACCCGATCCCTTCAACAACGACACAATGTCGGACTTCGCCAACGGCTCCAGTCCGGACAGTCCGTTTCCCTCATCAGCCGCAACCTCCAACCCTTCCGAGAACAATACAGATCTTGACCCAGCCGACGACCTTCATACGAATGGATCTGTCCTCGCCCCGAACGGCATTGCTCAGTCTATCTCTCCAGAAGTCGATGCCGCCCTCGAACCCTATGACCACCCAGGCTCCGATCATGTTATTCAACTGTCCAGCATTGAGCACTGCATGCCTCGGTCGTACATTCGCATCTGTTTTGCGTATCGCCTACCGAGCCCAGAAGTGCTCCCGGAGGTGGTGGAGAAGTTGAATCACTTCGTCCGGAAGACTGTGGATGCGAAGCCATATTTGAGTGGCTTTGTGGTAGCAGTGGACAATCCAGGAAATCGTCTGGGTGCAGTTGAGATCCGATTTTCTGATACGGATTTCCTTGAATATCCCAACGTTAGTGTGCGTGAATTCAGCCGCGAAGAGTTCCCGTACACCTATGACGAGATCTGCGAACGCGGTCTCCCACCCAGCGTCATCAAGCCTGAGCTTGTCTCGGCGCTAGGGGAATCTGCTGATGAGCACCGGGCCCCGGTTTTCAGAGTCCAGGCAAATGTCGTGGAGGGAGGTATCATCGTGTCCGTCTACCTCCACCATTGCATCTCCGATGGCACGGGCTTTGGCTTGCTCGCTTCGGGCAGCGTTCTGAATGATGACTTCACTTTTGACCGTCACTTGGACACTCGTGGTCATGATATACCCAGCCTCTCAATGAGACTGGACGCGTTCGCCACTCGCAAGAGTATCGTCAGAAGAGAGCTATCTTACCCTTTTGCCAACCAGATCACCAATCGTGAGTTGAAGTGGAAGACAGCCCAGCCGATGCCTACAGAACAGGAAGCCATCAAACCTCGGGGTCGTGGCTGCGTGTTTGCTTTTCCCTCGAGTAAGCTGGAAGATCTGAAGCAAGGGCTCCAGGCTCATGCTAGTGGCGCCTTCATGACTCGACATGACGCTTTGCTGACCTTGATCTGGCATGGAATGACGAAGGCGAGGATCCCTTCTGTGCCGGAGGTGACTACCTCGAAGCTTCTTATTCCCGTCGACATTCGCAAGAAGCTCAAGAAGCCTCTGTCAGAGTCCTACTTTGGGGCTGCGGTCGATTTCGCCTCGGTGCAAATGCCTCTTTGCCACTTGGCGGATCACAGTATCGCTTCTATGACCGAGACGGCACTGGCAGTCCGCAAGGCCATCAACTGCGTTGACGAGCCTTACATCCGACAAGCGATTGCCTTGGCAACATATCCCAATCCGAAAATCGACGTCCGAGATTTGCAAGCGAGCAACATGGACCGAACCGACGGCGCAGATATGTACATCACGAGCTGGGAGAAGTTGAACATTTACGAGTCGACGTTTGAGATGGGCCTCGGTCGGCCAGATTGGGTGCGGAAGCCCTGGAGTAAGGATCCTGGCTCATGCATCATCTTGCCGTACGACGACCGAAAGGACTACCTGGAGGCCGTCATACAGATGGCAGAAGCGGACATGGCCCGATTGCTGGAAGACGCAGACTTTATGGGATATGTGACCAGATGGATTGAATGATATGGCTGGATGTCAGCAACTCGTTTTCGTTATGGCGCAAGGGACTAAAAGGAGATCGTGGAGTCACGAAGTATGTTGGCGACCTGGGGGCTCGGGGGACTCGAAAAGCATCTTGGGGGGTGATGACAGTTTCTTGAGCAGGGAAAATCTGGAAGGACATCACCACTTACTTGGCGGGCTGGAAAGGCTGGAAAATCACATAATGGAGGGCAAAGAACGGAATGCGAGAAATGTACAATTACTCTCAAGCGTGGGACGCATCGAACATCGACCGGCAAGTGAGGAACTAGCTGATGGGACTGAGGGCAACGATATGATCTAGGATGACCAAGACCGTTTCTGGCTGGAGGTTTAACGAAGTTTTTTTGATACGATCAGAGACTTGATTTCAATATTTCATCGAGTCTTGACCTGCAGAGATGAACGGAAGTGTCTCGAACGTACCGAGTCCATGTGAAAAGGGGGAAGTTGCTGAAGGCGACATCGGTGTCGTGGGGCAATACATATCACGTGCTATCGCGTTTCGGTAAAACAATGTTCCTTAGTTCTCTTGCAGCGTTTGGTGGCACGTAAACTCATCAGAACGCGTCGAGGCAATTTTCCCCCACGACAACGCGCCGTTGCTATTTGGCCACTGCGCACTACTTCTCACTGTGCACTACTTTCCGAGCACCCACTGCCTCTGCCAGTAGACTCAGCTGCTCCATCTTCTTCGTACAGGGCTCATTAAGGTCGCCTCCTCGCCGCAGTTCAGAAGATCATCATGACTCAAATTGAGAGCAATGACACCACTCAAACTGACTACGAGGACATGCCTGGGGGTCCTGGAGCACCCATCCCAATTTCTCAGTTGGTGGTAAGCTTCCCAGTAGATTTTCCACGCGCATCGCAGACAGCTGAGCCGCTCCCAGGGCGTTGCAGGATTGACTGAACGAGACATCAAATTGGTGACAGAGGGCGGTTACCATACAGTCGAGTCTATTGCATACACGTAGGTATCAACACTCGCATCCGGTGCAACCAAGCTCACCAGTCGATACAGGCCGCGCAGGCAATTAGAACAGATCAAAGGCATATCGGAGGCAAAGGCTTCCAAACTATTGAACGAAGGTTTGGCAACACTGGCTGCTCTTGGAACCTAAGCTGATCTTGTGGCAGCAATGAAACTGGTGCCCATGGGCTTCACGACCGCCACCGAGATGCATGCCCGAAGGAGCGACCTGATCTCGATAACCACCGGCTCGAAGAACCTGGACCGACTGTTAGGCGGTGGCATTGAGACGGGCTCCATCACCGAGATCTTTGGCGAGTTCCGCACAGGCAAGAGTCAGATTTGTCACACAATGGCGGTTACATGCCAGTTGCCTTTCGATATGGGTGGTGGAGAAGGGAAATGTTTGTACATCGACACCGAAGGCACCTTTCGACCCATACGTTTGCTGTCAGTAGCACAGCGATATGGCCTCGAAGGCGAAGAGGTGCTTGACAATGTCGCCTATGCTCGGGCGTACAATTCTGAGCATCAGCTACAACTGCTCCAGCAAGCGTCGCAGATGATGTGTGAAACCCGGTTTTCCTTGCTGATTGTTGATTCAGCGACTTCGTTGTACCGAACAGATTACAACGGCAGAGGAGAACTCTCATCACGACAGTCACACATGGCCAAGTTCCTGCGCACGCTCCAGAGACTCGCGGACGAGTTTGGCATCGCCGTGGTCATCACCAACCAAGTAGTTGCACAAGTGGACGGCGGACCCAGCGCCATGTTCAACCCAGACCCGAAGAAGCCCATCGGCGGCAACATTATTGCACATGCCAGCACCACCAGACTAAGCTTGAAGAAAGGTCGAGGCGAGACTCGGATCTGCAAGATCTACGACAGTCCATGTTTGCCTGAGAGCGACACGCTGTTTGCCATTTATGACAGTGGAATTGGCGATCCTCAACCCAAGGACGACAAGGAATAAGAAGGGCAAGGTTTATGTCCACGATTGAAAATTCATGCATATGAGCAGGTGGTATGATGTACAGCTATCAGCAGCGGCGCAAGGGAAGTCGTTTAATGTCTAAGTATCGCTAGCCATAGAGCGAGCATCGAAAGGGGTCAAGAGGCGCACAATGGTTATTGGCAAACTGGGCACAAGCGCCGAATTCCCCCAGAATGCAACACCCAGCTGAAAGGCGAAGCTAAAGAATGTCAAGAACGAGTCCCGGGTAACTATGAAGCAGCAGGCGTGCATAAGGATGAAAGTTAAGCATTGTGGCTGATGGCTATCACGGTGGCTCGGGCAAATGAGAGAGGGGCCTTGTGCGATGGATGCCAGCTAATGAGCCGTGAAATTTCAGGTTTTGGGAGGAATGTTACCTGTCGGAGCCCGTCTGTGGCGAGCCAAGGTGGTAGGGGATCGACGGAGAAGAATCGTGCTGGTGGCGCTGTAGGGACGGCCTGCCCCGAGAGATTCGGTAGAGGAGCGCATCCGAAGCCTACGCCTATACCCCGAATATTGTTCACAGTCCATAATGCCAGGTAGGCACGGAGTATATGGAAAGGCAATTAATTGTACGAGTACGAGTTAAGAAAGGGGCAGCGGCGAGCCAGCTGCAGTGGTTCCCATTCGTGACCCGCTGGCGGGTGGCTGGCGCTGCTGTGGGTGATTGCCCGTGGCTGGTTAGTGAGGCCTAGTGAGGCCGAGGGAGCCCATTCTCCAATCCGCCTGGGGCAGAGGCCCACGCTTAGGGGGGGGCCGTCCGGCTGCTGCTTAGGCGTGACCCTTGGCGTCATCATACATGGGCAGCCGAAAGCAGACCAGAGTACCGAGTAATACAACAAGAATGCGTCTCACCAGCCTCTCACCACCTGGAAACCGATCGACTGCGCTGCGAAACCCACGAGGGACGGACCACGACGGCATCAGATTGCCTCGCTAGCACATCTGGCCCCATGAACTACTATCAGCTGCCAGTGTCCTTGTGAATCTACTCTCTCGATCCATAATTTGCTCGAGCGGTGGTCGCTGTAAACAATTCTCCCTCTCCTTGCTTTTCTTTCCTCTTTCCAAGCCACATTCTTCTTCCTTGTGTTGCTACTACTACGCCTTACACTTTGAGTTTCGTCTTCACGCTGACCGTTGGGACTCGAGCTTCCCGTCGGACGGATTGAAGGAGCGCGACTGTGATTGCCCGCAGCAACACTTTTGTGAGAGCTGGTCGGCAGACCGTTACAGTCAATGGAAGGTGGGCTTGGCAGCACTCAGACTCAGTCGACCTGTGCAATCCGCTGACAGGAAATACTAGGCCAAACAGACGGAAACACGGCCGAGGGCCAGTACCAGCGCGTCGCAGAGTCGCAGGAAGGCTATGGGACAGGCCCCGAAATCACAAACTCCAGCTCTGACTTCGAAGTCCTGTGTGGCCCTCTACTGAACTACCAGCGTATGAGCGATGAAAGCCCCTCGAATATCTTCTGGCACGGCTCCGTCCTTCTCGTCACGACACCCAATGTCAATACTCCCAGTCTGGAACTAAAGACCCTTGGGGCATGGGAATCCGGCGCAAAGATCAAGTCTTCTCCGCCGCAGTTGGTGCAAGGGTTGAAGCTGTACTCGGACCCGGACAAGACATTTTGGCGGTTCACTCTCAAGGTCCCTTTGGTTGAGGCGGAAGCAAAATGGCAGTACTCGATACCAAACATGCGATTCCTCACCAATGTTAGTAAGGAGCCGTCGAGGCAGTTTGTGGTGCCTTCCATCACGCAATCCATGCGCATCATGTTCCACTCGTGCAATGGGTTTTCGGTCGGAACGGACGAGGACTTTTGGTCAGGTGGGTGTCTTTCGGTCGGAACCTGAGACGAATGGACGAGTACGCTGACGTGTAGTCATCTAGGGCCTGCGTTGTGGCATGACGTCCTGCGCACTCACGAACAGCGCCCGTTCCATGTCATGATCGGTGGAGGCGATCAGATTTACAACGATTCGATCCGAGTCAAGGGACCATTGAAGGAGTGGACTTCGATTGCCAATCCCAAAAAGAGACGAGAATACCTGTTCGGCGAGGATCTGAGGGATCGATGCGACAAGTACTACTTTGAGAACTACATACGATGGTACTCCACCGAACCTTTCGCCTCGGCCAATTCTCAGATTCCCCAGATCAATATCTGGGACGACCACGACATCATTGACGGGTTCGGTTCGTATACCGACCATTTCATGAGATGTGCTGTGTTCCGGGGGCTTGGTGGCGTCAGTTTCAAGTACTATTGCTTATTCCAGCACCACACCGCCCCTCCAGTTTCCACATTCACCACGGACGCGCCGAAGACCATGGGTGCTGATGCCAATGGCACGGCAGGGGCCGATCCGCGGCAACTGAGGAACACGTATGTGTATAAGAGGACGGCAGACGACCCCAGTTGGATTGTTGGCAAGCGTCCCGGTCCGTACGTTGAGGAGCGGTCGAGAAACCTGTACATGCGCTTGGGTCGCCATATCGCTTTCTGCGGTATTGACGCCAGAACGGAACGGACGAGAAAGCAAGTCAATTATCCAGACACGTACGACCTGATCTTTGAAAGACTGGAGAAGGAGTTCACGGCTGCGCGGGGAGAAATCACACACTTGATTCTCCTCCTCGGCGTGCCCATCGCATATCCCCGACTGGCATGGCTAGAAAACATCCTGACGTCGCCCCTGATAGCCCCCGTCCGCTTGCTGAATAAGAGGTTCGGCTTCGCCGGCGGCTTTTTCAACTCCTTCGACGGCTCTGTTGATCTCCTAGACGACTTGGACGACCACTACACGGCACGCCACCACAAAACTGAACGACGCGAATTGGTGCTTCGATTACAGAAACTCTCAACCCAGTTTTCCGTTCGAATCACCATCCTCGGCGGAGACGTGCATCTCGCAGCTTTAGGCCGCTTCTACTCAAGTCCTGCAGATGACATGGACCCGATTCACGATCCACGATACATGGCCAACATCATCTCCAGCGCCATCACCAACAAGCCGCCTCCCCGAGCTGTGGCAAACTTACTAGCGCGGAGAAACAAAATCCACCATCTGAGGGATGGGAATACCGACGAGACACTCCTCAAGATGTTCAACAAACAACCAGGGGGCGTGATGAAAGGTGCGGACTGGAATCAATGCACGATGCCAAGCAGAAATTTTGCGTGTATCACCGAGGTTCCCGATGACGAGGACTCGCGACCAGCAAATGGCATCCTCAATGGCTCTGCCGACTCGCAATCGACGTCAAGTGCCGTGAATACAACGGGCAAGACGGGCAAATCTCGTCCTCACACGAACAAGGGTGCACGCGACGGACACGGATATCTACACCTCGGTGAGGAGGGGGCGGGAACAACACATTTAGCCGCAGATGGGATCAGTTCAGAGGCCGTCGGCCCGCCGCTGAGGGGAGGCTTGAACGTCGCGATAAGGGTCGAGATCAACAACCGAGACCCAGAAGGGAGGACGGAGGGATATGGGATGAGCAGTAAGTGTTTACGGTGTTGTTATCCTCGTTGACGAGCCTGCTAATGTTTTGGTCCACAGTTCCTAAGCTCACGATCAAGCCCACACCTCGAACACCAGAGACACACGGATAAACGTCGACCACACCGGTGGTGGGTATTTTCTTAGACACAGTTCGACTGCTGACCTGTCCGTCAGGTGGACTCATTTTAGAGATGAGGCCCATCCTTGACCCAAAATTTTCCGATATTGATCACCCTGTTATTATTAAACATTAGTTTATCCACCGCCTCAAATAGAGGGGGTGGGAAAATGAGCGGCGGCGGCGGCAGTGCAACACCAGCGCAGCAGCAGTAGGAATTCCCGCTCCACAAAGACCAGGAGAGAAGGGAGGTGCGTATAATGTAATGTACTAGTACAGTCAGTCAGACAGACAAACAGAACAGAACAGCGAGACAATGTATCGGTCCCATGGATATTTGTGTACCATGATCACCGCCACTGGACGATACAATTCAATCGATATCTTTGGTATGCTCGTCGTCCATTGCAGGATGTAGAGTGTAGAGTATAGAGTATACAAGTACGCGGTAGCTCGGTGCGTAGCTAGGTGGGTAGCTAGGTAGGTAGGTACCTTAAGGTAGGTGAGATGTACAGGACAGGACAGGACCCGGATGGGTTGGCGAAACGTGGTGCGACGAGGATTGTATAAAGCAACCTCTGAGGGCCGCATGATACTCTCTGCTTTCTGGACCCGGTATTCCGTATTCCGTACTTGTACACAGTCTCTCCTCTCTCGCGTATATCGTCCAGTCCAGGAGACAATCTGTTGCTCACACATCCATATCCATATCCATATCCAAGACACGGTATATTCTGCACACGTACACGTACACGCAACACGCACGACGTCCTCTCAGCTTCCTTTCTGACTGCACGCGCGTATCCCTTCCCTTGGCCTTTTCTAAAAAGATCCCAACGTCAGGGAGATCTCGAGCCGCGAGGCACAGAGTCTTGCTTGCAATCAGCCAGCCAACCAAATCATACCCTCGACTCGTACATGTGGTTGAGCGTCCCGCTTCGCTTCAACCCCATGCCGTTGCCGTAGTAATTGTCCTTTTTGTTCGGAGGGGGCACCGCTGCCACCACGCCGTTCCCCGTCGTCCTCGTCGTCGTCGGCAGCGGCCCGTTCCCACTGGCCCACTGCCTCTTCCTCTCCTCCTCCTCCTGCCGGCGCCGCGTCTCCTCCTGTTCCCGCTCCCGCTGCCTCGCTGCTGCCTCCTCCTCGGCGCGAAACACGAGCCTCGGCCCGGAGATGTTGCTGAGCTCGACAGCCCCGGCTGCTCCTCCGAGCGTCGTCTTCTTAGGAAAGTTCTCTCCTTCGCCGCCGCCGTAGCCGCCAAAGTCCACCCCGGCCCCCATGGTCCGCACGTGCAGGCCGCGCACGTGCTCGGCCCGCATCCACTCGCGGCGCGCGCACTCGACCAGCCCCGCCGCCAGCGCGACCATCGCCCACTGCAGGAAATCCTTGACCGTCGCGAGCGTGCCCAGCATGTTGGCCAGGCCCGGGTTGCCCGTGTCGTGGAATCGCGACTGCGGACACCACCGCGGCACCTGGCCCTGGTGGCCCGCCAGGATGGGCGCGAGTTCGCAGGACGTGCACAGCACCGACTGGGCGAACCACATCAGCGTGTGCACGATGGAGACGCAGAAAACGAAAAACGTCGTCGTCACCGTGTAGTTGGCGTCGTATGGCTGCGGATTTCGGGACTGTCTCGGAGATGTCGACGCCCCGCCGCGGCCGTCGGGATATGGCGGGCAGGGCAGGCCGTTGAATTGCAAGGCGGCCAAATGAGAGACCGTGTACAGTAGCGAGATGAAGGGAATGGTTCCGACGTAGAATACCAGGGGTCTGCGTGGGATTAGGGTCAGCCATGAACACACATTTTTCAACCACTGACGAAAATGCAAGACTAGTGTTGGAAGACGCATTATCGTTATCGGAAAGAAAAACTCACAGCCATCTGCTTGCTCCCGGAACCATTTCGTGTGCCCACGCCCCATATTTCGACGAGGCAATGAGAATGATGATGGCCAAGATCAAGGAACATATGAGCAAAATCACTTGGACGGCTCGAGTCTGCATCTTTGGCACCGACGTTGTGCTGGGTCTGGTCGACTCGGATGACTTTTAAGAAGAATGAAAAATGTCCACTGTAGGAAGTAGGACGAGCAGCGTCCTGCACCGCGAACGGAGAAATCGAAATCCCTGAGTGAATGACCGAATGAAGCGGGATCAAGCTGACGGAAAGAATGGAAAGGGTGTCTAGTAGCGTCCAGCGCTCAGCGCCAGCGCCTTCGAAAGGAAACGAGAGTCGAAACCCAGAAGGACAAAAGGAATGGATCTGGGTCAGTCGACCTTGTATATGTAAACGAGAGTATAAAAGAAGGAAAGGACAGGTCTACCCGCCTGGGGAGCTGGAGACAAAAGAGCAAACGAGAGATTGGCGAAGAAGGCAACCGAAAACAAGGAAGAGGGATAGAGTCCAAGTCAGATACGGGTGCCCGGACGACAGGGCATCCGTGAGAGCTCCTGGTCGATGAGCCGCAGACCCCATGCTCGGCGGGTAGATCAGATCAGGATCGTGTCGGAGGGGTGCCAGATCAGGCATGTCCAAACTCTCATAACGTGACGATATGGAGTTTGGCTTGGGGTCTTGACCATAGAATAGCATGATATCTGCCGCTCAGGAGATCCCGATCACGGCTTTCTGGGCCGTGCGCAACTCCTGTAGCACATGGCGGCAGTTGGAGGGGATGAATTGGGTCAAGCGGACGACTTGGCATCGATCGCGCGCGGGGACCCAGACAAGTAGTGCCGCAGATGGATCGAGAGTCTGTTGAGAAAACAGCCAGAGGTGAGGCGCCGGCCCGGCAATATCGCGATGCGGGGGGTGGTTTGAGACTGTTGTTGCTGCAGAAGTTGGTCTGAGACTCGAGGAGGTTGAGCTTCGCGTCTCAGAATGTGTCCCTCCGAGGCAGCGCTAGACCCGATCTGGCAATTAAGGGGAAGGGTTGCGTTGCCACGTGACCAGCGGATGGACTGACAAGGCTGAGCACGAAACCGGATCCTGGAGAGCCAACCACCCCGAGACAGCTCACCTCAGCTCAGTATGACCCTTGTCCAGTTGGGGTCATTGTCGGGATCCTTGCAATCTTGTAGTATCTCTCCTTCAGAGAGGCCGTGCACATACGCTTCTCCAAGTAGGGTGAAGACCGGCATGCCATCAACGTCACCAGCATCCGCTTTCCGGAGTACAAAGGGTAGCGAACCTCCTTTTAGAATGACGATATGGTCACCTTTGGTAAGATTCTTTGGTCCCATGCCCATGTAGCCCTTCGTCGTCCTGAAAAATCGTCGGCCGATTGCTGATTGCCGAAGAGCTGCGTTATAATGTTCACCGTAAGCTGGTTGCTCGTTTCCAAAGAATTCACCTGGACGGGGATATCTGTCCTGGATGGAAAGAGGCTTTCCTTCTTTGAGACCAGCGTCGTTGTTGTTGTCTGACTGGCCCGAGTTGACTCGCTCTTGGTTAGCTGCAATGGCCCATTGAGGACAGATGCACGCAGGCTTTTCGTCCTCGATCTCAACCTCGAGAATCTCCGGATATGCCAGGAGGAAGCTTTCCGCAAATTCTGCTGGTGGTATAACCAACTGCTTCCCTGATATGGCTCTATTTGCAATCAGCGTGCGCCAGAAGGCATCAAACGGTCGTTGTCCCGTTGGGTAGGAGTTGAACTTGGCTCCAAAACACCACCAAAGACTCAAGAGGTATTGCTTTACGCCGATGATGCGATGTTCGGGCAAACCAGCCCTCCCAGACACCTCAATCACTTCGGCCTCTCCGCCACACCGAGCAGCTTCTATGAGCACTGTGTCCACGAGATATGCATCAACCTCGAGCAATCCAGAAGCAAATTTCGTAGGCAGTTCAAGTCTCGTATTCAGAGAAGCGCGATAGTTCGCCGTTGACGTCAATCCGGACGATAATATCAATGCTGGCTCTTTGGGGTAGCTGCTCCAGTCCGGCACCCAGGACGGCAAATGAGGTTGTCTCCTTGACTTACTGCAACCGGCGTCAGCAAGCATATCGAGGGACTTCTCCTCTGCCAATGTAAGCCGTGCTATCTCCTCGTAGATCTCTGGCACCTGCAGGTCGTAATCAACTTGAATCACCCTTTTACCATCCAGAATCTGCAAATGTCCATTCTGTTGCACGTTCGTGGCAGCTACCCTCGAATGTTTGATGACATATTGATTGTTGACGAGACCGAGAAGTCCAAAGACTTTGTCGGCAGGATGGGTTGATTCCTGCTTCCACGCTCTATGAAGAAACCAGTGTAGATTCTGGGCAGGGCCTTGTTTGGATTGGATTTTATAGTACTCCAGGAAGATTGCAGCCGCAACGGGGTTCCAGCCTGTGCCCTCGATAAAGGCGCCTCGGAGTTCGGGGGTCACAACTTCAGGATCATCGATGATTTGCAGCGGAGCCAAGCCGAACTGCGTCGAGGAATTGATGAGATCAAGCCATTCGATTTTGTGCTCACCGCAGAGAAATACGGGCGGGAAAGCCTTGTATACGTCCCACAGGCAGACTTCTTGAATGACCCACAGCCGCCTGAACCAAGCCAATTCCGAGAACCGAGTCAATGCGAGAGCCTGTTCCACGGTGACTTCAGTCTTTGGGAGTCGCTGTGCATGGATCGGACCGGACTCGACATTGTCGGGCTTTGGGTGAGTCCTGTTCTCGACTCGGAAGCTCTTCGATGCACCTCGGATCAGATCCACAGCGACATCAAGTCCATCTGGCGGATCACCCAAATCGACAAACACCTGATTCGCGTGGCGGTAGATTTCGTGCATATTAGCAACCTATTTTCACAGTCAGGTAAAATAAATGCCGACGTCCGTCCCTAAACGCCTCAACTGGTAGAAGTTACTCGTACCTACCTGGGCAGACTTCTCTTCATTGTCATCCTGTTGGATGGAAATAGCATCCGCCCATATCCGAAGCCAATTCTGCTTTTCGAGGCGCCTCCATTTGCGCAGAGCCTTGTCCAGGGTTGCATAGATGTCGAGTCTCTTCCCATTGCAGTAGGACGGTACTTTAATATTCACATCGCCACAAACGTAGCTGACTTGACGAACGACCCTATGTCAGCTCAAAGAAGCTTGCAGCACGACTGAATGGACGATGAGATGGGAGGGCTGGACTGGACCCACTGGCAATATACTGAGCCCTCGAAAGGGAATCTAGCCGGGTGTAGTGCAGGGAGTACCGCAGAGGCTCGTCGTCCGGTCCCGGGAAGAGGTCAATGACCCTGATGTACGAGTCGTTCGGGAAAGGCTCGTAGTGAAAAGAGCTGTCGTCGTCCCGAGGCTTCCCATCCTTCTCCCACGTACACCCGGGGCAGTTGCCAAAGGTGAAGTAATGGATCAGATTGCCAGTGTCGGCGTCAACCACAGCATCGCCCCGTATTCTGTAGTGGAGAAGAACATGGTGCTCGTCATCGCACCGCTTATCCCCCGAATGGCATTTCTCACAGATGTCGAAGTTGCCCTGGCGGCAGACCGAGCAGTGATAGAATGTTTGTTCCTGACGAATGAAATCGCCACATGTGTCGCATATTTTGGTCATATGTAGAGACATGGTTGCGATTGGGCTTCGAATGCGTGCCCTCAAAGACAGCAGCCACCATCTAGAACGACTCTCGGGACGGTAGCGGTCGCGATATGCCCATACCTGGGGAAGGGAATCAAGAAGACGAAAGATGCGAAATGCACAGTTGACGTTGTTTGCTCGGCTGAAGAACTCCGGCGCGGCATTAGATCCATATCGCGCAACCACTTTGATCGTTCAGCGTTGGCTTGGGGCATCATCAGCAGAATTGTGCCATAATGTTCTGTATAGACGGGCCAATATCCCACTAGCACTCATGAAAGCGGAAAGGTATCTTCTATTTCCTACCGCATGATTTGTAATGGATACGGACTGTACACCGACTGCTAACTGGTATCTGAATATGTTCTCACGCCCACCATCACAGGGCAGACCGACGGCCTTCCTCCAAGTCCGATTCTTACCATGCTATCTTCGCTAGGAAGCCATTGGGATATTTTCTCACCATCATCTTCCTCAATTCATCCAAACTCAACAGTCCGATGCCGAATGTCATGGGGATAAACCAGTGTTCGACGGGGACTTTATCGCATCCGAGATAGTCTATACCGGGCACAAGAGTGAATATCAGTGCGATGACGAGCGCAAAGAGAATAGCCGGGAAGAGCAGCAGGTTCTGTGTCTTGCGGTTGAAAATGGGAGGATGCGAGAAGATGGAAAGGTGGCGGGTCCGCAGGGCCATGACATTGAACCACTGCATCACCACGAGCGTAACGAAGTAGATCGAGCTCGCCACGGTCAAGTGATACGACACATCGTCTTCGGTCTGGCCCGCTGGAACGGGAATGTTGCCGAAGGAGAACCACAGCGTGCCGAAGGGAAGGCCATGACGTTGGAGGTACCAGAAGCTCATGGAGAACGAGCACACCGACTCCAGTATTCCAACGAAGCCATAAGCTTGGAGCAACAGGCGCCAATCCACGAGACGATCTTTGTGGATATCCCGCGGAGGGCGCAGCATGACGTTGGCTTCAGGCTTTTCGTACGCCAGCATTGTCGCAGCGACGCAGTCGGTAAAACAACAGATTATGATCATGAGAAAGCTGGACAGGACCTGAGGGAGACCGAAGACGACGCTGGTCATGACGGGCCAGAACTCCGAGAACGAGCCTGCAGGTAGGAGATAGGCGATGGTCTTCTTGAGGTTGTCGAAAACCACACGTCCGTACAAGACAGCCTCCGGAATTGCCGAGAACGAACCCAGAAGCACCATATCGGATGCTTCGATCGCAATGTCGGATCCAGAGGCCGGCGAGATGCCGATATCTGCTTGTTTGAGACTGGGTGCGTCGTTGACACCATCGCCAGTCATGGCCACAACAAAAGCTTGGGACTGGAATTCCCTGACGATGCGCAGCTTCTGGTCTGGTGTGGTGCGGGAAAAGACAATCTCGCTGTACTGAGTCGTCAGGGTGGTCCATTGGTGTGGGAGGAGTGTCATCAGGTCGGGACCTGTCAATACGATTGCCTTGTTCTCCGAGGGCATCCGATTCGACTTTTTCTGCTGTTTCTTCTCCACGGCGTCTTGGGGAGGAAACCGAGGGAGGTTTTCCACCGTGTGGATTTCCCTGTCGCCGACGGTAATAATCCCGCATGAGCGGGCGATGGCTTGGGCTGTCAGCTTGAAGTCGCCAGTGACCATCATTGTGCGGATCCCTGCACGGCGAAGAGTCTGGATCACACTCGGCACCTCATCTCTGGGAGGATCAACAATGCCCACCATTGATATCAGAGTGAGCCCAGCTCCGGCATGTCGTAGTGCTTCGGCCTCAAATGTATTGTCGTTGGGCGCGGATTGCACCATACTTGCCGGAAGAGGTTTGCGGGCCAGTAGAAGAACTCGTTTGCCCTGACTCGACCATGCATCTTTGATTGCTTCCATGGACGATCGGACGCCCTCGTCGAGAGGATGGACGCCCCCATCTTCTCCGACATATCTCGTGCATCTGGGGAGAAGAATGTCTGGGGCACCCTTGATCATCAACAGCAGGTCGTTCTCAACGCTGAAAGAATTTGTTTCAACGGCACTCATGGTCGCTGCAACCGCTGCCGCATTGTCGGGAGAAACGACTCTCATTGCAAATTTGTTCTTGGAGTTGAAGGCCAGGTCGAATCTCTTCCGCCACATGTCGCGGGACTGCGTGACAGGGCCAAGACTCTCCGAGAGTCGCAAGATTGCTTGATCGGTTGCATCTGCAATGATTTTTCTCTGGGACAGGGGCAGATGAATCGTGGTTGGATCAAACTCCCCAGCATTGCATACCGCAGAGAGTACGCGCAATTGTTGCAATGCCGCTTTTTTTGATTTGGCACTGCTGTCTTCTGTCACCATGTCCTGAGCTGCTTCTTCCGCGGTCATGGTACTAAACCCAATCAGACAATCAGTCACCACCATTTGATTTTTGGTCAACGTTCCGGTTTTATCGGACAAGAGGACGGAGACAGAGCCGAGAGTCTCGACAGTCTTCAGCGACTTGCAGAGGATATTGTTCTTCTTCATGATGTTGGCCGTGATTGTGAGCGATGCTGTGAGAGCAATGGGCAAGCCCTCGGGGACAAACGCAATGGCCACACTGACAATGTCGACAATGAGAGTGGGGACGTTGATATAACTGTGGTGTGCGTGTCGAATGTACCCTGCCCAAACTGCAATGACGATGATGTTCATAAAGACCATCAGACCGACAATGATGAAGACGAAGCGCAGCACCTCTTTCTGCAGGTTGGTCCTTCCGGTGGAGGGTTGGCTGGTCAATTTGGCGATGTGGCCAAAGACGGTGTCGTCGCCAGTAGACACAACAATGCCCACACCACTCCCGGAGGTACAGTGAGTGCCCTGCATGCCGATACATCGTGTCTCGAGATAGTTGGGCTCATGAGACTCGGTGACAGCAGCCAACGGAAGTGATTCTCCAGTCAAGATGCTCCGGTCAAATTTGGCGTCCGTCGAGACATCAATGAATCGGATATCGGCCGGCAGTTTATCGCCCGCTTTGAAGTAGAGGATGTCACCAGGTACAACATCGGGGGCTTGAACTGTGTGCTTGCTTCCGTCACGTAAAACACGGCAAGCCTCAGGCAGCATGCCGGTGATACTGTTCATGACCCTGGAAGACGAAAAGTCCTGCCAGGCGTTGAACGCAGCCTGGATGACAAAGACCGCGGCGAGAACGATGCCCAGGGCGAGATTGGCCACGGCGGGCGGTTCGCCCAATGGCTTCCAAGAGACGAAGACGAGGACGCTGCCGCCCAGCAAGATCGAGCCAAACCCTCCGAAGAAGTAGCCGAACAGCTTCTGAGCCAACCTCGAGGGTGGAGGGGAGGGGACATTGCGGCCATATTCTGCAATCTTTTCTTTCACGGCGGCAGGCGAGAGACCAGTGTCTGTCGAAGTATTTAACCGAATGCAAATCTCTTGAGGGGTGAGTAGATGCCACTCGAGGCCTCCCACGTCTGAGAGCGAGTGGTTAGCATATTTCCATGTATTCAAGAATATACGTGTAACTCACCGACGGCGGCTTTCTCACGAGCGTTCTTTGCGCTCTCAATGGCCTTGACGTTGGTGATATCATAACTGAGGGTGCGGTATTGAACTGGCAGGATAACAGATGGATCGACGACACGTTGTCCACTGCGGACGCTGGAGAGTGAATGTACAGAGTAGGTCGAGCCTCGCCTCTTCAGCGGATGACCAATGTCGGTGGCAGCAGATGGGCCACCGTTTTCCTCGTCATCGTCGATGTATCGGATACGGCGTCTAGCTGCGACCGCAGGGTTGAGATCCTCGTCGTTGTGGTTAGGTGACTCCACGATCACGGTGGCCTTTTCGGAGCCGCCACCAATCTCGTCTGTGATCGCCATATTGACAAGATGCAGGGGACAAGGTTTTGCCGCAGGGAGCGCGAACAAAGAAGGAGGGAGGGAAACGCCAGACACAGGAGGAGGAGGAGAAGGAGGGGGGAGTAGAGAAGAAATCCAGATGTGTGGGAGAGCAAGACCTGCCCTGACCTACCTTGATATATGAGTTGGCACCCAAGCTGGGAGCACATGCATAGCTCCTACAGCTCCCCTGGGTGATCTGTGCAGATGGGCACGGTGGCTGCATGACTTTGGCGAGGTCAACAAAGCCCATGGAGTGGTTCGACGCACCCAGGAACGATAAAGGGAGCAGAGGCGCACGGGCCACATAGCCCACGGTGATGACCAGGGGAAATATGGAGAACCCCAAACAGGTTCTGGGTATTATCATGCAAGACGCTGGACAAAATGCCTCAAATTTAACGAGAAATGGTAAGTCCAAGGCTGGACGATGCGGTGCGAGGGGAGATGGAATAGAGGGATTCAGACGCAAGAGGAGCATTCGTGGGCCTCATTTCCAGAAGTTGCCTAGATGCCACAGATACTTCTGCTCCGTCTTGCCGGCAGACTGCCACACATGCTTGTGGTCTGAGCGCATCTGGCAGTCAGAGCCAGCCAAACTCAGCTTGCGAAAGACCAATATTCGGCAATGTCAAGCTCTTAACAAGTCCTAGCGTGTATGGCGTGGCTATGCTCCGTGCGACGCGAACCATTGGTTTCAGGCCTGTCAGCTTCCTCGCTCATCTCCATACAAATGGGAGGACTGTGGATGCACTTTTTGAGCAAACCCACGATCCGGCTCGACGATTTAGCCTTTGCGGACAGTGGGAAAAACTGGGGATTTGGCGGTAAGGAGATTGTCGAGCAGCCAAAGTCCCGTGTAGAGCGGGATTTTGCAATACGAGAATGCTTCCACTTCCAGCTCCTCGTTTGATCTTCTGGCCCTGGCCACTTGCCGCGTCCAATATCCCTTTCCTGCCGTTGCACCAGACTTGCCCTGAAGATCCACAAGATGATGGGTTCCAGAGTCCAAGGAGAGAGAAAAAAAAAGTCTGATTTTGGGCGTTTGCCGAGGAGGATCATGCCCACACTTACTGCAACTGCAGAAGAGACTCGCGGGAAGACAAAGGAAAATGCAGACTGCAGTATGAGGCATTTTCTGGGTTGCTATCACAGACAACCTCCACGTGGGCAAGCAGTACTGTGCTCGCTACCGAGTAGCCAGACTCCAATCCCAGGTTGTCATTACCTACCTGTAACTGCAGATGTACAGGGTGGTGTGGGTTGTTCCATATCACTCAAGTCCCAGGGCATTTTTTTGCTGTCATTATTTTCTCAAACTCTTTTCTCAGGATGGAATTGCGCAACACCGGTCCTGGAATGAACGACGGTGCAAGATCTCTCCTAACAAGGGAGCATTGTTGTTCCCAACCTCGGATTCGCGCACGGCGACCATATTCTAATTCGCCTTCGGCATTCATGGTGTGACGCATTACTCGCTGGTCCGCTTCAACGTGGAAACCAAGGGTCCCAGGCCGACTGGCTCGACCGTGCTGTTGACCATGCTCGCAGACTAATTCCAGGGGTAGATGTCCGGGAGATATTTAGCCCATGTGCGTGCTTGTTTTTTCTCCAAGCTCCTCTGCCACCTTGCGACGCGGCTCCCACGGTGAAATCTATACGATTGAGATCCCGTGGACCTGGACTGAACGGCGGGGGTTAACACCAGGCCGTGCTCCAAGGGGACGTGCTCAAGCACCGTGGGTTCTCTCGTTGTGCTGGCCACCTGCAAATGGACTAAATCTCGACACTGTCGACTCGTTCGCACGCACGACCCGCTCTTTGTTTGTACTGCATCATTTCGATTTGAGCTCCTCGCAGAATGAGCATTTTCATTGAATGTCCCAAACGCGGGTGATCTTGCTCAGCGACTCCCGCCACAATTGGTGGTCCCAGCTGGCTGCTGAGAGACATCTCGACCTTGAATCTTCCCAAGTAGACACCCGAGATAGTATCCTACTTCATGAAGATGCCCAGGCTTGCAAAAAGAAGAGACTTCTGACGTAAATCTAGGTGGTGTTCTGGCGCGGGAGCGCCTTGAGTTGGCGGACGCTCGCCTCAATGCTTGAATCTACACGGAAGTGTTAACATTTTGCCCCAGCTGGGCTGCGCTTCGCGTGCTGTACTGCGCTGCTATTTTCAAAGGCATCTTGCATTCCTGGCCACGGCTTCTTCGTCGTCTTCTGCTGATACAGATCAGTTCGTTCGCGAAGAACGAAGAACAGCGCCAAGGTGCCAAGGGTGGCGCAGGTGGCGGAGGTGGCGCAATGTGGCTGATGAGGCTGAACGAAACTCCCTCACTGCGAGTGATATTCATCGCGACACTCGAACTTGGACGAATTCGATGAAGGCAAACCGAAGAGGGAGTCATTCTCGTTGGCAAGGAGCGTCGTCAGTGAACTAGGCAAACATTGGAGGGAAGAATGGCATGCACTCGGCTAACTGTGTACAGCTAAATCCACGCAAAGGATCAGTGGCTGTAAGCCTCTAGCCACCCTCAGTCCGACTGCGGATTCCCCTCAACCAGGGACGACATAGCTTACCAGGACTGGCAAGCACCTGTCTGGGCCACCCGACGTGATAGGACGTACGAGTAAGCAACGCGGGGGCTGCGGCGCATCTGCCGTCAGATCCCAACGTCAGGGCAAACAACGGCAGACGAGGTGTTCGGGGTTTCCTCCAACCTCCTCTCGCCTCTACCGGAGACATGGTGGCCCGGGATCGAGACGCTAGTCGATTTGTTTCATTATTGGTGCTGAGCACTGTTCTGTCATCCCCAACCGCGGATAAGACCCGATAGTCAATGCCGTCTTGTTCTCTTGTGGATGTGTTATCAGCAAACCCCACGAGCGTGAGACAGAAGTGTGTGGAGGCGGGGGACGGCATGACCAATATAACGTCTTATCCCGCTCCTTGTCTACTTGAAAACAAAAGCAGGGTCATTCCTCGCGTTCTGGGAAAAGAGAGAGAGAGAGAGAGAGAGCAGGGTGGAACAATTGTGACTCTGCAGAAGTTCGTTCCACATTGCTCCTGGACAGGCATCAGACATTCCAGCCCAACTCAATCTGTCAGTAGGAGACGATGTCCTCCTTTCCTACCTTGATCCTTTGCCATGGCGCCTGGCACACCTCGGAATATTGGGACACAGTTATGAACGACCTCCAAAACAGGGGGTATAAGTGCATAGCCCCAGCATTGATCTACAACGGGGGAGAAACGCCTGTCCAGTCAATGACATCGGTTGTGGCGGCTCTGCAAGAGGTCATTGCCGACGAGACCGGGCTGGGCAATGATGTAGTCTTGGTCAACCACTCTATGGCCGGCATCGCAGGTTGCAGCGCTGTCAGGGGTTTCACGAGAAAAGACCCATCAAAACGCAAAAGTGAGAAGGCGGGCCACATTTGCGGGTTAGTCCAGGTTACGGCGTGGACACCAGGCGCCCACGAAACTTCTCTGGCCGACATTGGCGACGACTTTGCGCGCAGACATCCCCAGATATCGATGGTTCGGATGAAAACGAAGATCGACGATGAAGGCTGGTCCGAGGTGCAGGGCGAGCCTGCCGAGTATTTCTACAACGACATGCCTCGCGAAGACGCCGAAAAATGGGTTTCCAAGCTCATCAAGTTCTCTGCTGCAATGCGATCCGCGCGGGATTCAGTCTATGCCGGCTGGCAAGACGTGCCCGTGTGGTACCTCATATGCACCGCAGATAATGCTATCAAGAAAGAGCTGCAAGAAGACATGGTGCAGAAATGCCGCGCATTTGGTGCAGACATCACGACAAGGGAGTGCGACGCTGGTCATTCGCCCATGCTGAGTAAGCCTGGAGAGACGGTCGCGTTCATCGAGGATGCTGTGAGAGCGTTTGGTGCGTGAGAAGTGCGTCTGCCTCAGTGACCAATTCCGAGCGGCACATTCCACTCCTGGCAACGAGTATCCAGGGGTGGCGACGAAGAGTGTTTCCAGCAGCAACATATGCGGTTTTATACATTATAGGGACCCCGCCGTTGGCAGAGAAATCGTTGGATTTGAGAATAGACGTCGAGTCCACTACTCGAAGGATGCAGTTGTGGAGGAGCCCGCGCCGATAATAGCCGGGATTCTGGACCTTGCATGTGCAAAGAAAGTGAAGCGACGTATCGAGTTCAAATGTCTGTGACAAGGCACATGTCCTCAGTTTTTCAATCACTGAATGTAAGGGAAAGTCTCGTGAACTCAGGTTCAACGCTCTGCTCGGTCGAAGACGTAATACGGTTGAGGTTGTCGCAACCGATCGGATTCCGGATCTTGGCCAATATCAGCATCCCAAGAGGTCAGCTGAACCCCTGGCCAGCTGAAGCCCAGAGCCAGTGCGATTTGACTCTGGCTTAAAATTACGGGATGGATTGAACAAAAGTTCAGCCCACCAGCCCGTGCAGGCCACATGTGGGCAACGTCTGTGGCCATATCAGCCACAGAAGCGTTGAAGGAATGCCTGACACGTGGCTGGCACGCCGTGTCTCTCGGAGCGCGTAAAGTACATCGTGCTGTCTGTCACAGTATCCTGAAGGGTTTCGGTGCCTGCCAATCTGATGAGAAAGTAGGAGCAGAGACCAGTAGTCAGCAAACGTGCCCAGGCCAGGCACAGGCACCGGCACCGACCAGGCGGGAGAACACTCGTATCTCGACTTTGCTACTCCACGAGCTCTTTGATGGTACTTGCATTGGAGAAGGGAAAAGGCACGGAGCGTCCACGACAGGCGGCTTGATGGTGTTTGGCCCAGACATGTGCAGTAGGCAGCATACCCAGTGGTCGTCTCGACCGTCACTTTGAAATAGCAGCAGGCCAGTCCCTGCATGGCCATGCAGGCTCTGGGGATGGCCCAAGTCCTACCCGCACTCAGCAGCCGGCACTTTCGGGCGATCGAAACTTGGCACAGGCAGGCTCCAGGACCCCCAAGGTTCCTGCTTAGAGCTGACGCTCGTGCAAGAATGCTTGAGCGGCGGGCGGAGGGAAGGGAGGGAAGGGAGAGAGGGTCGGAGGATAAGATGCAGCGACGGGCAAGGCATTGTTATCGCCTCTTTGCCGCCTGACCGCCTTATTGTGCATAAGAGTCGGTTTTCGAATGCGTATCCACGCACTTGGAAGCATTTGTGGGATTGAACCGACGCATATCAGGATGTGCGGTGTAGGGGTTAGCGATCGTCAACGGTGTCGTGGTTGAACCCCAAACGAAGAGAAGAACGATGACTACTCCAGTGTCCAACCATGATGTGCTCTCTACTGCATCTCGTACGAGTAGATGGTAGGCACCCACACGAAGTGATTCAATGAGAGTGACTCTCTGCCCACCAGCTGGACTGATAAGGAAGCCCCAACAATCTAAGGGGCGGCTGGGGGCGCATGGGCCAGTTCGCGGGCGCGCTTCAGGGCTGATGAGGCTGCTAGGCTGCTAGGCTGTCGGTTGCTGGTTGCTGAGTGGCACCTAGCAGCGATGCTTGGGGTGCGCTTTGTTTATGCGACTCACAATAGGCCCCCTACCTTCCCTCCCCAGGTGGGCGCAGGAGTGCGTAACTCTGTAACAACAAAGTTGTGTACTCGTCCACCTTTCTTTAACGTGGCCTGCTCCCCCTGAGACAAAGCTCATTCCACTCTCGCGTTCTCTCAATATCCTTCTTGTCCTACAATCTCCCATCGACAAACTATCATCACCAATCATCTCTCACAGACTCCGTTGGCCGGGAGTGACGGTCAAAGCCCACCCACGCAACACCCCCGTCCAATCCGTCCGTGGCAGTACCGTGCAGCGCAGCGAAGCTCAGCGCAACGCAGTGCAGTGCCTGGAGGCCCGCGCCAGTGTCTTAGCCACATCCACACTAAACTCACCCCGAAAAGGTGCTTCCCTGACAATCATCCTCTCAACCTCTTTCTTTAAACATCCATCTCCGTCCTACACTTCCCTCTTTCCCTCATCCTTGCGCCAGCAACCTTATCCATCATCTCCGTAAACGACTGCTGAACCGCCGGCCTTTCCTTGACACCCTCATTTCGGCTATCCTTTAGTCGTCTTATCTGACTCTGTCCGCAGCAGCCGTCATGGCTGAAATCCGTCGCAAGCTCGTCATCGTCGGTGATGGTGCCTGTGGGAAAACCTGTTTGTTGATGTATGGCCATCACCTTCGAATCTAATCGTGTCAATTGGATCGCTGACTGCTTCTTCCAACAGTGTCTTTTCCAAGGGCACATTCCCTGAGGTGCGCAACCCAACATGGCACAGTCCAATCCCTTTGCTCCATTCCTGTGATACCTATCAACAACTCCCTATCGAGACAAGGATGTGAGGAGCTGGATTCGTGCAGAACACAACTGATTCGTGAGCATAACAGGTCTACGTCCCCACTGTCTTTGAAAACTACGTTGCCGACGTCGAGGTCGATGGAAAACACGTCGAACTAGCCCTGTGGGATACGGCTGGCCAAGAAGATTACGACCGTCTTCGACCTCTATCCTACCCGGACTCTCATGTCATCCTCATCTGCTTTGCTATCGATTCCCCCGACTCACTTGATAACGTTCAGGAAAAGGTATGATCTCGTGGTCGAGACATTGTATCACAATGGAGCTGACGAGATGACCCCCAGTGGATTTCCGAGGTTCTTCACTTCTGCCAAGGCCTTCCTATCATCCTTGTCGGCTGCAAATGCGATCTGCGACACGATCCCAAGACCATTGAAGAGTTGGCAAAGACATCCCAGAAGCCTGTCACCCCGGAACAGGTACGTCTCTCATCATCTCAGCTCAATCAATGGCCGATGGCAGTGAGCGCTAACTTGGATTGATTTTAGGGTGAGGAGGTACGCAAGAAGATCGGTGCCTACAAATATCTCGAATGCTCGGCCAAGACCAACCAGGGTGTCCGTGAGGTCTTCGAGTCTGCCACCCGTGCCGCCCTGTTGACCCGCAAGAGCGGAAAGAGCAAGAAATGCTTGATCTTGTAGGTCGAGCATGCCATCTTTCTTGTAGCAAATCATATGGCCCGCGCAAATCCCCCGACATTATACCAGGATATCGCCAGAGGGATCCTCAGATATCAAATCAAGGACTGCAATTTTCTTGCTCCGGCTTCACCAAGGATCTGGGTTGGCGGCTTGAGTGTGCTGCTCTTCGGGCGCTGATACATTAGTTTTGTTTCCTTACCGAGCGAAGGATGGATGGGTTGATGATTGAGGCAATACAAAGAATTGCACAGAGGCCAGGGATGGATCAAGTTCGGATGGTACTGGCAGCATGACGGCGTTTCCACAGTCGAGACATGTCGAGTCATCATCGAGATAGGCAAATCCATTCACGGCGTTTCGTCCTCAGGCTTCGGGCTTTCCACAGTCTAATCTAGCACTTCTGTTGCCCATTCAGGTTGTACTAGAGGGTTCTCGAGCAATGCAATCAGATAATTTCCAGTCACATCTCTACGAACTTGTTGCGTATCAATCAACGGTTGTTGGACTCGTCTTGAGGTCCGTTCTGGGTGACTTCAACTAGCTCCAGACATTATCTGGGGATTTTGGAAACCCTCTGGTGCCTCCTGAAACTTCCTGAGCTGGCAAGCTTGGTCTTGGAAATTCAAGACAGCATATTCGGAGGCTCACCTGACCAGACGTGACAATCATTCGTCGAATCTGCTCTTGGGGGACAATCTCTACCAGATCTGCATCCTCATACCAATGCAAGCCTGCATATTGCAATCGAATATCCAACAATAATCACCTCGTTGATGTAGCACGTGCCCCTCCTCGAGATCTGAAACCAGGCTAGCAAGATTAATATCACGTGCAATCTGCAGCCTCGCCAATGACGTAGAGACCCTGCTGATAGGCTGGACCTCGACCCTTCCCTCAGCGAGCTGCGGCGAGATGTTCGTAAACACGAAAGGTCGAAAGCGCTCGGAATACTGGTGATGTTCAACATGGCCAGCTGACGTTCATCCTCTGTGCGGTGTCACAACTGGGCATAGTGCTCATTGCTACACACCATATGAGACCCTACTCCTCCTCGTGATGTCCGCTCGTTCTGTCATCCCAGCTCACTTATCCTATTTCGCAATATACAATCCATCTCTTGGGCCGACTGATGAGACCTTACGCGACCAGATCGTGTTCTACTACTCGCACGATGCCGAAGTAGATCGGGAGCAACAGGCGAAAGGGAAACCTGCAGCAGATGGAAGCCGCCATGCAACCTCCGTGCAGGACAATCAGCCAAATGGAAACCAGAAGAAGGAAGAGGAGGCAGAAGAAAATCACAGGTTGCGGCAGGTCGGGCTAGCACAAGGTATGGTGAACTTTGCAAAGTACGTGGGCAACCATGGCTGCCTTGCAGCCTCCATGCTTGTTTCCTTCTCACGCCCTCAACTCCAATTGCTCCTGGGATAACCGGTCTGATCTGACTTTTGTCCGGCATCGTAGGAATTTCTCGAATGGCGTCCCTCTCGAGTCCATGGAAGCGGAAAAATCTCGAACCGTCCTGAAAGAGGTCGAGCCTCAATGGTGGATCATCGCCGCCATTCACCTAACACAATTGCCTTCTGTCTCAAGAACACCGTCGGGGAATAAACAAACTTCAAAATCAGGAACGAACATAGGCTTGGGTGGCACTGCGTCCAAGGGAGACTTCGAATACTCCTCACGGGAAGTTGCACCGGCGCCTCTGCTACTCGCACAGCTTATACAAGGATACCGTGGATTCTTGCTTCACCACGCGTCTTCGTTGTCTGAGCTGTGGAAAAAACACGAAAATAACCGAGACCTGTTTTGCAGTCTTTTACACAGGTACTGGACGCGATTCGTCTACAATTGGGATGTTCTCTTGCACGGTCATCCTGCGACAGACATCTATGATGCTGTCAAGCTTGCCGGCGGAGGTGAGCTCGGTGTTGGTGTTGGCGAAGAAGAATGGGGAAGTGGTGAGAGAGAAGTCCTCGAGGGATTTGCGGGCCGGACTGAGGGACTCGTCGATCTTATCGTGGGGAGATATGGTGATGCTCCTCCGAACCGCATTACAGGGGAGAAACCGAAAGATGTTAACGCAGTGCATCCCTCCCCAGAATCGCAGCCTTGGTTGGGTAATGGCGAGGACTCGAAGGCCGATGATGGAGTCGTATTTTCCGGCATCGGTGGCATTTCGAGGCCTTCTCTCGTCACGTTGTCCCAGTGGATGGAATCCATCTACATGCACGGCGATGCAGCCTACGGGGTGGTTGAGAATCCGGCATCTCGACTGAAGCATCGCCGAAAAAAACGGAAGTTGGATAAACACAGACCTCAGGGGCAACACTCGGACCACACTACGAACAAGCAAGTGCAAGCGGTTCATCCCAGAGTGAAGTCCCCAGGAGGCAAACCGCGGGACCTACGCCGTAGGGCGATCGAAAACAATGCAACACCGCCAGGCATCCCGCCACCTCTTGTTAGCGCCGTAGAGCGATCTTTGGATAATGCAATGGCAAAATTAGACGCAAAGTCACCCAATGCAAACCACGACCACAGGAGTGAAGGGGATGCGGAGCCGAGCCTTGGGCCCTCCGAACAGGTCTCCATGTTCAACACGGAGAAGATGATGAAGTATCTCAGCCTTGGCTATGGCACCAGCTGGACGCTGAGTCCCAAGGGTTTCAATATCGATAAGACGTTCAACGCCCCCGACGACAAAGATCCTGGTCAAGGTACAGGCACAGGTCAGAGCACAGATCCTGCGGCTGAAGAATTGCAGGAACTTGATCCAACTCCAGAGGTCAGCGACGAGGAAGAAACACCGTTCGTCCAGAGGCTCGAGGAGTCCATTGGCAAATTCCTGATTGGCCTCTCTGGTGACCTGGAAAATACAGAATTCGAGGACGAATCCAACGATGAGAGAGTCGATGGTGATCCCACCAAGTCAAGACCACCATTACACGTTTCCTCAAACCGGATATTCCTCCGCACCTTGGTTGTTGAGATGTCCACCTCTAGATTCTCCCGTCTGGAGGCCGAGGAACGTCCTTCTTCATTGTGGCAGTCGGACAGGAACGAAATGGATGCCGACTCAAGAGACGGTAAGACGAGTGCGTCGGCATCCGTCGACGGCGTCCGTCCAATTGTCACCCACGAAAAGGTTCAGGTTGCGGTCTATGTTCACCAGCCATTCATCTTTGTCTTCTTGTTCCGATTGCACACGCCCAATCTGACGGTGCCTGGCTTTTACCGTGCTATACATCATACTCTAGGCCCGTTGCAAAAGAGCCTCTTGAGAAGCACGGATCCAGAACGCTGGAGGGAGCGAATGAGAGCGTCTTTGGGCCCGGACTCCAGTTCAGTTCTCGAGGATGGCGACAACCCGAGATCCCTGCCTGACACAAACGATGTCACCGAAATATATGATCTTCTTTATGATCCCCTGAAATCGACGCTTCGGACTTCAATTCCAAATATACCGCTCCCAGGGAGTCTCGCCGCGGAGGGCCTGCATCGAGCCCAGCAGAATGTCCGCCCCATCACAGTTTCGGGCTCATGGTACACTCTTGGGATACCCATAGGGTCATCGTCGACAGAGAGTGGCACAAGCTCTTCAGGTTCGACGAAGATCATTAAAAGTGAGTGGACCCGCATCGAAGCTCTAAATGTCCACACTCATATCCTCAATACTTGGGTGTCGACTCGCGACAAGAACGCTGGTATTACCAACGCTGGGCCAAATGGCGAGGAATTGGAAAGAACCATCAAAACAGCACGAGGTTGGTGGATAGTGTGGATGAAAGTCTTGCCTTCGGAGCAACAGGAAGTCGGTGGCGATGACATTGCAATACGGTCGGCAAATCAAGACAAAAGTACCACCCATTCCGGGGTTTGCGGGGATGGGCTAGAAAGAAGAGGGGACCTCGTCAAAGAAGCCATTCTCGTCAGAAGATCTGCTCATGAACGCACTTCGACAAGCAGAGACACGTCCCGATCCAGATCAGATGCCGGGAGTTCTCACCTTTCCGGGAAATGGCTCCTCCGTGATCAACCCCGGAGTCGAGAAGTCAGCGGCAGTGGACGCGGAATGTCTGGCGTTGTCGGGATGCCTGGAAGCACAACTGCAAAGGGCGTCACCGAGGGCGTGGGAGTTGACGCTAAAAAGTGGGTTGAGGCGCTGATTCGATTGAGTTTTTGAGGCGTTATCAATAGTACAGGTTATATATATGCAAGCCGGCATGCACGAACGGTCGACATGATTCAGGTAAGGATAGTCCGGTGCTTCGTCCTCCCAAGCGAGGTGATTGTGCACGAAGTCGCCACGAAATGGATCGCATAGTGACTTACCAGAGAAAGCCCCCGAATGGACTCGCCCCGGGTCTGGTAGAGACGGATTCAACAACGACAAAGCTTTGACTGATCTCCCGGCATACGAGTTATCACTGGAAGCCTGAAGGTCTTTGCCTGGCTGAGAGAAACAGGCGTCTAGATTCGAAGGTGTCACATCCTCCCAGAGGTGTTGGACGTGGATGGTGATGGCCCTCCTCCTGCAACCGTCCAGAAACAGTCGGCTAGTTCCATGGACGCCTTGACAGCATACGACACTCCCACGCTACCAGGACAGGCCTAGACGCCACGAGCAACCAGGTTGGGAAATGGAAGCCGGGGAGGCGACACTGCTCACTGGATGCTTTCACCCCTGGCCCCCTGCGCTCGGGCGACTGAGCTGCATGACGCCAAACAGTTTATCCATTATCATCACTACCTTTTCGATCCGGTGGAGTTATGTTTCCGCTTTGCCAGTTGCGAGCCGCCCATGACTGCGAGCTACAGCCCCCCTCCCCCCCCCCGGGGGCTGCTTCGTTCTGCAAAATCTGGTCATGTTGAGGACGTGCCCCTAGCTTAGTCCGTGTGACGAGAAACTCTGAGCATCAGGACACCTTCCTACAGCCCCGCGCTCTCGGTCAGTGGATCTACCGTCGCGCTTTTCTGGTCATGGTCCCGTCTACCGGCCTGGGCCCCCGTGGTGATAACCAGCCAGAATTGTCCAGCATTGTTCTTCTCTCCTCTCAATCACTAGCTATGACCTTGTTTTAAACTTCCATGCCTCAATCCCGAGCTCAGCTCCCAGGTCAACCGCCCTCAGGCGCCCCTGACGGGCCGGTCGTCTTGCCACCCGCCGCTGCGCTGCCAGAGCCCTCGGTTGTGATAGGCGAAAATACGAGCTCTGCCGGCTTGCCTACTTCAAACACACAGCGTACAGTCAAGAAAAATGCTTCTATTGCCTGCCAGGCCTGCAAAACCTCGAAACGAAAGGTGAGTCCAACGGTGTCTAACCGGCTGGGAATCCCACATCTGCAAATCCCTTGAAGGCAAATCAACCTGATCCGTGTTATTAGTGTGATCAACGTCAACCTTGTTCCAATTGCCATGTGAACGGCAGGGAGTGTATCTACGATCCATCCCAAGACGGCAGGAGAAAGCAGGCCCGCAAGAGGAGACTCGACGAACTCGAACTTCGAAGTCACGCTCTTGACAGAATCCTGATCAGTCTCAGGAAGTCCCCGGCGCCCGAGTCACGGCAATTGCTTGAACTCATCAAGCGAGATGCGCCCCTCGAGGAGATCCTGGAGTTTCTTGACGCTCATCCAGGCCCCGTGGCCAACGAGACACGGCGGGCTCTCTCTGCCACTCCCCCTCCGGAAGGCGGCGGCGGCATACGTCGCATGCTCGCAATAAGTGAGCTGACAGACGATCCGACTTTCAGGGTCCCTGCGGCTCCATGGACCACGGTCACCAAAGATGACCTGCTTGTCTCGCATTTAGTCTCGGCCTACCTCAATTGGTACCATTTCTACTACCACAACTTCGACGAGAAGTTGTTTCTCGAAGCCATGGCAGCGGGAGATCTACAGTCTCCCTATTGTTCACCATTCCTGGTTAATGCAGTCCTCGGGATGGGGTGTGTGCGTGACTTGTCGATGCAATGCGGGCGGGGGCACATTTGCTGACCACGGGGAGCAGTTCTTCTCAGACCACCCTTTGGCCTTTGAGAAGCCAGGGGACGTGGGTTCACGAGGACTCCATTTCTATAACGAGGCCCATCTACTCTGGACACTCGAGGCTTCTAAGCCAACACTGACCAATGTACAAGGCTTCACTATTATGATCATGACGTGAGTCCGAAGCATACCAGCTAGAGCTAGACCCACGTTGATACCCTGAACCAGGGCAGCTTTCACGGGCAGAGACAGGGTGAGCCATACGTCCTTGAAACAGCTCGAGGTTATGATGCCTCAGCTTCTCCGCCGACAGCCCAGATCCGGCAAGAGTCCAGCGATATCCGAGGATCTTCGGCGGTCTTTCCAGATTGTGGAGTGGGCGGCGCACATATATTCAACGTGAGCATCGATACCCGTTGATCAAGTCTAGACGTCTGATTGATTTTGCGAATAGGGGATTTGGCACGGGGTTCCTAATCGCCCCCACGAGTCCCAAGCCGTCTCTTGAAGCGCCGTACGCTTCCAAAGTATGGCTCGACCGTCTCACACCATGGTCACCCTATCCCATGGCTGGAGATCCTGTTGAGCTGCCACTTCAAGCTCTTTATCACTACATGTGTGAGCTGTACATATTTGCGAGCGACGTGCAGTCTCTGGTCTTTGCCGACTTTGCCAAAATGAATGCCGTACAAAAGCTTCATGCGGCGCGGGACTTGGACCGGAAAATGATGGAATGGTATAGATCTGTACCTCAGCGGTTCCAGGTGGACCACCCAACTTTTGTTCTGGTCCCGACCACTGTCGACTTGGCGTACTACACCTGTCCCTCTGGTCTCTCTTTGACGATGACAAGCTGACATGTGCTGTAGATTGAGTCTTCATCATTTCCGGCTGCTGATGTGGAATTGGACGATCCCTCCACCCCAGAGTGCCTCGAAGCCCCAGGCACGGCCCGAGCAGGACTCGGCGGCAGGGAGGAGCCCAGATGCACCACGCCCAGGTCAAGACGAGCTGGCTCAGGTCACACGCGAGACCAAGGAGATGTGTATGGAGATCACGACGGTCACGATCGGAATCATTCAGAGATCCGATGCTCGATTTGGCCCCCGCTTCTTCTCTGTTTTGACACCGCAATCTGGCATCCTTGCTGCTAGTTTCCTGCTGTCGGGCAACCTCAACTCTGTGGTGGAGGAGGAACTGTTGCTGGAGGTTATGCGGGTCCTGGTGAGATGCTCGAGGCAACGGCAATTGGTCAAAGGCATCACGCACATGTTACTCAAAACGGCAGAAGACAAGGTGGCTGCTGTTGTGGCTGGAGCTACACCTCCCGGCGGCGTAAGCCAGTCTCTCCTGGAGAAGCTGACGGTCATCGTGAAGGACATCGCCTGGGAAGGCCAGGAACATCTCACCTTTAGTTCCAGATATCCCAATCACATTCTGGTCAAGGAGGATCCGGACACCGAGCTGAGTCTACTGCTCGAGAAGTGGGCGGACATGGGCTTGCACGAAGAGCACACTGAAGACACCGCTGCTTCTGGCGACCGTCAACCAACAGGCCAGGGAGGAGGGGAACAATGATGGATGGGTGGACCGTCGATGCGGATTGCCCTGGACAAGTTGTTCCAAGGCCCAATGAGAGCTATCAGTTTTCTGTCCACGGAGAAGAGGCACTTTGACGGATCAGAGAAGCCGGGTAGAAGAGGTGCAAGCTCTTTCCAGCATCCAAGATGGGTGTCCTCTTTCATTTCTCATGCGATATATCTACGAAGATGTGGTTGTAACTCTGTTCTGTCCTTTGGTACCGTGTCCAACAACGACCCCAGCGGAATTGGAATTCGATCGGCAGCGTATATCTATTCGCTCGGTATCCCACTAACGGTAGTCGAGCAACGATGAACGGGATCTTGTTTGCCGTGGCGGCCGGTGCCACGGCATCACGACATGATGATATCATGATTCCCGGGGCGGATTCCCATGTCCCCTTCCAACTCGCGAATACCTCTGTGCCGCGAACAACAACGATGGGGCCCAAAGTGTGTGTTAGTTAGTATTGCTTTACAATGCGTCTTCCTCTAAGGTCGAGGTATACATTCAAGGCTGCTTAGGCCCTTGGCCACACTACTGGGTACGTTAACACACTATATCCGTCAGCAAGCGATCGATGTTCGGCGGATATGGCGGAGCCAACGCTGTCTGAGAACCGGTTCAAGTTGAAGGATCTTCTTGCTGTATGTCTGATTGTTGTTCCCTGGTCCGTCTCCTCTCCTTGCCTCGCCGAGCCTTCCTGGGTCCATCGACCAGAAAAATAAGAAAGGAGAATAGAGCCGTCCAGACCATCCCCTCTCCATTTACCCAGTCGGGTCCGTGGGAGGAGACAAATCCGCCCTCCATGACCACCACGAACTGCTCCCTGACGGACCAAAGCTCACTGACAATGCTCGCATTTGCAAAGTCCATAGCCACCATCCGCGGCGACCTCTCCAACATCACCGCCCCGCCATTCGTCCTCGACACCAAATCGACCGTCGAGCTGCCCTCGTTCTGGGCCGAGAGGCCCTCGACCTTCGTGGCCCCCGCGGCGGCAGACGACCCCGCTGAGCGGGCGTTGTTGGTGCTGAAATGGTTCCTCTCGTCCCTGCGGAATCAGCAGTACGGGGGCCGATCGCCGGTCGAGGGCGTGAAGAAGCCCATCAACGCCTTTCTCGGCGAGTTGTTTTTGGCCAGATGGGATGGCGACCAGGTCCAGGACCAGGACGGGGCTGCTGGGGACAGGATCGGGGTTACGAGGCTGGTCAGTGAGCAAGTCAGGTATGTTGAGGACAGTGATTTCTTTCTCTGCCCTCTCCCTGTTGGCTGGTTGTTCGTATCGGCACCACTCTCTGAGTTCTTGCCAGTCATCACCCGCCCGTCACGGCGTGTCGAGTCTGGAACGAGAAACACGGCGTCACGGTAAGCTTGCTCCCTGTCTGGTTCTTCCGTCTTCAGCGACTCCAAACACCCAAGGGACTGTTCGGCAACACTCACGTTCGTTCTCCTCCAGGCAGAGGGCTATACCCGCCAGGAGATCACCTTCAGCGGCAGCGTCAACATCCAGCAAATCGGGCACGCCACACTCCACCTCGCGCGCCACGACGAGACGTACCTGATCCCGCTGCCCGACATCAAAATCAAGGGCGTCCTGACTGGCTCCCCGTACCCGGAGTTGCAGGGCACGCACCACATCCCCAGCACGAGCGGGTACACTTCCATCATCGAGTTCAGCGGCAAGGGCCTCTTCTCCGGCTCGGACAGGAAGCACGGCTTCGAAGCCAGTGTATATCGCAATGCCGGGGAGGGCGAGGGCGGTGGCACTGCTGCTGATGATCCCATATACACCGTCTCCGGCCACTGGGACGGCCAATTCGTCATCCGCGATGCCAGGAGGCAGGAGAACGTCGTCGAGCTCGAGACATTCGACGTCACCACCGCGACGACCACGCCGCTTGTTACCGACCCCGTCGCGGAGCAGGATCCGTGGGAGTCCCGTCGTGCGTGGCGCGGCGTCCGCGAGGCCCTGCAGCGCGCGGACATGCAGGCCGCCGCGGACGCCAAGGCGAGAGTCGAGAACGGCCAGCGCGAGATGCGCAAGGCCGACGGCGAGGGCCGGGACTGGGAGCGCCTCTTCTTCGAGCCCGTGGCCCGTCTGGACGAGGTCGCCGCGTCGTTGGCCCAGAAGGTCGGACTCGCCCTCAGCCCCAACCCCGGGGACAAGGCCGCGGCGTGGAGGTTCCGGCGCAGGGACTGGGAAGGGGGGCGGTTCCGGAAGCCATATCATGGCGACCTGATGCCGGACAATTCGCACGCCGGGTCGGACAAGGGAGGAAGAGGTGGTGGTACAGTTGTGAACGGTGCCAATGGTGTTCCTGTTCCTCCCCCTGTCGCTGACCCGCAAACCACACATTCACACACCCACGCTGAGGAGGAGAGACATGTTCCGTTAAAGCAGTCAAAGTCAACGGCTCAGCCCGACGCCGCCACCACACCACCCAGGCCGACGTCTCCTGCAGCGGAGACCGGCACCCAAGTCGAAGCCGACACAAAGACCGAAACAACCTCCGGATCCAAGCCGGGCCGCGTCACCGGTCTTAATACCTCTTCCGCAGAACGAGAGATTCCAGCCCCGGCACCAGCTGAGAGGGAGACGGACGACAGTCTCGAACAAGAAGACATGACGGCGCGAGACAAGATCCAAGTCGAGGAGTTTCTCAGGGATAGGTATTCGAGCAGAGGGTGGTGAGGGGGAGAAAGACGACGACGACGACGACGACGAGAGCGTGGAATATTTATCGCATCTCATTAGCGGGAATGGATCAGGGCCGCAACTTCGACCGCAACTTCGTACAACCGCAACTTCGGCTAATGCTCGGTAGAAGATAACCCCACCAAATTTTGCCTGTGGCAGATTCTTCATGTCATAAATTCGTCTCTTTGTGCTATGCTAGACCTCGCCGCCGCTAGACCTCGCCGCCGCTAGACCTCGCCGCCGCTCTTTGTATAGCCAACCTTGGTGTTGATCTCTCAGTCATCCTGTGAATCAGGCAGGAAGCCTTGTTGCCTTGCCTCAACTAGCCTAGTAGTCCGTTTGCGGACTCGTTTAGCCCTGCCACTGCTACTGCCAGCGCCAATCGCAGGAGGTGCCGTTGATAGTGGTAGTTGGCCACGGACTAGTCCAGGAGAGTCCTCAGGCGAAGGACTGCGGCGCGGCCGTGGCCGATCTGGCGTCTGAGACACTAGGCGTGTTGGCCTAGTCGAGGTCGATAGCGGAGGGGTCTCTGGCACATTCTCTACCTCCTGTTCCCTAGTGTTTTCTATAGCAATCGGAGGTGGTCGATGTCTCTGTGGTACCTGAATAACGCTCTGGACACTAGGCGTAAATCGAAAGGTGTGCATAAACGCCTCTTGAGGCCGCCGATCGAGTGCCTCTTGATAGCGCTGTTCCTGCCTCTCCGCCTGGTGTTGCCTACGCTCCTGACGCTCGCCGATCTCGCTAGCGATTAAGGATCTCGCTGTCGCCTTGCCGTGTTCATGTCTCCTTATCCAGGTCTTCCTTGGAACTGGATCAGGCGCGCCAATAGGTATATCCTGGAGATCGCGGCGTCGTTCACCTAGGCGGATTAAGTCTCGTTCCATCTGTGCCTGTAATTGGTCTCGTTGTCTGTCAAATCGCGCTCTTTTAGTGTCCTTAAGACCCTGCCGAATCTGTTCGATCCTCCGTGAATTTATCATTGATTCTGTAGGTTCTGGACACGCTTCAATCTTGACGTTTGGATAGGTAGGAATCCAGGCTAGGGAGGTGATTTACGGCCCATCTAGCCACCACCGCGGATGTAGGAGCGTTCGAGGAATTAGCTGGCCAGTCTGCCAGGCGTATTCAAGGTAGTGCCTACAGGGTAGGAGGAACTGTTTCAGTAGAGGACAATGACAGGCGCCTAGATCAGTGCCTGAGGCCTTAAGTTGACAGAGGAATGACCACTCGATCGCAACCTGTTCAAGGGCATAATCGCTGACAGTAAATCGTAGGTATTGGAACGCCACGCCCTGGGCACCTCTTGGATAACTTGTAAGTGAGCGATCTCTAGATTCTACAACGTCCTTAATGACTCCCTTGACCGTTTAATAGAGACGTTTTATCGCTGTCTCAAGGTCTAATTAGCCGTTAGTTATCTGCGTAACTACGTTATGGTAGGACTCAGAGCGCTGGCTAGATCGATGGCCGAGATTTGGCAATTCTACTGTAAATAGCGCAATAACGCGATCTTCCTTATCACGCCATTCATCTAGATATCCTGGTTCTAGCAGTCGCGATCTTAGGTCAGTCCGTCTAGCCTTAAGTGCCTCTTGAGAGCCTGAATTGATATAGGCCCATGCGAGATCGGATAGACCTTCGACGTTGTCCTGCCCTTTGATCTAGTCTGCCTTGTGGCCCATCCTACGGAACTTCGCCTTCATCGCCTCAACGGCGTGCTAGGTGCAAATCTGGTGTCTCGCGGACGGAAAACTCTCACTTATCGACGAGATAATCGCCTTTACCTGATCTGAGATGATAACCGCAGGTGGAACGGCGTTCTCTAGTAAGTGTGACTTAAGGCTCTCCCAAAAGAAGGTATAGGAGGTATAGTTCTCACTCGGATAGAATGAGAACGCTATAGGAAAGGTCTTACCTATATTTAGTACACTAACTACCACGATTATAGGCATTCTCAGCCTATTTATATTGAAGGTTGCATCGATAATGTAGATAGATTCTATAACAAATCGAGAGGTCGCCTTAAGAAGGTTAGGGTGTGAGAACTAGATCTGTAGACACTTCCTACTGACAGTATAACTAGTTACGTTAACTACCTCCTCAAGCCGCGTTTCGTATATAAAGCCCTCAGTCTATAAGGTAAGAACTAGTCTATTGATAGTCCTATCGTCTTCCTTTGAGGCAGGCTTATATCTGACTAAATTATAGTACTCTTTCGACGTTAGGATAACACTAAATTCATCCGATCCTAGGATCCTACGACTAGTAGAGAATGGGATAGTATTGATCCGATGGAATCGCGCCTGAGCGATCGCCGCCTGGAACTCCGTAAGTCGCCCTCTATGGCGATGGAATATCAAAGGGTTATCGCTCAATAGGTGGCCTATATGCTGTAGAGACTTAATAGTAAGGATAAAGGCCTTAATTCCACTGTTCCGTTTACTAACTGACTTCCAGGACACACGGCAGGACCATTTACAGTTGGTGCCACGAATATGAGTTAATTCGCGTTTGCGATCTGAGACGATTACGCCATTCTTATCCCTCTCAACTTTATCCTTAAGGCTACGGTAGTTACGCGTCTCCTGGCCGTGGAAGATACAGTGGAAAGTACTACTAGGGACGCGTTTTGATCCACCTGCGCCTTTGACAATGTCGAAACCCTGGGATAGCGAGTATCTAACGAGGCGCCTGAGGCAATCGTCGATAGTATCAAAGGGCTCGTTGTCCACAGGATCGGCTAGCCATTCAACCGGCAGAGCGTTCACAGCCTTCTCAAGTGGCTGGCGGAGGTGGTCAGGACAGCCTGGCCTAGCGCGCCAGGCTGAGAACTGGCTAGGCATCGGACAAAACAGGCGGCGGCGAGGTCAGATTGCGATATTTACTCAATATTCGATTATATGCCTTGCAAAAACGAATGCCAGCAAAATTTGGTGGGCCAAGATTCTGCCGAGCATTAAGCGAAGTTACGGTTGTACGAAGTTGCGGTCGAAGTTGCGGCCCTGATCCATTCCCTCATTAGCGATTCGATTGCCGCTTTGGGCTCGCGGTACGTCTTAACTAGGTTTCTGGGCGGGCGTTGGAAATTGCCCTCTCTAATCCTACAACGGGGTATGTACTTGGCACAGAACAAGAGCCTTATGTTCAGGAGACATTGCATTGATTAGACCGGTCTTTCTCCCTAGACACCATACATACCCCGGCTGGACAACAATTAGAAATAAAATCCCGGCTCGCTTGCTAAGAAAGGACAACGACGATAACAAAACTTCTACTCCTGCTCCTGCTCCGGCACCTTGACGATCTCTCTGCACATCTTCAAGAACCTGTCGCGGTACTCGGGCGCCGCGGTGGTGATGCTCATGGGGCCCTTGTCATCGATCATCCTCCACGCGTTGATGAGCATGGTCATCGTCTTGGCGTGGACCTTGTGCTTGGCCCAGAAGAAATCCAGGATCACCGCGCGGAACAGCCACTTGTCGTCCTGGCTGGGCACCCCGGTCCGCCAGTCCGGCGGGTCGTCGAAGGGGTTCTGGTGGTCGTCGTCTGCGGGAGAGGAGGAGCTCTTGGGGATCCGCACCAGCATCAGGCTGTAGTCGACGGCGTTGTGCCTCGCCAGGAGCTCCGTGTCTTGCTCGAGGAGGTGGAAGAATTCCTCCGCCCGCTCGCGGCTGAGGAGCATCTTGTCGTCGAAGTGGTTGGCCAGTTTGGACTTGGTGGCCTCCGAGGCGAGCTTGCCGCCGGCGATGTCGCGCTCCGGGAAGAAGTACGACATGGGCTTCAGGTCGAAGGTCTGCCAGTCGGAATCTTCCTGCTGGCCGTGCAGCAGGTTCTCCATCACGAGATGGTAGGTCGGTGTAATCCCAAACAGGCCGCCGATGCTCGGGTAGCGCCACCCCAGGAAGTCGGTGATGCGGACGAGGAGCGACCTGGGGTGGGACTCCATGTGTGACACGTAGGGCTCCAGCAGGTCGTCGCGGAAGAAGGTGTGCTCTAAGCGGCGGGGGATGGACTTGATGAGGAATCGGTTATCTTTCGTGTTGAAGAATGTCTAGAACGTCCTTGTCAATGCTCAAATCTTGCGGTAGACGAATCTCTCACGCACCGAGCCCGAATAGCCCATGTCGCCTTTTGACACGAGGGAGTCCTTGTACCCGAAGCTGCTCCTGTATTCCTCGTCTGGCAGATGCCATGTCTGGTTCCGGAGCCTTTTGAACAACTCGGGACGCAGTCTGATCAACAGCAGGCCGTAGAGCGCGAAGAAGGTCTTGAGAGGGCGCCATAGTCTGAGTCGCTTCTCGGACGTGTCGTCTTGTTGGATGGCGAAGATGATTGAGCGCGAGATCTTCTTGTCCCGACGGCTGTCCATGGCTTGACAATTAAGCTTTCCACTCCTGAGAGACTGCTTGATATAACTGGGTGTGTTGGACGGGCCTGGATGCAGATTTTCAGGGCAAGATTGAACTTCCAAATGCAGTGACGTCAGTGACAGCATACAACGGAGAACATGAGGCTGCACTAATCCCCTTTGGAGGCACAAGGCTGAAAAGTATCGCCTGTGGTTGGTGCGAGGCGCAGCCTCATCCATGATTCGACGGAACGACTTACATGCGACCCGATGGGCCAAGGCAGTGACTGACTGACTACTAGACCTCACATCGCCTGCTGGGTCCCTGCAAGGCTGGATTTGCCGCGCCAACGCTCACTCCCCTACATCTGGATAGCCGGGGTACCTGGGCCCGGATCTCAGTTCTTCTAGACCTCGGTTCTTCGCTCGCCCTCCAACCCCACACCGGGCGGCAAGGCTCCCACATCAAATAGGTGGGAGCAGTACCAAGGCAAGAAGAAAGAGGGAGAATGCTCTACCAAAGCAAACGCTCTATCATACTGACTGCCCCGGAGTTGGACGATCCCCGATCTCTGGCTTTCTATTCGTTGGCATTTGGTTGAACGAAATTCACCCTACCTGGCACCAAGATCATGGCTAGAATATATCGCAACCCCGAGAAACCCATTCTTGATGTCCCGAAGCTGGACCTCTTGACACTGCTGTTTGGTAGCATTGCGCACGTCAATCATTGTTCAAAACATTACTGACTGCGATCCAGAGACCGAACACTCTGTGGCCCAGGACGACACCGTCTTGCATCAGGAGGCAGCGAACCCGTCGAATAAGATCACCAAGAAGGACCTTCTGAACCTCACTCAGCGGATCGCCCACGGTCTACGGCATCACTATGGCGTTGGTGCCAGTGGCCCCAACAAGGATGTCATCACGGTAATCAGCTATGGCCAACCCTTGGTACCAGCAGCATTTTATGGCACCATCGCTGCTGGCGGAGTGTATTCTGCCGCCAGTCCTTCGTCCACGGTAGCGGATCTGGCTCGACAGGTCACCGTCGGTACCAGTCGCCTCATTATCTGTGGATCGGAACACAAAGACGTGGCGACCCAAGCGGCGAAACAGTGCAACCTTCCATTGGAGAGAGTCCTGGTCCTGGATTCCAGTCCTTCGTGGAGCCTGACCAGTATAGATGGCCGGACCAATGTCCTCTCCGACCAGACTCTGAAGTGGGAGCGCATCACAGACCATGCGGCATTGAAGAAGAGTCTCATTGTGATCCTGTGGTCCTCCGGCACAACCGGCCTCCCCAAGGGCGTCATGATCTCCCACGAAAATCTCGTGCAAGAGGTAGTTGTGACATCGATGGCCGGAAGAGAATGGGCCGCGAAGCAGATTGAAGCCGGGAAGGAGCTCAAGCCATATCGGACTCTTGCTCACCTCCCCATCAGTCACATTGCCGGCTTGTTCGGGTATCTCGTGGCACCCTTCTATTCTGGCGGGTTGGTTGTGTGGATGCGCAAGTACGAGTGGAAGCAACTGTTGAAGTACGTGAAAGACTACGAAATCACCGCCTTATACACCGTCCCTTCCATATATCTCCGGATATCCAAGTCACCCGAGGTGCAGGACCACTTCAAGTCGCTCGATGCCGCCACAACCGGCGCGGCCCCAATGGACGGCGATTTGCAAACGGCTGCAAATGCGAAACTGGGTCAAGGCGAGACCTTTATCGGTCAGACGTGGGGTTTGAGCGAGACAACAGGCGCGGTGACAATGATGCCACGGGGGCAAAGTGATACGACGGGCAGCATTTCTCCGATCCTCCCCAATGTGGAACTCAGGTAAGAATTTCCGAGTTGGTTGGTTGTATTTGGGTTTCCCGCTCACTGCCGACGCAGAATGGTCGATGAGAACTACAACGACGTTGAGCCAGGTCAGGAAGGTGAGATGCTGGTTCGCAGTCCGCTCGTCACGCAAGGCTACTTCAACAACCCTCAAGCCACGAAAGAAGCGTTCCACGACGGCTGGTTCTGCACCGGCGACATTGGAATCTTGCGTAATGGCAAGTTCTATATCGTCGACAGAAAGAAGGTTCGTTTTGCACCCCAGCCAACACAGCCCAACCGAGCTGCAAAACTGCCAGTGCTGATGACGAGTTTTCCAGGAGCTCCTCAAATACAAGGGCCTCCAAGTAGCGCCCGCCGAGATCGAGAATTTGCTCTTCACGCACCCCAAGATCCAAGAAGCCGCCGTCGTCGGCGTCAACATGCCAGACGACCCCGGCACCGACCTCCCACGGGCGTACGTCGTTGCCGATCCCTCCGAAATCAGCGAGGAGGAGATCAAGGACTTTGTCAAGCAGCGCCTGGCGCCGTACAAGCAGCTGCGTGGAGGCGTGGTCTTTGTCAAGGAACTGCCAAAGAACGCCGTCGGGAAGTATCTGCGGAGGGAGCTGCGGGACCGGGCGAAGAGGGAGTTGGGACTGGTCAAACAGGCCAAATTATGAGGACGGGGAGGACCGTGCGGACGACAAAGTCCTGGGACCTGGATACAGATCTATACATAGTAACTATAGAACCCTCCGACAAGCGCATCTTCAAAGAACATCCTCCACCTACTACATAGTACTATGTAACACACGGCATAGTAGTAGTAGTATTACTTACTGTAGTACTAGTCTACAAGCAAAATAGGGCCGAAAATACAGAGTACTCCCAAATCTAGTACAAGTTGCACGATGCTACAGTGTCATGTTGCGGACATCTGTTGTCCTACTAGTACATCGCTTTCAGCATCAACCCCTTCTCTCCTTCACACATAATGGTCCCGTCCTCATCTCAAGGGAACTTAAAGTTGTTGAGGTTGATAAAAACTTGAACTTTCTGACATCATGGTCAGGGCGGGCTCACTCAGAGATCTCCTGTTCGGGCGGGGGCTCTCCTGCCCGTCTCTGCTCACTCGCTCTGGGATAGGAGGACGAAATTCGCATCGAGTCTTCGACAACAGCCCGAGGGCCGACTGAGGTGAGCTTAATGTTGCCAGTTTTAGAGAAGCTGCCCCGGACTGATATGGCAAGTCGGCTTCGGTTCGGTCCTCCTGTACACCTGTCTGTACGGGTGGACTCGCCTGAATATTTAACAGCAAAAAGATTATCCTAGTCATTGGAGCAGGAGCGTCAACAAAGTATACTATAGTATATCTACACTAGTGCTGTGGTGTTACATAGTAAAGTTGTAAGTAGTACTATCTGGATTGAAGTTGGTGGACGAAACGAGGCACCAAATGTGCCGAACTTGGTCTAGCTGCGTTTTGGGTTGCTCTTTCCCAAAACGGTTCCCTTGTTATTTGGTGCTCCAAGTTGTGACAGAAGGGGATGAGCGAAGAGCAGGTTGCTCTCCTGACAATGTTTCCATTCTGGTAGTCCTCCTAGTCATTCTAACACTACTGCTGGTAACTCTTGAGAATGTTTGATGAAGCTGCTACGATTGATCAAGCCAGCTATGCGTTGTACCCCCGTGACGGCCTTCACAGTCACTTGCGCCTAGGTGGTACTACTACCTCACCACCACATAGCATTTGCGGTACTTGTCCAAGCGTTTCCTCAGCACTGACTTGGATTTACGTGACTCAGCCGGGCATATTTTGAAGGGGTTCAAGTTTACCTCGGAGACCCTGCCTGGTCCACGGGCAACTTCTGCTGCAATCATCGGAGTGAGCTTCAACCCATGGGTAGGGTGCTGCATCAGTGCTACCAGTACTAAACCTATCAATCTTCCCCACCACTCGGAGTCTCTTGGTATTCTACTATTAACTATAGTACTACTACTACTTATATCGTACCACTCAGAGTCCCCTTTCCTAGAATACTACTTTGTAGTTGTAGATCGCGAGGGGATGAATGAGTGAATGAATGGTCCCCGACTCGGCCTCTCCGATCGGCGGCTCCACGTGACGTGACCTCCGATGCGGAGGCCAAATGCCTCGTGCCGAAGCAGAAGAATGGCAAAAGATTGCAGATGTGTTTGCGGACTCGCTTCCTTCACATGGGTCTCAGACGCATTGACACCCTGTAGGCGGTGCGGCTGTCTAGATAAAAAGGAACTTGATAGTCCAGCGAGGTCAATGAAAAACTTGACAAGTAGAAGTCACTATTATACTTGTGTACGTAGTATATAATATTCTGGAAGCACCGCAGATTTGGTACTTCAAGTACTGCCTTTGTCTCATTCATCTTCACAAGACTGGTAGTAGCACTAGACACGCGCGATCGTCATGAACGGACATACCAGTGTTGACACTCACGCCAACGGCAACACCCCACCCTCGAGTCCAACGCCTGGCAGACGCCTTCGACAACTGCTGGAAACCAGTAAGGACATAATCGTGGCTCCCGGAGTATACGACGGCTTCAGCGCCAGGGTTGCCCTGGATGTGGGATTCGACTGCCTCTATATGGTACATGACATCTGTTGCCCGCGATCCTCTTCTTTCTCTCTAACTGCCGTGTTCAGACAGGAGCAGGAACCTGTGCGTCGAAGCTAGGACAGCCGGATCTGGGCCTTGCAACCCTCAATGACATGCGAGAGCACGCTGAAATGATCGCCAATCTCGACCCGACCGTCCCTCTCGTCGCCGACGCCGACACCGGGTACGGAGGCCCAAACAACATCGCAAGAACAGTTGAGCAGTACCACCGTTCAGGCGTTGCGGCCTTGCACATCGAGGACCAGATTCAGACCAAGCGCTGTGGGCACCTTGCGGGAAAAGAGGTCGTCAGCATTGATACCTTTGCGCAGCGTATCGCCGCCGCCACACAAGCGCGAGAAAGAATCGGTTCCGATATCGTCATCATTGCCCGGACGGATGCTCTGCAGACACATGGCTTCGACGAAGCTACCCAGCGGCTGAAGGCTGCGGTCGCTGCAGGAGCGGACGTCGCATTTCTTGAAGGCATAACTTCGAAGGAGGAAGCCAGGACCATATGCCAGGTTCTCGCGCCCACACCTGTCCTCCTGAACATGGTTGAGAACGGGGCCACGCCGTCGTGGACGACGGAAGAAGCGCAAGAGCTTGGATTCCGCATCATCATCTTCCCGTTCCTCGCGATTGCACCTGCGTATTATGCGATGCGTGACGCTTTCGAGCGTGTCAAGAAGACAGGGCGGACCGGAGTCCCTGGTGATTTCACTCCAAAGAAGCTGTTTTCTATCGTGGGTCTGGAACGAGCTACCGCAATCGATGCTGCAGCAGGCGGCAGTCTTTACAGCAAAGTGTAGATAAGGATCTAGCCATGCTGGCAGGCAGAGGCTGTGATGCGCCTGTCCGAACCAAGACCACGGCGCATTTGGAGTGACGCTAAGCTCTCAAATGGATATGTTATATACAGCTTCAAGGCAGTTCTAGTGACGTCTATGTCGAGTTAGACCAGTATCACAATTGTAATCCATTTGCTACACGGAAAGCCAACCTACCATGCAGACCAACACCACCCCTAATCCGGTACCAACGTACCCAGCTGGTAGTAAAAGGAAGACTCTCCGGAAAGTGGCACTTTCGTACAAACAAACGGTGTTTGGCGATCGTACTTGTTTGGTAGGGGGCCAATTTGGCCGCCTGATGGCGGACGTATGATGAGCACTGAGCAGCCGACTTCACTGAACCCCGATGTCTTGCCGACGACTACGCAAACCAGTCCATTTGAAGATCATCCAAGTATATGCCATTCAACTCCGTCAGGTCAAAGGCGTTGTCAAAGCCTTCGCTGAGGCCGGCGGTTGCAGCCGCATCTGTTCGAAATCAGCCCCTCACTTCTTCCAACAAGGGGAGGCGTGTTACCATTGTTGAGATCTTGCGACTCGGCGCTTTCGACTTCGGTACGAAACTGCTCCCGCCATCTCCACAGCGAGTCGTATACAACGCTCATACTCATTCGACTTCTGACCTTCAACTGAAGTCCATCGATACCGCTGCCACCAAGAATAGACGGATTTGGATGCGTCCAGAGGTAGGCGAGCACATCGCTGAGTCTCCCTGGCAGGTCATTATTGGCCACTGACATTTTCCTCAGTGCTGAGACGGAAAAATTGATGAGCTTTTTCCCCAAACCTGCGTCAATAATCGCAGCAAAGTAATCGTTCTTCACAACTTTGAGCAAAATGAAGGCTGCGCAGAGGAAGGCTTCGTAGCAGAACAGTGGACAGAATTGCAAGAACCCGTGGGATTGGCTGTCTCGGTCACGAACATGTTCGATCATCGCTGTCGCGGTGGAATAGAGCGTTATGATACGTTCTAGATAGCCTAGAGCTGGCGGGTCATCGAGAAGATAGAATGCGTGGAGGTGGAGCTTGACAACGTGGAGGTAGAATGCGGTGTTGGCTGAATTCGCTAGTCAGAAGGCCTGCTTGATTATTCATAGACCACATCAAGTCTGCCGCTCACCTGTAGTCCAGACCCTGCTGTTTTCCAGGTCGACGATCTCCTGCTTGAAAATCGTATACAGAGGGACCCTCTCCCGCGTTGATAAAAGCCCGGTCGGGTCCGAAGCATTCGAGGTGAGTGCTTGGGATATCCTGTTGCACGTCGAAGCACATCTCAAATGAGCGTGCAAATCTTCATCTATCCAGGAACCCTCGAGCGAAGACGCGACGATCGACCAGTCACAAAGTTGCGCCGGAGTGGGAAGTCCGACCCCAAAGCTTATGCTACAGCACATTAGCCGATTCTCATCAGGATTCAATACAAAGGGTATACCTTTGGGTGACGACGTTGCCAGCAATCCATGCCCGTTGCCGCTCCTCAATCTCGCGAGGACTGAGCTTAACGCGGAACTTGGTGAAATCAAGCGGGCTTCTGGGCCGGTGGAGGCCCATCTGAATGCTAAGCTGTATTATCATCCCCGAGAGCATGTAAGTCGGGTCAGTTGTGCTGCTGCTCGTCGGGAAGGGCCAGGTGCATAGAAGGACCAAGCTCTGGATCACACCGAGGGAATGTGGAATTGTCTGCAGGGACTTCCACAAGAGATCTGTCACCGCTCGAGCGAGCCTCGTCAAGAGAGTGGGGTCTGACTGATATCGACGAGATGCGACGGAAATTATGGACCAGAATAGCAGAGTCGAATTATCGTAGTATTGGGCGGGAGAAACTCCCGGGTCAAGAAATGGTAGATATGCATGGTAATGCGAGAAATAACTTGGAAAGTTATTAGTCTGTCCTTGAACCTGAAAAGCAGAGAGACATACATGCGGAACAGGTCATTTATCACATCTGAGGAGAGTTCAATGTCGCGTAAATTCCGCGACGCGATCACCTTTCCCCTGCTGGTGGAACCACTATCGAGTAGACCGCTCTTTGGGATTGTGGTTGCTCCTGGCAAGCACGATCCATCAGGAGAGTCTGGAGACATTCCACCAGGTACCGTCGTCGAGAAAATCCGGTTCGTCAGAGGGTCTGATAAGTCCTCGGGGTCCTCGTTTGCGCTTCTGTCTTTGTCGCCATGAAGACCGACCCCTTCAGCAAGGGAGAGCGCTGCAGGGTCTGGGACAGCAGGGGCAGCCGAGTCCGTAACAACATTGCCTTCATAGACGGACAACTGGCGCTTGAGTTTGTTTATTTCTTGCTCCAACTCGGCGGATATCCTACCACGTGGATGAGGGTCAGCCACGCGCCATTCTGAACCCCCAACTCTTGCCAGTCATACTTCCGCTTCCGCGTCCTCTTGAACGTATCGTCTACTCTGCAGTCCAGCTCCAGCCTTTGACAGCGCGAACAGGCATTTGACGAAGGAGTGTCGAGCTTCGTTAACTCACACCTCAACTGAAGACGTTAGTTATCGTCCTGGTACGGGGACAAAATGCTCCAGCTCACCTTCTGCTGTCTGCAATTGTTGCACGCTTTCGGCTTCAGGCCATTGGTACGCGTTTGTCTCTCGACACTGTCGGGCCGTTCGTGAGAGTTGTCTTCCGCTGCGACGGAAACTTCTGGACCCTGCTGATGGGCCGGCATCATCGGAGAGGCTTTGCGAAGTTGCAACCGCGCATCTTGACTTCCCCGGTCGCCGCAATCCGATGACAACGCTGCGCTAAACGCAAAGATGGGGAAGTGGAAGTGTGGGGAGAGCGCGAGTTGGTGAGGCTGCGATGGAGGCCTCGGGTCAAGGGAAGGTCGGCCGATTCAATATCCAGCGAGGCTGAATGGCGCAAGGCTGTGGGTCCCCTTCCCCTTTTCGACCTTCAGCGGATGTCGAGCTCGTTTGATTCATAAATATTCCGGCTACTGACCATCATATACGAACGACCGATCAAGTGACTTCAATCTCGACTGTATGTACATGATTCCTTCGCCCGATCATGGGCTGGGAGACGCCAGCCTTGTCTGTCGCCCTCGCAATCAATTTGTATTTCCCAGGTGTGGATATCGAGACCTTCGCATGGAATAACTGCCATTCAAATTCACTCCGCGCTGTCAATGCGACATCGGTTCCAGGTAGCCAACACTCACCGCCATCGGTGCTGACATCGACCTGGCTGATTTCCTCGCAGCCCCAAGCGCGACCTCGGATTTCAATATCTGGTCCTTGCAATACTGCTCCGGGCTCCGGCCTGACGATCATGGAATTGGGCTCAACCAGCCACACCGGCCGCGTTCTCTGTCCGTTCGGGTCGGTCGGATCGATCTCATTGTAAAATGTCGTGGTGAACGGCCCGACCGCGCGATGATCCTGTAGCGAGAGCCGACACAGCCACTTTGTGCTATTCGTGCCAAAGTATCCAGGTACAACCATCCTTACCGGTCCGCCTCGATTCTTGCCCAGTGGCTCGTTGTTCATTTCGTAGGCAATCAAAACCTCGGAGCCCAGCGCCTTCTCCAGAGGAAGGTCCTTTTCATATCGGTCCGCGGAAACCCCGGCAAATGAACCCGACTCCAGTCCTTGCGACCACACATATCTTGCTTCGGGCTTGGGCCTGGCGAGCCTGAGCATGTCTGCGAGCTTGACGCCAGTCCATCTGATGTTCCCAATCCTCCACAACGCGTGGATTGGAGGGGCGATGGGACTTCCGTAGCATTCATGGAAAGCGGTGACGGTGGACGCGGGCATGCTTTTCAGCTGCGCGAAGGATACGCAGAATGGTCGCTCCACCAGTCCGTCCACCACTAGCTTCCATTTACTCTCATCTACAACCGCAGCACCCATGTGGATGGTTTGAAACAGTTGGGATTCATCTGTGAGCTCGGCATCCAGTTCGTGTGGCTTAGGAGGGTGTCGTATAAGAAACCCGGCCGGGTCGATAGCTGTGAGAGCCTCGCGCTCCGACCCATCGCTCTCACTCAGGGCTGCTGGAAGGAAGCTGACGTACTTCAAGTACGTACTCTCGAGGTCGGCGTCCATCTACCGCGAGAGATTGTAGCGTACGAGTTTACGTCCTTGGTGTCAGTGGAGTCCTTTGCTAGTCCTCTGCAGCCTCTCAAGTTCACGTAGCCCGCGGCCAACCTAGTGATTAGGCCTTCCGATCGCGTTCGACAGATTGTGGGTTGATCTCTTGGTGGCGCCTAGGGCGGTAACACCAGGAAGCCTCGACAACGCGGAGGCGACGCGGAGCCGTTGGATGATGGATGCTAGTCGACCTCGGTATCGGCCGTGCGGGAATCCACTTGGCCACACGCCGCGAGCGCAGGAGGCCTCACCAGCCTGGCAAGCAGGGCCTTAGGCTGACCATAAATGCGACAGAGGGTGCAAGGTGCTCCCCCCAAATTCGAGACTCGGTTTAACGCGCAGTTGTGCTTCGGGCGGCAATGGCTAGGCCGAAACTGACCCTGTACTTCGACCTGCACAGCCCATACTCGTACTTGGCATTCTACGTTATCAAGGTTGGTATCCCATCCACAGCCTCGTGAGAAGTATGGAAAAGCCAGTCTGGCTGGCACTGACATGGCCTGACAGAATTCACCCGTGTTCAAAGCTTGCGACATAACATATACCCCCGTTCTGCTCGTGGCATATATAAATGCTGTCGGGTTGAAGCCACCTTGGAGCAGTCCTAGTATGTGGCCAACCTATGCCCGTCCTTGTTCGTGGCCCAGCCGCATGGGCTTAATCTAACCCGGTATCAGACAAGGTGAATTGGATGCATACAGATGTTGCTAGATGGTGTCGAGAATTCAACGTCCCCTGGAACCCAGGCTTGCCGGCGAATTATCCATTCAAGGCAACCACGTTGAAGGTGACCATTCGCCCACAGCTTCTTACTCGCTTCACATGCTGAGTCTTCAAACAGGTGCAAAGGGCCCTGGTGGCATGTTCCCTCGAATGCCCTGATCGATATCCGGATGTGTTAAGCGAGCTGTATCATGCATTTTGGTGTGAGAAAAAGGGTGTTCAGCTATCCGAAGTCCACGAACCCATTATTGCTCAGGTGGTCGGTAGTGAACTCGCCGCAAAGATCCTGCACAGGGTACGTAAAGCCAGTGCCGTGACCTGACAAAGGATGTTGACCAACTTCTCGACAGAGCACCTCTGAGGAGGTCAAGTCCCTCCTGAAACAGAATACCGAAATCGCGATTGCTAGTGGGTCTCCAGGTCTTCCCTGGATAAAAGCTGTAACTGGAGAAGGGCAGGAGGAGTTCTTTTGGGGTTTCGATCATCTTGGACAGGTGGTGAGGTTTCTGGGCCTTCGGAAGCTCAGTGGGTCGCATCTGTGATATGCCAAATGCCTTCACTTTTTGGAATGTGTACTTTTATAGGAGATCTGCCGTCCATCGCTCGCGCGCCGCGACTTTATTTGCTCGCCAGAACCTGGCTACAGTTTCGACCCCGTCTCCTTTGCAGCGAGCTCCCTCAGCTGCCGCCTCAATATCTTTCCTGACTGGGAGAGAGGTCAGTAAATGTCATGGATCTATGCGGGTAATAGATATTTTGTGTACTCACAGGGTTTTTGGGAATAGCATCAACAAAGGCCGCACCTCCTGTGAGGTGCTTGATTGTGGACACTCGAGCCTTGACGAAATCCACCACATCCTTCTCAGTGATCCGAGAGCCCGGTGCTCGCACAACATAAGCGCGTGGCCGTTCGTCATCCGTCGTCCTAGAGACATTTCTGTCAGCAGAAGTTCGATATGTATGCAGTCACGTACATACGTCTTAACACCAATCACTGCAGCGTCCACGATCTCGTTGTGTTCGAGAAGAAGAGCTTCGAGTTCGGCTGGCGCTACTGCGACACCCTTGACTTTGATCAATTCCTGGTCCGAGTTAGTAGAGTGACTAACACGAGAACCATTGGAGAATTAGTGCCCTTGCCACTCACCTTCTTGCGATCAACCATGTACCACTTTCCAGCCTCGTCTCGATATGCTATGTCGCCGGTCTTTAGCCAGCCACTGCTGATAGTTTCGGCAGTGGCTTTGGGATTGCGCCAATATCCCTTCATTGCATTCGGAGACCGGATCCAGAATTCTCCTGTCTCGCCCGGCCGCATTTCTTCCTCGCCGTTCTCTTTGACCACCATTGCTTCTGATCCGGGGACTAACTCGCCGATTGATATTGACGACGGGCCCAAGCTCTCGCGTTCGTCCCAGCACAGCGTGATTGCTGGTGTTCTGGTGTCAAGACTGTCAGCACAGTTCGTACTACGAAACAGATCCCTCCACTTACTCTGACATTCCCCAAGCTTGGCGCACTCTGACTCTACCATTCCAGAGCTCCTCGAACTGTTGCGTTACTTCCATACCGATTGGCGCCGCACCAGCCACCACCTTTCTGATGCTGCTGATATCGCAGGTGCCGTCGCGAACCGAAGGGTGTTTGGCCATTGCAACCAACATCGGGGGCACGAGCACCAGTTCCGTGATTTCGAACCTTTGAATGTGATCTAGAAAATCTGCCAGGCTGAATCGTTCCATCAAGTACGTCTCGAGACCCCACTTTGGCGCTGTGAAGGTATAGTAGCACAACCCAAGTGCATGGTACATTGGAACCGCACACAATGTCCGCCGAGCGACAACAGTGGGATCGGACATCGAGATTGTTTTGAGTTGAAGCATATTCGCGATCAAACTTCTATGGGAGAGCTCAACGCCTTTAGGAAGGCCGGTAGTGCCTGAAGAATAAATCAGGATTGCAGTGCGCTCAGAAAACACCTCAGTATTGCGCTCTTCCCAGACAAACTTTCGACCAACTTCAGGCTTTGCGAGCAATTCACTCCAATGGTGGACTTTGGCGTTGGGAACTGGCGGTCCCTCTATCGTGTGGTCCACAGGCACCTCGGAAAATAGAAAGATGCGTTTCTTGTCAAAGCCGACGAGATCAGCGGCTTCCAGGGCTCTTTCTATGCAGCTCTCCGCTGCGAGGACGATTCGTGGACTGGAGTCTTTGAGCTGGTGCGCGAGTTCACGCGCGGTATAGGCTGGATTCGCGCTGTTGTAGATGGCCCCGGCCATCAAAGCACCCATAACAACAACAGGGTAGAAGATGCTGTTAGGGGAAAACAAGAGAACGCGATCCCCATTGTCAAGTCCTGCGGATTGGACGCCCGCAGCAAATCTCTTCGACCATTCGCGGTAGGTATGGAGAGTGAGAAAGTGGGTGTCGGGCCGTTTTGCGTCGATGATGATTTTATTAGTGGTGTTGATGCTGGAGGACGAAGAACCAAACATGAATGTCGGGACTGACAGTGCTGGCGGTGTCAATTGCCATCTTGATTTGTAGGGCATGTTGAAGTACTTAGATCGAGTTGCTTTGGCTCGGCGTCGTCTGTAGATCAAAGGGTTGGGGTGGTTCCGGTATCTGAGTGTTTACGCAAATAGGGAGAGCGACAGGACGCGAACGCAGCGAAATATATGATCGCTCGTATGGCCTGCAAGTCATTATGGTCGCCAACATTGAATGTAAACCCCGAAATGGTGGCTGACCATAATGGGGGTGGCGAGAGGGATCCAGATCGAGGCCACCTACGGTCGCGGATCCACAAGCACGAAGCTCGGTGCGGCTGACGTCGGAGCCGCAGTCCAGTCTGTAGCCAGACGATCGACATGGAATCGAGGCCTCAACAGTGGCGTCCACTTGGCACACCCCTTGCCAGATACACGGAGTAAATTCAGGCGTACTGTCCACTGTTGACTGGATTATGCCGTGAGAAAATCCATTGCCTCGAATGCCTTCGACCAAGTGTTTCGTGGAAAATTTCAGAGTGACCTCAAAAAGGTCATCACGACAGGTTGTCCACGTCTTCGTGTGACCAGCAATCCATCAGGATGTCACCATATTGCTGCATCAGCCTCTGCAGCGCCGGCCTCGCGGTAATCGCTCCAGATACAGTAGAGTCGAGCGTCAACAGGCATGTGAGCAAAGGCTTCATATTGGCAACCCATTCCGAATCTGGGCTCATGTCGGGAAACAGCGTCGAAGTCAAGTCGCCTTGCTGCCCTGCTGATAGGTTTAAGTCGATGGTATGCTCGATTGCTTTGGACAAGGCCAGGACCACCAGGACCGTGTTTGCATGATGTGAGATGAAGTGCATCTTTGCTTGGACACTGTTGATGAGTCTGAATTCGCCCATGGCCGATACGTCCACAATTCGCTGTGCTATTGTGAGAAGAGACGTAACTGCATCTCGCTGGTAAGATAGCGCTTTTTCCAGCAGGGGCTGTCTCTCCGCGACAGGAAGAATATTCGATGCGCCATGAAGCTGCTCTACGAGTAACAGAGTAGCTAGGCTCCAAAACAACAACATAAACGCTGAAATGCCAGATAGTCAGCCTCAAGTCTCGTCAGAAGGGGATTGGTTATTCACCCGAGGCTAGTTTGGATTTCTCAGACAGTAAGTAGAAAGAGATAGAGCAATGCTGCAGCCATGAGCCATAGATCAAGGCAAACTCATCGTTGATGCCCACGGCTACTGTGACCGCACTCCTCAACGTAGGTATGTTGTATGCTGCGGCGCCAGTTAAAAGAATCTGCCTCAGGTTAATGGTCCCCCTGAAAACACGAAAAAGGTCCCCTGCGGCATTCTGGCAATGCTTAGGAACTTCCTGGTCAAATACGGTCGGTTGCTGCCATTCTGGGGGCAAGTGACCACTCAAAAGGGTTCCTGATGTTGTCGTTAACCATTACAGCAGTGTCAACCTCTGCTATGGTCCTTACCTTTTGACCTCGGGGGGGCGTCCTCCAACATACAAGGTCGCTCGTGGAGCACGGAATCTATCGTGTCGCGCAAATAGCCGTACCAGCGCATAATACCCACAGAGGATTGAAGGAGGAATCGATAAATTGATTGCCTGCCCAGATGCTCACAATAGCCTTCCACTAGACTCTGTAGCTCTCCCATTTGGCGCAAAGCATCATCTAGAAGGCAGATCGGAGTGTCTTCGTAAGCGGAAATTGACGATGCTTCTGGTGGTACGCTCGTCATCAGAAAGAGGAAGACCGAGTAAAGCTTGACAAAGGACCTATTTTCCCTCGACGAAACCAGATGAGAGTGTGCATTGAACCAGGCGGCGGTGAAGACGTGTTGACTGTTGGTACTCCGATCACCAGGTAAAGGGTCTGATGTCGAGCACTGACTTGCGCCCTGGGGGTTGTCGAAGAACCGTGCTAGCGGACCATCTGCTTGTCGAGATGGCGCAAACTGGAGAGCAAATGCCTGCAGGACTGCGATCAAGGTACGCTCATTCTCATTGCGTGTTTTCTGATCAATGACATTGCTGTAGAGGGCGCCAAAGTTGTCCAAAAATCGAGCCACTCCAATCATGGTAACCTTATTGATCTGACTCGCCAGTCTCTCCGGTGCCATATTAGCGTGAATCTGGGAGCCGTTAGTGTCTAGTGCAGCTTTCTTCCATGACGGCGTCAACATGTTGCCCACAGATTGGCCAGCACTAATATCCAAGGTCGATGGATTTGACTGATCGGGATCAAATGAATATTTGTATGATCCGGCGAATAGATTACAGTTGTAATCCAGGTATCGTATTGCAATCCCAGACATCATGGAATTGTAAACCTCACCGAGACTTTGATTTATTCGCTGTGTCTCAACACTGGAGTTGAGCAGGTGGATTGGACTGCCCCGCCAAAGCCCAAGCGACGAGTTTCTCCGGGCGAACAAGTCATTGGGTGATTTGGGGAGTGTCTGGTACTGGCTGCTTGAGTGCTGAGTGGTCGATGGCGATGTGCTGCTGCTTTGATATTGCTCTGTGGCCGCGGCCTCGGTGGTGAACACCTGGCGGTCCAAGCTGGTCCATTCCGACACCAGATTGCCCATGAACATATCGACATCGAGGAAACCGGTATATGGAATCCCACTCCAGAGTTCATTCTGCGCGGTCCCTTGGGTGGAGTCCACCAGCACCGGATCCGCGGGCAAAGGAACAATGACCTGCTTTTCGGGTCTGGAGGTGGCAGGAGCGATAGGCTGTTCCTGTACATATGGGACTGCTTGCTTGGTCTTGTTCTTCTTCTGATTGATTCGGGAATTGACAAAATCAAACGTGCAGTTATGCCCGAGGTGAATGCAGTTCAGACAGCTGTTGGGGGACCCGGGTTTGACCCCGTCCGGAAACGCACATCGTCGTTTCGAACGCCGGCAAGGATCACACGACGAATTCTGCTTCCGCACTGTAGGAGCAGGCCCCATGAGGATTTGCGGAACTTGAGAAGCGGTGCCGTGAGCCATCATGGGCAGCCAGAGAAGCAACAATATTAAAGCAATCGACTTGTGCCACCATGCGTCTGGGAAATTGTTCAAGACGTGGCGGTCCTGGCGACGGCAGACATAGGAGTCGTCGCTTCAACACATGGGTTGGCTGGTCCAAGCTGATTTCCAACTCCTTCGACATTGCTCTGCATTATTCCATCTCACAAGTCGGGAGACCTGAGTTCTGATCAACGCTCAGATCCTCCTTCTTTTCTTGGACGGGTCCAAGTTTTACCTCAGCCGCGGTTGCAGGGGTCGGAGCCGATGGAGTAGTGGCATGGCGCGGATCATGGCGACAGGATTGGTGTATTCTCTCCGCAGTGATGACAGGGTTCGATGAAATGTTGAAGCGGGAGCCGATCCCTGTCGATTGGCATCAGAGCAGCAGCTGGACCTTCAAGAGAGGTCTGGGTACGAGATGTATAATACTTAGTAGAGATCGCAAAGCGATGGAGTTGGAGCCTCCAGAGGCCGAAACGGAGCAGGTTGCTTGCGTGAGAAAGGTGACGCTCTTGCCATTTGCCATCGACTACGGGCGCAGCAGATCATCCAAGACCCCATGCCTGGATTTGGATTTCTTGAACGACTCACCATCATTATTTGCAACAGCGATTGCTATCAAAGACCGAAACAACCCGGCCTATGACGCGACCTCTTCGCCGCCTATGGCTCGACGGCTGACGAACCGGCTCTAGCACCGTGCAGTTGTTTCGCACATGAACGAGACGTCTGATGAGGCATATCAGGACGTGACAGAGGAGGAAGAACATTTACTTTCATAACGCTAGTCGAGTTCGATGGCAAGCATCGGCTATCCTCGAGCCGATAGACCACCGCAGGCTCTGACAAGGTCGATCATCTCACGCCACCTCGACATTATCCATTCCTTCGTGTGGTTCGTTTCAGGTCCAATTAAAGCTCCCTAGACGAACCATGAAGACAGCAAATCGTCCATAAACGCAGCCTCCCATATTTGCCAAAAACACCCGTGGTCATGGGAGCTGTGATAGCGACAGGCCGTGGGTGCGAACAGGACACTACCCTGTTCAGACCAGCCAGAGAGACGTTCCCAACACGCATGCGTCTCGCGCTCATTTCGAGGGCGAGCTGATTCCAGACAATGTCCCTTCGGAGACTGGAAATGTTCTCCCCATGCCAGAGATCGAAACACAAACACCGCCTTTACGAGCCCAGCCCCCTCACCGGCAAAGGGATTCTGGACGAGATCATGGGCTTAACCTCGCTCCCTTGCTCGATCCGACTAGGACGGGATGGCAAGAGGAGGTTCGGCATTTTGAACGGGTATGGTATACTGATGTTCATGGATGTGGTCACATTCGTTGGCTGAAAAACAAAATACATGTTGCAGTCTGTGTATCTACTACGCTGGCGACCGCTGCTACATCAGAAAGTACACTGGGCCTGGAGTCATGAGGACCTCGTCACCCCTGCGTCAGACTACCGATGCCGGAGCCTTGTCTACTGACCGGATATAAAGGTAAATTCATGGCACTGAGTTTCCGATGAAAGGCTACGCAATTCGCAACGCTGGAGGTTGCGCCTTGAACTCGCCCTGGATCGGCAGCTGAAGGTCGCTGTTTGCGTCAGGGGACTGAGCGGCTCGATGTTTGACACTGGGTTTGTTTACAACAATCTCCGTATCCGGGTATGACAACGAAGCTGCACCGATATCGAGAAATTATACTTCTAGAAGCGTCAGTTGGGACAGCATCTCTCACACTAGGCTTGTTCGTATACGGCCTGTCCAAGAGCCATATGCCTAGCTATAGTTAACACGCAACGCATATCTCATCAATGCAGTCCTCTCTCCCCATCTCCCCATCATATATTCAAAGTCCGACTCATTCACCACTGCAAATTCAATATCGCTGCGCTAGACCATGGCACTGTAATCGCAAGCATGCCGCCCTGAGCGATCTGCAACACCTCCCCTGAAGTGACGTTGTTGAGCTTCACGGGCCTTCCCTGACGGAGCTCGTAGTTATATGACCACCCATCGAAAGTAATCCCCGTAATGGCGTCACTGCCGTTTGCCATCAGCCGCTGCACACTAACTCCCTTCACGGCTGGCCCGGTGCCAGTGGCGGGCAGTTGGAAGCTGAACGTCTCACTGGGACGAGGTCCCTTGGCAGTTGCCGTGCCATTGGATGTGTAGTTGTACGCATTCATCTGGACGACAGCTATTCTCTCCAATCGGCCGTCGACGTATGCCGCATAGGCATTTTGATATATGCTCCCGAGTTCGAGGTCACTTATGCTAACGTTTTTCTTGGTCAAATCTCCGAGAAAGGTGGCTACCATGATATTTCCATAGTATGGTGCCTTTGTGCCCTGGGTCTCGTTGACGGTTGGAATTGGCTGCCATGAAGCATACCTATAATTGGTGCCTTGGTGCATGTGGACTCGAGCAATTCCCGTGGCAGCACAATAGAGGTTGAAATCCACGCCCCAAAGAGCAGCACCAAAGGAATTAGACAGGCCTGGTGCCCCTTCGTTGTACAAACTGTTTGTCTCGCCCAGGATGTATGGGAGGCCCGTGTAGGCTAGGAGGCTTGATTCATTGAGGTGTTTGTTGACTGATAAAACGGTCGATATGTGGTTCATCAAGGTGCCCTGGAGAGTCACACCTGGTTGAGTCGCACCTCCAATATAGCTGGACGCGGTCAGCAATGTTTAAATTGTCTTTTGAAACGACTCACTTGTGGCTGTCGATGAAAGCAATATTGTTGTCGGCGTCCAATCCAGCTTGCCATGTGGTGATCGAGTTCAAACTGTTTGAAGTACCCCCAAAATTGGGGGCGTAGAATTTGAACTTCCCCTGACTGATGATTTCCGGACAATTCTGCTGGACTAGTTGTCGGATAGTGCGAGTTTTGTTGAGCCATTCTTGGACATAATCGGTCTCATTCCACCAACTTGGTCTCACTGGCCCTTGAGCACTGGTCTTGTAGAGATCGGGCTCGTTGCCTAGCTCCCAATAGGCGACTTTGGAAGTACCAAGAGCCTTGCAGACAAGGGGAACAGTTCCTACCAAGGTCTCGTAGCCGATGGAACCATTTTTGCCCAAGTTGAAGCCATGGATATACGTGACGCCTGGCCAAGTGGAGTAAGAGTCAAAGTAGGCTGGACCGATAGATATTGTGGTTGGGTAGTCTCTGGACCTTGTGAAGTTGAAAGTCCCAATCAGGGCAGTCGTCTGGGAAGCATTGAAAGTGGCGTAATCTCTGGCCGTCCGTTTAACATTAGCCAATTAATATAGTTCGATATGGACGTACTCCGTGTTCCCGCCAACTCTGATGATGGGATAAGTCCCTTGAAGATTGCGCAAATTATTCAACAGGTTGTATGAGAAATTGTTCGGTTGACTCGAGTTCCCTAAAGGGAGTTGGTGACAAGATCCTGCCGCTTCCCTGGAAACTTACCTGCGAAATCCGGGAAGGACGAAAACTCAATCGAGTACGAGACAAAGGACTCAAGAAGGGGTTTGCTGGCATTTTGCGGAGGAGCGAGTGACAAGGATATGGCGCACGTAGCTACCTCTGCAAGGAGCAAGCCAGTAATGACACGAGATACGAGCATCTTGCGAGATACAGTGATAGAAGAAAGAAGAATCGACGGCTCCTTCCTACCGTTTGCTTTTATAGCGCCGGCCATCGCAATACACATGCTCTCGAGCAAAGCCCTGTTTATTCCCAGCATTCCGCGGGGGGCTGGTTCGGCACATTTGAGGCCAGGAATTCTCCAGGTTTGTAAATCTTGCGATTGGTGGAAAGCTTTGCATTTCAGGAAGGTGACAGAGCATTTGCGGGGAGAAAGGTCGTGGATCGGCAACTGTGCAACGAGTGTTTTGGGAGCGGAGGGCTGACAGGATACCTTTCATTTGCCCGGAAGGGAATTAGACAGATCGGCGCCTCGCAGTGAAGAGCGTCATCTGCAGGACTGGAATTGTCTCACGATGAAAGATGGCAATGATCCGACGGTGGTAGTGGGGGACGAGTGATGGTGAAGGCTCCATACAACTCAATCGATGGAAGGAGAAGAAAAGGTGGACGGCAATGCCAAGCCGATCTCCATACGGCGAAGTACTTTGACATCCGCCGCAATTTCCCATTTTGCGAAACTTGCAGGCAAAGACACCTTTATTACCACTACTTGAACAACGCAAACGTCTGATCACCCATTGTCCCTCTTGATTCTCGAAATTCAAATCCGAATATGTTCTGAAACCCCTTCTCGTACACATTTGTCGACAGCACCCTCCAAATCTTGTCCAAGATGCCCTCGCGATCGCCGTCACGAGGGCGATCTCCCACAAGATCGCATACACCCACCTCTATACAACGAGCACCATCCCCGCCCTTTAATCGTTCCCGTTCGCCGCGTCGATCACCGTCACCACGGTCACGGTCTCGCTCCCCCTCTCGGTCGAGATCCAGATCATACACGCAGTCACCTCCACCTCGCGATGGGCGCAATGGGCAAGGCCAGGGGAGAAGCCACAGCCGGAGCACGACGCGAAGCAGGAGTAGGAGTCCAAGTCGCGGGGACAGAAGGTCCTACCGAGAAAGAAGCTACACGCGTAGCCCGAGCAGAGACAACCGACGGATGCAGAGCTCTAAGATCGTGGTGGAAAAACTTACCCGAAACGTGACGGAAGCCCATCTGCGCGAGATCTTTGGCTCGTATGGTCGCATTGAGTCGATTGACCTCCCGCTGAACAAACAGTGTATGTCTAACCTTGGCCTGACCCCCTAAGTGTCTAACGTGGAACAGTCATGACAAATCGCGGCACCGCCTACATCCTTTATGATCACCCTTCCGGTTCAGAATCTGCCATTGCCCACATGCATGAGGCCCAACTGGACGGTGTCGTCATCTCCGTGAGCATTGTACTTCCTCGTCGGGCCTTCTCAAGATCACCGCCTCCAGCCAGATCTTCCCGGTATGGTCCACTGCCCTCCCGTTACGGGCCACCCCCAAGAGGACCCCCTCCACCAAGATATCGCAGCCCACCCCCGAGAAGAGGCGGCTATGGTGGAGGGAGGCGAGCAGCAGAAGATGACACGTACATCCCCCGTGATACGTACTCAAGGTCTCCTTCACCGCCCAGGCGTCGGCGACGGTCACCCTCATACTCCAGATCCGCATCTAGGACACCGCCCCGAAGACGAGGCCAACCCGGTCGAAGTCCACCACGGCGGAGAAGACGCAGTCCAAGTTACAGTTCTCGGAGCAGCTACAGTCATAGCAGAAGCAGAAGCAGAAGTCGGTCAAGAAGCAGACCTAGGTATGGGGGAAGAAGATGAGCTAGCTGGATGAAGGCCGATGGCTTGCCATTCTATGCGCACAAAAGAAGAAGAATACGAATGATACCCAAAATGTACTGTTTGACAACCTTGTGCAAAAGACCAAGGACTTTATTGTGTCAGTTGGATTGAGGTGCACTGGACAAGAGGTGCCCGGCAAGTGCTGCATAGATGCACGAATTGAAGAGCTCAATTCAAATCTCAACAAGTGCCAATGTCTTGCTGTCATCCGTCAAACTTGTGCAGACGACAGGTTTCAAATGCCAGTGGACAACATTTGCTTATGGAAAAAGTCCTTCACCCACGAGATAGACAGAGCTGCCTAGAGCCTGCCTTAGGAAGTTCTGGCCTAGGCACCTTTACTTAGCGTTCTGCCTGGAGCTCTGGCGGTGCTGAGAGCCTATTCGAAGTATTTTAGCGGGCGAATTTAGTTGAGCTGGTTCCTTGCATGAGGGTCGCTTGGCGGGAGGGTGGAGCCTCGTTCAGTGATGGGCATCTCTGTTTTGGCGAATCCTCGACCCCGACGCCCGCGCCAATTTTCAGAGTCCGCTCACTTTCACTTTCTGGTGCGCATTCAATGCAAAAAGTGAGCAAGACGTGAAACCCATCACCTCAGTTCTGTGCAGGACCAGTCTATGTTCTCGACTTCCTCGACCGGCGCCTGATCTTTACCAGGCCTCTCTCTCACCGCGCTCCGAATGACAACGCGTCCGCTTTTCTTCCTGCGCCGCACGGAGCATCCACATCCCTCTCATTAGTCGATCGCCAGCCCACTGTACACTACCCGCGCGTCGATCATCATGAGTACCGACCCTGAGACTCCCGATGCGCCTGATGGACTCGACCACCACGACGAAGAAAGCGAAGCTGACGATGAAGCTGTCAACGACGCCGTCATGCACGATGCGGAAGATGATGAAGGCGCCATCGAGCGGGACGGTGCAGGTGAAGGTGAAGCTGATGCCGAGACTGAACGAACATTGCCGAATGGCAGGACTTACACCGTGTCCGACGAACCTCGCGACTACAGCGTCTTCGACAACCCGCCCAATCTCGCCGAGATGCGGCAGAGACTTTTCTCCCTTGAAGACCCCGTCGAGCTGCCGGTCGCGGACTGGCAAACTTACTTCCCTTTCGTCGACAACATCTGGCGCAAGATGAGAACTACGGAACCCCCGCCGGAGGACGTTGCTGCCACGGTCGACTATTATGCCTGTAGACTCCGACGCGGTGCCGCCCAAAAGCCTCACACGCCCCGTCCGACTCCAGAGGGCAAACAGCAGAGAAAGAAAAGGGTTCGAGAGGAAAAGACATGTGCCATGACGATGAGGGTGGTCTACAACCACGGTCCGATAGAGACGTGCACCATTTCGAAGGCTACCGACGGCGTGATGAGGCATTCGCACGATCTAGACTACGTCGATGGTACAAAGCGAAACACCGGAATCATGGATACAGCTCGCCGTGAGGCTGCCAAAGCATATCTGCCGGCTTCGATATTTTGGAAGATGTGGGAGGAGCCAGACAAGATGCAGGCTGCAGGCGGGAAGTTTATGAAAATGTCAGACGTCCGAAATGTCCAGTATGCCTGGCGCCAGGGACACCAACAGATCGTTCTCAAAGCACACAAGGGCTTCAATCAACAACGCGCCCCTCGACAGCCGCCAGCACCTCCTCCACCCAAACCTCAATTCCAACCTTCCATGCAGCCTGGCGTCTTTGGCCGATTGGAACCCGTCAAAGCAGATGCACGGACCGAGCCACCAACCACAATTCATTGGGACACTTTACAGTACCCCCATCATGCCAGGGGTTTCTTGGAACCATACGTGCCGGATCCAAAGCTTACTGCGGTTCGAACTCGTCCCCACATCACTCTTACCTGGGCAAGCAGCCTTGATGGCAGGATCAGTCAAGTCCCTGGGATTCCTACCGCCGTGTCTGGCTTGGAGACAAAGGCTATGACACACTATCTGCGAAGTCGACACGATGCCATCTTGGTTGGTGTTTCAACAGCCATAGCAGATAATCCTGCGCTCAATTGTCGGCTCGCCAACCCCGGCGGATATGGTGGACTGGCTTGGGAATTTCAACCACGACCGATCATCATTGATCCTCATGCACGCCTGCGAATTCACCCAGACATGAAGGTGCTCAAAACAGCAGCCGAAGGACGGGGTAAGGCACCATGGGTGGTGGTTGCTCCCGGGGCCTTGTTACATCCCGTTGCTGTGAGCACGCTGAAAGCTCATGGTGGAGAATACCTGATGATTAATGACTACCATCCAGCGCAGGGAGGGCTGAACTGGGAAGGGGTTTTTCATGTGCTCTTTCGAGAAGGCATAAAGAGCGTCATGGTTGAAGGCGGAGGGATCGTGCTTTCAGAGCTTTTGAAAATGCATCGCTCCCATCTGATCGATTCTATCATTCTCACGATAGCTCCAACTTTTTTTGGCAAAGCAGGAGTGATGGTCTCTCCGGATCCGACATTCGACCCTACAGGGCGACCCATTGCTACAAGGTTAAGAAACGTCAGATGGCAACCAATGGGAGACGCTGATGTGGTTATGTGTGGCCACATGACTGTCGACCAGCCTCCCCTTACAAACGGCATGCTCTCGGGGATTGAGGAGTACTCGCGAACAGCGCCCGGTCCTCCAAATCTACAACAGCAGCCGCAGCAACCTCGACCCCAACCAGCAGGACAGCAACCACCGCCCGGCCCGCCACCACCATCGCAACCGCAACCACCTCCACAAACCCCCATCGCGCAGAGTGAGGCTCATGCATCCACGAATGTTCCTGCTACCACTTCCCAGCCAGGGAGATCTGCGCCCTCGCCCGCACCTGTGCCTCCCCCGGCATCTGTCCCCGCACAGTCTTAGGTTGGGCAACGAGCTCGAGAGTCCAATCTGGTGGCGAGAACGGACCATTCTCGGTCTCAGGAGAGATGGAAAATCACTACGACAGAAAAGTGGACAAGACATCAAATGACCCCAGAGTCTAATGAATCAAGTGACGATGCCGAACGCAAAGTGATAAAACATGCAAAGGCCATACACGTGGGATATGCGAGAGCGGCCGAAACAATCATCGACTCCGTAATACCATCCAACAACAGACGAAAGATGCGGCCGACACTTGAAAACGCGACGAGCTAATGACTTCTATGACGCAGGAATATGGAAATGTGAAAAATGGGACGACGAGGAGGGCTGGATATGGACGGACCCAGGTAAACGGACCGGTCCCTGTTCAATAATTCCGAGTTTTGGAATGCAAGCTGGGAAAAGCAGAGGGACCTTTTATTGCTTTGTTTAGTGACTACGATCGTCGAGGGTGACAGGGAAGGAAATAATACTTCTATTAGGCTGTACCCTGCATGTAGCAACAACGGCCGCCATGATTGCTGCTAGGCTGGCTGAACTCGATGATGCTGGTAGTTTGTCAATCCCCAGCCATTCAAGTGCATTACAATCAATACTTACTCCTAGTATGTAGTAATAACCTACACACCACTCGAGATCCAGAACTTGAAGACTTCTGAACACCAAGGGATTTATTTAGGCAGCGTCCAGTTCCTACCATCCTGATACTGACTGCTACGTCTTAGACACTCATAGCATCTCTGCCGCTGGTCCATCAGTACTACTCTACTACTCTATCCGTTCATAGCACAGTGATGGGAGGTTGAAAGTGTGACTAAACCCTTTTCAGCTCGATTTCCTTTTTAGGATGATTAGGTGACCTGTTTCATGCTTGACAGTAATGTCGTTTGCGCCCAGCAGCGTACGAAATTGATGTTCTGGATATCCCTTTGTCCGAGTATGTACGTGTCCAACTCGTTGTCATTGTGAGTCGATTATCATAATGACGGTAAAAGTACTAATTACCATGTATTCATTCATTCGAGTGTGGGATCTTGCTATGGCGAATTTCCAACTTCGCTTCCACACCGATGTCAAATCTCAAACAAACTGGTTTGAACCGATTCAAGCCTGATTTTAAACGGACTCGAAGTGGATTGGAATCTGTTCAGAGGGTCCAAAGTCAGGCTAGAATCGGCACCTGAATCAAGCTGTTCTTTGGCCTGACGTTGTTGCAGTGTGGGTATCAATGATGGTGGTGCCTCTGGCGAAGTTTTAAGATATACGAGCAGGTGGACCATCAAGGATTATTACTAAGTACATGTACAATTCGGCACTCAACTCTGAATTTAGATGACTTGAGAGCTCGTTTTGGCTGGGTTGAGAGAACCTAATACAATACATAAAGTATTCTGAATGTTATTCCCTTCTGAAAAGGGTTCAGCATCGATGGTTGAACCCCTCCAGGTTGAATTAGCCCAAAGCCTGTCGGGGGCAGAGAGAACTTGAAGTAGTGCGCTTGAGCTCACGAAATACTATGTAGTCGTAGCAGGAGACACGAGAGCGGAAGAACTCAAATCTACCAGTCAATACACTACATAAATAAATAGAAAATGTTAGCACTAAGTGGTTGGGAGGTGTGAGATCTCGCAAGTCCTAGTGCTTCGAAGCATACATTGATGGCGAAAATGCAGGTAATGGCGCATGAGAGTGCGGATACGGTGGTCTTGGGACCAAGGAAAGCGTTGGCCAAGGTCCAGCTGAACGAGGAGGGTTTGTTCGAACCTACCCAAAGAACTGCCCGTCACTTGCTTGTCACACCTATGGGAAATCTCGAACTTCAAGCTGTCAGCCAGGAGTACCATGTATGTACTGACTACGACGAGGCTTTGTCCTCTTCGGTGTTTGATTAGTCATCAAGCAATCTTGTTTCGATACTTCCACTCTCTTCAACAGGACAGCGAGTGCTACTATTGCCATGAGGATCGGTGTGTCGACACTCCAGAGCCTGAGATCCTTCTTTCCTCCCATCTCGCACGGGTCTTATTGGAGATTTTGTTTATGCGGGTACAGATAGTGAGTGCTACTTCGCTCGCGGTGTGATATATTTGTCCATCTCTCTTCAAGCGCATTCACGCCAGCCTTCTGGCTTATATTCACAGTGTTAGCGATGGCCAGCATCTTCCTTATTGCTCCTCTTCCGCTCCTCTTTCTCCTCGTCACTGTTGGGGCATTCAAATGCAAGCACCTGCTGCCTCTTTGGAAACACGAGCGTCAGATCAAGCTCGATTTCTCACCAAACCAACTCTCTGTCATCGACATCGCTGTCGTCTTAGCTGTCTTCCTCTTGAGATCTGTCAGATACTCGATGCTGTCAATATCCATGCGGACCTTCAACCTCAGAAATAGGGTGTCTGAAGCTCCGAAGTCACCAGGCGCAGACGAACTCACATTGGTCATGCCGTTCCGAGTAACGCAAGCAGACCTTGCTGCATATTCGGCGGCTATCAAGAACCCACCGGACAGTGAGAGCGTTGACTTGGCGGGCTCACAGTTGCTTCTGTTCCTATCAGCATCAAGTGAGCCAGCCATGCTGCTGTTACTTGCCCATTCGTCGTGCACAGTGCGGCCGTTAGGTTCTGTCAACGTGAGAAATCGATTCGAACTGTTGAGGCCTGATCTGTGCACGGAGTGGGCTTTGACGTCGTTCAAGAAGGCCTACTTGACTGCAAGGCTCTCAAAAGATGTCCGCACCGTCAAACGAGGGTTCGAAGTCGACCTGGTGGTAAGCTTGAGTATCCCGAGCAAGGACTCGAACAACCCCATCACCGTCTTTCGTCAAAACTTCACGATTTTGCAGTTCGCAAGAGTTCGTGCAGAATTGGCTCAACCACAGGATTGTGCTCGCAACGGAGGAGCCATTCCAGTCTGGTCGGATTCGACAGCATTGACCGTCGAGGACAATGCTCCGGCATACTGGGCAAGGCTCTGCAAGGATTACAACCCGATACATACCTCGACAATCGCAGCAAAGCTCTTTGGCTTCCCAGGAAAACTAGCTCACGGCAACCACGTCGGTGCCTTAGCGGCCAAGTACATTACACTGGCAAGTGAAACAGGGCCGCTCTTTATGGAAATATCTTTTAAGCGGCCTGTGGTTGTCCCCGCGCAATTGGACTTGCAGGTTTCTAGAGAGACGGCGGAATCCTCGCCCTTGCATTTTACAGTGTTTCAAATTCTGAGCAAAAACAAAGTCAGCATTGAAGGGAGAGTTGGCCAGCTCCAATAGATGGCCAACACCGGCTGGCTTACTACTATTATCTACCGCATTGAGGCCACACAAATCACTCTTTACCAGCGAATGCGAGTGGCAAGCGAACAATGACGAAGTCGAGTCCCGGTCAAGCCGTGGATTCAATCGGCTGCCCGGAGACCCTGGAGAGTCGCTGGACCTGGAGCTGTTCAGTCTTCACTGGCGCAGCGCTTAAAGCCCAATTTCGGGACAGTCGGCGAATCGCAAAGCACTCGATCTGCAGATCAGCGTATCGGCGGCTTGGGTCGAATTTCAAACCTTTTCGCGCATGTGAAGAAGTCCGAGACTTCCTCCTTTTTCCAATCTGCCATTTTGATAATGTTAAAGGCGCAAGTAAGGCGTCTTGGGGAGTTATATAATATACTACTGGTCCAGTCAGTCCTCTTCTTTTGCCCAATCCTGCTTACAGACGGCCACCTAGACCTTGTTCTTGAAAACCCGTCAGTCGGCCTTTATCCCCTTTTGCGCGTGCAACAAAATGTCATTCATTCTTGCCTATCGAAAACCGAAGGAGAAGCTGGCGAGAGCCCGGGCGCGGGCACCAAGTATTCCCAGGCTCCATGAAAATCTCACGAAGCTCAAGTCGAAGCCCTACAGGCTGTTGAACTTCGAAGAACTGCCCGCATGGTACCAAGACAACCACTTCACAAGGTCGGGCTATCGACCGGTAGCCAACTCGTGGTTTACATGCCTCCTGTCCCTAGGACACCTGCACAACGAGTCAATCAACATCTACACTCATCTGGTCCCGGCCTTTTGTCTTGCCGTGGGACAAGTCCTCGTCTACCGTGGTCTCAGCTGGTTCTACCCTGAGGCGTCGGTGGCCGATTACGCCGTCTTCAGCATCCAAGTCGGCGCTGCCATCGTCACCATGCTCCTTTCCTCCACCTATCACACCCTCATCTGCCATTCCAAGGATGTTGAGAATCTAATGCTGAGGGTCGACTATGTGGGCATTCTCACGCTGATCCTGGGGAGCTTCTTTTCCGGGATTTACGTTGGATTCTATTGCGAACCATTGCTCCGTTGGGTCTATTGGAGCATGATCATCTCCCTCAGCCTCATCACGGCCACGCTGGTTCTGCACCCACGCCTACAGGGCTTGAAATACCGGGGCCATCGAACGTGGGCTTTCATCTTCACCGCACTGTCGGGCTTCGCACCCATCCTTCACGGCCTCTACCTTTACGGCTGGCGCGAGATGTGGGTACGCTCGGGGATGCCGTACTGGTTTTTGGAAGGCGTCGTCTACGGCATCGGCGCCTTCTTCTTCGTGACGCGGATACCTGAGTCGATATGGCCCGGCGATTTTGACATCTGGTTTTCCTCACACCAGTTTTTCCATGTCTTGGTGGTGGTTGCCAGTCAGGTACATCTATACGGGGTTTGGGTGGCTTTCGATTGGAACTACCAAAACCAAAGAGTCTGTCCTGCCATCGGATTCTAGCTGGCGGCGACGAATACATGCATGCATCTATGCTCTCACGCGACTTAGAACCAGTAATCGACTTCGGAAGGCGACCTTGCCGGCCCGTCAATTGCTCTATGCAGTCTATCGAAATCTAGATTCTATGCTCAAACAGTGAACTTTTGCAGGTTGTCGGGACCGGATTCCTTTGCGATTTTGGCAACCTGCTCATCACCGACCTCGTCGAAGATATCGTATCCCCATCTGGCGGGGAAATTGAACCTTTTGTGTCTCTCGAGCGCGTTCAACTTCTTCATCGCGTCGTCCGGTAGGATGGCGTCTTTGAAATTGTCGCGAATACGTTTCTCGGTAACACTTTTGGGGAGCACGACCGTGCCGCGCTGAATGCCCCAGCTCACGAGGACTTGGCCTGGGTCCATTCCCAGGGATTTGGCGACAGCATGGACTTCGGGATCATCGAGCGTCTTTGGTTCGCCGGTCGTGTTGTTTCCCAGAGGACTATAGGCCTGGAGAATGATGCCCTTCTCATTGCAGAAGTCGAGGAGCTCGGGTTGCTGGAGATAGGGGTGTGCCTCGACCTGGTTGACCGCGGGAACCACCTCGCAAGTGGCGAGAAGCTCCTTCAGCCGGCGGACGTTGAAGTTCGAGACGCCAATTGCACGGGTCTTGCCGGTCTTTAACAGTGCCTCCATGGCCTTCCACGTCTCGGTAAAAGGCACGTCTGACAGGCGGAACACGCCCTGCTCGTCGAGGGGAAACCACCGGTCTCCCGAGGCAAAAGCCACGGGCCAATGCATAAGGTACAGGTCGACGTAGTCGAGACCGAGATCCTTCAACGACTTGTCGAGGGCCGGTTCGACATCCTTGGGGTCATGCTTGCTGTTCCACAGCTTCGTCGTAATGAAGATGTCTTTCCGGTCGACGCCACTTTTCTGGATGCCCAGGCCGACCTCGGTCTCGTTTCTGTAGATTGCCGCACAGTCCAGGTGCCTGTAGCCGGCCCTGAGAGCTATCTCGACCGCCTTCTCGACCTCGTGCGGTGCAGCCTGCCACGTGCCGAAGCCGACGGCGGGCATTTTGGCGCCGGTGTTGAGGGTGAAAGATCGATTGAGCGCCATTGCCGCTGCCCTGGTTGTCTGTATCTGGTCGAGGTGGTCGATTGGTCGTTGTATACTGAGGGAGAAGTCGAATTCTTCTTATCTTTTCTTGCGTCCCAGGAGCATTATGCCTGTTGCTTTTCCTCTTTCTTTTTCCGCATCCTGCTTAGGAAACTTTTCCACCGGGCAATCGGCTTTATCGGCTATTGAACCGATGTCTCTGCGCTGTTGGGTTGGTCGAATCGGAGCGTGACCCCGGAATGAAGGGACTTGGAGGAGGATTGGGTTCCCCTACAGCTTGCCGACGGAGGGAATGCCCGGTTGCCGGCTCTATCTCGACTTGGGCTAGGGCTGCTGACGCTCTTTCGAGGATGGGCAGGAGGAGAAGGGGAGACTGTGAAAGCCGAGGGGATTCCGCCGTGCCACCATTTCCCCCGCCCCCCATTTTTCCATCAGAGCAGTTATTGATCCTTCCTTCGTCAGCCGTTCCTACGGAATCCAGATGAGCCAGAATTGTATAATCCAGCGACAGACATGGAGCAGTCCAAGACCTCCTCTCCGACGGAGAACGATGCTCTGCCCTCCAGCCCTCCCAAGAGACGCAAGCTCAAGCATCCGCGCACAGCACGGGCGTGCATGTTCTGCAGGAGGTATGTGGTCCCAGGACGGCAAGGATTGGTGTTTCGAAGGGAGGCCCAACCGAGCAGATGCCCTTGGGATGTTTGTCTTCTTCCTGCTTCTATACTGATGATTTCTGGTGTGTGCTAGGCGGAAAGTGCGATGTTCAGGCACTCAACCGTGCGATTACTGCATTGGTGAAGAAGTTCGCTGTGAGTACGACGATGGCATCGCAAGGCCACCTCCTGGGGCTTTTGGCCATACCCAAGGCTCTGCTCCAAGCTTCCACCAGGTCCCAGCAACGTGGACTTCGCCTGGGGGTCTGCCGAGTGAACGTGCAAATGCCACGACTTCAATCCCCCAACCGTCGAACCGAGTGGGTGTCATGTCGCGAGAGCATACGCCGCATATCTCCCGGGGTCCATCCCTAGAACCAACCTTTGCCGAAGGCCATCACATCAGCGCAACAGCCGGAGTGTCCTTCCTCTACCATTCGTGGAATCGAGGCGATGCGGTCGAGGGAGAGGCTGCATTGCCCTCGGCCCCTTTGGCCTGCCACGGGGACATCCCTCCAATTCAGGTTCGACAAGACCAGCCGCTGCCCAAGCGAGAAGAAGCAGATGCGCTGTTGGAACGATACTTCCGCTTCGCGACGCCAACTTACCGATTTCTCCATCGGCCAACGCTCGAGAAGTGGAGCTCTCAGCTCTTGACGGGGGCTCGTATGCTGACCGCAGAAGCCGCATGTACTCTCTTGGTGTTCTCGCAGTCGCTTCTGTACACGAGGGAAGGCGACAGGTATGTCGATGGCGGCGACCAAGATCTCACCCGGAGTCAATACTGTGAGTGGCCCTTGGAGACCATATGTCCACGGTCAACTTGCTGAATGTCTTCAATCCGCAGATTTTGAAAAGGCGAAGTCTCTTCTTAATCAAGAACCTGGTCCAGCCTCCGTTGCCAGCGTCCAAGCCAGACTGGCCATGTGTCTGTACCTTCTCAGCACTTTCCGGATCAACGAGTGTCGGTTTTGCTTCAGTCTTGCTTGCACACTGTTGACGTCTATTGGCCTGCATAGGAAGATTTCTTCTGCTCACAAGTTAGACCTGGTGACTCTGGAGTCGCGCAAACGCACATTTTGGTGCGCGTATGTCCTGGATGACTATATGAGTGTTATGCTTGGCCGGCCACGAATGCTCCGCGATGAAGACATCGACCAGCCGTATCCTCGCAACATTGACGATCAAGACTTGCTGTCGTCCGAATCGCCCGAGGACCTGCCCTTGCACGGCAATCTAGAAGCGTTCATAGCTCATGCGGATTTGGCCAAGTTGATGGGCCGCAATAGCGATCTCCTCTATCCAATCCAACCGCTGTCAGAAGATCAACTATTCGATCGGACCAACTGGATGCTCGAGGCCACGCTGGAATGGAAGGACACTCTGCCTGATTTCCTGAAACCCCGTGATAAAACCCTCGCCGGACAAAGAACGTTCGAGCGCCAGAACACGGTCTTGAAACTCGCGTACGCTCATTTGCGGATCCTTGCTACTCGGCGATGCTTGCTCGCGGACTTCAGTCGCCTTGGTCGCCGGGCGTCTTCTGTCCTGGACGAGAGGGCCTTGAACCCGATCCGGGAATGTGCGAGCGCCATCAGCACCATCCTCAACACGACCTGTGACTTGATTCAACGAGCAGCCCTGTACCAGTCCTTCTGGTTCACGCAGTATATTGCCCTCGTTGCAGTGTCTACCCTCTATGTCTTCGTCATTCAAAGCAGCCGCTCCAATATCCCGGCGGGTGTCTTTCCTGACATGAACATCTTCTTCGACAAGGCCAAGCTGTGTCAGGATCGACTGGCAGCAACGGCACCCGAAGGCAGCCAGGCACGACGGCACTGCCAACTGCTCAGTCGGCTTCGACTCCGGGCCGAGAAGGACGCTGCACGGGCGAAAAGGCACGGCGAGATGAGGACGGCGGCTTTCGAGCGCGCCCCAATCTCGACGGTTGCACCTCGCGACGTGGCACCGACGACGCCACATCTGGCTTCGGAATCCGCAGAATCGAAGGGCCTGAGTCCCCGGCCAGCGAGTCAGTCTAACGGAACGGCAGCGGTGCCGGACCAACCTGGATATTCTAGCAATACCCGGCCTGGTGGCGATGGCGGCGGTGTGGCTCTCGACGTGGAGGTGGGCACGGGTGCCGACGCCACCTTCGCGGGACAGTTCACGCCATCGGACGACGATTTCATGTTCCAGAACCTCCTGGGTTGGGGATGGGAGAGCCTCGACACGGTTGGATTTCCCGGAGAGGCAGACCTGTTCAGTATTCAACCATGAAGATCCTCTCGGGAGAGGCGGTGGATCATAGGGAGGCAGGATGCACACCATTTTAGGACCGATTGTGAAAAGAATGAAACCGAGTTTGCACACATATCGAGAGACCACGACAAGGCCTTCCACACCTATTCCTTCCCTGTGGCGTAAGTGACTTTGCCCACCGCACATCGCACACGCTTGGGCGGGACCTCAGCTTCGAATATTTACCGCCTCGCATAGATACTATGGGTTGGTTCCGAAAAGCACAAGCTGCATGGGGGGACAAAGAGAGGCAATCTCTTCTCAAAGTTGCCTGTTCTGGTGATATATATTCATCTTGCTATATTCTCATAGCCAAGATAGGGCCGAGGAGGAGGAAGCGCACGCAAGTAGGTCGAGATTATCGCCGAGCCAGTCAAAGTCGACGCGCAGTTGCGCGACATCATACAAGCTACCGACTCCTTGCGTAGAGAGTCGGTGGCAGTGGTGGTGGCATGTTTAGTCTTGTGGCGTCTTGCGCAATTGCGCAGCACCCAAACCGACCAAGTATGTTGCGGTGTGCACCTGCGCACTTTCTGGCGGACACGTGCAACATCTTCGTTTTCCCCTCGCATTGACTTCTTCAGCTTCCGATGTTGTTTGCATGCGCTACGCAACATTTTCGACGCTTGCTGGGTCCCAGGCCTATGGAAAGCCGCCTCTCGCCAACATACCACATGGTGTTCAAGATCTGGAGCTTTCAACATCGCAGACGCCGATCAATTGTTTAAGCCGAGCCGTAGGCATCCCCCCCCTCCCCCTCTTGGAGGTCCCCAAAGCGATCATGATCTTACAGAGGTTGCAATCACAGTTTCTGATTCTATGCCATCTTCAAGCTCGCTTCCATCCTTGACATCCTCTGCTACCACAATCTCCTCAGCTAGGTGGACGAGATCCAGGCCATCGGGCTCATCCGAGAAGCCTTCTCTGACAAACATCGGCAATGCCAACAGGGGGTCTTGTCCTTTGAGGCGATGGTATGTCCTGGCCTCTGTCAAGCCCTGACCTACACTAAGTCCTGAAACCAGATCTTCTGCTGGAATGATCGCCAGATTCACACGCATGTCCTGGCGAGATTCTGTTCAGGCCTGCCGTCCCTTGCTGTGCTGCCACGACACAGTCTCGTCTACGAGGAGCGCGCCCAAAGAGCGTATAACCCTGGCTAGGTGTTCAGTGGGGTTGCTCCGGAAAAGTGTCTTTGCGAGGAAAAACAACACTGAAGTCTTCTTTGAGGAGTTTCCTTAGTTCTGTGGAGGATATCTAGCATCTGACTCTCTACCTTCTCCTTACGAGCCTCCCACCCTCCTCTGTATTCCCACTATCAGCGACCTGGTACCTGTGGCCAAATACTGTCCTTTGCTACCATCACTACCATCCCCAAACACACATACAACTGTAATTGCCAAGCACTCGGGCGGAATGCCATGAGGCTGCCTCCCCCTGAAAAAGGGGTGGCAGCCGGAGCCCTGCCAAGCTCGATCAGCATTTCTGCCTCTTCCGTCGGGTGCCACGACGGAATCTCCGCCCCCGTGGAGGGTGAGTGTCCGCCTTGTCCACCTTGTCCATCTGAGCGTGCAGGGGGCGATTCCTCCGCCTGAGGGTGCATTCGGCCAACGGGCATGGACCCTCCTTGCGGAGTGTCGGGCGTCTGTTTGGCGTGATATGGGGCCCCATGCCAGCCCCCGACTGCAACCGACCCAACTGAACGAACACGATATGAGCCGACGGGTATTTTCGACGACCGCGTCACCCAAGAAAAGAAGGATCGTCGTATCGCCCTCGTCGCATTATTTCCCTGCAACGACTGGGCTGGCAACGGTCGCCGCCACACCACCTCGAAGCGATATTTCCTCCTTCGGACGACGTGTTTTCGGCACCGGTACAATAGGTATCCAGGACCTCGTAGGGAAGGAGAACCTCCCGGGGGAGATGATTATATGTCCCATTCCTCGCTATATATCTCACCTTGGGACGGACCCAGGATAGATCTCTGGGAGAAACTACCACCACCGGCCAATCTAAGAATCAGGATGACGTCCATCGACGTGGTCGCTCCCGCGCCACTCGCCAAAGTCGGCTCCGTCACGTCGACGTCGCTGCAGCTGCCAACGCCGCCGCTGTCACCGCCGCTCCCAACCCCTCGGACAATCACAGAGCTGTTGTCCTGGAGGGCGCGGGAGTTCCCCGACGAGCCCATCTTCGGGTACCCCTCGGACGACCTCGCCTACCTCGAATACACCTACGCGGACCTCGTGAGCATATCCGCCCAGGTGGCGCGGCAGTATGCGGCGTGCCTGCCATGCCGTCCCGACTCCAGCCACGAGGCGCGGGTCATCGCGCTGCTGGGGCCGTCGAATCTGGACTACTTCTTCACCCTCCTGGCCCTGTCCCGGCTGGGGTTCACGGTGCTGTTTCTGTCGACGAGAATCTCCCAGGCGGCGTACCTGTCGTTGCTGGACGTCACGGAATGCCGGCACATCCTGGTCGATTCGTCGTTCCGGAAGACGGCCAATGCCCTGGCGGCTGAACGGGATGGATTGGAGGTCATTGACATTCTGTCCCGAGAGCGATATACCGCACAATTAGACGACGCTGGGCTACAGCAGCAGCAGCAACAGCAATTTGATCTGGAGCAGGAATCCTCCAAGGTCGCGTGGATCATCCACTCGTCTGGCTCGACCGGCCTGCCGAAACCCATCTATCAAACCCACAAGGCCGCACTGAAGAACTATGAAAACAGCCTCAGGATGCGCGGCTTCGTCACGCTGCCCCTCTTCCACGCCTTCGGCCTCAGCAACGTCTTTCGTGGCATCACCGCCGTCAAGAAGATCTACATGTACAACGCCAGCCTCCCCCTGACCAGCCAGCACCTGCTGAAGATCCTGACGGACCACCAGTTCGAGATCTTCCTCGCCGTCCCGTATGCGCTCAAACTCCTGAGCGAGACGCAGCAGGGCATCGACGCGCTGGCCGCCTTGAAGGTGGTCATGTTCGGAGGCTCGGCATGTCCGGATGCCCTGGGTGACTTGTTGACTGAAGGCGGAGTCAACCTGATCAGTCACTATGGGACCACCGAGACGGGTCAGCTTATGACCTCCTTCAGACCTGCCGACGACAGGGCCTGGAACTACGTCCGAGAACACGACCGGCTGAAACCCTATCTCAGGATGGACCCCAAAGGTGGGAACCTGTATGAGCTGTGTGTGTTGGACGGGTGGCCCTCTAAGGTCGCCACGAATCGGGACGATGGATCGTACGCCACGAAAGATCTCTTCGAGCCACACCCGTCGATACTGGGGGCGTGGAAATATTGCGGGCGACTTGACGACACCATTGTCTTGGTCAACGGCGAGAAAGCCATCCCCATAGCCATGGAGCAGGCGCTGCGACAGGACAGACTGGTTCGCGAGGCGGTGATGTTTGGAACCGGCAAGAGCCAGCTGGGCATGATGGTCATTGCTTCCGAGCAGGGAGCTGGCATGGAGGACCGAGATCTGATCGAGTCCATCTGGCCGACAGTCGTGGCTGAGAACAAGCCGTTGCCGGCTTACGCGCAACTGGCCAAGGACATGGTCAGAGTCCTGCCCGCCGGAACTCCATATCCTTGCACCGACAAAGGGTCGCTGATGCGCCAGGCGTTTTACCGAGGCTTCCACGACGACATTGAAGAGGTTTATCAACGGGCAGAGTCGAGGACGGGAGGCACTCTTGTGCTCTCGGAGCTAGAGCTGCGGGAATTCCTCCGCACACATCTGCTGGAGCTTTGTCCTCAAGAAGACGAACCCTCGGGCCTGACGGATGATACCGACTTGTTCTCACTCGGCGTGGACTCTCTGCAGTCGACGAGGCTCCGAGCCACGATCTTGAAGGAGATCCAACTCAATGGCAACCCGTTGCCACAGAACATTGTTTTTGAATATCCCACCATTTCCAAACTGGCCACTGCGATCCTCAACATCCGCGATCGTAAATCTGGCGAGACGCGAGACGTGGTCAAGGAGATGGAGCTCCTTGTTGATAAGTACAGCACCTTTCCCCAACATGTGCCCGTGCCATCAGGGACGACACAGCACTGCGTCGTTGTCACAGGCGCGACGGGCTCATTGGGAGCTCACCTTGTTGCACAGCTTGTTCGCCGGCAAGATGTCTCTGAGGTGTGTTGTTTGGTGCGAGCCAGCTCCGAGACATCTGCTCGTTGCCGGGTCGTCAAATCGATGCAGGAGCGAGCCGTGTATCACACCATTCCTTTGGAGTTGCGCCGCAAGATCACCTGCTATCCATCCGACTTTTCAAAGCCAAACCTGGGCCTTGGTGACAGACTCTATGCTCGCATTTCCGCAAAGATCACATGCCTCGTGCACTGTGCCTGGTCGGTCAACTTCAACAAAAACTTGAGCAGCTTCGAGGCAGACTGCATCGCGGGCGCCCGGTATTTGATGCTCCTTTGCCTTTCAGCCCAACAACCTGCTCCGGCTTCTTTTAATTTCTGCTCGTCGGTCTCCACCGTCGCGAACACGCCCGGCGATGTCGTCGGAGAGGCGCTTCCCCATAGCTTCAAGTGTGCCCAGGGCATGGGATACGCACAGTCAAAGCTGGTGACCGAGCACCTCGTCGCCCGAGCCGCCTCTCAAACCGGCATGGACGCCCGTGTGCTGCGCGTGGGACAGATCATTGCCGACACCGCACACGGGATCTGGAATGACACCGAGGCCATACCCCTGATGCTGCAAGCGGCGACCACAATCGGGGCACTCCCTGCCCTCGACGAACGTCCCCGTTGGTTGCCGGTGGATACTGTCGCGACCACCGTCATGGATATTTCGCTTTCGAGCACCACACAGTCAGTCTTCAACATTGTCAATCCCCGCACTTTCCACTGGACGGAGGAACTGCTGCCCGCACTGCACAGCGCCGGCCTCTCGTTCGCCCGGGTGAACCAGCGCGAATGGATCCGCCGCCTGCGCGCGTCAAATCCAGACCCCGAACAGAATCCCACAATCAAGCTCGTCGAGTTCTTCGCAAGCAAATACGACAACAATGTTACGAAGAGGAAGAGCTTCAACTATGTCACAGCCACGGCAGAACAGATCTCCCCCGAGCTCGGCAACGTGCCTGCTTTGTCTGCAGATTTGGTGAAGAGGTTCGTAACGCACTTTATGAAGACCAGTTGGGCGGCTAAACTGCCGACCGCGGGCGCCCGGTCGCAGCAACAGACTCGGCTCATCGTCCTGTCCGGTCCATGCGGCGTTGGCAAGAGCACCCTTGCCGCGGAGCTTGCTGAATCCCTATCCTGCCCGGTGATTGAAGGCGATGCGGTTCATGACGCCATTGCCATCGCAAAAATGAGCCAGGGAATCCCTCTTACGTCTCTAGACAGGCAGATCTGGCTGAGTCGAATCAAAATTGATGTGCTGGAACGTGTTCGAGCTCATCATCTGGTCCGCGGGGATCGGCCGCGATCTAGCTGGCAGAATGATGGGAGAGATGTTATACTGACGTGCTCTGCACTCGCCCGCTCTCATCGTGACGCATTAAGGAACATCCTGTCAGCGTCGAAAGACGAGGCAGAGGCGGAGTACGTCAACACCGTATTTGTGGTGTTGCAGGCCACGGAGGACGAAATCCTCCGACGGGTCGCCGGGAGAAAGGGCCATTACATGAAAGTTGACATGATAGCATCTCAGTTGGATGCGGTTGAAAGACCTGGCGTTGATGAAACGGACGTTTTCCCTGTCGATACAGAGCAGGGAATGGAAATGACCATCCAGGAGGTTTTGGCCGGGTTAGATGTTCTAGCGTAGACCATGGCACTCCGAGATACTTGGTGCTTGGGCGTTGGCTGAAGAAAATATTAGTATACTGAGGGGTTTACATGAGTCACCCAGGTTCTTCTGATAGCACATCGAAACCGTTTGTGCTTCGTACTGCAGCTGTTTCAGAACCGCCCTGCCGTTTCCTTTTCCGTTTCCTTTTTGTCTTTGACGATGATGTGGTGGTGACCCACTCTCCAGGGATGGAGCCAGGTTCTCCTGTAGTTGCACCATCACTTGCCTCATGCTCCTCGACTCGATCCACACCAAGGTTGGGATTAAGCAGGCGCTTGAAAGACGCAATTGCCAAGTTCTGTTTTTCAAGGTCCATGTTGCTCAGCTGAGCACGGAGATGAGGGATGTCGAGAAACAACCTTTGGATGGGAGGCGACGTCGATAATCTAGCATGGATTTTGTTTACCAGCTTTGAGATGGCATCGCGATGAGCAAGTTCGTGGATGGCTGTATCGTCTGAACACGCGTTGGGATGCCTGATAATGTACTCGGTAATCTGCGCAAGCATGCGGACAGAGTACAGCACTGCATGGAGATTGGCAAGGAGGTGGATGTCGTCCCAGGTGACTCTCCTCGGGGCTCTGGGGGAAAACAGCGCCGTCGATCCCAAGCCCAAGAGCTGTAAGATCTGCTGTGACGTGGGAGGAGGTTTGCCAAGGCTGGATTTCTCTTGCTGAACGACGTCGACGGCAAGCGAGTGCCATGCCAGAAGCGTGCTCCAATTTGGTACCGAGGGATACTCCTCGCAGGGCGAGATGTAGGCATCCAGGACCTGGAGGAGTCCTTCCGCTTGCTCGGTGATCTCGGATACCTGTAAGCATGGAACGGAAACGGATGTGATTCTCTGTCCCTTCCTGGCGCATTCGACTACGTGCGGCCATCTCCTCGCGACGAGACCTGGAGAGGTCTTCAAGAGCAGCGAATAGGCAATTTGTCGAATTTTGGCTCCATAGGACCACGAGGAATCACGCTGAGGGTCTTCCAATAGCGGAGTCAGGTAGATATGTGGTGGATCCGCGGGGTTGCTGACAATCTCTGCTGTTCGTGGATCAATGTTTTCGAGAGAGAACAAGGGGTTCGCTGTTGGTGGCAGGGTCGGGGTGAATGGTTCCGCAAACAGCATATACTCGTTCTGCAATCTCTCCAACCTCGAGGAGTCCCTTGCGCGCTCTTGAATGACGGCAAATGATGCTCCCGAGTCGAGGGAGCGCTCGAAACCAAATCCAAGCAAGGACGACACTTTGAGTCGGGATGCGATGAGCTTCGGGTCGAGAGACATTGCAGAGATATAAGACTCCCTGTGTGGGCCCTTGTGCTTGATTTCAATGCTGTGTAGCAACACAACCCGCCCATTGGCCCCGAGGTCGTGAACTGCCAGGTCAGAATCGTTTGTGAGGATGGCCACGACAGGTGTAGACCGTTGAGCAGCAAGGGCACAGAACGCGTCGGCTTCACCCGGGACCACGTGAACACGATCCTTCCATACAGTTGTTTTCAGTGACTCAATGGCGCTGGCAACCATCAACGGTGGAGCCGGGAGAGTAGACTTCCTCGTCGACAAGACAGGGGTATCCCAGAGTATCCTTTCCCATTCTCGATGATCGGGTAAAGCAGCAACCGGTGGGAATTCTGGGTAGAGTTTGCGGTAGGTTTCCAGCTGCTGTCGGAGCTTCTCCATCCGCTCAAGGCGGACATTTCGTTTAGACACAGGAAGACCACCATCGAAGAAAATGTGTTGAATACTGATACCATGGGCTTGGAAATCATCAAGTAGGCGGTGCAGCATGCGGTTGATTTCGAGGTATGTAGGTGGCAAGGTTGCACTGGTAAGACTACTCAGTCGCTGGTGTGCCACGAGCTTGTTATACACCCAATATACAAGTGACGGTCCGTCGATAATCAGATCTCTGACAATGGTGGCTTCAAGCGGAAGGGAGGAGGATTGGGGTGAGGAGCCCAGGACAACATGATCTGCATAAGGAGAGAGATCCTGCGACAGCCGCGGGATTCCCATTATTTATAGCTGCGTAACGCCATCAGAGAGGGAGGGAGAGAAAGATAGTCAATTGACACAAGGCTGTTGCAGTGGTAGTGCAAAACGATTCGACTGACTGGACGAGGTTTTGTTGCGCGCTTGAAAATGTGTATGTTTCACCGTATATTGTGCGTTTGGCGCGCTAATAGTCCGACGTATCGCAATATGTCAACCATCTCTTTCCACAGCCTGGCATCTTTCTCAACCTCCTGTATCTCTGACATTGGCCGAGCATCATGGCCTCGAAACACAACGATGGATTGCAAAATCGCTGATGCCAAAAGTACTACACATTTCAATGATTCTGCCCGGAGCATGACGAGAGTTTTGCCACATCCAGCACGCATTCCCTTTCTATCCCCCACACAACACCGGCTCAACACCATGGACTAGACAATCACAGCTTTGCGAGTAAGTGCATTGATTCTGCCACGATCTCAGCCACCATCCACAAAAAAGAGCATGCTCAGTGAGTACCATTTACTTCATTGACGGCAGTCACCCCGTGCACCCCATTGACGCCATTGACCGTGTCCACTCCGCTCACCAGCCTTTCAGGAACTCCTTTTTCCGCCGCCTGAGCTGCGGCAAAGTTCTCGTCAAAGACTTCCTCCGCATGTTTCTCGGCGTCGTGCATGTGGATCCAGTCCTCGCGTGGGAACTGCACGGATTTGGGGTTTTCCTTGACTTTGTCCCAATCTGCCTTGTGCCACATATCTCGTGTCGTTTCTCCAGTCTTCTGCACAGCCTTCACACGGTCGTACCTGGAGGCAATTTCAGCATAAGGCTGGAACAGAACCTGACATCACCTACCTGATCCTTTGATACGTCCGGACAGCATCTGGGACCTGACCTTTCCCAGCGCGCCTGAGACAAATTGCGAGAGTGACGCCGTCTTCCATCGACTGTGTAGCACCCTGAGCCGAGGTTGGCAGGAATGGATGTGCTGAATCACCCAGCAAAGCGATACGACCGCCTTTGCTGACCCATGTGGGCAGCGGGTCTCGGTACACCAACTTCCAGTCAACTAGGTGGCTTTCCGGCGTTTTCGAGACAATAGTTTTGCAGAGAGGATCCCACCCCTCGAATACTTTGTACACGTCCTCCAGCTTTCCGGGAAATGACCAGGATTCGTCGATGTCTGCCTCGTCCTGCGCAAGAGTTAGGCGAATCAAAGACACCAGTTGTCTTGCACTTACTCTGTGTGTCAGCACCCAACAGCAGTCACTGCCGTTCTTGATGGTTGAAAAAAGGAAGTGCACATCCTGCCCGATCCAGCCCTGAAACGTATCGCCGTTGTCGCAGAAATGCTTCGTCCGAGGGTCGGCGATCATATCGGTATTGGGGAACCTGAACACATTCAGTTCCTATCCGCCAGATTCTTCCCTTTTCTCTAAAACTCACCAGGCGCGGAAGACCGCGTAGCCACTGCTCTTCGGCTTGTCAACATACCCCAGGACAAGCTCCCGTGCTTTTGACCTCACACCGTCCGATCCGACCACCATATCGCCATATATCTGACAGCTGATTAGCAAAACTGCACGATTGTCGTTGGACACATCGGTCATACTCTTTCCCCACTCGCTAGTTCGATACCAGCTTTGTCGTCCTCTTCGAAGTACTTCTCAACTCTTTGGCCGAGGTGAATGGGGATCTTGAGGTCGTCCCTGGCGTAATTGAAGATAACCTCATGCAACTCTCCACGGTGGCCATTAAAAACCGGAGCGTCGGGGTCCATTGGAGGTGTTTGTTGAGTGATGATATGCTCTCCAGTGTACTTGTGGATTTTGAATCCATGCTTCACCAGGTCGATACTCAGGGCTCGCATTTTCTTAGCTATCGAGCCATCGACGCCCCATCGTCGAAAAATCCGCCCAGCATTTGAGCCAAAGGATATTATGTCTCCCAAGGGCTTCAGCTCTGGAAACGACTCATATATTTCCACCTGGTGGCCTTGACGATGGCATTCTATCGCCGCTGTGAGGCCCCCAAAACCTAGTTGTTTGTCAGTTCTGCAGTCCTGCCTGGAGCACTACTGGATCTGCATACCTGCCCCGACGATGACCACCTTGATGCCAGTCTTGGACTTTGCAAAGGGTTCCTCCTCTGTCATGATCATCTTGGAATACCTTGCCCTAGTCTTTCAAAGTTGTTCTTTCCCGCAAGACGAAATCCGACTCTAGTATGCGCCAGCGCGGGATAGCCGAAAGAGAGCAGGAACTGTTTGAGGATCTTTATGGTAGAAAGTCGAGGACCAGCGACACCAATCCCCTTTTGATCAGCATACCAGGCCGATATAGCCCCACGACCACCCCGTCAGTCCCTCCTCACGTGCAATGCAAAGCGGATGGTGAGGGAAGCCCAGTGACTTCGGAGATGGTGCAGCTTTTCTCCAACTGAAGTGCCGACCCCATGCATTGTACTAAAACAGACAATGGAACACGAGATCCTGGGGCATGATTGGGCCAGTTGTGCAGTGGATATTCCTCTCCACACTGAAGAGGCGCACCCCCCCATCATTTCCCCTTCCATTGCAACAGGCTCTGGTCCTTCTGGAGTATGTCACTTACTGCAAAGCCTTATTGTGGTGACAGGTATTGAATGCATCCGGGGTGGATTTTCGCCGCAGAAGGTAATTGCACGCCGTCTGCCTCCGACTCTTGCACAGATAAGCCCACTCGCCTGGCACCCAGGACATGGAAGTTCGCGGCTTACACCTTCGTTCTAGACCTACTGAACCCGCGTCTATCCAAATAGGTAAGTCCATTGTTGTCGAGGTCGAATATTTATCTCCGAACCGGTGGATCGCTTCACAGTTGAACCGAGTACTTCGGCTCTTTGCCTACAGCCACACAACCCGATCGACTCTGACATCGCTGGGTCAGGAGAGGTTTATCTTCTCGTCCCGGACTCGCCTGGACCAATTCGTCCGATCTCTACAACAGATTGCTCGACGGTTGTCCAATAGCCGCAATTCCACGTGGTTGGTTCTGCGCGTCCCCTGAAACCACACAGCCTCTGCCGCCGTTTGGACTTTCTCGCACACACAGACCGTTCTTTCGGATTTCTGATTGGTCTGTCAAGATTTTTAGAACTGACAGCCTGTCACAGCACCCTTCAACATGGCGTCACATTCGGAGTACAATCAGTACACGACGGCGACAGAGGTCGCAAAGGCGTTCACTGACGGAGTCCGAGGGAAGACAGGTGAGTCTGGTTTACGTGCCTCTCTGGCTCTGCGCCCTCAAATAATAACGTTGATGCAGTGGTCGTCGTCGGAGTATCGCCTCAAAGTCTAGGCGAATCGATGACTACTGCCCTGGCCGCTCATTCGCCGTCGCTCTTGGTGTTGGCCTCTCGAACCAGGGCAAAAATAGAGCAGGTGGCTGCCAAGGTCAAGGCCGATCATCCGACTGTGCGCCTTGAGATCGTTGAGGTGGATCTGTCATCTCTCGATTCCATTCGCAAGGCATCCAAGGTTATCAATAGTTTGGTGGACCGCATCGACATCCTCATCAACAATGCAGCTGTTGTGATGACAACGCATGCGTTCACGAGGGATGGTCTCGAACTTCAATTCGGAACGAACCACATTGGCCCCTTCCTCCTCACAAATCTTCTCGTGCCCCAACTTCTCAAAGCTGCACAAGGTTCGGCCAAGGGGTCGACCAGAGTCATCAATGTTACTAGCCAGGGTCATATGATATCTCCGATACGATTCAGCGACCACAGTTTCCATAAACGACCTGAAGAAATCCCGGCCGAGGAGCGGCCAATGTCAAGGCCAGGTATGTCCTTTGATCCTCCTCCTGGGGAGACGTATGCTCCTTTCGTGGCGTATGGACAATCAAAGACTGCAAATATCCTCATGTCACTCTATCTCAATCAGCACCTGTCAAGTGCGGGTATACAATCGATTGCGACGCATCCAGGATCTATCTGGACGGATCTTTCCCGTAATCTGGACGAGAAGCATTTGTCGGTGATCGAGAAGACGGGTGGGTTCTGGAAGGACCTTGACCAGGGCAGCGCAACAACCCTGGTCGCTGCGCTTGACCCCAACCTTGGGGATCCGGACGTCATCTATCTGAGTGACTGCCAGATTGCGGAGCCTGCAAGTTGGGCAAGCGATGGAAGAGCGGCTGAGCGACTTTGGAGACTCAGTGAAGACATTGTTGGGCAGAAGTTTGATCTGGGTGCGGAGAGCCGACTGTGAGGCGGACCTCCTTCAACTCTGGCCTTCTGCCCATGGCCATGGGCGGGTATGATGCTCTGTGCGACTGTGCATAGCAACCTTAGATGTAGACGGTGTCTCGGTACGCCCTCAATGCGACCCTGGACACTTCAACTTTTCTTCGCCTTATCAGCCTTCCGCTCATGATCAATGAAGCCTTGCGCTACAATCATCAAGTGCCGGAAATACCCCGTCTAATCAACCTGTGCTTCGAGATTATTGTGTCCTTGTTGGCACGCATCCTGTTAATTGAAATGAAATGCTGACATGGTGACAATACACAAGCATATCGCAGAAGACGGCATTCAGCTCTATTATTGACCTCGCCGCCCCGCTCTTTCTTCAGCCGGCTGCTTCCTTGATCAGGTAATTTGTTGTCCCTGCCTTCCTTTCCAGTGTTTACACATTTTGAGGGGTCAATGAATATCAGTCACTATCATCATCCTTCATGGAGGTATTGTGCAGGAGATATAACTCTGCACAGAGCATTTCCTTATTCATGGAGTCAAATCTGGTATGATGGCTATATTGTTGGATTAGTCCGAGAGCCTCGCGGCCAGCAAGCCCACTACTATCATCTGCTCCTCAGACTATGCCAGGCACTATATATTCACCGTGCTGCAGTCGACTTGACGACACTGGCCATTGGAAGCGGCATGCAATCATACCTGCATATGAAGTGGTTCCAGGACAGGTTTCGACCCCACGCAACCGGAGGCGATGCTGAAAAGAACAAAGAAGAGGTGAGGTCACAACTCTGGTTCCGTCCTCGTTGCGGTGACAAATTGACGTGCAGGCTGTTTCGAGCGAGGCAACCATGTCGCCGAAGCGCATGTTGGTGACATTTGACGGCGAGGATGACCTGGCGAATCCGCAAAACTGGCCGACGATGAAAAAGGCTGGCATTACGATGATCATATCACTTGTTGCATTTGTTGTGGGCTTTGGGTCCTCCATTGGTTCAGCAGTCCTTCCACGAGCTTCGAGGCATTTTGGTGTCAGCGAAGTGTCCGAGTCTTTGGCTACAACACTGTATCTGGTCGGTTTGGGATGCGGTGCCCCTTTTGCTGGCCCTCTGTCGGAGGAACGTGGACGCAATCCTGTGTATCTAATCACTTTTACGTTGTACTGCTGCTGGATCCTAGGTGCTGCCTTTGCTCCAAACATTGGGGCACAACTGTCGTTTCGATTCCTTGCAGGTGCATGTGGTTCGACGCCATTTACAGCTGCCGGTGGCACTCTGGGTGATATCTTTGATCATCGGATTCGGGCCAAGGTCTTTCCGTTCTTTGCATGCATCGCTTTCCTGGGTCCGATGTTGGGACCTGTTGTCGGTGGATATATTGGACAAGCCGAGATGGATTGGAGATGGGTTGAATGGATCACGTTGTCCATGTCCTGTGGTGTTCTGGTACTCATGTTTGCCTTTTTGCCCGAGACCGACGCAAAGGAGATTCTTCGTTGGAAGGCGCAAGCAATGCGAGCACGCAACGGCAACGGCAACGGCATCGATATTCAAGCACCCGCAAAACTGCCTCTGCAGCGCAGGCTGGCCTCTGCGTTACTACGCCCGTGCATCATACTTTTCACAGAGCCCGTCATCGCCGTATTCACCGCATACCTGACGCTAGTATACAGCGTTGCCTTCTGCTTCTTTTCGAGCGCACAGTACATCTTTGGACAAACATACGGATTCGATCAAGGCAGCACGCACCTCATGTTTCTGAGCATCTCTGCCGGACTCGTTCTCTGCGCGCTTGTGACTCCGTTATTTGGTGTTTTGGTTGGCAGAGAGCACACTCGTGCTGTGGCACGAGGAAAGGGCCACGCAGGGCCGAAAGGCATGCTGTGGTGGGCGATGATCGGAGGGCCACTATTGCCAGTATCAGTCTTTCGGATGGCCTGGTCCTCCCGCCACTCAGTCTCGTATTGGTCTCCCATGATCAGGTTCGATCTGCAGCCTTTCAGTTGAGAAGGCATCCCTGTGCTGACTGACTTTCTCTTCTAGTGCTGCTTGCTTCGGGTTCAGCATGCTTTGCTTGTTCATCTCAATCTATGGATACATCATGCAGAGGTTCACGAAAGTCGCGGCGTCGGCCCTTGTCTCGAACACGTTCGTCCGATATGTCGTCGCGGGAACCGTGGTCACATTGTCGATCCCCATGTTTGAAAACCTCGGCGTGCATCATGCCTTGACGGTCTTTGCGGCTCTCGCCTGCGCTTTCACCCCGGTGCCGTTCGTCCTGTATTTCCACGCTTGCCGGGCAGACAGTAGCATATCAGTCAATACCGCCGGTCCTTGAAGTGCGACCACGTCGGCCATACGTCACCGTGTTGCACGCTCTTCGATGGGAGATTCTTGGGGAATCTTAAGAGAGGGTTTGTGTCGGCCGAGGAGTGTCTTGGCTTATTGAAGGCTTACAGGGTTTAAGGAGTGGTATGGGGAGGTGGATGTTTGGAGGTCTTTTCTAGTCACGGGTGTTTTCTCTAACTGGACTTTCGAGTTTGAGTGTGATGGGGCTCGAGTCGCCAACTCTTCAGTCACAAAGCCACGAACAGAGCGCCTGAATAGGTCTTGGAGCGAAGAAGGTGACCCTCTCATATGCGCCAACGGAACCGTCTATTCTGGGATCTTGTGGTCCTCCGCCTTCACCCCTTCTCTCCATCTATACCGGCTCGCAACGTGCTCGTCCGGCGGACCCTTTTGCCCATGCAGCCCGTAAAAGTTCTCCCGGTACGTGCCCTCGGGTACGGCATAATCGTCCCAGAAGAGGCCTCGGGCCCGCAGCTCGGGGACCAGCAGGTCGACCACGTCCTCGAAGCTGGCGGGGAAGACGGCGTAGGCGATGTTGAAGCCGTCGACGTCGGCGATGTCGACCCAGGCCTGCAGCCCGTCGGCGACCTGGGCCGGCGTGCCGACCAGCACGGGCCCGTTGCCGCCGATGGCGACGTGCTCGGCGATGGTCTGGCGCGTCCACTTGCCCGCGGCGCCGGGGCTGAAGCGCGCGTAGCTCTCGACCGTGGCGCGCACGGCGTTGCTCTCAACGTACCGCAGCTCCTCGTCTTCGCCGTACCGAGCCAGGTCGATGCCCGTCCACCCGCCGAACAGCGCCAGCGCCCCCTCCAGGTCCGCGTACTGCTTGTAGTCGGCGTACTTGGCGCGCGCCTCCTCCTCGGTCCGCCCCAGGATGGGCGTCACCAGCGCGAGCACCTTGATGGCGCGCGGGTCGCGGCCGTACGTGTCGCGGGCGAGGCGCCGCACGTCCGCAATGCTCGCGGCGCACGCCTCGGGCGCGTGCGCCGACACGAAGATGGCCTCGGCGTGCCGCGCCGCGAACGCCCGGCCCTTGGAGCTCGTGCCGGCCTGCAGCAGCAGCGGCGTGCGCTGCGGCGACGGCGCGCAGAGGTGCGGGCCGGGCACCGTGAAGAACTGGCCCCGGTGGTCGATGCGCCGCACCCGCGCCGGGTCCGTGTACACACCGGCCTGGCGGTCGAGGCGCACGGCGTCGTCGCGCCACGACGACTCCCACAGCTTGTACATGACCTGGATGTACTCGTCGGCCTGGGCGTAGCGGTCGTCGTGCTGCGGCTGCGCGGCCAGCCCCAGGTTGCGCGCCGCCGAGTCCAGGTACGACGTCACGATGTTCCAGCCCAGTCGGCCCTGCGTCAGGTGGTCCAGCGTCGACAGCCGCCGCGCCAGGTGGTACGGCGGCTCGTACGTCGTCGACACCGTCACCCCGAAGCCGATCGACCGCGTCACGGCGGCCATGGCCGGGACCGACGCCAGCGGCTCGTGCACCGGCCACTGCGCGCCCGAGCGGATGGCCGGATCCAGCGACTGCCGGTACACGTCGTAGCCGCCCAGCACGTCCGCGATGAAGATGCCGTGGATCTTGCCGCGCTCCAGGAGCTGCGCGAGCTCCGTCCAGTGCGACAGCTTGTTGAACTCGTGCGACTTGTCCGCAGGGTGCCTCCACAGCCCCGGCGACTGGTGTCCTGAGCACGTCTCGACGAAGGCGTTGAGGATGAACTGCTTCTTTGCTGGCGCAGACCCTGGCCCTGGCCTTGTATTGGCTGCGGGCGTGCCGTTGGTCGACGACATGGTGCGGATGTTGTTGTAGGCAAGATCTCAACTGCTGGATCTCGTCGACGTCAAGGAATTGGAGCCGCGGTGCTGATTCAGGACTCTCAACCCCCTGTGCTCCCCGTGCTCAACAATGCTGGTTTTGTACAGCAACAATCCGGCTTTTTTTTTTCTGGCTCAGATTCGATGCTGACGTCCAAGGAACCTCGCGCTGATGTCCGTCTATTCGCCCATTAGGTCCTGTCTGACTTTTCGCAGGAAGAGGGCCAAGGGCATTAGATAGTGTCTGGAACGGGTTAGTGAATGGTGCAATCTGCTCCATCTATCACGAAGTTGCTTCCTCCTCATGACGGCGACTCCACCTCCCCTCGAACACTGCAAATCTCCTTGTCGCACAGCTCTCACAGCTCTGATGGACGTTCCTCCACCGACGAGAGAAATACTACTCTTCGGATCGCCATCGACCATTCGTAGCCGACGTACACTTCCACCGAGCGGGGACTGCTCGGTCCTGGTACTGGTATCTGGATCGTCCGTCTTACGCCCTGGGATCTGCAGCCCAGATGTTCTCGTTATACTGACTGGAAACATGTGCCCTTTTCGTTTCCCTCTGGTCCATGGCGTGCTCTTCGCGTGTCTGACGCCTTTGGGCGACTCCATCGCGTCTGGAAAAACTTTGGCGGCTCAGTCCAACATGATCTTCGTTGGGCGGGTAGAAAAAAATAAATAAATAAAAAGAGTCTCAGGGCGGCCGAGACCGTGCGAGAAAGGGGCTGTAGCCTCAAATTTGTAAACTTGAGTCTGTCGGAGCATCTGTGCTCCTGGCGTATTTGAAGTCATCTGCTTTCTTCCGGTCAATCTGGGCTGCCACATTTTCTACCCAGCCCGCAATTCGAGCCTGGCTCTCCCTTGACTTGTTCTTACTTAGTATTGGACCGATTGATAAGCCATGTCTCGCGCAGCGTCAGTTACAACGAAACATCCCGAGCTCCAAGATGTCAGGGAGTCCTCTGTTCAGAAGCATCCAGGTCGGTCTGTTCGCCCGGGGCAAAAGGGGCATACCTAACCACCTCACAGTTCGCTGGCACCGCTCAACCTTCTACAATGCCACAGTGCTCGGTCTCTGTAATTTTGCCGCGCCGGGCATCTGGGGAGCCATGAACTCTCTCGGTGCCGGCGGGGAGGAGAAGCCATATCTCGTCAACGCTGCGAATGCTCTGACCTTTTGCCTCATGGTGGTGTCTTGCCTCTGCTCACCCGTCCTCACAAAGTACATTGGCATCAAGGGCGCTCTCATGTTCGGCACGTTGGGCTATGCGCCGTATGCTGCAGGCCTCTACACCAACAATCGCTTCGGCACAGAGTGGTTGGTGCTTTTCGGAGCAGCCCTTTGTGGTATTTCAGCTGGCGTGTTCTGGTCTGCCGAGGCCGCTATTGCGATGGCGTACCCTGAACCCTACAATCGTGGAAAGGTTCTAGGATACTGGCTCACGTACCGCCTTGGTGGGCAGATTCTGGGCGGCGCAATCAACCTTGGCATCAATGCGGATCGAAACGAAGCGGGCAAGGTCAGCTATACGGTGTACCTGGTCTTCATCGCCCTGCAGGCGACGGGCCCGTTTGTGGCGGCACTGCTGAACCGGCCTGACAAAGTTGAGCGTACCGACGGTCTCAAGGTCGAGTTGGAAATCCTTGAGCACCCTTGGAGCGAGCTCAAGGCGACAACACGGACTTTCTTCACCAAGAAGTACCTGCTGCTGGTTCTGTTTATCGGTCAAGCCGTGTACGCAGAGGCTGTCTTCTTCACGTATCTCTCATTGTGGTTCAGTGTCCGGGCCCGCGCACTCGGCTCGTTCGTGTCTGGCATTATTGCCGTGACATGTGGCAATGTTCTTGGTCACTATCTCGACCGGACAAAGCTGTCGGTGAAGCTCAGGTCAAGATCTGCTTTCTTCACGATTGTTGTGCTGCAAGGTGGATGGTGGATTTGGGCAACGGTCCTCGTAACAAAATTCCGACACACGAGGCCATCGTACGATTGGACCAGCAGCGGCTTCGGCCACGCCTTTGTTCCTTTCTTGTTCCTGACCACAGGCTTCCAGCTCAACTACTTATTCTGTTATTTCATGATGGCACAATTGGCCACCACGCCTGTCGAGATCATTCGCTATGCGGCGTTGCTTCGTGGGTAAGAAAAGCTCACCACCTCCCGCATTTCTCTTCGACAGACAACAAGCTGACAAACTTAGGACGGAATCCGCCTGGCAAGCTGTCAGTTACGGGTTGAACTCGATCAAGATATTTGCCGAAGTAGGTGGAGTGTATATCAACTTTGGACTGTGGGCGGCGGCGTTGCTCCCGGCGTGGCTGGTGGTGAGACACTTTGGCAACGATGCCATTGCACCCGCAGTGGAAGGGGATCTGGGGTTTTCGCATTCTGAAAGCGCGTCTGCCGATGAGCCTATCGACACGCGTGTTGAGAAAGAGGTGTGAAAAGCAGCAGGCACGGGCATGAGCGCGGCCTGGCTCGTGAGCAGCAATGCATGTCGACATCAAGGACCGCCCGCTGTCCTGCTGCTGTCAGTCGGTCGAGCCTTTCGGACAGAGTCTGGATCTTGCCAGCCAGCACCTCCGCTATGACCTTTACCACGAACTCCAACAAGTGACGTGATCGTCCCCCGGCTGCCCTTCACTCTGTGTGTGCTTTTCCGTCGTCCGGTTACACAAATCCAACTCTCCCCTCAGACATGACCTGGGACCTCAAGGCATTTCGTGCAGGAGATGCGTTTCAGCGAGCATCGCTATCTCGTGTATGGCGAGGAGGGTTGGGATGGGTAAAGGTAGATTAGTTCCGAGGGCCCCGACGAGCCCTTGGACACATCCATGCAGACAACGACGTGAATGCAACTGCTCCTTCCTCTCTCAGCTATGGTGAGCGTCTTCGTTATCTGAAGTAGAAACAGCGCAACAGTAATAATCGAATCATCATGCCGGCTTCCTTTGGGCTGTCGTAAGAAACAATCATACCAGGAACTCCTAGAATAGGCGCTACGTCGCTTCGTACCATGGACCTGGGTTGCCTACCGCAGGGTGGCTACTCGTCGTTATTGAGTCTGGGATTTGTGCAGAGACTCACAGATCCGTATGCCATCTTCTCAATCCGACTCTTGCTTGGCCGCGACCGCCGCGGTTGGCTTTGAAGAAGTAAGGTACGAAATTCAACTCGCTAATGCCACTCTTATCGAACTTCGCCGGCCCTTGCAGTAAGACGCCGGGATCGGCTCGAATGGCCTCCGTTTTGAGCATGCTCGCGCCGTTGGTGGTGATTGCAACGTATGTGTCTCCCGTCGTATCGTCAGTCACAGTCTTCTCGACGAACGAGCACGTAGTTTGCAGCAAAGTGCTTTTGAAATGGTCTTTCACCCAAGGGTTGTCGACATCCTCCACGCAATACACAATTGGGCCTCGAACCACTGCTACAGTATCTTGATTTGTATAGGGATGTGGCGTGACAAGGCGAGGCGAGATGTCCACCTCGAGAGAAAAGATCCGGAAAGCAGACAACCACTCGGCGGACAAAAGGAGGTAACCTCTCTGGAGGTCGTATTTTGGTGGCCTTGGATTCAACTAACACACCTTGTTAGACACTTGACTCTTCGCTCAGTTTGGGGGTAGCTTACCTTCCACTTCTTTGCCCATCCCGGTATCCTAAGCGCCAGACTGACATTGACCAGCGGCGTCTGGGTTTGAAGACTGAATTCGACCTTTCCACTCCACGGCCAACTACTCCTTTGAGTCAAAGTTGCAGACTGATTGCCAGATGTGAACTCATATGTGCTTGGGACGTACAAGTGGACATTGACTTGATGTGGGTTCTCTGCCGTCTGGGTGTATACATAGCCACCGATTTGGCCTAGTAACCTAAGGACGTTCGGAGGGCAGCAGGCGCACTTAAACCATCCCTCGCGTCTAGAGGGATCTTGGTTACTGGACGCCAGCTGATTAACGTACGTGAACTTGGTGCCGTCGTGCGACATTCCTGTCAACACGGCGTTGTAGAGCGATAATTCCATTTTATCGCCGAACCGGTGGTCCAGATCGTATCGTAAGATTCGTTCCGCTAGCATCATCACACCAATGGCAGCGCACGTCTCGGCGTAGCAGCCTCCTTCATCGGTCCCTTGTGGGAGGAAGTAGTTCAGGCCAAAGCCCTCCCATTGCTTTATAGCTCCAATTCCGCCGGTCACGTACATCTTGCATTCGACCATATTGTCCCATAGCCGATATATGGCATGTTTCAAGCGGCCATTAGAGGTCGGTTCCAGTCGTACTAAGTCGGCTGCTGCTGTGAGAAGGTACATGGCGCGCACAGCATGGCCTTCGATAGTCTGCTGCTCCACAATCGGCTTATGGGCTTGGTAGTACCAGAGCGCGTCCGCCTCGCCCCAGAATGGCATTCTCACATGTGGTTCTTCTCCTCTTCTTTTTGCTTCGAAATGGTAATAGTGGCTGCCATCGATGCCGGTTGGGTTTCCTCTCTCAGTAATAAAGAACTTTGCCAGTTCGAGGTGCTCAGGATTTTGAGTACGGTGGTACAATCGAAGAAGAGCGAGCTCGATCTCAGGATGGCCTGGATAGCCGGGGAGTTGACCCTTCTTCCGTCCAAACCTGCGACATAAAAGTTCAACATACTCGAGAATCGGGTTCAGGAGGTCATTATTTTTGTATAAATCATTGTGAGCTAGGGCTGCCTCGATAAGATGGCCGGCGTTGTAGAGTTCGTGAAAATCACGTAGATTGGTGAACCGTTGTCCGGGACTGACGACGGTATAATGTATGTTGAGGTACCCATCGGACAGTTGAGAAGTCCTAATCATCTCAACTAGCTCCTTGATCGCCGAGTCAACTGTCGAATCAGTCCGTCCACGTAGAAGGTAGCACGCTCCTTCGATCCATTTAGCAATATCTGAGTCCCTGCAGGTGATCTCGATGTTAGCCGCTTTCCTTATTCCCAGTCGGAGTTGGACGAGACAGAACTACCAGAAGAGGTGATTTGGTATCGGCCATTCATCAGGAGGGTCATTGTACGAGGGATGCCATCCCAGGTTGAATGCATTGTATCTGCCTGTGTCTTTCAACATTTTGAGTTGGTAAGAGAGTGTCTTGGAGGCCACAGCGTCGCGTCGCCGAGCTATTAGAGATCCCGGCGCGATCGAGGTCCGCATGAACGTCTCTTGGGGATAGGCCATGATTGCACAATGATGTCGAGCTAGGATTGCTGGTGGTCTGGCAGGAGTGAGAGTTCAGTGCCGGCGCTCAAAGAACCAAGGTCTTGTGCGACAATATTGCTCTTTGCCGACACCGACGGGAAGACTCGACCCTTGGCCTATTCCCCTGTAAGTTATCCATTTGTCTCATAGGACTGGGGTTCCGACGGCGAGGATTGTGGTGGTTGCGGTGGTTGTGGTGGGTGTGTGGCCACGGGATTCTTCCTCAGTGACTACAAGCTACGAGAGATCGCCGCTATTAAACTACTCTAACCATAAATAGACTAGTCTACCTCGGCGCTCCCACCCTCCATATAAAATCTCCGCCTCCAACGCCACCGTCAATCTGCGCCTGCATTGGCGGACCTGTCTTCCGAACGCCTTTCAGTCGTCCACCAAATGCCAGGTTCGTTTGCCGGATCTGCGACCACCGGTGTTTTACTCCATGGACACAAAGATGTGCGGACGAGGCAGTTGGAATCTGAGAGCACGACCACCGTGCCACCGGAGTCTAGCTTGCCCCAGAGCCCAGACTCCCTACCGAATTTTCTGGAGCGCACCCCAGACTCCAGATCGACATTCGCCTGTTGAGTTGAGGGGCCAGTTTCAACTCGCCCTGCAGGGCTCGGGCATATAAAGCAACGTGTTTGTGCTTGTTGGAAAACATGTCTTGGAGAATCTAGCATCTTCATTTGTAACCACCACAACACCAGCTCTAGGACGCATCAAAATGGCAAAAAGCAACTGGTATATTTACTGGATATGCGCGGTAGCGTCCCTTGCGAACATCTTCCAAGGGTTTGACTCAGGCATCTACTCGATCATCATCTCGGATAAGAAGTTTGGCGACTACTTCCACCTCTCCAGTGCACGGGAAGGGGTCGTGGCTAGTATGATCAGCTTGGGCAATGTCATTGGCAATCTCTTCGTCTCGTGGTGGTTTATTTGGTATGTCGGACGTCGATTTGCCTTTATTCTGGGCACCATTATCCTCCTGGTCGGTGTTGCCCTCCAAGCCGGTGCTCGCGATTTCGCCATGATCGTGGTTGGCAGAATTGTGGCCGGGATTGGTACTGCCATCATCGGCACGAACCTTGCTGCATATCAAGCCGAAGTTTCCTCTCCCGAAATCCGAGGTCGAGTGGTCTCCTTCGTTCAACTATCCTACCAAGTTGGTGTCCTCATCGCCTATTGCGTCGGACTCGGGACCGTCAAGATTTCCGGCAACAACTCGTGGAGAATCGCGACTGCGCTCCAAGTGGTTCCTGGTATCGTCTTGATAGCAGCCTCCTTCACCATCCCTGAATCTCCTCGCTGGTTGGTGGAGCGCCACCCTGAGAAGCCGGAAGTGGCTTTACGGGAACTCGCCAGAATCCGTAGACTTCCCACCGACAACGAGAGCGTCAAGCACGAATATGCCGAATTGGTTGCCGCACGCGACTATCGTCTGGAGAACGAGAACACCCAGAGTTGGTCATACTTCCTTCGATCATTCCCTGTCTGGAAACGAATTGCGTACGGTATGACCACTATGGCCCTCGGACAACTCTCTGGCGTCGGTGCCTTGATGATTTACGGCATCCTCATTTTCGAAGGTCTTGGTTTCTCATCTGGAACCATGTCGTTGCTCCTGAACGTTGTGTCGGGCGTCCTCTGCCTCGCGGCCACGGGAATCACCACTGGAGGAGTCGACAAATGGGGACGCAGGATCACCCTGCTTGCTGGTTCAGCTACCATGATCTTGAGTTATGTCATCATTGGAGCACTGTCGGATGCATATCCCACGGCCACGAACTTCAACCACGGCGCCGCCATTGCCTGCGTTGTTTTCATCTATGTTATTATGATGGCATACAGCGGTGCAATGGGACCGGTCGCCTGGATCTACGCCAGCGAGATCTTTCCTACTCACCTTCGAGATAAGGGTGTGAATGTCAGCCAGGCAGGCCAACAGATCACCACACTCTGGATCAATCAGGCTTGGCCAGTCATGTTCGGCAATGTCGGTCACAACGCGTACTGGATCCTCGTCGGCATCAACCTGATCGGCTTTATTGTGGTCTTCTTCCTCTGGCCGGAGACGAAAGGCATCAGCCTTGAGCATATGGATCATCTCTTTGGGGAAGTCGACAAGGTTGAAGCACAGGTTCGGGCCCGAGGGCTATCGACGGTGGAGGAAGTGATTATTCAAGGAGATGAGGAGAAGGGCTCTGCGGTGATGCAGGAAAATGTCGAACGGAAGTGATGGACAGCTGGGCGTCGGCAGAGTTTTCACTTGGATCCATGAGAAGTCAGTTTCTACCGGATCAGGTGTTCAGTGCGAGAACTATTAGAAGTCATGAGAAGCTGTATCTTTTCATCGGACTTTCACTCATATTGAAAACCGTCTAAATCTATCGTAGGGAACGACCGCTTTGAGGGTGTGATTCCTTGTGGCCTGTGTTGCTTGTACAGAGTAATTTAGCTGGATGTCCACAACGCCGGTGGGCTGACATGTGACTACTCGGTACAACCCTTTTACCTCGATTTTTATTGAGATATATATTCATTATCCGAATTCTCTCGACCAATCAGAGTTGACCCTCAACCTTGACAAACTTTCACACAATCCAATAACTAAACGGTCCCTTAGATCAGCTGGTTAGATCGTGGTGCTAATAACGCCAAGGTCGCGAGTTCGAGCCTCGTAGGGACCAATCGTATATTTTTTTGGGATCTCCTACATTTGGCTGTGGGGACCTAGCTACCTGTGTGATGTATATATACCGGTTGAGGCAGTAGTGTGGGTGTGTCCCTGCTTACATACCACCCACGTATATACCCGGGTACTTGCGCACTTGAACCCCCTCGGCGTCTTGAACCTTGAAATAACGGCGTGGGAGTGAGGAGAACCCCGGTGCACATGGCTGACCACGTCTCGTTGTCCGTTTCCTTTTGCTGTTGCACTTCTTCGAGCAGCGATCCCTTCTAATCGTCTATGCTCGCTAAAATCCTGCCGCATTTGTCGGTAAAACCCCCATCCCGTGCTAGGTCCTGCACGCGATCTGTAATCATAACCCGCGGCCTCGCAATTCGACTCAGCTCGACCCCGGCCAATTGGACGGTGGTCGGGCGTGCGTATGTGTATGTCATTCGCGCCGTCCAAGGGGAGACGAGTTGTGATTACGAGTCCCCACTTGGACTTGGGGGTGAATAGTCATCAAACCATCTAATGTCCCGCGCAAAGACTTCCACTACTACAGGACGAGGGGCTTTATGCTGCGCACAGCTCACAGATCACGGAAACTGTTTTCCTGAATCTATACCCAGGTAATTATCGAATGATGCCACATCAACTAAAGGGACAGTGTGATGACAAAGGGCAGCCGGCACCCGTGGCTTACGTTTGCCGCTTTTAGCCTTTATGCCTCAGATGACTTACAACCATCCATTCTAGACACATCATGGCGTTGGAATTACTATGAGAGAGTGTGATGATGTGCTGCTGATACGCGCTCTGCCGAAAGTTCGCCGATGCATCCCTGCACACCACAGCAGGCATTGTGTACACACAGAACACCAGCAGGTTGGGCAGGGAGCGGCTTTGTCAAAAGACTCCAAGCGACGTATGCCATCCCAAGCCGCTATGCCGTTCTGATACGAAGCACGACATTTGCTTCCAAATCTGCTGCAATGTGCTTGACTAAGCCAGAGAGCGCGACGGCTTGCACTGAGATCGATATAAACGCGCCTCTGTTACCAGCCAAATGTCGGTCTCCACATATCCTTTATAGCTTCGTGCTCAAGAGGGAGTAGGAAACAACATCGACACACTCCAGAAATGTCTGTCCAGAAAGCTATTGCCGTGGTCGCGACAGCACAGCCTGTCAAGCTGATTGAACGACCCATCCCAAAGCCGGGCCCGGGCGAAGTCCTGGTCAAGGTCTCCATTGCCGGACGTGAGTACCCCCCGATGAAAAGACACGGTGAATCCTGGCTGACTCGTTTCCCACACAGTGAATCCGCATGATGGGCTAGTGCGAGAGATCGCCTACTTTGTCGGCAAGGACAACCTGCCAGGTGTCCTCGCAATCGACATAGTCGGGGAAATCGTCCAACTTGGCGAAAAGGTTAGCGCCTTCAAGATAGGGGACAAGGTCATGGGCCAGGGAGATCCTGTTGTGTCAGACACAAAGGGGTCCCAGGAATATGCTGTCCTCGACGCCGACTTTATCGCGCCTCTGCCCGATTCGGTCAGCCCTGACCAGGCCGACACGGTCATCCTGAACCCCTTGACGGCGTATGTGGCAGTGTTATCGCCCCTTGGCCTGGACATCCCATCACCACTGGCCGGATCGACGACGGGCTTCGACTACAAGAACACCAGCATCGTCATCATCGGAGGTAGCTCCGCGTGCGGGAGGTTCGCAATCCAGCTTGCCAAATGGGTTGGGATTGGCACCATCGTCACCGTCGCAGGGAAGCACGGCGAAGGTGATCTCAAATCCCTCGGCGCAACGCATGTCATCGACCGGAGCCTTCCAGACGAAGACATCCAGCGCAAAGTCCGGGAGATCGTCGGTGATGACCTGCTGTACGTGCTCGACTGCAACAACCGAGCCGATCACACGCAGGGCATCCGCATGCTGTCCAACTCGAAGAAGGGCACCATGGTGCCCTTGGCCGTGTCGCGCCCAAACACCATCGACGAGGCCAAAGTGGGGCCCAAGCAGCAAGGCTACAACTTCAGGAAATTCGTGTGTCGGCCGGTCTTGTTCCGGGAGATAGCCACACAGTTTTACAAGGCGTTGCCCAGGTTGATCGATGATGGGGTGCTCAAGCCCACTTCCTTCGCCGTCATTGAGGGGTTGGATGTGGACAGGATCAATGCGCAGCTCGACAAGTGGAGAGATGGACAGTGGCCGCCCAGGGTCAACATCCACGTTTCATAGATATGGGTAGTAGCGGAATAGAAAAGCCCCGAGAATAAATGTCCTTCAATAACACCAGGGAGCCAATTGATGCTTCGTACCTGCTGGCACCGAACCTAGCGCGTCCATCCAGTCGGGAATATGTAGGGACTCAGAAAAATCAGGCTATTCCACCGAGCGCCCCTTGACTGGCCCGTGCAGAAGGCCGCCTCTGGACTCTCAAGAAAGGAGAAAATACGGGCAATGTCCAATGGATTGCCCCTTCTATTGACAATCTGGGTCAGAAACAACGACATCAAATAGCTCAGAAGATCCTTGGTGTGACAATACGCCTGCTGTCTCAATCAGCCCAGAGAGGACTGCATTGGTAGGAATTCCCGGTGCAGCCTCCACAGTCACGGCGCGAACAAGTCCAATCACACCGCCCTTGGAAGCCACGTAGAAAGCCATGCCAGGCTGAGGAATCTCGAAACTTGCCGGTTATGTGTGAATAATGCGCCTGTACTCCAGCTTTCTGTATATGCGGCAGCACCGCACGAGTCAGATAGAAGGAGCCGTTAAGATTGACTGGTATTGTACTACGGCGGTATAAATTCTGTCGGGCAGCCCACGAGCGCACCGCATGGAATGGACATATGCCGGCGGCATTTATGAGAGCGTCGATTTTCTGGTATTTTTGGAGACCGTGTCCTCGATTGCGGCAGAAATGGACTGTTCATTGCAACATTGCACGCTTAGGTGTCTGTCTTGTGTCCAGCGGTCCGGATCGAGGCTTGGACAACGGCGAGTCCCCCCCTGTCTATATCCAGCATCATGACTTGCTTGAGCTCCTTGTTGCGCGAACAGCCGAGAAGTTGCCTCTCTAATGCCAGACCCCGACCCAGTGATGACGACGATATCTGACTGCGTAAGTGAACCACCTAGGATTTGCTCTGCGAATGCCCAGATTCTTGAACATTCAGACCACGCATAGGGAGAACGAGGGGCCGGGGCTTGGTCGAGGGGCGGAGAGAGGGAGGTTCGTAACCGAAAGCCTCCTGGTTTCCCTGTGGGTATTGTCTTTCCCCAGCTTCAAGCCTTGGCTACCCAGTGGAGTAATTAGTGCTGTACCTAATTATTACATTGCTTCCGAGTCTTCTACCTAGGTTCCTACTTCTCTGAGCAGGTGGACCCCAAGAAACCAAAGGACCAACTTGCCCCACGAATGTGCTGACTTGGAATCAAAGGGTTCTCTTCTCCTTGACCGCCGTGCTTTTTTCAGCGACAAACAAAATCTAGTGCAGGTCAGTCTCGGTCCTCCATCCGACGACCACTCTTCCAGACGATGGAGTTTTTGCTCGATTGCGCATGCAGCTTCTGTGGAGCCGTGTTTGGCCGTCGAGAGCACCTCAGGCGCCATCTCATGATACACGGAAAGATAAGACCTTTCCAGTGTACAGACTGTGCCAGCAGCTTCCCTAGACAGTGAGTGTATCCATGCACCGGGCACACGCAGTGTTGTATCAGGTGCTTGACAAGGCTGACCCCTTGTCTTTCCATTTCCAGGGACGCTTTGGTCCGCCATTGCAAAACCGTCCATGGAGCTCAGGCTGCCGACAATCGGACCCGAAGGACACATGTCCGTCAACGCATACAATCTGCATGTCAGGAATGTCGTCGGCAGAAACAGCGCTGCGATGGTTGTAGTCCGTGCGGCCGCTGTCGGCTTCGCAGCAGTGTCTGCACCTATTCCGAACCCAAGAAACCGGCACCGCGGAAGGAAATGTCACCTCTCGTCTCTGCGAGCCTGTCCTTTCCGAACGGTGATGAACTAGGCTCAGTGTCGTTACTGGATGGTTGCGTCGCTGGTCCTGTGGAAGCACTTCCATCAACAGGTACGCCTCTCGTTACTTCCTCTCTGGGTCCACCCTTAGCTGACAGTTTCTTACAGAGCCAGGTAGAGATGAAATCGCTTGGGATCATCCCTCCCTGCAACCGGACTCATGGCTGAGAAGCCCTTCGGAGGTATCTCGGCCGTTGTTGAGCCCTTGTAATACCTCCGCCATTCCATTTCATACTGACCCTACCAACGACTTCCCATGGTTGTTTATTCATGCGGAAAGTAGGCAACCCGCAACACCACCTCTGAGGGAACGCCAGCGGGATCTTCACGTCTGCAATAGCGACCTTGAATACAGATGTGCTCTCTCAAAGCAGTCGCACCTGCCGCCTACCTGCTTTTTGCGGACGAGATATGATGGTTTGCAAGCGAGCTTGACCGAACTTATCGGCCAACATGCGGATTTTGCCACTAGGATATCCCTGCCGACTAAAGAAATGCTGAATTCGTTTATTGAGATGTATTTTGAAAAATTTTCCCCTCTGTTCCCGGTGCTTTCGCCGGCCAGCTTCATTGCAGACACGGAGCACTATTTGCTGGTTTTATGTGTTTGCACGATCGGCGTGTCGTTCCTTGCAGAGACGAAGCAACAAACCATGTACCTGATGTGTTCATTCTTACGGAAGGGTCTAGACAGTCTTGCAAGTTTGTTCCAGATCACGGTCACAGCGTGCCGAAGCTAATTTGGGGACTAGGCTGGGAAGGAAACCACGCTGGCTATGGAGATTTGGTATCAGCAAGTCAGTTTCTTAGCACATGTCATCTTCAGCTGCAGTGGAAGCTTCGAATATCTGGACTATGCTCAGAAATCAAAAGGGTTGTTCGTAATATCTCAAGAGCAACGTTTGCGGAACCTCGACGGTGCAAGCGTCAAACAGGACGTGGCGACTTGGATGCAATCTCAAGAGGACTTAGATGCCTGGAGGCGGATAGAGTCAATCAAGAGAACAGCGTTTGCGGCGTGGGTGAGTTGCACTTTCGCACTGGTCTTCCTTGCTAGCTAACAGACTCGTGGGCGACTGACACTCATGGGTCGCTTCTGTTTGACTTGCCGCCTCTAATGATCTCCGGCACACGTCAATTCCTTCTTCCAGCTCCAGTCGAATTGTGGGAAGCAGTTACATTGGAAGATTGGAACAAAGAGCGCGTCAAACAAGGTACAACTATATTGCTCCTGGTGTCAAGGCAGGTACTGAGCAGGACGCAGATTTAGATCCGAATCCACCGAGCCTGGACACCTGGGTCGAAATATTGTACAGAGATGGGACCGCCCCAGGGACTCTTGGTGGGTTCTCGAGACTCCTGGTCATGCTGGCCATTTCTCAGGATATTCGCGAGTATATTCGAGCTGCCGAAAAGTTTCGCTGCCTCCAAAATAAGGAGCATCCGCACTCCAGATCGGAATGGACCGATCTTCTCTCGAAATGTTACGAACGGCTGATCCGAACACCTTGTTCTGAAAAGACTTGGCCGCTCCATCAAGAGCTCATCTCTCAATCCTACCACTGCACTATGATATCTCTTCACGTCACCGTTACAGATCTCTACACTTTTGTGGGATACAAGGCAAACTACCAAGAAGCTGATGTGACGAGGCACCGTCTCTCGACCTGGATGTTGGAGCAACCACAGAGCATCCAGGTTGCCCTTCTCCACGCCATTCAGATATTCGTGCAAATGCGAACAAAAAGTCCGAAAAGTCCTCATGCCTCATTGGTCCTGTGTCTTGCAGTCTTGACGATTTGGGTATACGTCGAGTTGAAAATCGGGCCACGTGGAATGGAGCTTGGTCGGTGTTTGGAGTGTAGGAGGGACTTGCTTGGCAGCCTGGACCACTGCTGCTTGAAGGCGACCATTGGCCACGAGATATCGGGCTTCGAGTTGGACTTGATAGAAGGCGCTGTGCCGGTGGACCGTCTCGTCCGTGAAGGCTGCGACCTTCTGAACACAAAGCCTGCTTGGCAGCTAAGTCATGCGGTGGCATCTACCATCACGTACTGTTACCAGAGTATAACACGGTCGAGAAGAGCTGCGTGCAATCCACCATGAGAGGGGGGATTTCACTGCCTCTGCGCTCGAAACGTTTCGTCGGCCACTCCATCGGTTGTGCAGCAATGGAAAGCAAAGACAGAGATTACGAAAGTTGCCAGCCCACCTACAGGGTGCGAGCTTGAGGTGACACCAACTGGCGAGATATATCGCATATGTTGTACCTCAATAAGCACCCCACAAGAACCGCCTTGCTATCGGCGTACCAACGAGCGTTACACTCTGTGCAGTTGTCGAACAACAAGATCTCTTAACTTGCCCTGGGAGCTCTCATCGGCGACCAACCAACACTCGTCCGAGGCTTTGGAACGGTATAAATGTATATACGGCGACAGCGAGGTTCTAGGAGTGTGAGAACGTTTCGAAAAGTGGCAGAACACAACAAGATACGTAAAGGTCAGAACATCACCGTAAGCAAGTCGCCAGTGTACCCGGCTGAGGCACCGTTGTCTTCTAACTGGACTGGTATATTCCTCCAGAATCACTGCACTTGATAAATGAACGTGAAAGGGATGGAAGTTCATTTCCTCCAGGGAGTTCTTTTCCTGCTCGGCGTAAAGTAAGGCGCTGGATAGTCCGGTTTGTTCCACTTTTATGAAGCCCAAGAAGCCTTGAAAGTCCCGTTGTCTCGAGTAAGGACGAAATAAAGGGCCAATGAGTTATACGGGTATCTATCTAGTTGTTATCACTAGGAGTATCCGACTGGCCCCTTAGTCGGCGAGCATCATCATCAAAATTCCAGAAGCCTTTCCACAGGGATCGGGATCCAAAGCCAACCCCGTCGAGCGATCGCGCCGTCCATCGCTTACACTCCAGAGGTATTACAGCCTGCTTGATTCAAACTTTTATGAAAGAGTCCCGCCAACACGATGATGTAGCACATCCTTCTTCTCTCTAGGACTTCAAATGCGTGGGTCCAGGCAAATCTGGAAAATCAGGCTGGCGGTCCAGGGCGAACTGCAGCCATGAATTAGCTCAATGAAAGCGCAGAGGAAGAAAAAGGCAACGACATACCCTGATGTCCTTGCTCATATCCATCACCAAAACTTCTTGCGCGAACAAGACAAAACACGTGTGTAGATCAACGTGTTCTTTGGCCGAGGCTTCAAAGACATGTTGACTCCGCCTGAAAATCGGGACCGAGGCGCGATCTTTGAGGAAAACCTTGTACACCAGGCAATAGCGTGGCATGCCTTGACCTCCAAAGTACGAGGAAAGATCAAACCTGTCCGATTTGACGCCAACGTTGGCCGTCAGTCGCCAGACGTCATCATGGCAGTGCCGCTCGAGAGCATCGACGAGAAGAGGACTCAGGGTGGCCTCCAGTTGCTCTCCTTCCATCTCCTGTCGGGTACCCGAGATGAAGCACAGAGCAACCGTCGCGTCTGCCTCGTCGACGCCGGTGTTCTCTCGGCGAGATGCAAGTCGCGTGGGGACGTGGACGTCTTTCTCGCGGGCCATCAGCACAATGTTGGCTTCGTAATCGGCAAAGTTGGCTCCGTCTGGGCCGACCTTCTCCTTGACGTGGTCGGACGTGAAGCAACGGAGCACATGCTCCCAATCTCTGAAGTAGATCTCCGTTGTATCATCGCGCCCGTGCCAGGGTTGGTTGGCATTCACGGGTCCGCCTTGTCGCGGCCCGAAAACCGAGTCAAATACATGGGTCTGGATGTACTTGCTATCAAGGTGCCAACCACATTAGTCAAGTTGTTGAATGAGATGGACCGCGGTAGGTACTCTTACTGTGGCTTGTCGTCTTTGTTCTCGGTCCCATCGGTGATGGCGCCATGAATGCGAAAGTGATAATCCAAATACTCCTTGCGCGTCAGGTTTGGCTTCCTTCTAATAGCAACGATTTGCTTGACTCCTGGTCCGAAAGACATGGTGATGAGATAGTGTTTCTCGCGGGGCAAGAGTCTTCTATCAAGGGTGGGGATCCCATTCTTATAGCCCCCAAAACCTACGATTGCAGCCAAGTCCAACTCGAGTTCTCTGCTTTGCGGATTGAATGTAGCCGTTGCAGGGAGACCTCGACATGTCTAAGGGAGAAAGCCGGGGATACGAGGTGGAGGGGTGTGGTGAAGTGCAGTGTGGGTGGACATCTGCCACACTACACCCGCCCCTCGTGTCATTTGCTTTGCTGCCGGTATCTCGCCAGTCTCTCCTCGTGTGCCTTCTGCTCTAAAAGGACTCAATATGAACAGGACTGGAGTATCTAGAGCGAGAGTCAGGGGGCACTAGTACATTGTGGGGAGAAATACATGTCAATCGACACACGGATAGTTGGATTGCTCCGGCTCCCACTTTGTGCTAGGTACGACTCGACACACGCACGAGGCGAACCTCGTCTCTTTTTCCGCACGAGTAGCCACAATGTGGAGATACAGTAGAATATCAAGCAGCCTCTGCTCTCTGGTCACCAAAACTACCTTAGGTCGGTATTGATGCATATATCGTTAATCACATTGAGCTTTGCGGAGGCGAAGTTCACCGCCAAGACAAGACCCACCACGCCGCCCCTCGTTCCGCCCCTCTTTCCGCTCCTCCCAGTGTGGATCGCGGCTTGGTGCCTCGGACTCTTCCACCTTCTAGTCGTATTGTGTATGGGTTATCAGAACAAGGAAGTGTATTTTCTCTTCACGGAGCTCTCTCCGGCAAATGGCCCGAATTCTCGAAAGGGCTGGGAGTGCTCGAGATGGTATCGGGCCAAAACTCGCCAGGTCTCGCACAAGAGTGTATAAAAGGCCAAGTATAATATACTGGCAGAGAGGGTTCGTTGGCATGAGTTCTATTGCGAGCACCAGTGACCTTGCGTGGGGATTACCGACTCTGGGGTTGATTTCTGGCTTGATAATCCGCACAAAACTTTGGAGTTCGTGGGTTCACCACCGCCTACCATGACAGTCGAAGGCGCTCCCTACGCACCAAGGACAGTTCTCGAGACTCTCTTCACAGAACTTCCAACCTTGCCCTCTGATGGCGCTGCAGCACAACTTGACGCCGCAGCAGCCGCAACTTTTGTCCAGTCGCTGTCCTGCCTGAACGAAAGCATCCTCGCCGAAAGAGCCCTATGGCGCGATACCTTCGCTCTCACAGGATCCTTGAGGACGTTCTATACACCTGCATCAATCATGAAAGGCTGGTCGTCGACATGCGCGACCCGGGAGGCCAAGAACTTCGCCTTTGTCCCTGACCGAATCAGACCTGTTCAAATCGGTCAGAATGGATGGGTTGACGTACAGTTTACCTTCAAGACAGAAGCTGCTCCGGCCGCACATTGTCGAGGGCTATTATCCCTGATCCACGACAGCCACAGCACATGGAAAATCTGGATGATACGAACCGTTCTCGACCAGTTGGAGGGGGCTCCGAATGTCGATAAACTCACCTGGACCGATTCGGGAGAGAAAAACTCAGTCACCCAGGCAAATGGCATGAACGGTGCCCTGGGCGCCAATGGTGCCAATGGATTGCATGCCAGCAAACAGCCGACGAAAATATATGATTGTGTCATTGTGGGTGCGGGTCAAGCAGGGTTGAGCTCTGCGGGTCGCCTCGAAGTATTGGGTGTTTCCTATCTCGTCCTCGAGCGGAATGCTAAAATCGGCGACAACTGGAAGAATCGATACGACTCAGCCAGACTCCACACGCCACGTGAGTTCGGCCATCTACCGTTTGATCGGACATTTTCAGGTTATCAAGAGTACTTGACCAAAGATGATCTTGCCAAAGGGTATCAGGACTTCGCTCGGAGAGCTGGAGTCGCCCAACAGGTCTGGTTGAGCGCCAACTTGGACTCTGGATCATGGGACGATCGAGAAAAGGTTTGGACTCTTCAGGTTACGCAAGGTGGAATCAAGACCATAAAAAGTCGAAATATCATCATGGCGGCCGGTGCTTGCGGTCAAACCCCGACCATGCCCAATCTTCCAGGCCGACTCGATTTTCAAGGCACAGTCATCCACTCAGCCGACTATAAATCCCCAGATCTCTGGAAGGGAAAAGCTGCCATTGTAGTGGGTTCCGCCAACACAGCCCATGACGTGGCTCAGGATATGGTCGAAGCAGGCTTATCATGCATAACCATGGTCCAACGAGCACGTACCTATGTCCTGCCAGGAGCCTACTACAAGACCTTGAGTGACATGTCATACAACACAACTATCCCGACATCGGAAGCCGACTTTGAATTCTTTTCAACACCTTATGCAGTCCTCCGTTTGGTCAGCAACCAAATCTTTCATGGAATGGCCAGTCAAGAGCCTGCTCGGTTCGACGCTTTGGAGGCCGCGGGTTTCCGGGTTGCAAGGTATGGCGACATCTGGTATCAGATCTGTGAAAGAGCAGGCGGTCATCACATGGATGTTGGGTGCTCAGAGCTGATTGTGAAAGGATTAGTGAGTAGTGACCAAACACACGCGTTCAGCTGGGCTGGGTCTCGCTAACAACGTCTACTTCTCAAACAGATCAAGATGAAGTCAGACGCCCTGCCATCGCATTACACTCCAACAGGCCTTGCATTCAGCGATGGGACCGAGATCCCGGCCGATGTTATTGTCTTCTGCACGGGCTTTGTTGGAAATGCAAAACCAGACATTGAGCGCATTTTTGGCCAAGGCGTCGCAACAAAGGTCGAGGACTATTGGGGTCTCAACGAAGAAGGAGAGCTCCGAGGCGCTTTCAAGCCAATGGGACGTATGTCTTTCGAATCCTGCCCCTATCTCACAGCCAGCAATACACGTACAACACTGACAGCTATGGCTTGAATAGATCCAGCATTATGGTACATGGGCGGCACGGTCGGCCATGCCAGATACTACTCCAGATTTGTCGCCTTGCAAATCAAGGCGTCGCTAATGGGCAATCCATTACCTCAATACAAGTAGAAAAGGAAGACCAAGGGAGGCTGGGTGGACACACCACATGATATTGCAAATCGGAAGACTAGAGAGTCAAAGTGGGCACCGGGTAAGCACCAGTGTTAGAGTCGAAATACATCGTCAAACAGAGAGATAGTCCAGATATCGGGTTTATTGGTCGATTTGCCAACCGGCATTACGAGCTGCGAAACACGGTCATCGACCAGAACAAGATGGTGTCTAATAGAAGATATAATTGGATTCGTGTGCCTCACATGGCGTACTAACCTGGATATTACACTTGCTGCTTCCCAAAGTCATCGCTGAAATCCCGGTCTGGTACTTCTCCTGCTGTTCAGAGCGTGGCAAACTCTTGCACTGGGACTCGTGAAGAGTCAATTCTGCTCGAGTTCGAACCATAATAATATGCAAGAGGTGAAAGACCTCATGTGTCTCTTCCCAGAGATGCCATGCCAACAAATGAAGTGGTCTGCAGTACGGCTATTCGGACGGTTATTCAACGTGCCCTCTTCAGCCTCGACACCGAATAAGTGCAACCGACCGCAAACTCGGTTGATGATCTTCTGTAAAGAGATCGTAACTTATCTCCAGCATTACTTTCTCGAAAACATGGTTCATCTAGCGCAGTTTGCAAACGCAACCACCAGGTCCACACACCCTCACCAAACTTCCACGGCTCTGCTGCCCCCCCCCCCCCCCCCCCCCCCCCCTTCCGACCCCCCCCTCCAACATCTCTTCTTTCGACAAACCCTTGCCAGGAGCCCTTTCCACCCTCGATTCTCTCCATCAGGCGATTTCCATGGTTTTTCGACATTTCAGGATGGTCCTCGGCAGAGAGGACCGTCATAGGGTGAATGGGTATGCAGTAATGCCGATGGCTACCCGACCCGTCAAAGGATAGACTATTTAACTCGAAAACGAGTTTCTCTATCGATGCCGCTCGCCATGTCCAGATTCGTTGAACGCATGGAATAATTCGTTCCAGACATACACCCATGCTGCGACCATATATTCTCCTTGGCCTTGCAGGGCTTGTTATTGCCTTCGTCCGTCTGCTTCGCGTCGGCCGTCGACCAAGGGACTACCCCCCAGGACCGCCGACGCTGCCGCTCTTGGGGAACATTCATCAGGTTACCTATCACCATCTCATCCTACAAAAGTGTTCTACCCACTAATTCTAGACCTAGATGCCTTCTCGTGATGCCCATCTGCAGTTTGAGAAGTGGGCCAGAGGATATGGACCGATCTATAGCCTCATCTTGGGAGCGAAGACCTTGATCGTCCTGTCCAGCGATGAAGCCATAAAAGAGCTCCTGGATCGACGAAGCAACATTTACTCTCACCGACAAGAGATGTACATCGGCCAAACATTGTGCAGCGACGGCCTGAGACTACTCATGATGGCATGATACAAATCTGAAGAAAACGTGACATGACTTACGAGGCTGACCGCTCTCAGGGATATGGTCCGACATGGCGCACAGTATGAGAGCATGCGGCTTCCGGGTGATACTGGCCCTCAGCTGACACAGGTGCCAGTACCGCAAGATGATCCACGGCCTGCTTAATGTGTCGGCGGCAAAGTCATACGTACCGTACCAAATGCTCGAAAATCGACAAATGCTACACCAGCTGCTTGCCGATCCCGAGCATTTCCTCCAGCACATCCGTCGCTACTCGAATGCACTAACGACAACCATGATCTATGGCTGGCGGACACCAACTTATGAGGACGACAAGATGAAACAACTCTTCGACGGCTTCTCCAAGTTCGCGGAAATCAACCAAACGGGGACTGCCGCGCTGATTGACTTTTGCCCCTGGCTGCGTAAGCTGCCCGACTTTGTCTTGCCCACACAGAAGAAGGCCAAGGAGCTTCACAGAGAGGAAAAGGCACTGTACTTGGGCCACTGGCTCACGGCAAAGAAGGCGGTGCAAGACAGCACCATCAAGCCTTGCTTCTGCGTTGGAATGGCGACTGCGCAGCAAGCGCAGGATTTCAGCGATGACCAGGCCGCCTATATTGCCGGGACGGTGCTGGAGGCCGGATCCGACACGACGTCCAGTACCTTGTACGCGTTTGTGCAGGCCATGGTGCTTTACGCAGACGTGCAAAAGAGGGCCCAAGAGGAGATTGATCGTGTCGTTGGAGATACGAGGATGCCCACGATGGAAGACGAGCCTCACATGCCGTATATACGGTGTTGTATGAAAGAGACGCTGCGTTGGATGCCCACCACCATCCTCGGCGCGGTGCCGCATGCGGTGACACAGGACGACTACTATATGGGCTACCTGATCCCCAAAGGAGCCGGAGTGATGAACAATGTGTGGGGAGTCAATATGGACCCGCAACGCCATCCGGACCCGCGGCGCTTCAACCCTGACCGGTACCAGGACGACCACCATGGCCTGTATGACTCGGCAGCGAGCCCGGATGCTTCGAAGCGCGACAACTTCACCTTTGGCGCAGGCCGCCGTATCTGTCAGGGGATCCACGTTGCCGAGCGCAGCCTCTTCCTGGGCATGTCGCGCATGCTTTGGGCGTTCCGCTTTGAGCCGACGACGGATGACCGGGGACGTCCGATCGTGCCAGATCCAGACGAACTGACCCAGGGATTTGTCTGCATGCCGGTGGAGTTTCCGTGCCAGATCACTCCGCGGTCCCAGGCCCGGGCTGAGATGGTGAGGAGGGAGTGGGAGGACGCGGAGAGGGAGTGCCTGGACGGCGAGACGAAGCAGTGGAAGACGGTACCGTCGAACGAGGGACCCAGAAGGCGTGATGGCGAGGGAAGTCAGTATCGTATCGAGCAGTCTCGGGCTAGATCTTGCGTCGTCAATTCCAGAAAAGTGAAAATCATTCAAAGTCATTGGCAAGCTGAGCACAACTTCGTGGGGGAAACTTTAACCCTCCAACTATCCCGTGAGTGTGATAGAGAAAAGACAGCTTAACTGTTGGGGAATTCTTCTCTGAATCCGTTTGGTCTCTGTTACCATTAGATACATCAAACCCGCTAGAAGTGCCAAACATACCGAATACCGCATCGTCTTTTCTCTCCAGACTTGACAGGCGTTCCCTGCCAAGCTATCAGTTACGTGAACGGATGAGGCAGATAAACAGCCTCATAACCCCATTCTCGTAGAGCGCGCAGAAATCGCTTGATTTGCGCTGTGACGAGGATTCCTGCCTCATTCTCGGTCCTCTCAGAGCGAGTACACTCGAGCTCCGTGGCCTGAATCGCTCTGCGCAAGTTGAGCTCCAGAGGGTTTCCGGCCACCTTCAGGATGGCGAGCCTGGTCATGTCGCATAATTCAGTTGGCAGATTGATCACCTGGTTACCCTCCATGGCGAGGATACGCATCGAGGTTAGTCTTGCAATTTGGGGCGAGATTGTCCCTATGTTGTTGCGGCTGACGTCCAAGATCTCCAGGAACGGCATTAGATATACAGCCTGGGGGATTTCGCGCAATATATTTTTTCTGAGGTTGAGATATCGCAGATGGGAGCACTCGGAGATTCGCGCTGGGATGTCCCGTATACCGTTGTTCGATAACGAAAGTCGTTTCACGTTTTCCTTGATCAACTCCACGACCGCTTCGGGCACAGTGGTCATATTCAAATGGCCGAGGTCGATGGTCAGGTTCAGCCTGAAGACATTGTTCGTCCCTTTGCTGCTGGATGCGATATGTTCGGTCTTTTGTCGGGCGTCGGCAATCTTGGTGCGCAATCTCTCGATGATCTGATCTTGAGACGGTGGCACAGCCTCCCTTTTCACATGTGGCGCGGTGCTCTTTGTTCCCGACGAGTGCAGAGAGTCGCTGATCAAGGCAGCCTGGGCCGGTTCGTCGCCTGTAGCTGGCGGTTGATCAAGACTATCGACAGGGAGGTCTGGTGCGATCGTAGACTCAGACTTCGATGCTAGAGGTGGCGTCAAGGTTACAGGTGGGGTGTTGGGATGTAATAGACTGGAAATGGACCAAAGCGGCTTGTCGGAAAATTCTGGGGTGAGAACTGTGAGATATGACAGGTTGGTGTCAATCCGACTGTTGACATCGTCTGTAAAACTGCTGTACATCTCTGCGCTTTCAGTACCGTCTGGAATCTCGTGAAGTCGCTGAAGCTCACTTTCCCGTAGCGGTAGCGAGATAACAGATATGGCTGATATTTCACTCAGACTTAGCCCGGAAAATATACTCCAGGCATGAGTCAGAGCAAGTGATGATCGGAAGGACATGTCGCAGGCATTCATTTCCACACGTCGATAAACTCTCGAGTCTCCGAGGATGAGCTCGAATTCAGCTGGAACGTTCTCAAAAATGCTGATCGGGCGAGTGATTGCCGCAATTTCTCCCGCACGTTGCCAATTGCTGGGTCCCGGCCTGATTGTTACGTTGTCATCGTCGTCGTCCTCGTTACGTTCAAAGAACCTAATGGACGCTGGTTTGATGAGCCCATTGGCTTCGAGCCTTGCAAGACGATCGCGCATGTCTTCATTCTGGTCGAGCACGGCCTGCATCATTGAGATGAGCTTTTGATGCGATTGTTGCGCCTCTTGGTCGGATTTGCTATCGACAGATCAGCGTCGGACTGTTCATTTAGAAGAGTGCAAGCCATTACCATTGAAGGATATCCATGATCATCGACAACGAGCTCTTATGTTGTGACATCATATCCATGATGCCTTGGATACCTTTCTCCTTCCTCAGCCACTCGACTCGCAACTTCGTCCAATCCCACGAGCCCCCAGCTTTTGTTTGTCTGAATGGATGCACTGCTTCTTCGAGATCGAGAAACGTTATTGTGGTCTGTGTTACTACAACGACCAGATGGTCCAGTTCGATCATGGATTTCCTCGACGGGTGTAAAGCAACCAAATTGTTCAGAAGAGAATGCATGGAGGACAGAACGAGGCCCATCTCTTTGACCAAGAACGTAGCAGCCCTAAGAGACTGAGGCGCGTTTTGATAGTCTCCGACTAGGCTGTTGAGGTCCAGACCCAGCCTGAGGGCTATTGAGAGCGCCTTGACGATGGCCATGGACAAGGTCAGGGGGTCCATCCTGACGAGTCTCACGTGAGGCAATCCTCGTTGAATCTCTCGTGATGAGGGAAGGACGAAGGAAGAAGTCTCAAAGCGAGAATTGAGAATTGTCAACAAGGAAAGTGGTCTTCAGGCACCCGGAACGTGGTGAGGCTGTGCCGCGCCACAATCTTGGCCAAGGGACCAATCGAGGCAAAAGGGACAATCCTGGGTTCGAATTGTAGGGATTTGGACAAGTGAGCGCTTGGTACCTGGTGCTAATAAAGAAATATGACTATGCTGGCAACGTTGGGTGCATGTTGACAGAGTCTACTGCTCATTCTACAGTATGTAGACGGATGAGGCTGGAATCTGCTCGCAGCAGACGTTGATGAGGCTGGGCGAGCGCATATTTAATCCACCGTACCGATTCATACGGCCAGCCATAGACCTACTTGCGCTCTTTCGGAAAGACTACTGTACCTCCATAGCTTCGAAAGATATGCTTTTGTCGTTGTATAGCATCTGTTATTTTCTTCCATTCCTTTTTATTCTGAGTTAAAGCCAGGTGCTTCCTGGTTAGCTTTTTGCATCCGCTCTAGGATATCTTCCCCACGCTGTCAAGATTGGAGCGTTTCTAGTCTTCGTCCAACTCGGGATAATGCCTGTAGATTCCCATGCTGTACTTCTGTCTCCTGTCACTCTCCAGGTAGCTCTTGATCTTGTCCAGTGCCTTGACCCTCTCATAGAGTGCAAACACCTTGCCATACTTCCCACTGCTCTTCAACTTGCCCATACACTTGGGGAAGGCATAGCTCACTCCGTCCACCGTCTGGAAGAGCACCAAGTCCGCATAGGTCATTTTCCCGCCGTACAGCCACTCCCCTCCGCCCGAAGCTGGCCCCGAAAGGACTCGCTCAAAGTACCCCAAAAATTTGGGCAGGCGGACCGCGCGGTAGTCGGCGGCCTTCTTGAGAGCCTCTTCCTTCTGTTCTTCGTAGTAGGCTCCACTGGCGATGGGGTGGTGGACATCGTGAGGCTCATTGGAGAGCCCGTCAAGTGCCGTCAATGCCAGTGCGTTGACGTGGTACATTCCAACACTATCGTCGGCGACGTCGGGGACCAGGCCGAGCTTGGGACCCAAGTAGGCGAGAATATTGGGCGTCTGGGACAGGAGGATATCATCTCCATGTTGCAGAATGGGTGGAGCCAACGGCGGGGGGTTATTGTCGTCCCCAATGTTTTTGTCGCTGATTTGGGCCATCACTGCCTTGACGCCGGCATCCGTTCCGTTGGATACGTCGACGTAGGGAGTGCCTGTGGCTTCAAAGGCGAGGCGGATGTGCTCACCTCGGCCTGGAATGCCGGGCCAGTAAATCAATTTGTAGGGCATCGAATCGCCCGTCTCGGCGGCTGCGCCAGCGCCGGTTTTCTGGCGTTTGGAGGAGCGCGTTGATGTGGCCATACTGAAGCAACGCTCGCAGATGAGGGGTTGGAAGGAGAATGAAAGGCGATTGATCTTCCCGGAAAGGCTGCAGTTGGCGGCCGGTAAGCGAAAGGCTTTGAGTAGCGGTTGTCGTGAGCTTTGTGCGAGCTTGGAGATAATTAGAGCAGATTGTCTCATCAGAGACTTTTGGCGACTGGACAAGGATGGGAAGATGGGCAAAAGCAACCAAGTTCACGTCATACGATGGGACTGATGGAGGCAGTGGTGGGATGATGGAGCTGGACGTCCTTCGTGCTTGGATGCCGAAACCCCTCGGGACGTTGAACATTGTTTTTCCGGTGCCGGCGGCCTACCCCAATCTGCGAGTCCCCGGAGCCTCCAACTTCCACTTCCCCAGCTGCGATGCAGTGGCACTGCCCAACGTCCCCAGACAGCGATCATTGGCCATGGTGGCTTCTCGATCGACATCATCATGCACGGCCTCTTTGTGGTCCAGAAGTCAAGAGGAAATCTCACACGGCAGAAATTTATCGTAAAAGGCCAACCTCCAGTGGCAATCAACTCCAAAGTGAACCGTAGCATTGACATTGAGCAGGCAAAGACTGCGTTTCGAAATGACTTCTGTGCAAGACTCCCTCATCTTCGGCAACATCCTCTCCACCCGGGAATCCGCCGCGATCTGGTCAGACAAGACGCGTACACAGTGCTATCTCGCATTCGAAGGCGCCTTGGCCAAGGCGCAGGCTCGACTGGGCATCATCCCGCAAAGGGCCGCCGACGAGATCATCAAGTTCTGCCTGGACATCCGGAACGTGGACTTTGACGACCTCCGCCGACAGACCGAGCTGATCGGGTACCCCGTGCTAGGCCTGGTCAAGCAGTTGGTCAAGCATATCAATGGGATCGAGCCGGGGCTCGGGGAGTGGGCGCATTGGGGAGCGACCACGCAGGATGTGACGGACACGGCGACGGTGATCCAGCTATGGGACACGATGAGTCTCTTCGAGAAGTCGCTCGAGGAGATTATTGCCGCGCTTCGGCACCTGGCCGACAAGCATAAATCCACCCCAATGGCCGCCAGGTCGAACCTGCAGCAGGCTGTCCCCATGTCCTTTGGGTTCAAGCTGGCCAGGCTTCTCGCGACGTTTCTTCGACATCGTGACCGGCTCAAGGACGTTGAGGAGAGGGTGACAGTGCTGGAATTCTCGGGGGCGGCAGGCACCTTGGCCACGTTACCGCCCTCGCAGGATCTCCCCTTGCTCGGGCTCGAATGCCAACGCGAATTGGCCAAAGACTTGAACCTCAAAGTCCCCGAGATCGCGTGGCACACGGAGCGCGACCGCATCGCCGACTTCGGTTCCCTCTGCGCCATGCTCACGAGCACGTGCGCCAAGTTCGCGCTGGACGTCAAACTCATGATGCAGACGGAAGTGGGCGAGGCGTCGGAACCGTACGTCCCGCACCGGGGGTCGAGCAGCACCATGCCGCAGAAGAGGAACCCGATCTCGTGCGCGTACATCACCGCCATGTCGGCGACGGTCAGGCAGCTGAGCACGAGCCTGTTCGAAGCCATGGTGGAGGACCACGAGCGCAGCACGGGGCCGTGGGAGATCGAGTGGATCGTGCTGCCGCAGCTCTCGACCCTGACGCACGCCACCCTCAAGCACACGGCCGAGCTGCTCGCGGGGCTCGAGGTGCACGAGGACGCGATGAAGAAAAACCTCGACCTCTCCAAGGGCGGGATCGTCAGCGAGGCCGTCATGATGGGCCTGGGCAAGACGCTGGGCCGCCAGTACGCGCACGACGTCGTCTACGACCTGTGCCGCAAGTCGCAGCTCGAGGACCGGCAGTTGCTCGACCTGCTCTGCGAGCACGAGGAGATCGGCAAGAAGATGTCCAGGCAGGAGTTGGCCAAGCTGTGCGACCCCGCAAGCTATCTCGGGTACAGCGAGGCCATGGTCCAGAAGGTGCTCAAGTTGGCCGATGAGCCTCCTCAGCAGAGGAAGCCCAGTCTGGTCTGACCCGACCCGGTACGGACGTGTTTCGGCCACAAGTCGACCGTCTCATGCTCCCGGGCGCGCCTGGGGCAGACTGCGGACCCTCTACTGCTCGGCTGGCACAGCAAAATTGCGTAATGATTCGACTCACTTGACCCTGCTTTACGGTGTTTTTTTGGGTTGGGTAATATTGGGTGGTATTGAATCAAAAAGTTTACGGTTTGTCAGCGTTAAAGTATTCCTCTTCAAATAATGCATATGTGTGTGTGCTAAATACACATACAAATGCGCTACGGAAGAAACTTCAAGTCCATCATCGCTGCCATGGCCCGTCTCCACCCGGGCACGTTGGGCGAAACCCTTCATCCAGAAGATATTGCATGTCCCACTGTCATTCGCTTATGCTCTGCTGGTGCATTGACTATGGATGTACTGTGATCTAGCTAGAAGCCTAGTGCCTGGTTGAAGGCGTCGGCAGCCGCCTGGCCCGTTTGCGCCTGTGCCGCGGTGGCGCCCTGGTTGCATGCGTCGAGGGCCTGTTGGGACGCTTTACACTTGTCGTTGAGTTGCTGGCCTGCGAGGGTATCCGTGTCAGCCATTATGGCCCAATCCATCGACATGCCCAGACAGCCAGGAACTCGAGAAGAAAGTGGTCGGGACAATAGTGGGCAGTATGCTTGTAAAAAGACGAAAGACAGTGACTTACAAATAAAGTCCGTAATGACCTTGATACCCAGCGCGGACCCGTGCGGGAAGAGCGTCTGGTCGTGAGGCTCGAAGGCTGGCTGGTTGCGCCCGTCCAGACCGTCGGCGAACTGCATCTTCTGTAAGCGTGTGCCGGTCGGTACTCTGCTAGGGGGTTGATTGCAATGATCTCGCCGGAAAAAGGGAAGATGGTTTTCTCAAACAAGGAAAAGGTTGACTTACGATAATAGTCGGGTCGGGACATGAACCGAAATCCAGGCTGGAGGATCCCGTTGTCGTACTGGAAGTGCTCGTCGTCGTCTCACTTGCGGCCGCCGTCGAGGTAGCAACCGCCGCGGCGGATGTCGTAGTGGCAGCGACGGTAGCTACCGTAGATGAGGCTGATGTGGTACTGTCGGCTGCAGCAGGGGGCGCAGCGCATTCTGTCGCCGCCGCCGAGTCAGCTCCGGCAGAAGCAGTGGCCGAGGCAGCGACGGCAGCATTGACCTCATCTTCGGTGGCGTCCTCGACAAGCAGATTCTGGGTGAAGATGCACCCGACTGGGTCGTTCTGGTCGTCACAGCTGTTCCCTTTTGCAGTCGGGTCACCGATCGTACCGGGAGCAAAAGTGCCGGACTGCAGGGCGTCGAGGGGGTTGCCGCCGATGTTGGCAATCTGAACAGCGAGCGCCAGAGCGATGTCTTTGTTGACAGTGGCAGCGTTGTCAGAGGCTGGGTCTTGGTGCTGGGAAATGGCCGCGATTTCCGGATTGACGGCTTGGATTGCCGTACAAGGAACCGACGTCTGTCCAACAGCTCCGGTATTGCGTTCGAGGGCTCTGTAGATCAAAGCAGCTGTCATACCGTCAACATCCCCGGCAGCTTTGGCATTGGTGAAGGCTCTGTCGGCGGTAGCTTGCTGAAGACAATCCGTGTTGGATATGTCGCCCTGTCCGGCGGAAGCGGCAGCGTTGCCGAGGAGACCAAATACAGCATCCACAATGTTGTCCGGATTGTCCGTCTTCAGGAATTGGTTGACAGTCGTGAGGAATTTCTCGTGTGAGTGTTCTTGTGGCACCTCACGTCGCCCAAGTTTTGTATTCCAGACCGGAGATCGGGTCTGCATGCCATGGTTTTGACTCCGCTTGATATGCAGGTTCGCAGGACGGGCAGCTGTGACATCAATGCCTGCAGCGAGGAGAACGGAAAGACAAATGACTGGTTTCATTTTGGTTGAGTGTCGTTAGACGCTTATGTTGTCGTAAATCTCGTAGAGAGCGTGGACTGATCGCAGATCGAGTTTGTTGAATCCGGTGTGGTAATACAATATAGGCCACAGGCCTGACCAGTTCTCCAGGAACGACTTTGAATTGAACGGGAAAGATGCAAACGGAAAGAGAATGTGAAGGTGAGAACGAATGGTCGCGATCGAGCTGAGTCAACAAGCTGGAAAGACATACAAGGGCACTGAAAGAAGCCGGTGCATATATACTCCAGGGCCTCGGGCTGGTCTACTCCGTACCTGGACACTTTCCGCATAAACTCCCTCGATCCAGCACTGGCGTGCCTCAAACGTCTGGGACTCTGCACCATCAGCTCTAGAGAAAAGTCTGTCCCTGCCGTGACGAAATCTTAGCGAGGAATGGGGACAGGTCTGACCATCAGAGCTCCATCCATCATGTGTCAGTGGATGCCATAGGCCGGCACCATGGTAGGCAGGGATGTCAAGATCCGGAACAGAGGCTACCGGTCGGTGTCCCTGTCACGGAACAGATGAACCAGGCTGGCACGTGGCACCACATCGAGCTTTGAGCCATTTTTTGAAGCCTCAGGCTCGATTTCTGGGGAACAACGGCGGTTGGACGAGATTGCTTTGGTGTGTGAAGGAGTCGAAGATGGGTGAAGGGTGTATCATGTAGGAGTCCTCGGCCAGATCGTGCAGCGTCTCGGGTCTGGGAACCATGGCGGCTGAAACGCCGGAAGGGCAATGGAGCGACCGGCTACTGTAAACTCTGAACGAGGGGACGGGATGCTGTATATCTGCTTCGATGGGCCAGGAAATGTCCCCGTCCGTTCTTCAGAACAAAGGCGTATTGAAGAAACATTCTCTCAATTGTATCGGCTGGTGTGTGTTCCTGTAGAAGGAGGAGGGAGAAGAACAGGAGCAGGAGATACAGATATTGAGCTATTCCGTTCTAAGTATGGAGAATTCTGAGGAAGCCTTGGCAGCGGGTCTCTGATTAGGGCGGCATGGCTTTTTACCTTGATCCGGAATGCCTCAGATGCACACACAGCTTCGTCCTCTCCCATATACTATTCGATTGAGCCAACTGCTCTGTCCCCGAACAACAATAACAACTCCTATTCGAAACTACAGAATCGCTCAGACACCTCACACGCTTTGCAATGGAAAACGCCGTGGCCACTCTGTCCCCGTTGTCATCAAGGTCGTCCAGGAGTCAATCATGCGAATCGTATCCAAAATTACCAGGCTGGGCCAGTCTCGTGGCACCACCCCATGAGAGCCAAGATCAGCCAGGACATTCATCTTCCGCCGGCACCCATTCGGGCAATACCCTCCAAGATGCGGCCCCCATATCCAGTAGCTTTGCTGTTGCTTGAAGGCGCCTTCAGGCCGGAGCCGGGGGCTGGAATACCCGAGTATTTGCCAGCGGTGGGCTTTTGCAGCATGCTTACTGGTCGAGGTCGTCCTGGCAAAGCTGTCCTGGACTCTCCACCGTTTGTGCTGCTCTTGAATCTGTTCGGACTGGCTAAGGCGGACGCTGAATTTGGTCGCCCGTTGCCATCCTCACTCCGAGGTGGACTCACGGGCTGTTGTGGTTGTTGCATGACGCGCTGCTCTTCTTGCTGAGCACTCATTGTCAGGAATAGATCCACCTGGGCGACCAACTCGCCCTTCTCAACCCTTTCTTGTTCAATCTCCTTGCGCAGTGAATCGGTCTCAGCGGTGAGCGAATCAACTTGGCCTCGAAGCCCTGCTGCCTCGGCTTCGAGCATTTTCTTCTCAGCGTTGGTCTCCTCGTTCCACCGCCGAAGCTCTTCAATCTGCCCCTCCATCTTGGACATAGCTTCGCTTTGACCCGGAATAATGCCGCTCATGGTTGCTTCTTTTTCCGTTTGAAGCTTGAGTACCTCCTCTTGAGATGCTTTAAGCTCCATTCGAAGCTGTTCGACTTGCTTGATCCATCTCTTCTCGTAGCTAACCTTGAGGTCCGCCACTTTGCGCTCGTGTTTGCTCTTGTATAAGGCATGCAATTCGCGAGCCACTTTTTCTGTGGCGTCCTTGACGGCAAAATCAATGTCAGTGCTCACCCCGGGCGTTGCAGGACCGCTTGACTTGTCGGGGCTCGGAGTGCACTTGATGCGTTCAGAGCGTAAGGTGTCAAGGGAAGCCTGAAGCTCAAGAATCCGCACTTCGTGCTCCTCTGTCTTTCGCTCAGCTTCTTCGGCTTGTTTTCGAAGCTTTTCCTTTTCCCGTTCCTCGAGAAAGATGTTCTGTTTGACCTCCCTAAGGACTTCCTCCATCTCTCGACTGCGGCGCTCCAGCTCTTCCTTTGCATGTTCCAACTCTTCCCGAGAGGCACGCTCGTTTCGAAGTTCCTCGCTGGTCTTTCCCACTCGCACTTCCGCATCAGTGACGGCACGTTTCAAAGCCATCACCTCCGCCTCTTTGCCCGATAGAGTGGCTTCGAGACCGGAGATTCGCGACTGCAGTTCGGACCGCAGAGTTTCCAGCTCTCGGGGCGTGATGGTGGGAATGGAGCGTGGCGTGGCCATTGGCTCAAGGTCGATATCCAACAGGTCCATTCCCAGCCCGGTTGTTGCGCCATACATGCTGTGCCTCTGACTAGCAGGTGTTGATGGGATAGGTTTGTCTCCGAATAGAGCCTGGTCCTGCTTTTGTGGAGAACGACCTGAAGCTCGTTCGCGATCCACCGAGGCTTGAGACCGATGAACGGGGCTTGGATTGACTTTGATCGGGAACCCTTTCCTCCCAGAGGGGCTTCTTCTGATGGGGCGCTGTACAGAGCCGGGAGGGGGCATCAAGATATTTGATTGCCCCGTGAAATTCATGAGATCGGTTGGGGAGTCGTTGAAATAGGTATTTCTTCGGGGGGTTGCTTCGTCCTCCTCATTTGATGAGATACTCCTCCTAGACGCAGACAGCAGACGCAAGGGGCGTTGGGCAGTGCCGGGAGTACTAGTGATTACAGATGGTCTGAGTTGTTTGGAAGGCGACCAAGGCTCCTGCCGGGACTGGGACGGAGTGTCTCTCAGGTTTGCGAATCTGGTCAGGTCTGTCGGGATGGCAGAGATGGTGCTCAGATCTCCAATTGTGTCATCGTGGATAGTTTTGTCACCCAAACTCAGAGTCAAGGTCATAGTATCAGATGCCTCCCTGGCAGGAGTTTCGCAATCTGTAGATATGTCGACCCCATCGTCGAGAGAGTGGTGTATTATTGACTCGTCCAAACCATCATCTTGCGCAGCTGCGTCTTTCTGCATCGCGTCGATCGCACGCGTGAGGCCTTCATTGAACCGCACCGTGGGCTCGGCAGGGGAGCCTGGGGGAGAGCTGTCGACTTTTGATTCGTCTTGTAAGCGGTATTTGATGGGCGACAGTGGCTTCCTCGGACTAGAAGGTTGACTGGAGAGCGTCGGGGACGAGATTGGAACGTCCATGACAGGAAGGGAAATATTGGTAGGATTGATCGAGGCGGACTGCGCAAGAGTAGTGGTGGTCATGGTGCTAGGGGATTTAAGAGCTTCTGGAAGAGGCTTCTGGGGAAAATCGAGCTTGACAGGGGAGGATCTGGAGTTCTGCTTGGCGGGCGACAGGGAAGATAACGGCTCAGGCATCGTGTCGGTGAGGGACATGGCCGGGAGCTAGGTCATTGAGAGAGGTACGGACGCAGGATTGAGAGACGAGGACAGCCATGAGAGTGTGAGCGAGTGAATTCGAGTACGATGATGAGGGTAATTACTGTGGGGAGGTGATGTTATCCCAAGATTGACTTGTTGGTAGCGCAGAGGACGTGTGTCAAGGCACGCCTCGCTGTCGTTGCGCTGGGTGACAAGAGGCCACCGAGACCAAGTTGCGGTGATAGAAACTCGCTTCGCTTCCCCTTCGTTCTGCCCCTTGTCAATATTATTGGGATTGCACCCGGTGGACCCCGATCGGATAAACAATGCCAAGGCGCTAGAGGGCAGCTAGTCCCGTAACGGCTTTGTACCTGAATGCCTCGCGCTCCTCAGCCTGCGCCCTGCATGGCGCGTCTCGCCCTCCTCGCATCCCATCAGCCGCACCCAGTGAACAGATGCCAACACATCGAGCTGTTCTTCTCCTGCATATGACCTGCATCGATGCCCCTCCGCATCTCAGCTGCTGAGAGGCTGGGCGCCGCCACACTCTCAACGCTTATGCATCTCTCCCCTCCGGCTTGTCACCCCTCCTACATATCTCCTGAGGATCCTCGCCACACTGACGGATCTAATCTCATATCCGTGATGGTTGTCCTTTCCGCAGACGCGCTGGCTTTGGCTTCAATCTTCTGCTGTCTCTCTTTCCACAGGAGTCGGGCCACTCCATTCGCTGCCAGCCGAGCCCCTTCACTGCGCGACCCTCTCCAAATGCCCTCCTTGACAAGACTGTCGTCTACTTCCACGTCCCCTGCAGTCTGATAGTTGAAACCTGCATCTGCAGGACCATACCTTCTCAATATTTGCGATGCCCAAAGTGGGCCTTTCCAGATAACATGCTCGGTCAAAATCGCATGATCGATGTTGAACGAAGCGCCGCTGAGGCTGCCAAAACTGCTGACGCTGGAATCCTTAGGTCTAAACAAGAAGACAGTGCTCCAGAGCCGCATTGAGCAAACACTAATAGCGCCTATGAGATCTTCCAAGTCCTCTAGCGCGAGATCCTGTTTTAGGAAATGGACGAATCTTTCCGAAAACTGCTTTGAGAAAGAATGCCCGGCGTCAGGGGCAGGGGCGAGCAAATCTGCCATTGTCGAATACGCAACCCCTAGAGACGAGTTCAGCACCTGGCTGAAGATTGCAAATAGCACGAAAGGCTCTCGCTTGCCAGGTCGCAAGTTTGGCGCCGCGGCCTGGACGGGGTGTCCGATTGCCCTGTCCAAATCCGCGGCAAGGAGTCTGGTCATGCGCAGAAGATTGCCAAAGGCCATGACATGGACGATGTCCGGCTGCCGGATCCCAGATGTGGATTTATCACCTGCCCTCTGCGAGAGGTACAGATCCCGTACTCGCGCACTGATGCCATATCCGAAGCACAGATCATCGAGCAGTAGATGGGTTTGGCGGTCCGCTAACGCCAAAGCACGCGAATTGCTCAACCTGAGGTTTGGAAGGTCTCCGTTGAGGTTGGCATACCGCACAATCTGCGCCACGATCTCGGTGGGCAGTTCGGAGAGGGAAAGCATCCTGAATGAAAATGGGACGAGGCCTGTGAGTACAGATGAGTGTGTCTACGAGTAGGTTCTGGCATTTATATGTAGTGTCACTAGCAGATTGTCCTCGTTGCATACTCCATTGGAAATGAGCTGATTAGTGGCGGTGGTTGATTACTACTCTATCAAAGTATGGCGCCATCGCCACATGCAGTAATTGTTGTTACTCTATTCTACCAGCCGATTACTATCGTTCTCGGGATCTGGTCTCGGAGGCCTCTTTGACTCTCTCTCTCTCTCTCTCTCTCTCTCTCACGACTTCGATAGGGAGCGAACCGTTGGTCCTCATCTTAAGGTCCTCAATGCACTGGCTGCAGCAAGTTCCAGAGGGCGGCGGTGGAAGAATAATTTTCCGCATTGACAAGATATCGGTCGTGCCTGTTGTAATATTTCTACACTCTTTAGGTCCACGCTCAACGAGGAATACTTCAGCAGCTCACACTTCGTCAGATCGTCCCTTGATCCGACCGGCTTCGAGGTCTGCGCCGACCCTTCAGCGACTCTTCACGGCTACAGCGACAGCGAGCCGAAAACCTTTACCAGTCACCGAAACCAAGTCGGAATTTTAGGAGGTTGTATCCTTTCGCTCCGCAACCCTGTCTAGGGGGTTTAAATGGTTCTTTTCGTCGTCATGGCTCCTTAGCATTCCTTGGAGAGAACACTTCGAGAACTAGTATTAGTATTAGGCAAGTCCGTAAGATCTCTCTGTTCGTACAGTTACAACCCGCATCAGTCAGGATTAGTGTCTCAATCCCTTTCCGTTCAGCCAACAGATGGAATATCGCGCCAGTTGTGGCCGATTATTAGGACACCATAGGAGATAAGGACACCTATGTATGAGGAATATAGTCCTGGCAACATCGGGCAGCGCCGTCATGGCTTGACCAGCTTCCACCCTAATAGTGATGATACAAGAATTCCTGGGGAGAAAAATTTAGTAAATCGGTACGGAGTCTGTTGGGATCCGGCTTTTAGCTTTACGTACCCATGACGAGAAACATCATAATAGTAGCTACAGGGACGTGTGCTCCGCTCCGGAACACATTCAGATCGCGCGGCTGGTGGCTAGCCGGGGCCATCGCTGGCATAGAATGGGGAGTTGATTCAAGCTCTGGGCATATCGTCCCTGGTTCGGGCAGGGCTCCTAGAGCATGCTTCGATGGTTGGTCTGTCGGTGACGGCGAGTTTGGGTATGACTGTGATGAAAAGTTGGTCAGAGGTGGGTTTCTAAAGCCCGGGTAAAGATCCTGCTTGTTGAGACATGGGGTTCTTACCGATCCAGGGAAGAATTCTGAAGTCGGCCAAGCAAGTTTAGGCTTCGGTAAGGGTCTGAAATCTAGATACTTGTCCTTGTCGTCTGAGTTGCTGGCCTCGCAAAAAGATTCGGACCGAGACGAATATTTCGATTTAGCGGGGGCTGGCAGCAGCTTCCTGGCACTTTTCCTCGAAATTATGCAGCTTTCGTCCCATTCCTGTTTGTACTCGGAGTAGGTGGGAAGACGGTTAAGAACATCTGTTATGATCGATGTCCGCTGCGGTTGCATCTCCAGGACCTGTCGCAAAGAGACGACCGGATGAGCCTTCCAATCGCCAACCCCTTTGTGAAGTGGGCTGAAGAAGATGAAGCCTTTCTTGACACGGAGCCAGAGACAAAGCTGGCTAGATTTGGTGTAGTAAACATAGGGATCTATATCATGCGAGAGGAAAAGTTTGAGCATCCTAAATGCATCTTCGTCGTACCGGACTGCCAGAGAACAATCCAGCGTTGCATCTAGCGTAAAAAAATTATAAGGAAAATATCGGGAGTGTTCAGTCAGCCCAAATATGGGGTTCCATGTGGCGCCTTGTTGGAGAAGAATGTCAACAACCGCGAAGAACTCAGATGTATCGAGAGACTGACTGTATGCGGGTTTGAGCCTGTCAGAGAGCATGAAAACGAAGCCGCAGAGAGCGTGGTCAAGCAATCGGTCCAACATATTATGTAGAACGGCACTTCGACGAGCAACAAGTCCGTCAAGGAAGATCTCTTGGGAACCGCGATATGCAAAGGTGCCGTAGAGATCGTTGTTGGCGATCACCCTTCCATTGCCCGATAGTGAGACCTTCCAAATGTAGCCAAACGTGCCACTAATCATCCAGCCTGAATCCCCCCATTGAGGATTAGAGTTCGCATATCGCAAAACAGAGTCGAGATCGTCGAGAAACTCGAAGTCCGGAGGTCTACCTTTAAGGAATGTTCGGTGAAGAGCAACGACCAAGCGTGCCATGGTCACACCCACATCTGTACTCCGGAGATATTCGTCGTGAAGGGCAAACACGGATTTGAGCTCAGCTAGGAAGCTGTGACAAATAAGCCGAAGGATGCTAGTATTCTTCTCTTCGTCTGCAGTCGACTTTCGGATCATTCGCCGGAAATCGGTGTCTCTATCAGATTCGGGTTGGGCTTCCAGAAAGTCGAGTACGGAGCGATGGAGGAACACGACGCGCTCCTGGAGGAAGACTGGATATTTTTCGCTGAGGTGGCTGCGAAGTCGCGTCTCGAGAAGGCCCTTGCAGCATGGCACAAGCTGGTTACGCATTCGCGCTATGCGATAGTTTAGGTCTTCCTTATTCAGATCCTTTCTGAGTGCATATTTCGGGTCGTTTTCGAGATCTTCCAAGAACGAGTATCTTAGGAGAGTGGGGCCCATGTCAGGGCAAATCCTTCTTGTGGCCAAAGCAAAGGAGAAGATGGTAGCCGCCCTTCTTCTGTATATAGCATCAATATCATCGAGCATGTACTGAAGAAATCCGTCCAATCGGGTTGGCATCGTATCCATCCGTTGGCGGAGCATTGCTGGTGAATCTCTAAACTGGGCGCCTTGAAGCAGAGATTTTAAGACCAGCGTCACCCATAAGAAGACTCCCTCCGCTCTTGTCACGATCTCGTCTACCAGTTCGACAAATTGAGGGCCTGTAGTAGACGCGTCGTGGAGACCATGCTTGAGGGTGTCCTCGACTACTAGGGTCATATCGTTTCTCGTGAGTTCGTGCAGTCTCAGCCGGCGCCTAGGAGTTTCAGGAATGGTCTCGTCAAGGATGTTTTTGAAGATTTGCCAGTCTCGGCTGGAGGCGCAGATCTTCACATCGGACCCAGAAGTTGCCCAAGTAGCTATGGTGCTGACGAAGTTGCTGTAAACGGTGAAGTTGTGGTCCTGTTCACTGCTCTCATCGAACTCGTCCAGGCCGTCAATAAAGAAACAGAATCGCCGGGATTGGCATGTCGATTCAGACTCCAAAAGTTTCTTAAACCGTGATTGGACCATATCAAAGTCAACACGGATTTCGCCATCGAAGGGCACATTCCACTCTTTCTCGTTGATCAGTTTGTATTCGTCCGGAAAGGTGGATTCGATGAGGTCGGGAGCCTGCTGAAGGATGGTGTAGAGAAGGGCTTGGGTCAGGCCTTTTAGTGATCGCTGCAAGGGATTTCCGGCCCGCCAAAAGAAGAATTTGCCGAATATCAGCTGCTTCGTTCCAGCCCATGCGTCGAGAAGCTCCTTGGTTTGCTTCTTGTCGCAGAGGAACTTCATGAGGGTGCTTTTCCCGGAGCCTGCTTTCCCTTCCACATGGAATATTCCACCCTCAGCTCGCAACCACTGGGTGAAAGACACCTTGGCTGGCGGGGTTGTTCCCTCCACCTGGGCTCCGGATGCGCAATCATCGAATATCCACGCAAACGTGTTGTTATGCTCCGGCTTGACATCATCGAATCGTTCATTCATTTGCGGGAAGCGCAGAGCCTTGAGGATAACCTGTCGACACTTTGCTTCTCGCACACTGGAGCAGAATTTCTGAAACTCATGGTGGATAGCACGAATATTCTCGGCGGTGTCCGCCGTTGACTGGGCATTAACGGCATCCTTTAGCCCCTGGAGTTCGTCCACGATATTTTCTTTCGATACCAGCAATTTCTGTAGATTGTCCTGCATGGACCCCTGACGTTCTCTGTTTGGAGTTTAGATTGCATGCCAGAGACGGATGGAAAGGGTTTCAACTGACTCGAGTAGCAAGTTCAACTCCACCAACAGCAGGGCACGATAGTCATCGAGCGTCTCACGGACCGCTTTTATCTTGTCCGCCTTCTTCCAGGATTGATATGCAACACGTATGCTCTCAGTCCTAGACCCCTGCCTTTTGACCTTGAGAGGCGCCAGAACGTCTTGGAGTGTTTTGAGCAGCTCTTCACATTTCGTGGCCAGGTCGTTCAGAGCCTTGTGCTGGGGCGATGATGGTGTTTTCAACCGCCCGTACGCCTCTTCCAGCCGCCCGACGGTGTTGAAGAGCTCTGAATTGCTTGAAGTCATCCCCGAGGTGGAATTATAGACTTGGACGGCGGTTGAGACGACCGAATACCCCATTCCGATGAATTGGAGGATATTGGCGGCGAGGCCAATTGCGGCGAGCTCTGCCATCTCGATTCTCGTCACCTAAGCCGATTTCCAACTTGAGAAATACACAAGCGCTTGTATGGTGCCAGCCGAGCACAATGTCGTTGTTAGGATTGATAGATGAATGAACGAGTGTTACGACGGGCAGCTAGGGATAGACATGAGCAATCGTCTCTCTCCTGCAACCGCTGAGGCTGAGCACATGCAACAGATGCGTTGGCAGCCTCTGATTCGTTGGGTGACAGGCAACCATTGGGCACTCTGCAGGACCAGCAGAGCCTCACGGTCTAGGTATCCAATATTATAGGGCTGTGATACCGCATTTCTGCAAAGTCAAAGTTATATGTGTACAATAGCATCTTGGAGCAACTTAGTCACAGGCACAGGGAGTTATTAGGGAATCCACTCGAGCTAGCAAGGCTGACGTGATCGAGGCGCCTATCAGATCCAGTCTTTCGCGGGGAATACTGGGTACTTTGATCGTATTGATTCCTAGTTATAGCGGATCGGAAAGGGGCGCATCATATACTGAGCATTGATTTTGGAAAATAAACCAACTGGATCTACCGCGAACCTCCCTTACCTGTCCCCAGAGAAACCTCGCCAAAACTCCGACTTTTACAACTCATCCTTCTTCGTCTCATCGCCGGCGGCGGCGGTTTTCTTCAAGGGCGATTCGCACACGGCGGCCGTGCCAACCTCCATGCGGTAGACGCACTTTTCACTCTCGCTGACTTTCCAGATCTCCTCCTTCTCCGAACAGGCAAGGATCACCCTCGTACTCCTATGTGGTCCGTTCCAACAATGCTGCCCATTTTCGTACTTCATGACCAGTCTTTCGCCAGTGCCTAGCCCTTTCCCATCTGTGGTCGCGGGCTCGTCGACATATTCCGTGTCAAAGCCAACGAAATTGCCCATCCCCGTGTGTGCCCCTCCTTTCTTGGGCTTTTGCTTCGTTGACACCATGAAGCACAATTCATATTCGTACTCACCGCTGTCCTTGGAAATGCACGTATCCTTCAAGGCGCGGAAAATACCACCTTCGGGACCGTAATCTTTCTCGAGATCCTCGCGGAATCGCTTGATGTCGTTTTCCGCGTTGCGCACATCCCGCTCTGCGTCGGAAAGGGTCGTTTTGGCGTCCTGCACGGCTTTGGACTCTTGGGCAGACGCAGAGGGGTCGGAAGACGTATCAGCCAATATACCGTTTTCGATCAGGATCCTGCGGAAAGAGGAAAGGGTCTCATCGAGCCACAGCCGGAGCGACGGCGGCAAGTAGGCACTGAAACTGTAAAGGGCCGCCACATCAGACTCGGCCTCGGAGGAAACATTCTCGAACTCAGCCCAGTTGATGCCGTTTGTTTCACTGTCTTCCGCGAGAACGGCGGCGAGGTCACGGTCCTCGGCTTCGGTCCAGGTATCGTCCGTCTCTCTCGCGGCGTAATCTTCCCACCCGCGAACGGCGCGTTTCACCCCGTCGTCGTTGAAGTTGGGGTTATGTTCGTCCTTGAGCGCGGCGAGAATGCCTTCCAACTCTGTGATCCGGGCGACCATGCTGTCTCTTTGAGATCTGGTCTTCTCTAAGTGAGTCCTCAATTCGTCGACTCGCGATTTGGCCAGGCCGACAAGGACGCCGAGTTTGCCGCCACCTTTTCCACCTGCTTCACCTTTTATAACTTTTAATTTCTCCCTCCTCTCCACCTCTTTTAGATTCTCCTCGGCCTCCTTGACGTTGATCTGAAACCCCTTGAGTTTGATTTCTGCATCCTCAATCTTCATCTCAACCTCCTTTTTCAGCCGCCCCGCTTCCGCCGCGAGCTGCGATTTCCTCTTCAACGCCGCCCTGAGGCTCTTTTGGCGCGTCTCTTCCGTTTTCCTGTACTCTTTGCCAATCTGTTGGCACCGATCCTCGCACTTGATGCCCCCGACATTTGCCCATTCATCTGACCCGTCACAACATACGTCATAGTCGCATTTGCCATCGTTGACGCTCTCGAACCTCAGGTATGCGGGGAGATGGCCTTTATTCTTGCAGTAGAACCCCGGCAGGGCAAGCGTGCTGTTTATCGACACGCTGGCTGGAGTGTCTGGGCCGGGGTGGTGTTGTGGAGGAGATAAAGGTGAGAGGTAGGAGCAGGCGGACGTGCCCGGTTCATCTGAGCCGTCGGGGCAGTCGCAGAAGTCGTCGTTGACGCGGGAGAAGGGGATGGATATCGAGGGGTTGGAGATGCATGTGAATGTATTCGACGGTGAACTCTTGTAGAACTTCGCAACTGCAGAAAACACACGGCCCGGTACTTAGCTGTCTGGCACATTTGAGAGCATGAAAGACACAAAAAGGGACTCTTTCGAAGGTAGGAATTGGACGGTGTAGAGATCTAGGGGCCGCTTCTTACATTCAGGACCGACGCCTCTGGGCCGCGAAGACTCGGAGGACCTTGTTTCTGCTGCCCATGCCTGGGAAACGAGCAAATGGGAGAGTATGAGCAATTCTGACCTCAGTATCATCTTGGGATTGTGGAGGAACAGTCAGACCACGGGCTGAGTCTAAGCTGTGCGGCGTCTGTCTCAAGGAGTCTGGTGTTCAACATGAAAGTTGTCCGCAATTGAGATCGCGCCACCTTCCCCAACTGACGAGGCTGTTCAGGGGCCCGCGGCCTTGTGACGTCGACGCCTCCTTTTGACTTCCCTATTTGGGCCTTTCAGCCTTGCTGCGAATGGACATCACTTGAAGCCATATATCCTGCGTAGCTGCTCCCTTGACTGTAAGCTTCTGTCGAGGCTATGGATCAGGAAATGGCCACACGAAATACCTGCTCTCCATGGAGGTGGAAGTGAACCCTCCACATTAGCCTCACGGTATGAGAAACCTTGCTGTATACAAGCTCGGCACCAGTTCGTTGCACTCAAGGTCAAGAATCTGTAATCTCTGTGCGCTCAGTTGGATAGACCTAAGCGGAGCCTACAACCGCGTACTTTGTCTTCAGCCCTTCGGGAATTATCGTGAAACTCCTTTCGTGATTCGCCACGCCGACCCGGTACCATGGTTCTAACATCGCACAACCACAGGTCCTCACAAATTCTCATATAAAGCTGGCCTTTGTTAACCACTTCCATTCCAGACACATTCTGCTCTCATATCTCTTGTTTCAACCTTCCTCGCCGAATCCCCAGCAAGGACACCTCTGTCAACACACATTTGCCGACAACCGGGCAGTCACCGTTACACAGTTTCTAGTTTCTCCTGTCTCTGTAGACCCCCTTCGAAAACATGTCCAACATAAATCATACTCCTCAGAAGCCTGCTGAGGCTACCGCCTTCGCCAAAGCGATGATGCGGGTCGCTCACTTTAATGCCACCTTCATTGCCAACAGGGCTCCTCATGGCATCAAGAGAAGCCATCATGCGGCCTTTGGGTTTGAGGATTGGGAGTACGGAGGTCTCAGCAGTGTACCTTATTCGTACACAGGCTTTAGCTCTGTGATAAAAGAGCCGCGGAACCAGCAGCAGCGACCTCCGGCATTAAAGCCGAGGAGTTGTCGCTACCATGTCAACGACAGGGAGGTGCTTGGCAAAGCTCGCCTCGACACGGGCTCACACCCAGGCTCAAAATCAGAGCCAATGCTTGAGACATCCTCGGGCAAGAAGACCATCAGCTTCAACAACGAAGTTCAACAAGTACTTTTCTTGCGGGACGATGTCATCGGGCAGGAGATAGGGTTGACGGCCGCTCAGCTCTCCGGCGTCCCCAGCGTTGGCTGGCAGGTGTCGCAGCTGGAAAAGGGGATCTTGCAGCGTGAGAGGTGCTTGAAGAAGGCGAGAGACGGATGCATGCCTGCGTGCGTGATGCTCTTACAGCATCGGGATAGCTCAAAGAGGATCCTTAATAGTGGGGAGGAGCACGCCAACGACAATGGCGGCGAGATTGGCTCGACCACAGCGTCCTTCGCAAAGATGACATTGGCGACAAGTGTAACGGCCCCCGACGAGATCAGAGTCCGTCACCTTCTCCTTGGCAACCTATATTTCCAAGCGGTCCAGGAGATCGAGGACGCTGTCCGGCACCGTTTGTCCACCCTGGCGGTGGATTTATTGGACTCCAAAGGCAGCACTGGCAACTCGCTCCGCAGTGTCATCGAAGATCTCCAGAAACGCACCACGGAGAGATTCACTGAACTTCTGAAACACTTAGGCGTCATTTATCCTTATCACAGCCAGGGAGAGCGGTATGAAGCGGTAGAAGACGCTCGCCGGGACAAAGATTGGACAGAGGTGGACGCCAAAGCGGAAGCACTGTTCATCTCATGTGCAAGTCCGTGGGTTGTGGAGACGCTGAGGGACATCATAGCGCAGTTTAAGAGGAAGCTCGATAGGAAGATAAGGTCGAGGATTCAGTGACGTCTATACCATGGTAACGATTGTCTTCTTCGGGAGGAAGATGTAGTCATCGGGCATGTTAGATAAATTTCCGTCATGGAAGGAGTTGCAAAGTTCACTCTGCTGGCTGGAGTTGGTGACCGTGTATCTGTAGCCTTCGCACCTGGCAATACCGATTCTCCTCCTCTTCCCATTCTCCTTGTCCAGAATTATCCAATAGTTCAGTTGACGCTGTTCGTGCCCATGAGAAACTAGTAACAATAATTCGAATTCCTCCTGGAGAATGCGCTCACGGAGGGTTGGGTCAGAGAACGCTTCCTTGTCAAAAGCGATGTTCTCCTGATCGTAGACCTTTCGAATGTCTCCGGTCGCGATTTTCAGAGTTGCTGAGTAAAACACCGTCTCTTCGGGTCTGCCAAGAGCGCCATTATCGTCAGCGAAGAGAGTGAGGGGACCGTCCAAGATGAACCAGTATTCCTGGAGCATGACGGCCTGGGAGGGTTTCATAAATCGGACAGTGACGATGTAACTTGTAATCTGAAGATGCTGGCCCGATTGCAGTTCCAAAAACTTGTTCAGCGAACCCCCTGCGGCGCCACCCTGCCACATGGTGGTCAAAGGCGTCGCGATACCATTGGTATCCTGTAAGCTAAATACTGCATGAACATTGATCCCTGAAAAGTCCGGGATAAAGTCTTGAGGGTTACTCCAAGTCATATCAACCACACCTCGTGAGGAGAGCCACGACCATGTGGGAAAGCCAGGGCGCCGGGTAGTTCGCGCAGGACCTTGACCCGGCGTCCTCGTGAAATAGCGATCTTGACCGGCCCAGAAAAGCCCCAGTGCAAATCCACTTTCAAGATCTCTTTGTGCGTATAGGCGATTCTTAGCTTCCAGCGCGATAACTCCACATAGAGAATGTAAACCACTCCTGCGAAGAACTCCTCGAAATGCGTTGAGAAAGTCGCTGTCGAAGGACAGGTCTCTGATTGTATATTCCCGAACATCCTCGGTAATCTCAAGATCGTGCGCGTTGGTTCCTGCCATCCGAAATAGCGTAGACCGCAGAGCATAAAGATCCATTCGACGGTCGTCAAATTTGGGCAGATCTTCAACCAAAGTCTCATAAGCTGACGAAGTTCTACACACAAAATGCCATTGCTCAGGAGTGAAGAAAAGGCACCTGCGAGCCAATACCACCTCTTGATATGTCCAGCCTCGACTGCTCCACCTAGAGGCCTGTAGTAGCTCGCGGAGATCAGACATGTTTGAGACCAGTGTCGTGACACCGATTCTTAGAGCAGGTTGTGGAATTCTGGGCGTCGAAACTCCCGGCAGTCCCGTACTTGAGTCATCTCCTAGTGCAACAAGCACGAGATCTGCCTTGTTATACACATAGTCCATCCTGCTGATGAGGGTTTCTTTTGAGAGTGCATCGTCTTGATCGATACAGATTGCATCGACCCATAGATGAGTACCCCCAAGCTTGATGGTGGCGACAATGGCATCTCTTATTGTCTGGGGAAGGGAGGCTGCGTCCAAGGCTGCGCCTGCGGCATCGGCTCTTCTTGTCACGCCAGGCGGTGCAAAGCCCCAGCAATAGCTCAAAGCGAAGTAGTCCATATCCGTTGAGCCATCGACAAGGGTCGGAGGATTTGTCTGGCAGTCGATCAGCCTTGTATTGATAACCGAGTCAGGGTCTATTTTCTTGCAGCTTGCGTGGCTGGACCGACATTGGTGCAAACATCGTACGATGTGACCGTATTCAATGGTGCTTAGATCAAGATGTCGTGCATACACAGCGCCATCTTCCAAAGCCCATGCGCCATCTGGGTACTGGCCGGCTGGGAAGATAAGGTGTTCTGACAGGGGGCCCGGTCTCCAAGTGTCATAGGCTTGTAAGCTTGGTCCAGACCAATAGAGCTTCAAACATTTATGATAAGAGCCATAGGGTTCTTGATTCGCATCGTTTTGAGCCGATCCCTGTTTCCGACAGGACTGTGCCTGGATATAGCAGTCATTAACCATATCAAACGGATACTGGGGTTTGTTGAGGAAGACAATCTGAGCACAAAAGACACAACAGGGACAAGTCAAAGTCAACATGGTCCGATCAACGCTCCCGATGTTGGCAACTGCAGTTTCTTGTGAGTCTGACCGAGTCGCCAGCAATTTGAAGATGGCATCAAAATTGATGAGTTTGCATCGACCACAGAAGGTGTGATTCGGACTGAGCTCCTCTGAGGGAAACTGATAATGCAGTATGGAACGCAACCGTTCTTGCTGTTCTTTCTTTACATCACGAATAGTGACACCCGCCGGTTTGTCTGTCATGGTCGGGGATCAGATGACGTGAGGGCGAGGTCGAGACAATGGGAAAACATCGTGGTTTTTGAAAAGGGAAGATGGACGAGCTAAGTTCATTCTTAATGTCGAGGGTGATGAGGCGGTGCAGCCTCATTAGGTAATCACGCAGCCTTGCCAGCCTGGCCAAAGAAAAAGCGATATTAAGGCGCCATGAGAGGGCGAAATTGACAGTGCTACTCGTACGATGGAGAGAACATAAGTAGCGAAGTTTGTATGAAGATCGAGTCAAAGCTCATTGTTCATTGTTCATTGGTGGTAATCCTCCTCACGGCTGATCTCATGACTGAATCTCTGGTTGTCCCATCTTCAGCCTTAGGTTCACACTGCTCTTCTGCTCAGGGCATCTCGCTCTCGCCCTGCTCTTCTTTCGGTACATCCTCAAGAGTGGTTGCGTGAGAACCTGTTGTGGCGCCATCGAAGACTGAGTCCTCTTGGTCGTCTCCCTCCGCTGCTTCCCCGTCGTCGTCTTCTGCATTAGCGCCGATGGCCTTCAAGTGCTGACGAACCGGCGGCAATGCCACCTTTTCCTCCTGAATCTCCTTTCTCAACTTCTTGAGCTTTGTCCATGATGAGATGATGTCGGCCCAGATAGTATCCACGCATTTGATGCTGATGGTGAGCTTCTTAATCCCCTCTGGCGTCTGTGTAAGTTCGTTGCCTTTTTCTTCCTGTTCGGTGAGCACGCCCTGTGCTACCTTTTGCAACTGCTCGAATTTGCCCACTAGATGCTCTGCCACACCGGCGGCCCGCTGAACCAACGCCGCATATAATTCGAAATCTTCGATGACTCGCAAAGCGTGGATTTTTGCCGAGAGCTCTTTCAGGTCTGAACTCTGTGGTTGTTGCTTGCGATGGTGCCCGTGGATTGTGGCGCACTTGACAGCAATCTGTTCATGGTCTGCAGTCTTGGCTTGGTGTGCGAGTTCGCGGGCTTGGACGCTGAGCTCGTCGACGGCCTGGTCTATGATGGACAGAAGTTGACGCGTGCCTTGACCTGACACAACAGTTGGAAGGATGAACACTTCGCTCGCGACGACGTCTAGAGTTCGGTTAATGAAGTCAAATGATAACGTAGAGCAAATCACTCACGCTCCTCCCACAGAGCTGAAGTGTAGCTGACATCAACGTTCGCCCATTTGCTCTCTGCTGGTTGTGCCCGCATCTTGAATAGACGATGAGAAATGAGTAGAATGAGAGGTTGAAAAGTCGACTTGGTTCGATTTGACGACAGCCATAAAGGACAATATTCACAGGAAGTCAAGGTTAAGGCAGCGAGATTTGCCATCGTGAATGTTGGTAAAGGAAGCAAACACCTTGGCGCGTGCAAGTTGATGTTCCTATCTCACAAGTCGCTCAACCTGGGAACTTATCCGGGAAAGAAGGTGACAGAGCTGGTCCGGCAGAGTCCTTGTCGGAGAGTGCAGCTGCCAGGGAAGAATCATGCAAGCCTCCGTCCAGCCATGAGACTCTGGATTCCGATTAGCATGATATATATACTAGACTTCAGGGATAGGAAGATGAGAAGAAAAGGGAAAGAGAAAGAGAAAAAGAAAAAGAAAAGTCAGAACTCAGGTTGTTGTCAAGAGGTGCATCGATTCAGCCTGGAGAACCTTCCGGGATTCTTTCCTGATCACCTGATATGCCTTATGTACAATCGTGGGAGGAGGAGCAAGTCAACGCTTGCATCAGGGTTGAAACTTTGGTCTCTGCTTCAAGCCTTCGAAACCTCCATCTCTCACTTGCCACCTTTTGATAACCTCTCGGCTTCCAACTCTCGCTCTGCTTGCTGGTAGTATTTGGCTGTGTCCACACCGTGCTAGAACACATCAGCTGGTCTCATCCCCGCTCGTTGAACGAGTCTCACTCACCTGGTTGTGGTTGACGAAATTCGCCCATGGTACCACATTCGCCATCAGCGCTGAGTATCTGCTGTTTCGCGCCGCGACACCCTGCATATAAGGTGTGAGGTCCGAGTTGCCATAAAGTGGCTCCCCCCTCTTAACTTTGTCCACCATCTCCCTCATGTCCATCTTGACTTCTCGTTCGTTCTCCGTCCAGCCGTAGAATCTCACTGTCGTCGCCAACTCGTCAGTCCAAGCTCAGAGAAACGGATCGGCGGATTCGTTCTCGCGGTAGAAACCTACGGCAACTCCTCTGATATACCAATCCCGCGCCTGCTAACAAGCCAACAGCGCAGCCAAGTCGAAAGGCCATGGGAAAAGCGCCTTTGCCGGAAAACGAGGGAGCGTATCGTTCGGTCATGAGCATGAAAGCCGGACCCACGGCTGCCATTCCGGCTCCGTATAACCAGTCTTCTCTTCTCGCATATCCAAATGCTCTTCTCCAGTGACTGAAGATTAATGCGTCAGTGAGTGGTCGGGAGGAGCTTCTAAACTGTGAGATGAAGGAGGGACGTACGGATCTGTGTCGATAATCTATTGTAGGTATGTGTTAGCTTTGATCCCATGTTTCGTTGTTGTTAGACCTTACCGGATAGTCTGTGTTCACCCGCTTAGGCGGGATAAACACCTTCTGCTCGTCGGCCATGGCTGTAGCGACTTTCCTCACTGGTAGACACTCCTCAGCATTGGATCTTGAGGTTCAACGAGCATGCGGAGCTTCGAGTGCCAAGAGGCTAGATCAAACTTGGGATAGTTCAATGGTTTCAAATGACGTACTTTGCACGGTCGTAATTAGTCACGACGCGTCGGGGTTCTCATTGAACGCGTTCCCCAAGTCTTATACCAACCCACCACTGGTCAACTTTCTACAACACAGAAGGCTCAGGAAGACACTACCACAATATGGCGGCGGATCCCTTAACTGCAGCAACCGTTGACAGCCTACTGAACCTTGACAATTCTGACGATGAAGATCCCTTCAACGACCGGCCAGCCCCGCGAGATCGTTACGAAGACCCAACATCGAGTCCCGGCTACAAACGAAAGGCAGTAGACCAGCTCGACGCCAGTCTGGGGCTGGACGAGGAGGTCAAAGTCACAAAGAAAAGGAAGCCTATCTCAAAACTTGACGAAGCAAGACTCCTTTCGGCGCCGGGAATACCCAAGCTACGCGCCGATGCACGCTCCGGGAAGTTCTCCAAAAAGCTACGTCTAAAGGGGAAGGGCCATGAGTTTTCCGACGTCGCACGGCTGTTGAACCACTATCAGTTATGGCTCGACAATCTATACCCGCGAGCCAAGTTCGCCGACGGACTACAATTGATCGAGAAAGTCGGGCACAGCCGACGCATGCAAGTCATGAGGAAAGAGTGGATTGATGAAGGGAAGCCTGGATATATCAGAGATAGAGAGGCAAAGGAGACAGCAGAAAATGAGAAGGAAGCGGATAAGGAAAACGATGATCTGTTTGCGAGAGATCACGCGGGTGCAGATAACGCGGACCAAGAGGCTGCGAATGCTGGCGTTGGCGCAGAGGACGACTCTTTATTCGTTCCGGACCTCCACCACAACAAAGCGAATAATAAAAACGATGATGGTATGCTTCCGGACGATGACGATCTTGATGCTCTACTAGCCGAGCAGGAGACCCGTATCACCACGCGTCCCTTGGCTGTATCGAATCCAGCAGAGGACAACGATTCCGAGGGCGATGATGATCTTGACGCGTTGTTGGCCGAGCAAGAACTGCGGCGTGCGCCTCCGCAACCTCCTCCATCCCAGCACGCAGCTACATTTGCGCCCAAACTAAAGCCTTCGCCCTTTGGCGGAAACGACAGTGACGATGACGACGAAATGGATGATCTAGATGCCCTGCTTGCAGAGCAAGAAGCGCGCATGCAACCCAGCACCGCTCATTCGAATCCCAACAGCATGCAGGTGTCGATGACGCAGAACAGAGAGCGCACTGTCTCAGGACCAGATGGAGACATGGCCCAGGATGATGAGTTGGACGCGTTGATAGCCGAGCAGGAAGCACGGCAAAATGTCACCATCGAAGCACCGGTGTCTTCATCACCCACAGACAGACCCGCGACTTCACGTCCTGTAGCGGCTGCTGCCGAGCCAGCTGACAAAGCCGATGGTGCAGACATGTTCTCCTCGTCGCCTCTGAGAGGTACAGCACCAATAGGTTTGGGGCTTGCTGGGGAGCTAGGAGTCGAACTGGACCCTGCTGAACCGAGATCAAGCCTCACCGCCACTCAAACGCAAGAGACTAGATCGTCTGAAGGCGAAGACGTTCCTATTGCCACGCAAAGATCCAAAGCTGGTACCAGCACTGAAGCAGCGGAGGAAAAGGAGGAGGAATCACAGGGTCTGGACGCCGGGGATATGTTCTCATCTTCGCCTGTGCAGAATGAATGATCTGACGCCAAGTTGCCCTGTCAGATATTGTCATGGCGATGACGACTGTTGAAATATGACGAGCTACAACGGGATTTGGTCTTTTTGGTCGAGCAAAGGTATTATACAGCGGATGGAGACACGAGACTGAAAGAGAGGAAGAAATACTCGTTAGGAAAGAGTATCAATTTTGCCTTTCGTATGCGTTATGATAAAACCGCCGTATGTTCAAAGATAATCGTAACCCATGATGCTCTCCAAACTACACCCAGTCTCCAGCGGCGACAACTACTCTGTACACACCTGAACCTGAACCATAGGATCCGTGGTCGCACCTGCCCTATCCGTCGGAATTTCTATCGTCTCCGCAATCATGCCGCCATGAAAAATTAAGCCACCACTCGAAACACCTCGAGGCAAAAGGCGTCGGCGCGTCCTCGAATTGATAGCGACGACCATTAAAAGAAAGCACACCAGCCGATGTACATCCTGCATAGATTGCGAGGGTCCGTCGCCCTACTGATCATCTCGTCAACGTAGCCGCCCACGCTCAGGGGTACCGACTCTCCGGGCAACATGCCCCTGACCTTGCCGCTGACGCCCTCGAGCACCTCGACCGGGGTGCTGGGCACGCCCGAGACGACTTTTTTCTTGCGTCCGGCCGAGTTGATGAAATCCGTGGTGGGGTCGTGGAGGAATGTCTCGAGGATGGTCATGAGGGCGTCCTCGTTCGACCTCAGGAGTGTCAGCGTGATCTCGCAGCACTTCCTAAACGGTCCTTCGTATCCGTACGCGCCCATGGCGTCGACCATATTGTGGGTCAGCCGGAACGGGACCATCTCGGGTTTCTCAAACGTGAGGCCTTTGTCAAAGAGACAGTTGAAGTCCACATGCAAAGTCCCGCCGTTGTCTTCTTCAAAGAGGATGTTCTCGCCATGCCGGTCCCCGAGGCCCAAGACGTGGCCCACGATTGACATTACCGCAGCGGATCGAGTATATCTCAACCGCGCATTGAACCACGCGCTCGGATCAGGGAAACTCTCGACGAACCACTCATGAAAAACAGGTGGGAACTTCTTGATGACTTTGTTCGTGAAGATTTTGGCGTTCTCGGGATCTCCTGAGCAAGATTCGTCTAGCAAATTCCGAATCTCAATGTAATTCGGATGGATGGACTTATCCTTGTACAGCTTGAGAATGATGTCGCGGAAGGTTTTGAGATTGTCCACCCACTCAATCAAGCCGCATTCTTCGTTCATTGGAATCACGGCATAGGTGCGAATATAGAGTCTCCGTTTGGCGGCGTCAACGTCACGCTTGAGAAAGCGGTTGATCATGTTGTTAAACTCCATAAGCCGTTGGTCTTTGCGGAGATCGTCTTTCGGTTTGGCAAGAACGGAGTACATGTTTCCATCAGACCCACGAATAGTGAGCTTTCTGGGCTTCTGAAGAGAGGCTAACACAAGAGCTTCGTCAACAAAGGCGCTGATGGTGATGGGTTCTTTGGCGAAAGGACGAAATGCTTTAAGCTGTGCCGCTTCGAAGCTCGTGGGCATGCTGGGAATGAGACAAGCTTGATTAGGCACCACCAATTTCGAAGGGGCGATTTTGTGGTTGAAACCAAGTTCTCTGGCGAGGCTGATTTTGGTGACTTTGTTTCTGATTTCAAATTCAGAGACACGAAGGAGTTCTTTGACGAATTTTTGACCACTGGTGAACATGCTCCTGAGCTCGGCTGCGGATGAGTCCTTGCTGGATTTCTTCGTGACCTCGACAATCTTGTTGACAATGGTCAAACCTTTGATCGCCCGCTCCTTCTGTTGTGATTCAACCACTGCCAACAACGTCCAGAATGCTTGTTGTGGGAATGCTTTCACTACTTTAACCACGATACTGGTGAGAATCTCGCAGACGACTTTGCTGGGATGGCATATCCGAGCAACAATCTGCGGCAGAATGGTGTAGAGTAAAACTGGCTGTAGACGGTCGGTATACTTCTTGATCTGGTTGTTCGTCTCCTCAATGATGCGTTTTCGCTGTGCCGCAACTTTGGAGTGAAACTCGGCGCTACCTCGACGGTCATCTCTTGGAAGGTCCATCCCATCTACCAGCTCGAACCAGAGCGTCAATACTTTGGGAAGAGTTTGGAAAACGTATTTGCTCCCAGTGAGGAGCGATCGTAGATAGTTTTCGATAACATGTTTCGCCGTTTCTCCCGTCAGATAGGTTTGGCTCTCTTTGCCAGGAGGCATTGCTCTTTCCGAGTCAAGAACTTTGTTGTAGTAGCGGCCAAGGTGATACCATCCTTGCTCACCTTTGCTGAAGGTTTCTGTTGCTTTCCTGAATGTTTTCCTGATGACTTCCGATTGGGTTTGACCGGCTTGTGCCAGCCATTTTCCGAGTAGAACGTGTGCTTTGGCAGTGATTTCATTTTGAGAGTGGCGTTGCTCCACCGTCATTGTTGTCGGTCCGTTGTCAGCCACGTAATCATGGGCCACGAATGCCCCCGACTCGATGGCTCCTTCAAGAGTTTGGATGGCTTTCCGGTGGTGCCCTTCCAACCACATCAGTTTTGCCTGTTCAATTGCTGCAGACTTGTCACCTAGCACAGAAGCTTTGAGAACAGCATTGAAAGCCTGGGTGGTTGAACGTGCTTTGCGCGCGAGTCGAGCGCTTGAGAGCCATGCGGCCGCAACATCATTTAGAGCGAACATATCTGGTCTGAGAGACATTACAGCCCGGCGGATCCCCAAGAGATACTGTTTGTCGGCAACGTTGGATCCGAGCACATCGAGACGGCCGCGTAGGGTGTCCAGAACGGTTGCACGATCTTCCTTAGGGCTTTCGGCGATCAATTGCATATCGCTGAGTACATGCAAGCGTAGAAGCGTGTCGTGGCTGGCTTGGAATGAAGAAATACTATTGTAGTTTAGTTCAGAGGCGGTGGTGCGATACACTTCCGAAAGTAGCTGAGTGACTCTTGCCTCATCGTTGTTGTTGACGGCCAGCATGATTTCTGCAACGTGAGAAGAAAAGTCGTGTCCAACCTCTTGAGGAATGTAATTGGATAGCAGATCCCAACGGCTTGTTGCCCACGCGGCCTCGAGGGCGTAAGGGGCCAGTAAAGTCGCGGAACTGCTGCTGCGGCTCTTAATGCCGTCGAAATGATGGAGGAGGGCGTCATACTGCCCGGATTCCTTGAGGCAAGCCATTAAGTTCTTTTGCGCATCACTGTCATCTGGAGAAGCGACAAGTTGCATTTCATACCAGCTTTGAGCAGCGGTCCACCGACCTGCTTTCTTGTGCTCCAAGACTTGCTGTTCAATATCGAGTACGTGCATCCGAGAAGAAATGCCCTCAATACCGTCTGGTTCATCAATCTGAGCATAGATATCTTGCAGTCTCTGGAGCTCGGCTTCGACGTCGTCTTTTTTGCTTTTGCGGATATGCTGCTCCCAATGAAATAGAGCCCTCGAATAAGATCTGCATTCTAAGGCCCGTCGAGCAAGAACATCAGGCGGAATCTGCTCTAGCACTCGCTCGATACTGCGTATTTGGTCCGCAGCTTTGCCCAAGAGCAGATCATTCAGTCCACGATCTGACTTTGCCAGAGCCATGGCATACTGTTTGCGCTTCTGTTGTTGCCATGTAGACATGTAGTCAAGGATTTCAAAGACTGTCTGACTGCACAACTTGATGTCGTCCTGCACTCTCCGATCATGATCGTCTAGCGACTGGCTGAGAATTGAACTGATCTCGGCTATAATATCTTGACTGTCCTGCTCTATGCCACTGACAATGAGATTGACCACAGCATACGGCAGAAGGAAAGCTGGAATGGAAGCATCTTGACCATGGATTATGCGACAACAAATGGAAAAGATAATTTCGACGTTGTCTCCGGTGCTTCTGTGAAGGAAGTCCAATGTGATCGTTCGCAGCCAATCGCGGTGCTTCATGCCAGGGGTGAAAAGAGGATAATGACTTTTCTCAGGCGCCCGAACCTCCTGCACCGTATACTTGGAGCTGATGAACGGTGTCAATACGTTCTGAGTGGATTCAGGCAGCTGATTCCACAGGCTTGACGCCAGGTTGCCGGATTCGTCCGTCGACGTATCCTGCCTGCAAGAGTTCAAGAATTGCTGCATCGCCCAGCCGAGGAAGCCTTGAGCTCTCGTTGTATTCGCAGACAAGAAGGCTTTGACCAGGACGTGCTGCAAGAAGAAGAAAATCCACTCGATGACTTCGTCTGCACTTACAAAATTTGCAAGGACAACCATTGTCTTGCGATCTCTCAGGCTTTCGATCTTGCTGGCGTCCATGCATCCTATACTGCCTAGGCACTGCCCACACAGCCTTGAGACCTCATTGCTTGTGTTGAACTTCACGCAACAATCCAGTAATGCACGAGTCAAGTCGGCCACGAACTCATCGGGTTGTTCCCTGAGGATGGATCTCTGGAGAAGATCTTGTTTCTGATATAGAAGTGGCGCTAACTCAACCAGAGCTTGTTCAACCACGGCAATGTTCTCGTCTTGCAGTCTCTGGATATAAGCAATGATTTGGTGACGCTCATCCATCTGACCTTTTAGGGCCATTATCTCAGATTCGAACTTGGCCATGACCGGAATTGAAGCTAATGACGGCATTGTGGCAAAGTGCTCTCGCACGATATCTGTGTGGTTTTTGAGTAGATCGCCGACAAGGTTATGTGCTAAACGGTGGGACGGACTGTCGAGCGCATCCCACGTTCGAACAATAATAGCCAGAGTCTGGTCAATGAGAGGTCTCAAATCATCTCTCTTGAGTGATTTGACCATGGCAGCCCAAGAGGTAAAGGCAGCGTCGCAGAGATCGGGGTCGTCCAACCCGGATCTGAGACAAGCACAAATCTGAGGAAGAGCTCGCACAATCCGGGTTTTGCCCAGTTTGACTACCTCCCCAAGAGCGGCGAGACATCGCCTCTTATCGACCTTGGACTCCTTTGCCTCCAGATCATTCAGGAGAACAGTAAAATGTGTGACGATTGCGAGAACATTATTCTCTAGGAAGGTTCCCATGCTATCACTGCGCCTCGTCCCAGATGATTGTCCACGTTGACGAGCGACCAGCTGTGCCAACAACTGCAGAGCTCGATAAATCCGGGAAGATTTGCCCTGGCCACTATCTCCGATAGCCTTAAGGAGCTCGCAGGTGATGTGGATGGGATCCAGAGCGACCCAATCTGCAAGGTCAGTCTTCCCAAAGTCTTCAGATACGTCCGACAGGATTGAGATAATGGATTGTTCCGCTTCAGGAAAAGGCTGGACGAGCAGGAACGACAGGATGGCAATAAGATTCTGCCTGTGCGTACACAAGTCGAAGAGGGTAGTTGATTGCCCATTCGCCTCAGCGAATTTCCTTATCACATCCTTTGCTTTGTGTAAGACCAGATAAGGGAGAGCGAATTCAGCAGCGTGCCCCATCAGACCGGTAATGTCCATCCCCAGTAGATCGGATAGTTGATGAGCAATATTCGGTCGGGACATCAAGGATTTGGCGAATACCACACCAAGAGTCCGCCAGAACGGTCGAAAGAGGAGCCATACTGAGATTTGCAAGGATTGAGCAAGATGCTGAATCTCAGCATATACCAAACCACTGAGGTATGGGTTGGTGTGCCCAAGGTATTCCACGAGTCGGACCAGGATGATGTTTAGTTCTTCATCCCCGACAACTTTAGCCATCTGCGTGAGAGCCATGACTGTGGTTTCCTGCAGGGAAGCATCTCCTTTCTGCCATAAACTGTCCAGGAAGTCCAATGCCGTTATTCTGTTTTCTCGCGCCAGAGACAAGTCGTGGTGCTTTCTCCTCATCACGTAGGCCTGCAAGGTTCTACCTGCGACTATTCTCAGGTCTCGGGAGGAGCTCTTGAGGGACTGGAGACACCAGTCACCGGCAGGTGTTTGGCCGAGCTTCAAGTCTTCGGTCGAGTTTGTGTGCATGATGATTCGACGGAGAGAAGACATGGCAATTATTCTGGCTCGGGAACGGCGCGAGATTGCCTGAATGAGGACAATCAAAGTCTTGAGTAGTTCTTGGCTCACAGGTGAAGCCGGATTGGGACCAGCACCCTTTGTTTCGCAATCCTCATCACACATCGGACAATAGCTATCCAAAGTGGGCGAAGCAAGCTGGCACGCGGTCAGGCCTAGCAAGCCGAGTGCATTGCACTGTTTCTCTTCTGACAGGTGTTTGAAGTTCTCAGCTGACGTTTTGCTCAGCCCATCAAGATCAGGAGCTGCGCTCCCAGTCAACTCTGAGGTCAGTCTGCGGCAGACTTTCTGTTGCAAGCTACCATTCAACACTCCATCCTCGGCATCGGTTGACAAACGTAATCGCTTCCGTGCTCGGTCACCATCAGGCCAGGGCGCGTAGGTGTCTTTGAACAGCATTCTTGGCGGCGCGGGAGGTGTGATACTCAAAATACGGATTTCATGACTGAGATTCTGGCAAGTGGTAAGCAGCAATAGATTAGTATGAGCCATAGAATGTTACCTCAGCATGATCACTGCCCGTTATCAGGTTCTCGTTTTCTTCGGCGAACTGCCGAAATCGCGAGAAGACTTTGCGGAACTGAACTTTGGTTTGTGGCGATTCAGAGTATCTAGATACCACTTTCAAAACTTGGGCCAGTCCGAGTAACAGCTGTTGCAAGGACGAAAACTTGAGGCTCGGAACGTTGATTTCGAGGCCATTTGTGATTCTCGAAACTGTAGAGGCAAAGTCTTCCCCATCGACGACTATGGTTTTGTTCGGCTGAGCAGTCGGTAGTGACTCGGCGATGCAGAGAATGCCTAGTCAAAGTCAGTGTTGAACACACTAGAATTCAACAACGTAGAGTGACTGACCGGAAACGCAATTCCTGAGAAAGTCAAGAACGATATCGCACGAATACGTGGTTGTACATTTTCTGTCAGCTTCCACCATTGAACTGAACAATTCGAGAACAACATCCCTGGCCACATTTGCCTGGGCTGAGGCGACCAACGGAAGAAGTGTCGGGATCAGCCAGGCATAGAGAGGGCGTCCATTCCCGGTGGTGGGCCTGCCCTGGGCATCTGACTTTACGTAGACAACCTGGGGAGATCTTTCGATAGCGACTTGAAGGACTTCAAGGCACGTTCGGAATTGAGAGTCGCCCCTACCTGCAGCGGTCGTGGAGCGGAAAGGGTCTTCTTCAAGAATACGCTCGATGCCGATCTGGAAGACGATGCAGATCAACTTGTGGTTGACGGCCACGTCGGCGCCCAGATTGGGCTGACCTTGGTCATCGGTTCCTAGTGCTTCAGCCAGCAGTTGGTTGAAATTGTCTCGATCCAAATCAGTCACTCCATTTCCATGGACAACGTGCGTGGCCAGAATAGAGGATGGTGGAGGCTCGAAGCCATTTGTCTGTCCTGCAGCAGGCACTGGCGCCATAGGCTCTCATACAAAACATGTCGAGTTTGGTTGGGAATGAATCACAGACGCGTCAATCAGGAGGAGAAAAGGTGGGAGTGGCATGTCACGCGCCGGCAAATATGCTTCCCCGTAGTATCTGCCATTAAAGGCTTTAAGAGCCCGCCGTAGTGCTTGGCACGGAAATTCACTAAATCCGGGGCTTACGGTCCTAGGTCTCGTCCCCTTCAAAATATCTCTTCTATCTTCTCGTCTTCATCCACCTCTTCGACCTTTGGCCTCTCCTCCTCGTCTCGCATGAGAACTTGTACTAGGCGGTCACATGCCTCCCTGACACCCTCGTCCTTGACGTGCATGTGCGTCTCTCTAATCAGCGGATACACCTGCACCTTTCGTAGCTTCTCCCGTCCCTCCCTCGTAGTGGTTAGCAGCAACAACGTTTCGAGATGAGTAACAAGAATATCGTTGTCACTGTCTCTAGCCTTGTCAGGCGGCAGGAGTTGCAAGTCTGGGAGCATATTGGCCGATTCTTCTTCTGAGAACTCTTCTGACCCAGCGAGGGGGAGGAGGATGTATGGCAATATGTTGACGCCAGGTACCCCATCAACGGTTTCGGTATCGTCGGCCAAGAGTAGAGGGTGTTTGTCAACTTCAAAGGCAACATTCTTAATTGTGCTGGCAACCCCTCTCCGCCGAATGTGGCTTTTGTGCTCCGTGAAGACTGTTAATTTGCTTATGGGCACCACCCCGTCATAATCCCTTTTGCTCAGAAAATAATCCCGACCGACTTTGTGTTTTGACAGGTCGGCTAAGAAATATGCCAGATAGTCGAAGTTTGCGTGTTTGTTGAGAGACCCGTCGGCCCCTTTCACAAAGCAATCGAGCAGCTGGTCGAGCGCATATGGAGACGTAGATACAATTTTGGCGGGCAAGGCTCGCTTCAGGCTAATCAACTTCTCCATATGATCCGTTTTGGCAAGGTTTGAGAGGAGCATGGCAATCTCATCAGCGGTTTGCTCTTTCGGATCCTTCAACTTTCAGTCAGCTTCCTCTCGGCATCGTGGGCATGGAGCAGAGGACCTGGAGACGGGTTCCAACCTACATACTGTTATCTTCTTGAGCAGTGTCTCAACAAAGTCATCGTCTACCGCCAGGTTCTCGAGGATTTCGGTATCGTGGCTGATGTTGATTAAAATTGTAAGAGCATTTTTGGCTATGGGCTAGAGCCGGAAGCGTGGGCCTGCGTCAGAACCGTGCCAATGAACACATGTCCAAGGTCACACTCACAGGATAGTCTCTAACGAGAAGTTTCAAGTCTTTGACAGGGACGAGTTGAGGTTTCTTAAAAATGGCCGGGTCTGCAGAGTGGCCGACAAGATGGTCGCAGGCTGATTGAAGATCATTTTGTCAGCTTGAAGATTCCCATCACGTAGCTCCCCACATCGACACACCCTAGCCAGTCGAAGACACAGATCAAGGTCTGAAACGAAGAGGTTGTGCTTACCAAGTTGTCGGATTTGAGTATTTCCATGATGCAAAAACTCGAGCAACTGGAATAAATCAGGCATGATCGCGGCGGGTTTCACGCGGACTGGCTTACCTCCTCCAACTCCGTAGGCATGATGTGCGTATATCTCAGGAGAGGTTTGAGCGGTTGGGGATATAGAGATTTGGCGCCCTGTTGCTGGGGACTTCTTCGAGATGAAGTTTGATAAACGGCCGAAAATGGCATAGTTTTCAAATGACATGAATGACAAAAATGACACTAGATTTTCTTTGCCTGCGCTGCACTCCACCAACACCATCACCGACACTGACACTGACGCCCAACACCAGCCGACACCAACCGCAGCTTGCGTCTCTTCTCCCACACGCTCGCTCCAGTCAAACCCCCATCCGCCCCTCCTGCCCCTCGCCAGGGCTGCCATTGACATCGCTCCAGAGCAGGGCGGACTCCAGCTCCAGGCTAAGCCATGCGCATCTCGCCTCACTGACCATTTAGCACGAGGGTATTTCATGCATGATTCGCACACAGATGCATGTGCAAGCGCCCGCTTTCTTTGGCACTTCAGCAGCCTTCCGTCGCCCTGTTCCCTGGCCTTGTCGCAAACCCATCCCCATCGAGTGTTCTTCGATCGTGTTGGGGCGGGAACGGGAAGCGAAGGCTTAACTCGCCAAAAAGGCGACCACAACATTGACTCCGCGTGACCCTCCATGACAGCGATGTTCCTCCCGCGACGCGGTTCAAAAAGGTAGTCTTTCTTCCTCAGGCCGACATCCTTCATTTCATGTCTGCTTTCTCCTCACAGTCTTTGCGCGAGCCTCGCTGCACAAAAGCAAGACATCCATACCGAGACGCTACATAGGACTTCGAGTTGCGCTTGCGCTTGCGACCAACGCCAACGACCTTCAGCTGTGAAGCCAGCATCTCCAACCTCCATGATACGATCTAAGTCACAGTATCATTTTTCAAGGATTTGAAGCTCAAAGCCACGAGCATCCTGAATGTTCTCAATTCGCCAATGCAGAAATCATGGCCGCCAACATCCTCGATCCCGGCTTGATGCCACCTCCACCTGGACCCATAACAATTCGACAAGCCATCGACGACCTCCAAGTAACCCTCAACCAAATTCGGCGTAAACTTCGCACCTTGATCGACTGGTACATATTTCCGAATGTGGTGCCGAACTCGATCCAGGCCTACGACCCACGACTCCAAATCTTACAGGCGCGATTGAGATCTCTCTCGACGATCGACTTCCAGCGCCTGCCCTACCTGATCGACGGCTCCGACGACCTCGGCTCACAATACTTGAACCAAATCGTGGACCAGCTACTATCCTCGGTGCGCGGAGTCCAGACCATCTTCGTGGAGCACTACGATCGGGACCTGCAGGAGCGTCGCCCTTTCCAGACCATCTGGGACACTCTGCTCTACAGACAGGACCAGATCAAGCAGCTCCCCGTCGTATGCCCCAGCATCCCGCGGCGAGCTGCCCCCGAAGATCTCCGGCCTGCAGAACTGGGCAATTTCTGCCCCGGGGCTCTGGGGATCAGCAACCACCGCGACCGGGGCCGCATAGCATTCGTCGAGAAGAAAGAGCTGAGCGACGAAGACAAGCGCAAGTTGAAGGCCTTCGGCGGCGCGTTCTTGAACTGGCAATGCTCCGACTGCGCGAGCAAGGTGCGCTACCACGTCGCCGCCAGCACGACATCCAACATCCACAGCACAGACGAGATCCGCGAGCATCCCGGCCTGGACATCCAATACCGCAGCTCCTTCCTGGCCAAATGCCACCTGTACCTCCCGCCGTCGGAGAAGACGCCCGGCCCGTCCACCTCCGCTGCGCCGTCGACCCACAGCCGCCGCGATAGTTACGGCATGGCCAAGTACGGCTGTGTATTCTGCTTCGCGACCGGCCACGAGCTGGAGCGCGGGTTGACCGCCTTCGTCACCGTGCGCGAGTTCGCCGAGCACCTGGCCCATGAGCACAGGAAGCCGCTGCCGCCGAGTTTGCTGATCCATCGCTACGCGGTTGCCGTTGAGGGGAAGACGGTCATTGGTGGTCGCTGGGACTTGAATTTCTTGTGAGAGGGGATCGGTTCTGGCGTATCAAAGAATACAAACCTGGGGAATCTTCGCTTCTTCACTTTCATATTTCGTATTAGGGTACGAATTGCATGCGGTGCTTTGATGACTGAATGAACGATATCACGATCCAGGGACCACAGTGAAACAATGCTGCAAGAGCAGCGCCGCATCAAGAGAGAATGCCAGTTCTGGAGTATCAGGCGCAACCATGTAATTCTATGTCTAGGTATTTGAAGTCTTACATGATGCTTTGCCCTGTCTTTCTCCCTCGACACATCGATCATCGCGTCAAAGACGAGAAGCGAGGGCCATCTCTCGTGCGTGACGGACGCCACATTCTCGCGTATCGACCTGGGACAAAAACCGCTTGTCCCCCGTTCCCGGTCCAACGTACAATCCAAACCACCCTTGGTCCCAAGCCTGGGGTGCCACGACACGATATGACGACCCGCTAGAAAAGAAGAATAGAAGCCACGGGATATGGGACTTCTGACGTGTGAAAGTTCATAAAACCCCCAGGCTCTCCCTCAGCCTCTTGCGCCACACCGGGGGCTGGAAAGCTCGTGTGGCATTCGACCTCTTCTCAGAATGCGCCCGCCCGTTCCCGTCATCGGCGCCCAATGTCATCTTCAATATCCAGGTCTGTCCAAACAAGACCAGATCCACCCCCGCGCGCCATCTCGAGTATGTATCTAATGCACAAACCCGCAATCCAATCCACAGATATATCATCTATGTGGACAAGGATGTATATATGCAATCCGTGGTGGTATTTAGATACCCCACACAACGCCCCTGCTCGCAATAGTCATGCATGAGAACCCAAGAAAAACAACAAAGGAGAAGAAATATATAAAGACAAGAATGAGAAGGGAAGAGAAAACCAAAGAAAATCATATGCTCTCCACGACCAACCCGACACTAACGCCAGGCCGATGTCCTCTCGCTGCCTGCACTACGACTGGACTGTAGCTCTTCTTCTCGAGGATTTCCCACTTGCGCGCCTCCTTGATGAGCTGCTTCTCCGACTCCTTGCTCCACAGAAACTTGCCGAAGCTGGACCCGGTCTTGCCGTCCGGCTGTGGCTTGGTGACTTTGAGAGCATTCTTGTTGGCGGAGAGATCTTTCGAGGCGCGGGACGCCGATTTAGCAGAAGACGCGGTGCGTTTGTGCCGGTGGCCGCCACCGAGGAAAGTGCGTTGGGATTTGTTCGATCTTTGAGACGTGCTTGATGGGTTGCGCATATGTTGTTGCGGTGGGGGGCCGACTTGCAGTTGGGATTGCGAAGAAGGTTGTGCTTGGGATTGAGCCTGTGCTTGGGCTTGGGCTTCAGCACGGCGGGCGGCGAGTCGGGGTCCAGGGACGTGAATACGTGCGGATTGCTTGCGGGATAGCGAGACAGTTCGCGCGACTGCAACCTCTGCGGTCACCGGATTTGAAGCCACCGGATTGGGTCGGGGTGGGATGACCTTTTCTAGGCCGCGTAGTGAGGACTTATGTACTACATCATGAGAGTGAGGCTGGAGCGACGAAGGCAACGTCGCAGATCGTTCTTTCGATGCCCGGGGCGCCGCCGATCGCAGAGCCAGATCTTCAGTATTGGCACGCACAGGTCTTGTCGGCACCACGCCAGCCCGTTGCTCAATGGCCGTCACAGTGCTCTTTGCAGCGTATTTTGAGAGAGGAATGAACTTGGCGTCTTTTTTGGGGACTGGAGGCGGCTTGTCGTCCGATGGTGCTGTTGTCGGCTTGGCCGTTCTCTTCGGGCTAGGCGGGCCTTGAGGAATTGTGGGCGAATCGTCAATGGGACGATCTACGCGCTTGATTGCGGTCAGGCGAGGAGGTACCCCCTTCGTCGCCTGCGGTTGCTGAACCGATGGGGACCTCGCAACACTTATGGGCGACACATTCGATCTGGGGGATTCGTCTTCCTTCACTTCAACCACAGGCGAAGGGATCAGGCGGCCGACTTCTTCATGAGTCTTGCTGGTTAATCGTGACTGGTGATCAGACGGGCGCACTTGCTGGACGGTCACGATCGGGGCCAGCTGATGTGGTTTTTCGTCATGGTGCGCAATCGTCAAGGTGGGAATGCTAGGGACCTTTTCAACGGCAGAAGCAGCACTGCCCGTGGGTGCAGTGAGTCTCTCCACTGCAGCAATTGCTTCATCGAAGTAGGCGGTGTTGACCGAGGTGTGCTTTGTCGTCAATGCAGAATGCGCACCACTCGATGCTGCCGGTGGCTCCGGTGGGATCAGGGTGATTCGCTCAGGGACATCGCCTGCGCTGCCGGACGAAGCCTCAACGTGTCGAAGGTGGCTTGGGGCAGGTGCTCGTTTGGACCGCGTTCGAGCCAGCTCTACCTGGACCGAGTCCGGTCTGGTCATGACGAATTGACCGTCCTCCACGCCTTTGGAATCTCGGAAAGATTTGATATCAAAAAAGATTTCATCGACCGTGGTTGCGCTAGAAACAGATGATTGGAAGGAGTGAGCAGAGCTCCAGGGCGCCTCGCGATCTGTCGACGCCGTATTATCCTCTGGGCTGTGGATAGCATGCTCGTTCATAGAAGCAATCTTATTCGGATTGAGTGGTTCCGGCTTTGGGACGGAGGAGAAATGGTCTTGCATAGGAGACAAGCGGGCTGGGGAAGTGGCTGATCTTCGCAATTGACTTGGCGGCAGGGTGTCATGATCTGAGCCGGGTACTCGACCAACGATCTTCACTGGGGCAGGAGAAGTGGTTGGAAACAAAGAATATTTGCTCGCTGCCGGCGACCTCGTCATGGTTGGCGTCGTCAGTCGTCTTGGTGGCATCAGAGGTGTCAGAGGCTCCGATTCAGGATTTCGACGCTCGTCACTGTCGCCATTATTGGTGCCTTGAGTTGTAGGCCGACTGTCGTCGAAGGATTTGAGACTATCCAGAGCCTTACTCCGTCTTGCGAGAAGTGAGGAAGAGCGCTTAGCTGCGGGGAGATTGAATGGAATATCCAGCTCAAGCTTCGGTAAAGGCGGACGTGTATACGGCTCCCCAGTGGACCCTGCATCGGTCGCGGTCGCGGTCGAAGGTCTTGATATTAAGTCATCTTCAGGCTTTTGGATAACTAAGTCGCTCGTTTTCAGAATCGAGGACTTTTGATTCTTCTCGATGGGCGGTGGCGGCGGCGCGTCACGCCTCGGATGGTCCGGTTGCGTCGTTCGCTGTTTATCGCCTTCGACTTTGGGTGACTCCGCCGCTGGGTCTTTGTCCAGGACCACAAAACCAGTCGGAAGGCCTATAGTCGGGCCTGAGGGAACATCGTCTCGTCTGATAGCGGCTTGTCGGGATTTGAACAGCGTCCCTAGTTTCCTCCATCTCTTAGAGTGCATCTGAGCGGCGGTGCCTGGAGTTTCTGGGTGTTGGCGGAGAACAGGGTTCTGATCGACCGCACTGGATTCTTCCGGAGGACCGCAGAAGAAGGCGGGAGGATGGCTTGGGCTGCCAAACGCCAAACCTATCAAGCTGTCTTCTGATTTCGATATACCATTCACGTTCTGCAGAGGCGAGGGTTTGTGATTGTCCGATGTCCGTGGCCGAATCGAAGGGACCTCGACACGCAGTTTCCGCTTTCCAGTTGGGCTACCGGAAGTCGTAGGACGAATCTGAACCAGCCTGGGCCCAATCCTGCCTGAAGCACCCTGGCCAGCTGAAGACGACTCCCCAAAGGCAAAATCAAATTCCTGCTGCTTCGCACTCGGTTCAGCCGTCGACTCGTTGTGAAGAAGAGGATTTCGTTTGCGAATGGACAACCACCTCGTCGGCATGTTCAAAGTTCCGGACCAGCCAGTAAAGAAAAGGGAACCGATTAAAACAAGGACAAATGAGTGACAGGAAAGAGAATGCTGATAAGCGGGTGACCTTGCACTTCGGCTCAGCAAAGTTTAGGACCAAGGGCACCATGAAACAGTTACAAGGTGAGCATCGTGACACGGCCGGGTGACTTGTCGCCTGCAACTCTGGCGTTCACCAAGGACGTCGAATGTATGTTGAGGCTGGGGTTTGTGGGAAGGTAGAAGAGCCAGAAACAAAATCCGACGCACAAACTGCAACAAAAAATCCAACGGCCAACCGTCGTGTCACTGTTTACCCAGCGAAGACAGGGACTAGAGAATTGGCAAAGAAGCTCCCCCCCGACACGAGGTTGCAGGAGGGGACACAGAACAGACTGGGATGCAGCATGACTTGCATGGATGAGGTGGCATGCAAGTTCCGCGATCTTTGGTGGCCGTCAATGCGGCCCTTTTTCGATAGCCGAATCAGCATTGTTCCTTTCAGCCATGCCGGCCGTGGCGCAGTGACATTGTTGAAGATGGGGGCTCTCAAGAGGGCGGCACCAGCAGGGATGAGTTTGCCAGGCTTGAGACCAATCTTCGAACGACTTCCGTTGCAGACCTGAGAGCAATGGAAACACAGCGGCCAGGGTCGAGAGAAAGATGGAGAGCGGAGGTTTGAGGGAGCCACTCACAGGTGCAGTAGTCTAACGGGGTGTTTGGAGCCCATCAGCCCTAGCGTGCTTCAGATTCTCCCTAGTCTCTCGCGTGGCGTCCTGTCGCATGTCAGGGCATGGTTCAGAAATCTTCCGAGAGGCGGGATGGCACTGTGGCAGAAAGCAAAAGCTCTTCTTTTCCCGCATGAGATGGGGACTCCCCTCTTCAAGATAGATTCCAGAGCTTCGACGCCTGAAAAGAGCGATTCTGCTTCGGTCGCGAAGAGCTGAGTAACATGGCAGATCCAAGGCCAACAATGTCCTCGCTGTTTATCTCACGAGCCCAGAGTGGCTTGCCGCCGGGCTGTTTGGCTTGATTGCTCGCCCAAGCTCGCGTTCGGTCCTGTAATCTCGTCACCTGTGGGCTTGTTGCGCTCGGATTTCTCGGTTGCCCCTGAAACACATGGGCTTCAAACGTGGGTGCGAGTACTCCGTAGAATAAGGGCGCCACCACATGCTGCAAGCTTCGCAGAGATTGACTCCTACCACGCCATCCACCTTCTTGGTTGTGACTGGCTTCTTATTTTGGGATTATTGGGGATCTGAAGGATGCCAAACCATCCCCACCTCCTAGGCAAAGACGTCAACTAGAGCCGCTGTTCGCCAGATCGTTGCTGACCGCCGTGCTTCGGGGGCTGGTCAGGCCATGGCGCTGCTGTGACCCTTAATTGGCGCGCTTCGGAAAATTCGACGGCGAGATGAGCATCTGGTGTTCGTCGACGTCGCTCGAGAGGAATCAAAACAATCTTGAAATTATCCTCTCCTTGTTGGCCGGCTGGTCATTTTCCTCCTCTTTCTGCGCCGACTCCCTGCATCGTGTCTCCTGAGGTGTGGTGTCCCGGTGATTGTGACAGAACCAGTGAGCCATCCGAGTCGAAGCGATGATTTCGCTTGTGGATACATTTTCGAGGGCCGGATTTGAGGCCAGCATTCTGATGAGGAGCAAGGCTTGATCGGCATGAAGGACCAGATTTCGTCCCTCGAGGACTGGCCCTCGCGGCTCTGGCCTGCGCAACTTGGTGAGTTGGGCCTTCCATGTGCCGCAGGGAAATGTGCGGCATGGAGCGAGGGAGTCACTGACCGCGTGAATCAACCCGAATTTAATAACTGCGATATGTTATGCCGGAGATGAAAGTACTGGACGAAGCGTGGTTTTCGCGGGCGCTGTTGGTCGGCGGGTCACAGATCATGCACCTACCCGATGAATGTATCCCACAACGCTTGTGAAGACCAAAACAGTTGTAGGTGGAGAAGGGAGAGTGAATCAAGCAAACACCCTGCAATGGACTTGAGCAGGCTTCCCTTGCTGTGCGAAAGCCTCATGTGGCCTCGTCGCCCGTTGCTTCCATCGGCTTTCCATTCCGCAGGTTGGCGCGAGCATACATAGGTTCTGGAGGCGTGGCACGTTGTTTACAAGGAGCAAAGGTAGGCTGGCGGATGCAAGAAAAAGGACAAAGAGACTGATATCTCTGCGTGCTAGAACAAGCACAGATCAAAAACTACCATAGGTAGGTACGCTTGCGAAGAAGGTTATGCAATCCTACATGGCTATTGTGCGCAATTACCTCTCAACTCCCTTGAGCCAGCCGCCGCAGTCGCACTGCGAGAGAACAGCACAAAGTCCAACCAACTCAGTAGATGGTGATCTTCTGTGCCAGCGCCCTCGCTATCGACAGCGCAGTAGTTTCTGCCGCCGAGTAGCTGGCACCATTCGCAAGCCCGCTGGATCCATTGACATTCACGGTGTTATTACCCCCATCGCCACTTCCCCCTCTTTGCATGGACCAATGCCTGACGGTCCCAATCCTGACAAACTCCCAGGGCTCCCTGGCCTTGAGGACTAGGCCACGCTGATCATCGAGCATGAGGGCAAAGCTTGGGAAATGCGGCTTGTCGTCGAACGTTGCGAAGCCCCGGCCGTGCAATGCCGCCTTCGTGGTGTCGCCGGCGACAACGAAATCCACCTCGGTCGAGAACGGGTGGAGTTTGCTATATTTTGTGTCTGATTCGGCGGCTTGCAGGAGGTACAACGGGGCCTGTATGGATCTCTGTCAGGGCTCATGGTCGGGCGACTCAGGGTGGATGGATAGATGTGCAAGAGGTGAAACAAAGAAAATGGAAGAGAGACTAGACCTCGAGTGTGATCCATCCCTTCTTGACTCTGCCATACCGATCTCTGCCCGCAATATCGACATGCGCACAAACACACCGAGCCCTTAGATTCTTATGATTCAGAGGATGGAAATTCACCTTCCCGTCCAGATTCGCCCAAGACCAGGACGGCGCGCGGTACTGCGGCGGAAACTTCACCTCTGATTTGGTCGCGGGAGGCATTGCCGCGTCGTGCGCAGGGTCATTGCATTGATGGGTCGGCTCGAACGTTTCTACGGACCAAGAGAGGTTCTGCAGGAGGTCGTTGCGCCAGAGGCCTGCGAGGTAGTCATCTCCCGTCAGCGACCCGACTGTGCTGGCAACGCCCGACAGGGCAGGCAGCTTGTCTTGATCTCGGGTCAGGTTTCGCGAAGTGTATTCTTCGATGAGACTGAGCCAGATGTTGGGCCAGGGGTTTCGGTTGCTGTCCTTGTCGTCGGTCTTGGAGTCGGAGCCATCAGCAGCAAAAGTCGAGCCCGGTCTTGACTTGACAACCTTTGATAACGTCGGAAAGTCTCGTTGCAAGAGTGCCCCGTCCTCGGCCAGGACATATTGCTCGCATTCCCAATAGAGCTCCTCTGTCCCAAAATGCAATGTGCGAGGAGAAAGGAGTCGCTCTTGAAGTGTCCAGCCACGCTTGTTCAACGGCTCGTGCTTCAATGGCTGGACTGACGCCCCAAAGCTCCCGACAACATATACCCTTGGTTTCTGCTTCAAGGACGATGGCATCCACTCTGGCGTGATGTACACTCGGGATTTCCGGTTACCGCGCATGCCAAACATGTTGTTGAATGTCCTGCAGGTAACGCCGTCGCCTGCGTAGTCTACTACTAGAGGCGCCGCAAGAGGAATACATCGTCTTCCGGTGGATAGAGTGTCGACCGAGACGTGTGGCCTGACATAGGTCACTTCGATCGGTTTTGACGAGTCGCGGTAGCAGCCCGACGAGTCATCTGCCGAGCTCATGGCTGACAGTGTCAAGTACGAAGCAAAGTAGACGATGCCCATCCTGGAAGCCTCCGTTTCCCAGTCAAGCTGCCATGTCGTAAGCCACGAAAGACGTGTGGTCCAAGTAGATGGAGGACAGTGGGAGGAAAGACTTACGTCGTCGTCCTGTATGATGCACAGCGAATCAATCCACAGATAGTGGATCCCGAGCTCGCGAGTGATGGTTACGGCTTGTTGAAAAGTTGCCGGTAGTTCAGCGAGCGGGATGCCTTCGCAATGGTCCATATATGTCTTCTTTGTTGTGGTGATTCGATGCGAGACACCCCAGCAATGGCTCAGGGCCACATACTGTCCACGCCGGCCGTTGGTCGCGACGAGGTGTATAGTATCCCCTTCTCGGTTGACGTCGAGGACCCGAGTCGGCAGTGGTGGCGACGTGGGTTTGTCTGCACATGAATGACTTCGACTGCAGGCATGACCTTCATTGCAATCTTTCAGCCATTTCTTGATTCTTTGGATTGCTATAGCGGAACCTTGATCGTTTGTACGAAGTCGGCCCGGGACCGTGGTGGCCAGGTCAGAATCTTGTGAGGAGGTTAGTATAGAACTATGTAGTCGCATTGAAGGAGATGTCAGATACCATCGTCTGTGCGTATCCTTAGGAATGTCCCTCTTATGCGAACGTCATCGTTACTATTGCCTTCTGCCGTCTCTATACTGGGTCCTGTACCGAGCCGTACGCCCAGCCCTATCAACTGAAGCGGTCTGTCCGTGAAGGGCGACTTGTACCAGCTACCGAAAAGCCAGGGTCGAATGTTTTTACTGCTTTTATCGTCAGCTGGAAAGCGAGCGCGAGGATCCAAGAAAGCAGGTTCGCGGAGGTCAGGTTCTGGATCGGAATTGTCAATCATTGCTGCGCCATTTTCCATGGCACGCATGCCTCCCAGGAAGCTGTAATTGCTCTCTGTCTCTCGTGTCATGATGCTGCGGCCTGAGGAGTACTCCACGCCTGGTCTGAATGCCACCATTCCGCCAATGTCCACCAGGGAGCAGCCCGCCGCCCACCAGATGAGACTGCATATTTGACATGACTCTTTGGATGCCTCTAAGGCGTCAAGGCTTGGTTGGTGCGGCAAAGCGTCTTGCTCTTCTGAGGGCAGGTCGCCAAATGGGATGTTGTCGCAAAATTCACAGAGCATCGTGGAAAGAGATGCAGTTGGACTGTAGGGGGCACTTTCGTCGTTTGGCCCACCTCGGGGTCATAGCAGACTTCTCTTACAACGACACTGTGAAGAGAGAGACATGGTGATGCTCTTCCTACGGCTGTGACCATGGAGTAGCGTTCCCATGACTTCTGTTCAGCTCCTCGGGCTCTTCGGTTCTAGACCACTTGATACGAGGCTGGATGAACAAATCGGCGCCTAGCCTTCGGAAAAGAAAGTTTCTTGGACAAGGACATTTTAAGCGAACACAGGCGAATCATACAGATGCAGGGATCTGGTAGACACAATTTGAAAGGCTCACTATCTTCTTAGAGGGGTGGAAAGCCTGCCTTGGTCAAAAGAGTAGAGAGGCGGAATCGGGAGTCGCGACGGAGTATACAGTGCGAAGTGGCCAACTAGAACAGCCTAAATACTCTGTCAGCAATGCTCCACGGTGCTTTAGCTTGGCTCACCAGGAACAGGTCGTTTCGAAGTGTCAGCCTACATAGACCCCCTTGCCAAAAGCTTCAGTATTGATCTTTCTACATCTCGTGAGGCTGGTTTCCCGGCCCCCGAGTTTGGACCTCCATGAACTGCGACACATCTGTAGCCATTTCCGACATGGCCGCCATCAAAGCCTGCAGCTCCGGTTCATTATTCTCCTTCCTGAGCATTGCGAAGAAAGGATCTGAACTCGGATTGTCCGGATCTGTATTATGACAGCGAAGCTTGTTCGCCGACGAGATGGGGTTCACGAGCTTCTGAAACACTTCCCTTCGCGCATCAGCCCAGCGTTGAAGTATCGAGGTTGATACTCCTTGTGCAAGGACGTATGTCAAAGCGTCGGCCAGGGAGTCCGCGTCAAGCAGCCCGGTGCTGAGCCCTAATCCTCCCCAAGGCTGAAGCCAACCCGTCAGCAATGGTTTTACTTATAGCCATTCGATGGGAGAGTGGAAGACTGCTTCGTTATAGTGAACGGTCAGGGTGGAACAGAAAATTCAGGACAACGTACATTGTTCAGATGGGCCGCGTCGCCGATCAACATACATCTCCCAGAGAGCATGGATGGGACAATTCGTTGATGGGTCTCGTACCTCTGCGACCGCATCACCTCATACTTGGCTGGTCGTGGGCCAGGGAGCAATCTTTCCAACTTCTGTTTCAAATTCGAGTCGAGGACGTCCGGTTCACACTGCTCAGGGGCCATGGGCACAGTGATGCGATAGTAGCTGGGCCCACGCTCACAGGGCGTTTGAATGGGGCTAAACAACGCCCAATCGACTGGATCAACAATGTACACAAACGGAGGACCGTCGCTGGGAAGGGGAATGTTGGCCCATGTGTCCGTCGCCACGAGGACCTGAGGCCAAGTGATACCCTCAAGAGGCAGTCCCAGCAATTTGCGCACTGTGGACTTTCCTCCATCAGCCGCCACCAGATATGATCCCCGGAATGAGCGCTGGACACCCTGCTGGTCAAGGACAGTCACATTCACGCTCGCCGACTGGTCCTCTTGGCTCACAGCAATGACTTTGTGACCAAAACGGATCTGGGCAAGTCCCAAGGCGGTCAATTCGGACATGATGATCCCTCTCAAACGATCTTGTCCGAGTATGGTCATGCCGTAGCCGCATTCGCCCTCCTTCGAGGATGACCCTTTGGTCAGGTCCCAAGATGCAATCAGCTCGCCCCATCCTCGGCTCTCTGGAGATGTCTCTTGGGTTGTTCTCCTCCAAGACAGACCCTTCAGCAGATACCCTTGATCTCGAACTTCCTCCCAGATCCCTGCATGCTGGAGAGCGAACTGTGTCGGGCCAAAGTATCCCAGTGCACGAGGCGTCGGGAGGAGTTCCGCGTCTTGCTCAAACACCACAGTCCGAATTCCAGCCCGGGCCAGGCGCAGCGCCAGGAAGAGACCTGTAGGTCCCGCGCCCGCTATCAGAACAGGTGTCGAAGAGTCCATGTCACTTGTTACTTTGATTTTTTGGGTATGTCAATATCCGAACAAGCGATGGAAAGTGCAAGGATATACACCCAAGAGGGAGATCTATAGTCCTTCTTTCACAAATACAGAGAACATCGGGCTCTGTATGGAGTGATACCCGAAGCCATATGGACCATGGCTGATGCAGGTCATTCCTCTACTTCCTGCACGCCACCGCCACTGCAGGTGGTACCCAGAAAGGAAGCCTTTCTGTCTTGCCGGCGAACCCACCACTTCCGTCCCGAACTATCACTCCAAGGTCAGGTAGTGTAATGCAGGCTACAAGTCCAGAGTACCAATTGCTCAGCTAAGACGAATCGGTGCCATCAACTGCGCACAGAACAAACTCACTCAGTTTGACTCTTCGCTCCAGAGCGGGGTCCAGAATGTTATGTTCCCTCTATTGCCAAACCAAGCCAGTCCATCATGCTACCGTTTCCAATTACGGAGAGAAGAATGATTCGAGACTGCTCGTGGTATTCAACCTGACACACACTTCACAATAATATTTGTACTATAGCCTCACTCCATCCGGACCATCGACGGCGTAGTCTACACGATCTTTCGACCTCGAGACCACACCTCTTTTTGGGGATTCATTTTCGCATTTTCCAAAAACAAATAGTAAATAGTTCTCAATCGGGAAGGTGTTGTTCCCTTGGATGTTCTGCACGTTGCAGATCTCATATTGGGCCCTTAGTCGCAGCCGGCATACCGTAGACGGTAGCATACCACCCGCCCGCCGCGGCGCCCTCGACCACAATCGTGCGGTCCTGAATGAGCCACACCTGCTCCCGTTCATGCCACCGAAACACGTCCCTCCACATGCCCCAGTGGTCCGGGCTCGCACGGTCCGTCACGGCGAGATAAAACGCCTCCGAGCGTGCTTCACCCTCGCCCACAAAGACGATGTCGACCGTCGTGACGTGGTGGCGGATGTACGGGGCCTCGTTGCCGCGGACGACCTCGACCATGCGCTTGGGGTCCACCGCCACGCCGTTGGGGAGACGGTACAGCGCGTCGGGCCCGAACAGCCTCGCCATGGCGTCCCAGTCGGCGTGTTCGCGCGCCAGGGACGCGTACCGGTGCATCACCGCCGTGATCTCGGCGCGGGCTGTGTATTGTTGCTCGCGCGTCAGTTCCATTCTTTCATGTGGTTTTTGGATGGGCTGGATTGCTGGAAACTCCGATGGAGAGAGGTGAAATTCGAGGTCGGGGGATGTTGGAGAGTATTTGCTTGTGGCGGTCCAGGGAGGGATATCACGAGCTCATTCCTCGTGCTGGGTGCCTGAGCCCCATCTAAACATAAGATAAATATGAAGGGGAGGACGGAAAATAACTTTTCAGGCCCGTGAGCCTGAACCCTTTCGAGTTGTTGGCGGAAACGAGATTTAGTATTCGGTTCGGATGTGGTGGGGATCCACGGTTAGATACATACTCTGCTCGGTATCTAGGTAGGTACCTCTATTAGTTAGTCGAGAACCAAAAACCTGATTGCCATTTACGGTTTGATCCTAGAGGGCGAGCGAAGGCCGCTTTAATCTGAGCTTTAACTGGGTGCTGCCTGAGCGCTCCCTCAGCGCTCGGGGAGTACTCCATACTCCCCGAGCATTCCCTAAGCAAATACACCTGGACTCCAAGATTTATTGTAAACAATTCCAGGCTGGTTCCTGCGGTTTTGTACTGGGAGTTGCTCCACAAGAATGGCGTATTGGTTGTAATCTATGGAAGGACGAGGGGTCTCTCTATTATATGCTCAAAACGTAGCCAACCGCATCCACTTCGATCCCACACATATAAATACAGATCCTGGCAAATATAAGTACGTCGTCCCTCCCTCGCGATATATTCCCCTTCCATCCGGTAGTTATGAGCACGACTATTTTTATTAGAACCTGATTTATCGTTCTCGCTACGGCGTTTATGTCATGAACGTGGGTTCTGACAAGCCATGTAAGCTAAGAGGTCCAAGTATGAATCATGAAAAGGCAAGATTCTTCCCAATGGACTACGGAGCGGTAGTTAATTAGACCCTACCCGTATTACGACAATTTGGATCGCACCCGGCCTACCCTCTCTGATGCCCATTCTTCGAGCTCGCAAATTCGGTTAAATCGGCCAGATGGTCCGATAAGCACACAGTCCTTTGCAATAATAGCTGCTTCATCTTCGGCCGTAGTTTGGCTGAGCATGGACACGAGCGCGGATGATTTCCAGTTGGACAATTCCTGTTGGCGACTCTGTAGGCATGTCGCAGAGACAAAGACGAGATTCAATAGAACCATGACTGCAGGTATCAAAAGATATGGCCAGCGGATATGAATATATTGCTCAGGGCCATATGTGGAGCCAATGGCAGTCGCGCCGGACGAAGTTCTGAAGTACTTTGTCAAACTCTGGGCAATATGGTGGAACACCAGAGGAACAGAACTGACAGGGTCCTAGGTCTGAGAGGCCTACTGCTTGAGAAAACTGGCCTGCTGCTGAACCGTAGCTAGATTCATTTGTGAAGTATGCGGTAAAGGTGGAGGCCATGTCTTGCTGAGATAGGGCGTCAATTGCAACCCTCCTCTTCGCTCCTTGGACATCCGCTTCGAGTTGCCAGTAACTTGCAGAGTAGGCTTCCGTTCCTACATCCGCAGTCTGTGATGTCCAATTACCTGCTATGAAATCTCCCAGCGTCTCAACGAGAGTCCCCGCACGCACGACGAATGTATATAATTGGATGCCATAGGGCAGGGTACAACAAAGAGCTTGATACTGCATGTTGAATGCGTCGTCTTTGTTTCCGTTATTTTGTAGGACAAGAAAGACATCGGCCAGAAGCAGTCGGTTGGGGTATGGCCCCTGGGATCCCTCGTCGTACAAGTTGACGCTACCCATCTGAAGTTCCATGAAACTATCAGCAGTGTACCCAGATTGCAAGTCGGGACCGTATGGGACCTGGAGAGTATATGTGCCATCGGTATGACTGCTACCTGGGCTGAGTCGGAGTTGATCGGTAATATTGGAACAGTGATAGTCCACAGGCAAAGATGTGTAGACAGGGAATTTGCAATTACCGGTATGGCAATCAGCAGGTGTGGCGTAGATCGAGGGAGTGATACCAGAGGTGTCAGTATCTTTGCTCTCTGCACCCCCAGAGTTTCTTTTTATCAGCTTGGGGATTAAAAAGGCCCGTGAAAACCGCATTTTGCAACATAGGGTCAACCGTGTTTTGACTCTTGGTATAGTTGTGACACACCGGCACAGTTGCATTGTCGATCGCTTGCAGTCCTCAATGGCTGCGTCGTCGATGCCTGGACTGATACATCAGAGGCGAGTTGCGATAACAATAATGACAGCACCTGTATACGCCAGAGTGTTGCGCGGGATCCGAAATAACAGGATAGAAGCGCGAAATGGACCACGAGTGGCGTCGTCAAAGGTCTGGAAGTTGTTGTAGCGAATGGTTCTGGCGATACCACATCCACTTTACTTGGCCTAGTGCCGATGTAGTAGCCAACAACACAGCCCCTTTCAAGGCGGTTGCAAGGATCGATATGACGGTGTTGACGCTCAGGTGTGAGTGCCATGTGTTTAGAGCCAGACCATCAAAATGAAAGAGTACCGCAAAGATCGTGACTAGGCACACGATAGAAAGCGCAAGTGCGAGGTACTCAAGTACCCAGGTGTCCCTCAATCCATGCGAGCCGCCGATAGCAGCAGTCCCGAAAAATGTGGGTAGCCTTTCCTTCCAATTCTCATTCTTTTCGGTGAAGTTTCGCTTAAAGGTGTGCAACACTCAATAGCTGGTCAGCGTAGGTAAAATGTGTCTAGTTAGGAGAGACGAGTGTAATCTAGGTAGACGCGAACGAGAATTCCCGGATAGGGTGACATACAGGGGCTGGACACTCAGCTTTATAAATGGTAGTCGACCCAATTATTGTAGTCCTGCGCTCTGCCTTGATCCGACTATCTGATAATTCTTCAAAACTCTGAAATTCATGATCGTGTTTCTCATTCTTCATTGATTTTCATCCTTCCATCTCCGCCGGCACCCTCGTTTTTAGGCGAGAGCCGTCCTTCTCAAACACCGGAGTGGAGAAAATCTCTGCTCTATCGAGCTTTGACGCTGGAAGCAGATTTTCAGGACGGTTTCGGAGTCGTTTGCGTTTGTTCTGACGGACAAACAAATAAAGCAGCCCGAGCAGTATCAAGACAGCTGCAGCTGTGGCAATGCCTATACCTGCCTTGGCGCCAGTAGAAAGCGAATGTGAAGCTTCTGATGCGATGGGCGAGGGTGTGGGACTCGAGGAAGAGAGAGTAGTTGTTGTTGTCAACGAACTCGTGCCACTCGCAGGAACGGTGGGAGTAGGGCTAGCAGCGGCGGCGACACTGGAGGTTACAGGTAAGGTGTCATTGTTTGCTACAAGAAGGACTCCTGTGTGATCCGAACAGCAGTCACTGCTTGTGCCGATACACCAACTTCCGTCGGTACAATTCGATACCGTCGTGTCTGGATAGATAGATATATCTACTTTAGCACTCCATGTACGCAAGAGATGGGAACTCGCAGCATCTTGTTCCATACGTACCTCCAGTTATGTTGGTGTACAACTTCACACAATTGGGATCGGTAAAGTCTGGATCGGTACAGCTTTCACGCCACCAGATGTGGTACGCCTCGTTCCAGCAAAGACCGTTCGGCATACATGTGTCCCAGCTGGCGCAGCACATTGATACTGTACCGTCCGTAGGGTTACATGGTTGATAGGTGCTGTTCTGGGGGGTAGAGTAAGGGCCATTCGTATCTTCGCCAGCTGGCGTGTAGCACGTCTTGGATGACACTGCGAGCCGAAGCGACAGGAAGAACACCATCCAACAGGCCTGAACAGCCCTCATCTTCGAGCACGAAGAGTGCATGTCGTGGCAAAAGCGGGCCAAGCAATCCAAAATTGGTAGGAGGATGTCAACAATGAAGAGAGATGAGAGATTCTGGTGCAGAAGAGGCACACGGGTCTGCTAAGGGGGGATATTAACAGACTTCAAACTCCGTATCGACCACTCCCTCCACCCAGGCAAGGGCCCAGGACGTTCGAAGCTGGCCCCTTCACTCGATCCTCAGAGGCTGCACATATCATATATCAGGTTTCCGTCCCGTTGGCGATAGCAGGGGTCGTGCCGCTTGTGTTAGGCCTCCCGCAGCCCGTGTGCCCCGTGCCTAGGTGCCTTGTCTGCTTGTTTGCGCCTTATTTCGCTGGGGATCAAGTCAAGCTTTACCAGCCGAACCGTTTTTCGGGTCGATGATTGATTCATGGAGTCGACAAAGATAATGTCTGGCCCGCCAAATCCTCACCTTGGGCGGACAACCAAACGCGAGTCCAAGTGATTCAGAAGGTCTTCCAGGCGTCAATCCAGTCAGTCAGTGGTGGAGCGGTGAAGAGGTCTCTCGGATCACCTTTGACACATATCCGCGTCTCATGCATGTGCCTGCACCAAGTTTCGACCAAGTTTCGGGAGCCCGTGGATCGATCTGGGACAGCTGCTCAACAGCCCATTCCCACGGCACTTTCACCCTCATACGGAAGTATGGCCGTCAGCTAGGCCGTACTGCGTACCTCATGAGACATTCGTCTTCTGTAAGCTCCTAGCAGCCGATAACCCAGCGGTTAATGTGCCAGACGCTTGTTTTCGGACGGGTTTTGCCCGCAGAATAGAGGCATGAATTCAAGCCACAAGACTGGACGTTTGGGCTCATAACTGGCGCCAATTGCCTTTCAGATGCGTGCGGTCACAACAGTGTGACCAGAGCCGTGGCCACCGAGGCATTCCGAGGTTTCGAAACACCAATAGCAATGAACCCATGGCCAAGTTGCCGTCCCGCAGTTCAGGGGAGACCTGAGGCATCTCGAGGCCTAGACCAATAGCTGCTTCCTCTCGCACCGCCATACACAAGGTTACGTAGGCAGCAGCGGAAAGGTAGGCGATTTACCAGGTACCCCTGGCGCCCGTCTGGAACAGATGTCTAATCGAATGGCAGGTTTGGCCGACTACGAGAGGCCTGATGAGGCGCTCAGTGATGCTCAGCCAAAGGCGCAGGTAAAGCTCAGGTTAAAGCGGCCTTCGCTCACCCACTATGATCAAACCGTAAATGGCAATCAGGTGTTCTTCGTTCTCGAGTAATATAGGTAGCTATGACGCGGAACCAGGAGCACGCCCCGACAAGCAGATTAGCCAACGCTGAACTATGGGCTCTCAAGTTCACGACATAAGGATTAAGCCTAAAGACTACCAGATCAGCCAAGTGACACTCTACGATTGTACCCTGTTCCAGATTATTCCTCGTTCCAGAACTCCTCATTACCGGTTCGAATATTTCCCGTCCCCGAATTGCAGGATCTGTTTGGGTGATCGGAAAAGATCGAGGAATGGTCCTATGGTTTCCCACCAACACATTTCAAAGCCTCCTATACAACATAACTTGCCTCCAGAACCCCATAAGCCAAATCCCCTGAAGCTCCATGGCGCGATTTTAGTGGGCAGCAATTCCTGTCTCAGATGTGCTGATGTTCCGCCGCTGCAGGCGAATCAACAGCCCCTTTTGGGTGTTGAAGAAGAAATTGTACGTCTTCCACGGCTCCTTCGTGGCCAGTTCCAGCTTGAAGTCCCGAAGAAGGGCGGGGATGAGCTTGTGCAGTTCGCTCAGGGAGATCTTTTGTCGCAAGGTCAGCCAAGTGCCTTTGACCACTTTTCTCGAGTCCTGAAGAGAAGAGGAAACTCTCTGCAAAACCGGAGGTCGGGGAGCATTTTGGTAGAGGAGATGGCCAACTGGGATACAGCCCGGGAGCCAAGAAAAGGTTTACTTACGTTCTTCCCCAGACAAGTCCTCGTTCCAGCCCCGAAATGGAGCATGCAACGATCCATGCTAGCAGTGCTGTCTGCAAGCCACCGCGCCGGTCGAAAGGTATCTGCATCCTCGCCGAAGACAGATCGGTCATACTGGACTACGGCCGCGTTCATCCCGATTCGAGTCCCACCGGGGATGGGCGTGTCGGCTATCACCAGGCCCTGGCGAGGAACGTCACGAGGCAACGTCAGTCCCACGCTCGGATGGAGACGCATGGCTTCCTTGATGCTCGCACATAGCAGTGGTAGTTTGGTCGCCTGGGAGTAAGCAACTGGTCCTGTGGCGGGAATGGTGCCGTTTCCCATTGCTTGGTCGATTTCTTTCACGACTTGGGCGTAGATTGGCGGATTTGTCATGAGAAAATACAAGGTAGCTCTCATGGCTATAGCAGTCGTGTCGGATCCAGCGAATCTTTTTTTTTTGTCAGCGGTACCCTATAACCGCCTGTCCAATCCCATTTTGAAGATCCTCGTGAGAACGAGTCGGACTTCTGGTCTACTTACATCGCCGAATAGGATTCCTTGGCCATGTCCTTCTCACCGAAGTTGACATCTGCGCCCTTGTTTTGCTGAATGTCGAACATCTGCTGCAGCAGGTCTCGTCGCGGTGGGCCCTGGTTGGGATCCCGTAAGAGCTCTGCACGTTCCACCACGCAACTCTTTGCCGCTGCCTCGATGGTGCCGATGGCCTCAAAAGCTCGGCGTACTTTGGGAAACATAAAGGCTGAGACTGCTAAGAACGTCCGAAGGTAGCTAGGAATGACGCTGGTGGCGCTGAGAAAAGGCAGGAGGAGGTCGAGAGACGCAATGAAGTTCTCGTGGTCGTGACGTTCTTGCATGAATCCAAACATCTTGCCGAAGAAGAGCTCGCCAACGACGTCGAAGGCGTACCTAAGAGCATGGGATGAATCAGTCAGAGGACCGTGGCACAGCTTTGCATATGACAACAACGTACATTTGCAGCCACTCTCCTAGGTTCACGATTTCTTCAGCATCCGCATACTCTCCCATTCGCTGCATGAAAAGGTTGGAGCAATTGTCAATGTACGGTTCTGACCGGAGGATATTTGTTAGAGAGTAGACATGGCTGATGATCCTTCTCCGCTCGGCGTGGACCTTTTCGTCGCGCTGACTGAAGTGGTCTGGGAAGTTGCCGATGTTTGGGTTCTGCCACATGCTGTAGAAATCGCTCTTTGGAGGCGCAGATTTCATAGGATAGATTATGGGGATCGCCTTGGGGTCTGAACAAGCCACCTCGTCAGGTGCTATTCTGACCAGAGGCCCAAAGGCGTCGTGCACCCTCCGTTGCTCATATTCCATGTCTCCACAGAGTATATGCCATGTGATCCAAGCTCGACTGATTCGTGCCAGGAATGGCCCTGGGATGTGTCGCAAGGGGTGGAAATATAACGCAAATATGACCCAACCGACATAATATACAACAAATGCAACTCCTAATAAATAAAGATGGCTTTGGACCACCTTCAATATCCCAATGGTCGAGGACCACATACTTTGCGTTGGAAAAGGAGAAACCCCAAAACCAGAGGAATAGGTATTGACTCTAGCATCATAGGCGATGAACTATTCCAGCGATGCCCATTTGAATAAAGTGGCAGAACATGCGGCCGAAGCACAGCTGATCTCGAAGCTATGCGGGTAACAGCCTTGTCCTTGCCAACCCTGGTTCGGTTCGGCTGTGGAGGGGGTGGAGTCGCCTTCCCCGGCCGGGGGTTCGCTTGGGAAATGCGGAGACACCGGGAGCAGCTGAGGAAGCTGGTAAGTTGCGATAGGTCATATCGAGCCACATGGTACCATCGTTCTAGGTTTAGTACCGAGACGCCAGAGATACGCCAAACCAGGGGAGAATTCGCGGTGCTTTAGCCCTTGTGTCCACAGGCCTTAACCCACGACATGCGTTGAGAATACGGCTCTTCTCCGGCATGAAGATCTTGTTAGAGACAGGCGACAGTAGCAAGGTGCTTTTGCGTGCCGTACAGCCAAGGAGATCGGGTCCACAGTGTTGCCCTTCTATTGAAGAGAGCAACAGAAGTCTCATTCTTCGTCAATTTCACCACCACTGTCGCAGTGGAGCATCAGCCTAGATCACGGTTTTGTGCCAACAAAGTCGTACTGTCTGATGGCCTGTAGGAAGCGGTAGACGTCTTCACATATAGGTGTACTCTGGAGTCTCCCTTCTTCCAGCAGATCCAAACACAGTTTGAGGGCGTCATAAGATTCCGTGACGGGAGTCAACAACCCGGTGGCGTGAAGCACACAAGGAATACCCTCTCCTTGACGTAACACTCTTCCATGGGGCCCAAAGTCTTGCTCGGGATCGTTCAATGGTATCCGAGGAGCAGCCCCAAAATCCAGGTCGTAGGCCTGTTGCGTGCGGCCTGGTTGGAGCTTACATCCAATGCCGTAAGCCCACATAATCAACGACACGCGGAACAAAGCTATCGGCCACCAGAGCGGGCGCAGGACAATATACTCTGGACACTGCAAAACCTTTAGGACTTGGCCTACATGCGCCAGCGCCTTGAGCGAGGCCGGTGACCGAACCCATCGTTGGAATTGTGGTATGAGTGGCTTGGCACCAGCTGGGCCTTCTCGGCCAGCGAGGAGTTGGATGTCACTGAAACATATAAGCAGTTCCAGCCATACTAAATGGTAAATCAGTTTGCATGCAAGGGTCATTTCGGTCTCGCCATCACCGCCGAGGACTCTTTGGCTCAGAATGTACCACTTGATCAGCATGGTTTGTAGTTCTTCTTGTCGGAGAGACGCAAAACTGCTGGATTCGAGATGGGGTTCGTCGGCATAAGGTTCTGTACTGACAAAGCGATTACTTTGGACGAACTGAGTGACTTGAGTCTGAATAGCACACAGCAGGAGCCTCAGCTGTAAGGCGGTGACATGGCAATGCAGCTCAAGAAAGTCGTGTCGAAGAAACATGCAGTAGAACGCCGCCAGGGACGGTGGATGCAGTCGTGAGTGATTGCCTGGGCCCTGCAGTTGACCATAGCGCTCTACCAGCGCCCTCCATTCCTCTTCAGTCTCTGCAAAGAAGAGCTCGTCTGCACAGGGAATGGGGCTGCGCATGTCCGAGAAGTGGATTGTAGGGGATAAACAGTGGAAGAGACCAATCTCTTGTTCCACGATATACCAGACATAACCCATTCTAGAGGTTTTATATCAGTGATGTTGTCTAGTAAAAGGCTCCTGGTATTCAGACAGGTGAATGGGAGGGAATCTCACATACCGAGTCTTCCGCTCTCTGCTTATCCAGGCTCCCCAATTGGCGAAGCTGGACTCAGCACTCTGCAGATCGACGGAAGCAGTAGACTTGAAATAGCCTCGGCGGAGAAATGCCTACATGGGTGTCAGATCAATATCCTGTCTCGACGAGAAAGTAGTGGTCATGGTCTCACTGACCGTTGAAAAGGTACCCCGAAACGCCTCCGCGAGCTCCGCGTGTCTTTTGTTGCCGCACCAAGCGCTCAACACGGTGACTAGGAGCGCGGTACTCATGGTCCAAATATCATTGATCTGATTTTCATCCCTTGTCATTGTTTCGTTGATCATGTTGCGTATGAGAAAGGCCAGCTGGATCGCGAACGATCGAGCTTCCGGCACGGGGATGGTGAGACAACCAAGGGCCATCAAGGTGGAAAAGAACAGGCCGATGTCAGAATAAGCTTCATCTTTTGCCCAGGTGGACTCGAAGAAGGTACTTGGATGTACCATTGGGTAGAGTAAAGCGAGATTCCGATGACATTCCGCGAATATTGCCTGGACGGTCTGAAGAGGTGGAAACAGGTGTGGAATCTTCCTCACAAGATCTTGATCCAGTGCCTTGGACACCATGACATGTATACGAGAAGAAACAGTGTCGCGAAGTCCATCGGCGACCACCGGCCCTAAAGTCTGTCTCAAGCTGGATCTGCCGTCAAACGTGTGAATCTGTGCCCAACTTTTTGAATCGTGCAGGAAGTCGCAAATCCGTATCACTTCAACAGTAGGTCCCTTTTTCAAGGGATGAGAATGAACCCAGTCGGCATATGGATCCACCGTGTTGTCCACGCCGTTTGGCCCATGTGCGCCATTGACAGAGTTCTGGGTGCTGGTTCCTTGTCCTAGAACCACATCGTCGGAAACAAATACCTCAGGAAACCAGAAGAGCTGCGTCAGATTCTCGTACTCGAATGGATTGTGGCAGTCAAATGAAGCAAAGTCGTTCCACAGAGGTCCGCCACTCAGTCCAAACGTGTTCAAGTGGTGCGTATTTGCAGTACTGATCATCGGTTCTGTCGGCTGCTGTTGATCTAGGGGCACTGGGTCCTTGTCCAGTGGTACTCGGTCGGAAGTCTTGTCGTCAGACTGCCCGTTCTTTTCAACACTGTCTATCGAGTCATTAGACACGACCCGCTTCTTCTTTCATTGCGCTTCGGATTTACCTTGTCCATCTGCCCACTCCATGCTTTGGTGGGAAGGCTAATGGAAATGAGGGAGTCAGCGATTCAACTTTTCTCTCTTGGTAGGTCTTCCCTACCCCTAGAGCCGGCCAAGATATGTCTTCCGATCGAGTGTCGACAACATCAATCTCCCTGTGCATCTCTTTGCTGGCGCCGCAATTTTGATGAGCAAGCTCATGATTTGGAAGGACACATCGTCTCTTGAGGGGATGTGGTCTATCCAATGTACAGAGTCTTCCCCTAGCAAGGCACTGGCCACACGGTATTCGTCCGTCACATCTTGTCTTTGATCGGGAGCAGGCATCGCAAGCAGCAGAAGCTCGCTTTGACCGGCTTGAAATATCCTGGCTTGAGGTTGTCGAGGAGGAAGACGCCTCTTCCGCGGGCCGGTGTATGGAGATATGCCTCTTCAGAGCATCGCTGGAAAGAAATAGGATCAACCTTGAATGTCACGAAACCAAAAATTGGCAAGGTAGTGGATCATGATGACGGACCTTCTGCTGAATGTTTGCGAGCATATGTCACATCGGAACGATCGCAACTCGGTATCTGACGCAGTGATCAGTTGCCTCGTCACGGCCGCTTGGAAGCGAAGCCTTACGTTTGATAGTGTGTCGCTGCAAGTGCTCCCTTCTAGAGAAGCTCTGCTGACACAGGGTGCAACGGTAGGGTGACCCGAAAGGCAACATGGGATGTCAACTGGTGCACTCTGATGCACCGGCTGAGTGTTTGGTTACTGTTATGATTCGACAATACGCTCCTTGAACAGCCTCTTAGACTTTTGTTGCGTGTTTCGGCGAGCAACTACCAGCTGGCCTGAGGAATTCGAGTAGAGGAGCAAAGTGAGCCCAAAGACGTGAAAGAAATTCAACGGAGCCAGACAGCAACTGCCTGGCTGGCTGATAGTTGGGGGAGATGCACGGGGCTGCCCCCACTCACTCGCAAGGCTGCTTCCCCGGTTTCAAGGCAACCAACTTGAGAAGTTCTGGCATCGTAATACTCCATACACGGAAAAGATCTCGTCTCTAGCTTCATTTCTCCGCAATACCGACAGTACGGGATCCAATCCTTGGTGATTTCTACCAGCCTCGGCCGCTCGGTTACGTCGAAAAAGTGGTCGATGCTTAAATTCGGCTCGGCTGTGGTGGGGGTGGCGTTGCTGCAGAGGTCAACACTTATTTGTGTGTCCATTCTGGTGATGCACAAGTCTTCTTTTGACCAGCAGAATGCTGACCAGTCTTCGTGCCATGCTTCCTGACCACTCCCGCTCCCGCTCCCACGAGCCAGTCAAGGAGTACCTCGTGGTATGAGTGTTCTTCGGACCACAAACCATACTTCCCGTGTACTGGTTCTGAGCTATTGACTCTAGACTCTGAATGAAATGGCAACACAGAGCACCTGGTAGATAATTGCAAAAAGCAAAGCTGTCAGCACAGAGCGAATACGTTCCCTCGCCTTATCAGTGCTACATGACCAGAGAGGTGCAGTCTCGATTTCTAGGGGCATTCATTCAAGTCGGTATTTTGGAGCAGCTGGTGCGTAGTTTCTTTTCTGATACTAGTCCTAGGGGACTTGACATTGTTGTGTAGTCTTAGTGCCCATGAAGCCAATTCGACTCCTAGTCGATTTATACCAGGAGATATGTTAGGTGAACCAAGTACCTCTGCAACAACCAAGCCGTCAAGCTGTTGTGCACGGACAGAAACACAGCAGCCGAAATCGGAAATAAGGCGGAGACCCCTCGGCATTTGAAGTGCACGTGACATATGTTCTCCGCACCGGGGAAACACCGCCCCTGTCGCCGACGCTGCAGCCTTGTGCGGGGAAAGGCTGTCAATGTCAACAAGCGACCGAGTCCGGAGGCAGATTCCCAGCTCCTGCCCTGTTTCTGACTGCCTCCCTGCCGCCCCATTGCTTTTGTGTTATGATAAGCTCTAAGCCCCTGACCATCTAGCTTTGAAGAGGATTGAAAAATCTCTGAAGCTGAGGAGAGAACCACACAGATATCTGCAGGGCACAGCAGCGGTCAGTCAAGATGGGGGGACTTCAGCAAGACTTTTTGAGGCTGCTCCGCCGACCTAGCACTCCGAGAAGGTTCCCATGCCTCATGACAGGCTCTGGTAATAGGAGATATTCCATCAAGACAGGCCCAACAAGGAAGGATCGAATACCGCTCTCTCGCTGGAATGCTCAACCGGGACCGATGCCACCCAGGGGCGTTGCGTCTTGCCGCTGTCAGAGCACGCTCAATGTCCCGGATGCAGAGGCATTCCAGTTCAACGCACCCTCCAGCCGACCCCTCTCCGACATAACGATCGTCGCCCTCGAGCAGGTCATCTCCATGCCTCTCGCGACCCGCCATCTCGCCGACCTCGGGGCTCGGGTCATCAAGATCGAGCGGCCCGGGACGGGGGACTTTGTGCGGCACCACGACAAGCGCGTCCGCGGGAAACTCTGCAGCCACTTCGTGTGGACCAACCGCAACAAGGAGTCTCTGGCGTTAGATATCAAGGAGCCGCGCGACATGGAGGTGCTCCGGAAGTTGGTCTGCGAGAAGGCCGACGTGTTTGTTCAGAACCTGAGGCCCGGCGATGCCGAAAAGATGGGACTGGGCTACGAAGACATGAAGGCCATGATGAATGCCGCGTATCCCGGGGAAGCGAGGGGCGACAGGTTGATCTATGCGTCGATCAGCGGGTACGGAGCCAACGGACCGTACGCGCACAAGAAAGCGTACGATTTACTCGTGCAGGCGGAGGCCGGGTTGGTGAGCATCACCGGCACCAAGGACGAGATGGCCAAGGTAGGATGCTCGATAGCGGATATCGCAGCGGGCATCTATGCATACAGCAGCATTTTGGGGGCAATCATCCAAAGACAGAAGACCGGGAGGGGATGCGAGATCGACGTCTCCATGCTGGAGTCACTGGTCGAGTGGATGGGGTTCCCGTTGTACTATGCGTTTGAAGGCCAAACGGCGCCGAAACGCGCGGGCGCCGCTCATGCGAGCATCTACCCCTACGGCCCGTTTTCGACCGGCGTCGCACCGGACGGGAGCCTGGGCGCGCAGGTCATGCTCGGCGTGCAGAACGAGCGGGAGTGGAAGATCCTGGCCACCGAGGTCCTCGAGCGCGGGGATCTGACCACGAACCCCAAGTTCCAGGACACGGCCTCGCGGAGTGACAACCGGGCCGAGCTCGAAGCGATCATCAGCGGCATCTTCGCCTCGTGGGGAGGCGGCGCCGAGGAGGTCGTCAGGCGGCTGGAGAAGGCCGGCATCGCGAACGCAAAGGTCAACGACATGCAGGGTGTGTGGGAGCATGAACAGCTCGCGGCGCGGAAGCGGTTCAGGCAGGTCGACACTGAAGTCGGGCCCATCCAGGCCTTCCTGCCGCCTGGGATGAGCTCCGATCTGGACGCGCGGATGGAGAGGATCCCCGCGGTGGGAGAGCACAATGAGAAGATATTGAGTGAGCTGGGCGATTCAAAGGCAAAAATATAGAAAGTATGAAGCTTCTGGTTCACATCTGGTGTCTGGCTTCGTACTGCAAGATTTTATATTCTGACAGGCTGGAATGCTCGTGGGGATTATATAGAGATAGAGGCATTGGTTAAGCAGACTGTTAGCGGCTAGCAGAGTACGAGTTACAGTCTTTCCCGGTTCTGCTGAAGTTATCGTTACACCATATATAGCCTGAAGAATGCTCGACGACAAAGTAACAACCGATGTGTTAGTGGTAGCTCGTGGAAGGATGTATCAAGGAACATAAGGAAGCATTAAGCATTCCAGTTTGAAAAGGCGGGCACGATACTCATTATAATAAAAGGTATAGTAAAGACAATTCTCAACCTGATAGCCAACTACGTCTCAGCTAACCACCCAGCATGGCAACCTAGTCATTTGCACCAATACAAGGTCCTCGCGGCTTCGATATATGCACCCACCGAGTAGCTATTTCGGTATGTGAGCGGTCCCAGGCATCTCTGGTGCATCGTCGGCATACTCTGCCTCACGCCTCTTCACGCGGATCCTGTAGATGACGAACCCAATAATACCAGCGATAATCAGGACACCTGCCACTCCTCCCACGGCGCCACCCACAATCGCAGCCGTGTGGTTGGGTTCAGCCTTTTGAATCACTGCGGCTGGGGAAGTGGATGTGACGGAGGTAGTGGTAGAAGATGGTGGAGGCGTCGTCGTACTGCTTGTCTTTGATGTCGTTGTTATTGTCGTCGTCGTGGTGGTCGGTGGCGAAGGTGGTGGTGAGCTTGCCGTCACATAGGCCGCAGTGGTGCCACATTGAAAGGTTGTGTATGCCGCGATTCCATAAGTGAGGACGATGGTCACGCACTCTGGGTAAGAATCGCCTTTTCCACTACATATTTGTTTCAGTATAGAGGCCATTTGAGTCTCTTCTATACATACCAGATCCCTGTTTGGAAACCAATGCACCCGGTGGTCACACCACATATGGACGAACTTTCAGCTATATCGACACAGCTGGTCGTGTAATAGCAATCACTGACGAAGTCCCCGTTTGCGTCGACCGAGCAGCAGGCCATGAAGCGGAGGTTCCCATTGTAGGCACAATACTCATTCGGGGGACAAGTTATCGGCTCGTCGTTGAATATTGCACATGTGTCCGTGAGATCCCTCTTCTGCAGCCGGCGGCGATAGAGGTTGTAGTAGGGAGCAGGTGTCGGCATTGGCGACCAGCCACGAGGATCGAGGCCGATGAATCCAGTCTCCATGGCGCCGACATAGTCGAGGGCATATGCCACGCCTAGGGCGTGGACAAGAACTGCAAGCGCCGCGAAAAACATGCTTGCACTATTTCTTCAGACTTCCCTGGAAAAGACGTGCTCTGTTTTCTGGTGATCAAGGCAGGGAGACTTGTCCCCAGAACCCTCTTCCCTGACCTTCCCCTCTCTTAAGCACTGAGGCATTTTCCCGTCTCCAGCCTGATGTTGCGCTTTCGACTTCTCTCGCCCCTCCCGCCGAGCTTTTTGTGCTTCTTCCTGAGCTAGCATTTGGGATGCATACACGAGATAGCCCCAATGGTCTCCTGCACGCAGTCCAGTTGAGGCGTTGACATCTTTCAGCTGACACCGCTCTTGCGCTGCTTTTACAGTCCTGATCAGGCTGAGGCTTCGCACGATTGGCTGCGTTGCGACGACGGGAAACGCCCAGGCCGATTTATCCAACCACCAAGCTGCTTTCGGAACTGTGGCTTCACCCAACTTCGTGGAACCGACCTCGCCTTTCGTATATGCATGCTGAGTTGAGGTCTGTGACTTAGCCCCCTTCCTTATCAACCCCGCTCAAGTGCCCTGCGCCCGGTGCTGCCTGGTCGGCTGACTCTGTCGCTCCTGAGTCTCCTGTGTCCAGAACGTTGGCGACGGACTCCCCCCCTCCCCCCCCGCGTGAACAAGTGTGTTTTCAGCCTCACCGGTCAACTTCGAAGCGAAGGAGGTGGAAGGTTGGTAACTTACTAAGATCCCAGCCTGATCAGAACGATTTTGGGCCTTGCTCTGAGTTTGCTATCCATCATCTTGCAACCATGAGCGGGAATCCGTGGTCGGCAATAACTGCTGGCGTCAGTTCGGGCCTAACCTTTGTCTTCAAGATTTGCGAGGTCACCTACGCTCTAAGGGCCGTCGATCAACAGACGAGAGAGTATCTCATCACCGCGCAGCACGCCTGGACCAACATCAAAACCTGCCGCGATTTACTCAGTCACCAGCAAGACCTGCTGCCGTTGTCGGAACGGAAGGACTATGAACGAGTGATGGAGGAAACGAAGAGAGCGGCCGAAGAGGTCGCTCTGCTCCTTGAGCCCGCCCGGGTCGACCTGGATGCGGACTGCAAAATCCATTTCTCGACCCGAGTCATGTGGGTGCTAAGCGACAATTCCAACGTCGGCGCGGCGTTGAAACGGTTGGATATCGTCCACACAACTCTCACGCAGAACATCGCGACGCTGAGGCTTCTGAGGTCTTACGGCACCTCCGGGCTCGAGCCGGTGCGCAGCAAAGAAAGGCCTCCCAGCTACAATACCAGCCAGCTGCTTCAATGGAAGCACATGAGCAGGCTGACCCCGAAGCCGAGCTTTGAAGATCTTCGTACTCTACGGGCCGACCCCGAAAACACAACGCGCGAGGCGGCACCGCCGATGAAAGAACTTCCTCCAGAAATGCCCGCCGATGTCCCAGCACAATTTATACGCAATGTAACGGGTCAGAGAAGTCCGACCATTGAGCTGTCACCGACCCGGATCCGTAGTGAAACGTCGACTCTGGTAGAAGTGCCCTGTGGCAATGAACCAGTGCCGACCATGAGAACCACGGGGTCAGCGATAGGGTCAATGACGGGGTCGACACTTGAGACGAGCGAGTACAAGCCTCGGACTTGGCTCGAGCACCAAGCAATGAAGTCAAGTATGCTAAGCGAGAGAAGAGCAAGAGCAACCCACGTTTGAAGGAAAATGGAGAAGTTGATTTGATAGTTTTGTGTATATGAAAACGAGTCAGGGACTGTTATTACCGCGTTGAATAGGCTTTCCAATCATGTTTCAATAAAGCAGAGATTACTTCACACGCGCCTCTTGACAAGTGGTTGAATGGTTTGTGGTGGTTGAATCTCTCCTCCCATACCATCGTGCGTCTTCAAAAGTGAGGGCACAGTGGCAACAGTCGGTGTTGATCGCCGCGAGGCATCCGACGCCGGGCCCCAGTCGAACTTGAACGTGGCGGGCTGTGAGTACAACCAAAGTGCAACCTTCACTGCGGTCCGCAGCACCTCGGCGAGATGCTTGACCTTTTGCTCCGCATTCTGCGGTTGACTGAACGCAGCGAAGCGATCGGAGAATGTCTTCGCGAGGTTGTACAGATGGGCGTCTTGTGCAGTAGAGTCGGACTCCTTGCCGTCGAACAAGTCCGGGCGGAGGTATGCAGTGAGCATACGCCAGCGAGACAGAGCCAGATGGAAGTCTGGAGATCAGTTAGTTTTGCTTTTTTTTGCGGGCGAGGGAGAGGGGTTGACGTACTACGATCACCGGATTTTGGAGTGGAGAGAACCAGCACGTTAGAGACCTCGTAGGGCAATAGGCAGTCTGAGCCATGCGAAGGGGAGACAAGCTGGACGACATGAAATGCGAGGCAGTGCTTGATGATTGTGACTTTACGCTGGGATGTGTTGAGGAGAATACCCAAGGGCATAGGCAGCTCTGGAGTCCCGAATCTCGAGAGCTCGCTCTGTTGCTCGGGCGTCAATTGTAGGGGCTGGTCGCTGTAATAATTGTCGACGTGAAGTTCGATCTGATCAAACAGAAGCAAAACCCTCTGCTTGACGGTGGCATCATCTGCCTGCTGAGGGAGGAAGGCGTCGATGTTGACGTTGGGCTGGACAGCAATGGCGGCAACGCTGGGGCGAGCGAGAGACTTGTCCGGGTCCTTGTCACTTCTAAGAGATTTGTTTGAGAGACGAGAATGTGCTTGGCGATGCCTGGACGAGGATTTCGTCTGGCTTCGACGTAGAAGCACCATGAATAAGAAGGCGAGAAGAGCACCGAGAGCGGCGCATCCAATGGCGACTCCAGCTATTCCTCCGGCAGAGAGGTGATTCGAACCCGTCGGTGGGGTTGTTTGTGGATTGTCTGTCACGGCGGCCGAGGGTGAAGCCGAAGCACTTGGAGTCGAACTCGTCAAGAAATTGGTTGATGTATTGCTTGGTGGACTGGTTGATGAGACGCTTAGGGAGGTAGACGATGAGGGAGTTGTTGAATTACTTGGGGTGGGATTTTGTAAGGCTGGATTGGTATTTGGCGACCCTGTAGGACCGGGACCGCCAGTGTCACCGACGAGGGAAGAATCGGTGGTTGACATGCTTGGTGTCTTCGAAACGTGTCTGCTACCCTGAATGCCGTAGAAGAGAATGATCGATCGTTTATTTCATTTGAAGAATGCTTCTTCGTGAAGGTCATTCCTTTTCACCGAGCACGGTGAGGCTGGGACTCGTGAATACGAGGTGGGTGGGTTCACTGCCACCCTGCACAGCAACAATTCGCGCAAGCCTTAGCCAAAACAAGACCATCACGAACTTGTCTCGCTGGCGTGCATATTGGACCCCTCCGTCGTGCAGGAAAGGATGGTACCATTTACTTGCTGCTTTTAAGGTCGTATGGGGGCGCACACTGCCTCAGCGATGGGGTGGTTATGCCTTCTCAGCCTGAGAGAGGGTAGTTGGGCAATCGTGATTCCTGAAGAGGTCAGCCTATGCCCCTCGAGAGCTCTCCTACCTTGCAAGAAGGTCCAGGAATCAAACATGGCCAGTTCTCAGCAACCCGAGCTCGTCATCGGTGTTGACTTTGGCATGTCCCAGACAGGTATTTTGAACACGGCCAATATGAGCACTGCTGACTGGATGTAGGTGTGGCATACTGCACGGCACCATGGACAAATCCCGTAACTTTTCAAAGTTGGACGACCATTGCAGCTGAACTGTTCAACAAGGCGCCATCGCGACTGGCATATAACCATGGTACAGCAAACATAAAGTCTTGGGGTTTCTTTGTCGACGTCGCCGATCGGGCGACCGACATCAAAGAGTATTTCAAGCTCCACCTCGACCCTGAATATGGAGAATGGAAACATCTCTCCCATCAAGACGCAAGACGGTTTTACCTGGACTACATGAGATGTGTGCATGACCATATTGCCCGATACTTCCAAAGTCGATATCCTCAATGGGCGACAATGCGAGTCGAATGGAACTTTAGCGTTCCGACGACTTGGAAGCATGCTGGAATGGTCCGTGAGCTCTTAGCGATCCTGAAGCTCGCTGGATTCGGAAGGGACGGCCAGTACCATTCTTCGGTGGTGACTTTGACCGAGGCCGAGGCAGCCGCCGTCTGTGTCGCGAAGCAAATGTTGAAGGTTGGTCCCATCTACCTGCATGGCTTATGTTGATGCTGAGCGTCATCGAGCGCGACGACGTGATCTTGGTGTGCGATGCAGGTGGAGGTACGACGGTATGTAGGCCACTCCCGTAACCGGATGGTCGCCTGGCTAATGTTTGAAAGGATGTCAATATTATGAAAGTAAAGTCTGAGATAGGAGAGGCGCTCAAGTTGGAACAGTTGCTTCAGGTCGAAGGTCGGTCCAGGAATCGCGTACCCGTTATTTCGCTAACTCAATTCCAAAAGGACGGGAGGTCGGCTCCGCCCTCATCGATATAAAAGTACAGCAGCACCTTGCCAAACGGTTGGACCAGGTTCGTGATATTTTGCAACCTGCCGAGACTGCCGAGAAAATGATGCTAGGCAGATTCGAGAGATTCAAGTGCAGTTTTGGAAGCCCTGGCATGACTGCTCCAAAGTTGTACCTGCCAGTGACTGGGCTCCCTACAGGGTTGGATTACCCGCAGGCAGGGATTAGAGACTCCCATATGGAGATCGATCAGGACACCATCCAGCATCTTTTCGACGAACAGGTTGATGGCTTAATTGAACTGATTGAAGAACAGTTGAAATCCCTGAAAAGAACGCGCCCTGGCGAGCAAGTCTCATATCTGATCATGTCTGGAGGCCTTTCTGCCTCGGAATACATTCAGAGCCGAATCAAAACGCATTTCGAATCTGGAGCAGGAGCCGAAATACCAAACGTGCGCGGCCTGCGAATGCTTCTCGCGGAGAACCTGTGAGTAGTGGATCGCTGTGCTGCCTTGAACCAGGGGCTAATCATCATTCATAGGCAGCTTGCCGTAGTCCAGGGACTCGTCAGTTACCGTGCCCAAGAAATAGGACAAGATTGTACGCCAATTGTGCAGCGCTGCGCACCTGTCAGCTATGGTGTTGTTGTCAATCAAAAATACAGCCAACAGAGACATTTCGGCCAGAGAGTAGTTCGAGATAAGAGGGACGGAAAGAAATGGGCGGTTGACCAGATTGAATGGTTGATCCGGAAGGTAAGTTTCTCGGAGTCCGCATCGCTGGAAAGGTAGACTCGAGTGACTGACTTGAGCAAAGGGCGATAAAATCACCGACAACGGCATCGAGAAGATATTCAAGGCCAAGTTGAGTCCTGCACAGTACCGGAAACCATGGAAGGCGCAGTTTGTGGTGTCCACACGACCTGCAGACGCCCTCCCCAAGAGCATGGCTGAGAGAGACCATGTCAGGACGCTCTGCACCGTGTCAGTCAATCTCCATCTGGTCGAACGGCTCGTGCGAAACAAGCACTGGTGGAACTTTGGGGAGCGCTACGAGCTTGCCCATTTCCGTGTCAAGCTCATCCCTGGGCATGCCGATTTGAAGTTCCGCCTGATTAGCGGAGGCAGGCTGGTGAATAGTGAAGATGATCAGGTCAAGGTCGACTGGAGCAGCGGATCTCATCGTCAATCAACCACAAGCAACGATGATCTGGACCAATGGCACACATTGTGATGGGTGTATGCCGATTCTGAACAGGTCTACATGGTGGCGTCAATCACGGGGTTAGTGGCTTTGTCATTTGTCGTATATATCTCTTTGCTTGATGCTTCTTCTGTCCCAAAATAAAGAGATGAGATCTGTGGAGGTTATGAAATTTCGATTCGGAATAGAGGCCCTTGGGAACTTCAGTTTAATGAGCTCCTAGAATGGTTAGCTAAGACCAAACTGCCAAGGAATTAATGGCACCTTCTAGTTGGTCCGAGTTCCTAAGTACCTTATTAGCTAGTAGTACCTAGACGCACGAGTCTATTGAACTGGATAAGATCCAGGGTAGAACGGCTCTCGGAAGGGGAAATGATGACGGTGAACGCCAGGAAAAGCCTTCGAAGCTTTCACTCCCTCGTCAATTCCTCCGTCTCAATAGAGCCACAGGAGATCACTCATCCATCTGCCACTGAAACCTCAATTCCTCCTCTCTCCCTCTCTTCGAGCGTGCTTGGAACCATTCTTTTTCAAAGCCATTACTCCGGTCGACTCCGTCCCACCGCCAGCCAGGGAGGATTCCATATCGATTCGGGGCGGCCGGAGGACCCGTATACACCTTCTTCCTCACTCCTGCTCTTCCACCTGTGTCTCCCTTGGACGTTCGCGTTGATATTGCACCGTCGGTTGCCGCCTCCGCTTTTTGTTGAGCGATGTACCCAGCCATAGGGTCATCCCACCTTACTTTCGCACGAAGCTCGTCATTCATCGCTTCATCATCCACGCCTCTGCCTAGAGTCAAGAACTTTGCTTCCTCTAATTCTTTCCTGCGTTCCTCCCGCTCACGCCGCTGCACGTCGCCCATTGCGTCCTCCCTCGCTTTCCTTTCGGCCCGCACCTTCTCCTGTGCAGCAGCTCGGGCCTCTGCTCGCTTGAGGCTAATGTCGATGCGCCTGCCAGTGGCGTCACGGTAGATGGTTTCTTCCTCAAGTGGCTGGTCCTTGTGTTTCTTCGACTTGGTCCTGGACCTTACTGATTCAAGTTCTCTCTGCTTCTCACGCTCTTCCTTGGCGACTAAGGCCGCTGTGTCTGCAGCAGTCTGGAGACCCGCACGAACGCCAGACTGCATGCGTGGTCCGCTGTCGTCTTCTTCGACGATCGCAGGAGCGTCTTCATCTTCAATCTCCTGGCGTCGCAGTCGAGACTCTTCCGCCGCTTCAGCGAGGATTCGATCCGCTTCCTTGTCCTCATCTCTGTTGTCTGATGTCTGGGTCATTGTTGGCGTTGCAGTCGCTATAACTTTCCAGTCCCCCCCACCTTTCTTTTTCCTGAACTCTGCGGATTTTACGCCTGCTTCGAACATTGGTATATCTCCATCCTCGTCCTCTTCTCCTCGCTTTCCTCGTGAAGCGCCGCCTCGAAGTGAAATGGCTTCATCGTCGTCGGCGATCACGAGGCCACCTTCAAAGGAATCATCCTTGTTCTTTCGCCGCTTTTTCTTTGGGCGAGTCGAATCTTGGAAATCTGAGGAGACAGTGTCCGACGGGGAAGCAGACTGCGACGTGGCGGCGGTGAGGTAGTTCTTGGCCAGGTATGCGGCGAGGTTTTCCTTAGGCATTATGGTGAGGGCTCTGGGGCGCCGTGGTCGTCCAGTTTGTGCACTCTACGCCTCTGGTTGCGGGGCATGGAGAGCGTTGTTGTAAGGTCAAGGACGCAGGTGGTGAGTATGTCCAGTTTCTTTTCGCCCCCATGTTTGTGACATTTGCCAAGTTTGCACAGTTTGGCCGACCGAAAAGACGTCATTGTTGTTGAGCCTGGACGCGTCACATGCTACGAATCTCGAGGGGAAGTGCTTCTGAGCCTCCACTGCTGTTTCGATAAGGCTGGGTGCTGAATTCCTAATGCTACGTATTGCTTAGTTGCTCCCTGCCCTCCTGCTCTCCTGCTCTCGATTGTGCTCTGATAATCAAACGCCGAATAGAAATCTAGGAACACCCAATGATATTTGGCAGTGATCCCTCCTCTCCAAGGTCATTCATATCCTCAAGAAGCGCCGTGTAGTACCCATGATGATTGTTCTGTTGATACAGCCTCGCTTCCCTAATGATTCCTTGGGGTATCTCTGATGAATTGAAAGCATCCAAACAACAGCAACTCGGTTGCTCTGAGAGAGAGTCATTACAAGTGTGTGAAAAGCAGCCGACAACGCCGGTTCCAGGTCTGCGACGACCTCACAGAGTGTCGTGCACAAGATCGCAATCTCACTTCAAGTGAGAGTAGTCGACGAGCTCAAAATCGTCATCATCGTCCTCGGTAGAAGCCTCAGCCATTTCCTTGTCATCAATGATGTTGTATTCTGTGTTGACTAGTTTCTCGGTCTCGTTGTTCTCAAATCGTCGGACAGCTTGGATGATGGCCTGGCTGAGGATGTCACCACCCGCTCTCGGTCCAGTCGCGTGATCATAGCTGTACATGAAGTCTCCTTCAGCTGGAAGAGGGGCTTCGGACGCGTCCGGGACTTCCTCTTCCTCCGAGGTGTCGGAGACGTGAGCCAAAGGACCGTCCATGGCATCGACCACTTCGTTGCGGAAAGCCTTGCGAGCCAAGGTTGCGGCGTGGCCACTCAGCTTGTTCTGAATGTCATGCTTGTGTTTCGCCTCTGATCGGCCGACTCTCCGATCTTGATCTCGTCGGTTGGGTCTGCCCATGCATTTGCGGCAGTTGTCTTCAGGATATGTGTGTTTGTGGCAGTTATGTTCCGGAGGCTCCTGAGCTCCTCTTGCCCACTTCTTATTGTGATTCTTTTCACGGAGGTATGGTTTGGCTGCGCTACGAAGGTCGTTGCTGGGCAAGGCGGACATGATACAGGCTTGAGATGGACTCGGTAGGTGGTGGGCTGCTGGGATAGTTCGAGGTAAGGGTCGATGCGTGGTGTACTGAAGGACTATAGGATTCGTGCAGCTGAGAGGGTGCAAAGAGGGACGGTCCCTGGTCAGATACCAGTTGAGTCAAAGAATGACGCGTGCAGAGAGGGCTGGACGAGGAAGGGACAAAGGAGAGGGATTGCCCGGTACAAGTACTATGGACCGGGCAAGTGTGGCTGATGACGAGGCACTGGAACAAAGAAGTGAGTAACAGCCGAGTATGTAGGTGTTACAGAGATGAAAGAGAAGAGAGAAAGATCAGGCTTGGGAGATAAGGAGAGTGCTTTGTTATGTGAATCAGGCCTGTGGTTCGGAAGTGAGGATGATGAGGGATGTTTTGTCACACGCCGTCACCACTGGCTGAGAAGCTGGCACGCGGGGCGGTTAGGGACCGAGATGATGGGTTTCTGACTCCCACCAAAGCTTGATAGATCCTGTACGGGATGTACTATCTATGCTTCGTGATGTTGATCTGAGGTGTGGAGGCGATGCACGGGGCGATAGTAGGGATGCAAGGAGGGGCTGATGCATGAGCACAGCGACCCTTTGAGGCCGGACGCGGGATGCTGGACGCAGTGGACTGGCAGTTGAACGGGATTCATGCACGCGGCCAAGGCACAAGCGCGGGATTGGCTCAGCTGCTGTGAATGGAGTCATTCGGCGGCGTCACCCACGGGCAGCCATCAGATGCTAAAAACAATCACAGTCAGCGATTTGGCGAACCAGGAAGCATGTCATTTATGTTGGTGGCTTGGGAGCTCGGGAGCTTGAGAGCTCGAGATAGGACGGTGGAGATCCACGGTGCCGAGGGACAAACAGGGACAACAAGGGACAACAACACCACCCACCACAAAGCGAGGGGGTGGGCAAGCAGGGAAATTGACGCTTATTCCAGGGAGTCCAGGCGTAGGTCCCGGGTGCCTAGGTGGCTGTAGGTACGGAGTACATATGTCATTAGCTACGACCCAGAGCCTCGGCGCTCTCCGGGGGGCCTCCTGGGAGGGAAGGCCGCCCATACAGGAGTCCAGGACACCCCCTCACTGCCCGTGGCGCCTGGACCAAAACACACCATGACCTCACCCCTCACATCTCCAGCCTGTCCAAGTTCCTCGCCTCGTGGCCATGTGACAATCCTCACAGCCACCATCTTTTCGCTCATTACGCATACGAGGTACTCGTACTACGTTGGAACACACATCACTGACCATGGTGATCATCCTCCTCGCTTTCAAACTCTGGTCCCCGAAACCGACCAAGACAAATCTGCCATGATGACGGCACTGGTTATAGGGGTTGTGACTCCCAGCAGTGACTCAAGTGCCACCGTTGCTCCCGTCGACCGGAACTTCCCAGTCCAGCCCTCGTGTCACTGGCTTTCTGTCGGTCCCAATGCACCCCCATGAGGCTGTAAAGCTGCACTGGTTGCACACTCAATCGCAAAGCCAAAACATCTCAACAGCCAAGCAGGTCCCCAATAACTCAGTTCTAAGCAGTGAGGAGCGTTGGCAACCAGCACAGCTTCGACTTTCGGGGAATTGCTGAATGCTCGGGCAAATTCCTCGATGTCTTGCTGTGACGCATGGAATAGCGAGTCTCGCCCTCCGATCGCCGTCACCACGGGGATCTTGACCTGCTTTGCATATCCCTTCCAGTAATGGTCCCAATGAAGTCTTCTGTCTTCAAACTCCCCGAATGGTGCTCGATGCGTTATTTCCTCCGAAATTCGCCGTATCTCTGCGCTCGCCAGCCCCAGCGCAGGGTCGCCAAACATCAAAAAGTCCTTGGCCCCGGGAGGGAATTCGACATATCCAAGCTGTCTGCCTCGGGCCAGTTGTTCCTCGCCCTTTGATTGGGGGAACGCCGACACCATACCACGGCCGGAGAGGATGACTCCTGCCCATGGATATTGCGGATCAGCCTCCTGGGAATGCAAGGCTGCAGCAACAACACAGGGAGAGCAGCCAAGTGAATGGCCCATCACTACCATCGAGCTTGCGCCGGTTGACAAGCCGTATTCCGCCCATATCTTGGGGAGAATGTAGTCATGCAAGTACTTTCCCTCTTCTTGTGCAAATGTAGACCCGTTTGGTACCGTGGGCAGGCTCGAACTCTCCCTGTATCCCGGCCGATCGATGGCCACGAAAGGAACTCCAGTGGTTTCGGATATGGTCCCGACAGAGTGTTCCGGATGGGCGTCAAAGTACTGCGAACTGTAGGTGCCTCCATGTAGTGCGACGATCAAAGGTCGATATCGTGGAGTGGTAGGAGTCTTTCCGGGCACGGAATAGATACCTGAGAGCTGGGCATCGTTCGACAAGGTGAGCAGGAATGGTTTCATTGCGTCGCACTCAATGGTCGGAGTGATCAGTCGACAGTCTGGGATTTTCGACAGAGCTCGAGCTGTCCAACGACAAACACCAGTAGATATACTTTGGGCACCAGAAGACCTCCTATTCGAATTGAAGCTTTCGGTCACATCCGTTCCTTGCGCGCGTAAGCATGTTGTCGAGGTGATCTTCCTGGTATACGATGGACAGAGATGCAGTGTCATCCTCCACGGTTCGAACCCCGGTCAGCTTCTCACTCCTACTGGCTTCGCATGTCATCCTCGCTCTCCTCGTCCGGCAGTCTTGATGGAAACCACCCGTATTTGCCGAAATCGACCGTCATCTCCTCAATACCCCTAGCCGGGTTGACTTCAACCCCCTCCGCACGCAATCTTTCCGCCTGTCTGTTTGCCGCCGCTCCGTCATCGCCGCGCGGACTGATGCCGCCCTTGGAGTTGACCACTCTCTGCCAAGGGACATTTTGATCGTGGAAAAAGTACTGGTCCGGATTGGCAGAATCAAATGTGGGCAGATGTTTGAGACATACGCCGACCTGTCTTGCGCGTTTGGGAAAGTCGAGGAGGAGGGCGATGTGTCCGTAGCTGGTGACTTTGCCGTGGGGGATTTGCTGGATGGCCGAATACACAGCTTCATACCACCACTGCGCTTCCTCTGATTTTTCTCGAGGCATGATTCTAGATCCAAAGCTGTGCGGTAGGCACAGAGGAGAGCAGGACTGATGGACAGACGAATCAAAGCTCCTCCTGAACGGATGGGACTTATAAATCCGAGATGGATGGAGATGTGGCGTGCATGGATCCAAGACCCTTGCCAACCATGCTAGTAAATAGATCCCGCTGCGCTGCGCTGCATGCTTTGTTTATTTTCCTCCTTCGGCAGGCCGTGTGTTTGGCCTACCAAATAAATCCCTGGACCTGAACTCAGTGTTGCCTTCCACCTCCCAGTGGTACTGGCAGAATATTTGATCGTCTATGTTTTGATCTTGCACCCCAACCTTCCCCCCCTCAAAACATGGCGTTTCGCGGTACAGAGAGTTTTATGGACTTTGAATGGCAAGGCCATGGTCCCCTTGATCCCACCTCTCCCTATCATAAACGTGTTCTCGAGATGCAGGCGAAAAAGCGTAAGTCTTGAAGTCCATGCACCTTGTTGCCATGCTGAATATGACAGGTACCCATAGCGAGTTTGAATCTCCTCAAAAACCAACCATGCCAGCGCTCCGAGAACCCAACAATCAGCCCTTCTTCTTCTCAGACACTCCGGCGGCGGCGCCTGAATCCTCTCCTTTTCGGACATCCTCATTTACAACTCCTCGAAAACCATTCGACATCGATTTCTCGTCACCGCCTGAAAATTCCTCGCCACTGGCACCAACAGACAACGAGGAAACACCAGACGCGACACCGCTACCCATTGAGTTTAAGAGCAGCCCTTCAAAAACAGAGAACAAGAGAAACTCATTGTTTGGACTCTACGGCAGATTTGCACCAAGCCCGGGAAGAGGAGAAATTAGAAAGCCCGCGAGTGATGCTGTTGCACGAAGGATCCACAAGAAGCGACGGCGAGCTCAGCAATTTGACAGACAATTGATGATAGGGCGGAAGGGCTCCTTAGACGACAGTGACGATGAGAGTGCCCCAAGCCCGACTGAGGCAGAGCCAAAGAAACCGCCGGCGAAAGAAGCAGGATGGATCACCGGCCTGTTCACCTTCATCCACACATACCCTGACGCGCCTTCCATTATTGCCAAATACCTTCAGGTTTTCTTCAACGCAGCAATCCTCGGCGGCTGTCTATACATGTTTTGGTCGTTCTACGCCACCATCCAGGCGGATGTGGACCGAGCGAGCGAGGATGCGATGGCCGAAGTGTTGGCGGAAATGGCGGCGTGCTCCAAGAACTTCATCGAAAATCGATGCGCCGCCGACACTAGGCTGCCCGCTTTGGAGGCTGTGTGCAGCAACTGGGAGTTGTGCATGAAGCGGGATCCTAGCGCTGTAAAACGAGCGAGACTGAGTGCGCACACATTCGCCGAAATCTTCAACAGCTTCGTCGAGCCCATCAGTTTGAAAACCATGGTTTTCACCATTACCCTGATTGTTTTGGGCTTGGTGGTCAACAATGCGACATTTACTCTATACCGGCGACAACAAGAGAGCCAGCACGTCTATAGAGCGCCCTCTGGATCATATATGCATCCTCAGCAACATCCTGCACAAATGGGTCAATTTGCACTTCCTCCGGCTGCGTCTTACGGACAACACTCTTATGTGGGCTGGCACGCTGATCCTGGTTTCGCCAGCCAGCAGCAGTTAGAATATCCTCGAAGTCCCAGCAAAGAGCATCGAGCGCGAAGTAGGAGTCCGGAGAAGAAGAGAATTCAACTCTGAGATAGAACGATTGTTATGACAAGTTGGGCGATTGGTGTTTGAATGTTGGCTATTTGTCTAGCGACCGGAATGTTGGATGGCATTTTGCTTTACATTGACGAAAAGTTTGAGGGAGGAAATGACTCGTTACAGCAAAGGCCATCCTGTCGCCACCAGGAGATGTCTCCGTCTCTGGACATTGAGTTGAGGAGGCGGACGGGCGAAACGCGTGACGAAAGTCGTACGCTGTGCTTGGGATTCCATCCAAATTCGGCGGTGCGCTCGTGAAACACTATCAATTGATATCAGGCTTTATAGTCCCATCAGACAATAGGTCTCTCTGGGTCGGCAAGAAGCTTTACGACTCGTTTCCTCGAAGTCGTCGATCCTTGTCATTGTTCTCGTCGACTCGAGAGATTACAAGCCATTTCGAGCTCCCGTGCCACTCATTGACTTAGTATCGACCTTATACCAACCGACTCTCACTTTCGCCCAAGCCTCTCTCACCTGTTGCTCTTACCCCTGGATACATCTACCCTTTTGATCACCCTTTGCTTCTGGATTGGGCCTGTAGCAACTTGGCGAAGGGAAACAGGGAGGCTAACAGCGCGTCCTAGTTCAATCTCAGCCAGTGTCAATCATTTCAGGGCGTAACCATGATGAACTCACCATTATAAATGCCGGCAACAGCCATGCGGCCCAGCGAGCAGATGACGCACCGCCGCCGACCCAGTATTTTCCCGTCTTGCCCTTTCCGACCTGTCGGACGACTTGCAGACCAAACTGCTTCGCCGTGATGCCGCTTTCCTGCATGCTGCCGTCGCAGAGCCCTTCAATGTAGTCTCGGATGCCGTAGTAGTACGAGTTCTCGGGGATTTGCGGCGGGGCCATGTTGGCGAAGACGTTGGACTTGACGGCAGCGGTCACCAGGGTCAAGGTCCGGACGCCCAGGGGCGCGAGCTCGAGACGCCACGTTTCGCTCCCCAGGATGGCGGCCGCCTTGGAGCTGTTGTAGATGCTTCCAAAGGCCCCGAAGGGAACGACCCCGCTCACCGACGTGTTGTTCACGATGTACCCTTTCGCTTTGATCAAGAGCGGAGCAAAGGCCTGGATCATGGCCAGGACCGCCCAGTAGTTGGTGTCGAACAGTCTCTTGCCCTCCTCGATCGACGTGTCCAACGCCGGCATGACCATCAGCAAGCCGCTGTTGTTGACGAGCACATCGAGCTTGCCGCCGGTCACCCTCGTGACGCTCTCGACTGCCGCGGCGATCGATTCGGAGGATAACACGTCGAGAGTCAGGACGGTGACATTGGGTGCTTTGGCGAGGGATGGTGAGATCTTTGACGGTGTCCGCGCGGTCGCGAAGACGTGATACCCACTTTCATGGAAGGCTTGGGCCAGTCCGTCGCCAATCCCACCTGAAGAGCAGCCGGTTATGAGGACTGACTTGAGTCCTGAGGCCATCGGAGCACCTAGGTAAAGAAATCGATCTGTATTCTTTTGCAGGGTTCAAATCTGTGGGTGGCGGCCGTTCTCGCGTTGGCAAAGCAGAGCGAAGACGCCATGATAAGAGAGAGAGTCACACTACCTTTATACCTGAAGGACTGCATCGTGCCACACAGGGAGTTTGTCAGTCCTTTAGGTCCGTAGTGTGTTAGATAGGTAACTTACACAGGTACCTTATTCTCCATTCTGGTGGTTGGTAGATGGATGTTTAATGCTTCATCCAACGGACTATGGCCGGAAACGGAAAGCAATCAGGGGCTTGGCACGCCGGATGATCTCGCTTCCTTTGCATGATCTCACGACATCAAATCAAGACGGGAACATTAAAGCCGCTTGCACGGCCACATACGCGCTGTGTCCTCGCCCACATTATGAATCTTCACTTGTCCAGTCAGAACGACCAGAAAACGTTGCCTTGATGCAGTCCAAGAACATATCTGCTCCCAACTCGGTTTAGTTCTCTGCTCAAGGGTGGACTTTATTCCAGTTCTCCCCGATGTTGATCAGCCGCGATGCATTTCATTGTGGCAACAGACGTGAAGAAGGCGGACGCAGAGACACAGAGGCTTATCCGGAGTCAGGTAATGATGGGGAAGAACCGTGGCAAGTCTCATCGTGCCAAACAACAGAAATCGACAAGTTGGGCAGTTGCGGTTGACTCCAAACGAGGTCCGCCAGAGCCTTTGGATACATTCATCGACGCGTACTATTCTGCCATCCCCGGCAGAGTGGGTTCGGATCTGTCCTCCATCGAGCTTGCTGCCGAGATGGATCCGGCGGCGTTTGTTGACGTGGTGAGATGTGGGTTTCTTTTCGCTAGGATGAACACTGACCAGCAGCTAACTTTGCCCCAAAATTAGTCTTTGACATGGCAGCAAGAGCATTGTTCCCTCTGGTGATGGTGACTGGATTCAGCCACCGGGACATGGACTGGTTTGATCCACTGAAGTTCGACGCTGCCTATCTTCACGTAACCGTGTTCGCAGCCGAGGTCTTCATGGACAGGATCCTGGGTCGACAATATCCTACCACCAACCGAGATGCAACCGTGCATTTTCTGAAAGGGATTCAAATCCTACGCAACAGGCTCTTGCTGGAGGACGAGAGCACCAAGTTTTCAAACTCCACCATCGCCGTAGTTTTGACCCTGGCTGTAAGTGCTTTTTTTATGGGCGAGGACGAGACCTTCAAGCATCATATGGTGGGCCTGCGCAAGATGGTCGATCTGAGAGGTGGAATAGCTGCCTTCAAGGGTAACAAGCTTCTGACAGAAATATTCAGGTAAGCCGTGGCCATTGCTTCTGTCAAAATTTGGATCCTTCTGAGAAGCTCTGATTGTTGCGCAGATGCGATATAGGCATGGCCATGCAAAGTGGAACCGAGCCCGTCTTTTTCAACGACCCTCTTTCAGAACCCATTGTGCCCTATCCAGACCAGGAGCTGCTGTCAATTCGAAACAGTGCCTGTGTTACTCCCTCTCAACATGACTCGGAAAGACTGCTGCACAAGATGGATGAGAGTCTCCTCGAAGCCTGGAAGGTCATGCAGAGGTTCTGTTCAATCGTCAATCTCGCGGCCGAAACCAACCGAATGCTTTCTCCGCCACTCCTCTACGATACCATGGCTTCGGTCATGTATCGCCTGCTCCATATGAGCTTTGACACCGGCTCGCTTGACGAAGCAGTGCGGCTCAGCCTACTAGGGTTGACCTATCATGTGTTCTTAAAGTGGCAGTATCTGAGGCTGCCGTATACCTTCTTTCCTTCGATTTACAAAAGTTGCCTTCTAGACCACAAGCTCGTGGATGTGGCTTCTTCTCAGATGATGCTGTGGTTTCTGATGGTCGGAGCCGTTTCGGCATTTACTACCTCGGACCATCCGTGGCTGAAGGATTGTTTGCGAGAACATATCGACAGATGTCAAGTGAAGTCCTGGACCGAGATGCGGGGAGTCTTAAAATCGTTCATGTGGATCGGCCTGCTCCATGACAAGCCGGGAAAGGATGTCTTTGATTCCGTCTTGCCATGACCGGTCTCATTGGACCACTCTATGCTGAGAATTTGACATGCTTGCTGAGCTACCTTGACAATGCAGGAACCATACAGGTTCACTAACCAGGGGCCATGGTTTCAAGACTTTTTTTTCTTCCTTGCCTTTCCACTAGTAAGCCCGGGTGTCTCCCTGGGTCGACCGAGTCGTCCTTGTACTCCGCATACAAATGTCTGTCCTTCCATCGACCCCTGTGTCCAATGAAAACAGGCCATTCTCTCTTCCTCCGCTGGAGATCGGACTGTGTTGCGAGTTGCGCGTGTGCGCGTAAGTAGACCGTATGCTCTTATAATAGTCGCGGCGTATATGCCAGCTACACAGGGAAGAAGTTTGACGTCTATCACCGCCTCTGATGCACGAGGAAACGCCCTACAATGGCGACCATGGAAGATCTCTGAGTCGCCTGACCGCCCGGCCACGCACGCAACCTAATCTCAGGCAACATGACAAGCCCAAAAGATACGAGGAGACTGTTCCCGGCGTATAAGGATACAAACCCGCCAAGAATACAGGCTCGATCATTTAACGACGTCGAACGTCCAACTTAAGGTGTCGCGAGATCAAGCGGGCTATGCGAATACTCTCCTGGTGGCTGGAGCCGGAGCTCCGGTAACTTCTAGGCGTAGTACTTCCATCGAATTGGCATCTCGACCGGTCGACTTGAAAAGCTGCAATGGCCTGCGAGCTCAGGGCGAAGGCGCCACTGTGTCGGCGATCGTGCAGTCTCGCTCACACCGTGGTAATCGTACCTCTCGACAACGCCCCATTGCAGGGGCAATGTCGATGGCAAAACATCCTGGTTCCGCTCATCTTGCGTTGGATGGCACGCTGCGGCGATGGCGATCCTGCAACTCCCAGCCACCGGCATGCCTGGCCTATAGGTCCGGTACCCCAAGGCCAACACGAAGCAGAGCACCCACACGCCCGCAGCCAGGAAGAAAATCATCGCCAGGGGACTGAATCCACACGTGTTGACCAGGCAAGGGTTGCAGGTGACGCCGCGTACGTTGACGCCGGCGACCGAGACGACGACACTTCATCTCTCGCGAGCACTGGGTCGAGGGCTCGGTTAAAGCGTAAGGCGTAAGGTGCGAACTGCGGGTTGCTCAGGTGGAAAAAAGTGCCGATTCCGCACCATAGTACGAAGAGACAACAGCGAGTCTTTCCTGCAGGGGAGAATGGCGCAATGCAAGGACAAGTACTCCATACAAGCATTTATTTTATCCCTAAATACGAACGGAGGTAAGACGTCCACTCTGTATACGAAACAGGGAAATAGATCTACGACCCCCAATTTTTGACTACTTCGTCCAGGCGGTCAGCACGCACATTCCTCTTCTATGTCCATCCCAGCCGAAGACTCAGCGGGCTCGGAGCAACCCATGCCCGGTTGTTGTTGCCTGCTATTCTCTGAACCGATCGAATCCAATTCCGCAAGGTGATCTACCTTGCTCAGGAATACGGGCGTCCGGAGAAGCCTCCATGTCGTTCCATAGTGCATGCCAAGCTCGAGACTGTTTTCTCCTTTGAGCGAAGCCTTGCAAACCAGACTGTCAAGCATGCTCCCAGCATTCCAAGTGCGAGTCAATATACGGACTTAGTCTTTGATGGCTTGGGTGGGAAGCAACCAGACGAGTTTGTGTAGGACATCACTGGGTAGGGAATAAATATCTATGAAATTCTCCTGTCACCACTGTCAACCCTGGAGTCCAGAGTGTGGCATCTGCGAGTTTACATTGAAGCTCACTGACGATGTATTTCAGCCTTAGGATCCTGGGATGGGGCAGCCTGATTGCAGCATCTTCTGCTGTTCCGACCGCCCTCCACGACTTTGATGCTCGGGCACCCGAAGCAACGTCGACGCCCATCCCTCCAAGTCTGGATCCTTTCTATACAGCTCCCAGAGGGTTCAAAAACGCGGCGCCCGGTGCCGTTCTAAATATTCGCGCGGCACCCGGTAATCTGACGACGATATTTAATGCTAGTTCAGAGGCATACAACATTCTCTATCGCACCACAGACAGCCATTATCAACCTGCCTGGGCCGTGACCACCCTCTTTGTCCCGCTAAAGCCCCCACACAACGCCAGCAACGCCCTGCTCTCGTACCAGGTTCCCTACAACACGGTCGACGTGGATGCCAGTCCCAGTTTCCTTGCCTATGCCGGGGCAGAAGCGTTGGGACTTCAGTTCTCTGACATCAACACAGCTCTCAACCACGGCTGGTTTGTCAATGTGCCGGACTTCGAAGGGCCCCTTGCATCTTTCGGCGCCAGCGTCTCAGAAGGCCATGCGACGCTTGATTCGGTGCGCGCTGCTCTGTCATCCCACAAAAGCCTCGACTCTTCCTCGCGGTACGCCATGTGGGGATACTCTGGAGGCTCCGTCGCCAGCGAATTCGCGGCCGAGCTGCAAGTACAGTACGCCCCGGAGCTCAACTTCGCCGGCATGGCCATAGGCGGCCTCGTGCCCAACTTTACCAGCAACTTCGACAAGATCAACAACACACCGGCGGCAGGCCTCCTGGTGGCAATACTGCTGGGAGTATCGACCCAGTATCCGGACACTTCCCACTACCTCGACAGCCGCCTGAAGACGCGGGGACAGTACAACGCCACGGGCTTCTTCGAGGCGAGAAACCTGTCGGCATTCGAACTCTTCCCAACATACGCGGACCAGGATATCTTCGCAGATTATTTCGCCGCCGGGACTACCGTCCAGGCGCCGGCCATCCAAAAGGCAATTGACAGGGAAGGCCTCATGGGCTACCACGGCGTCCCCCAAATGCCAATATTCCTCTACAAGGCGACCCAGGACGGGTACTCTGCCGTAGCCGACACCGACGCCCTCGTGGACAGGCTGTGCCTCGGCGGGGCGAACATCCTCTACCAGAGGAACACCGTGGGGTATCACCTCGACGAATCCTACAACGGAGATGCCAGGGCGCTGAACTGGCTAACGTTGGTTCTGCAGGGGAATTACAGTGCAGCTTACCCAACAGTGGGGTGTACGGTGCAGAATGTGACGGTGAACATCACTGTTACCGAACCTTTTGGAATTCCATGAGGAGGGCAGTTTGAGCGCGTGATGGACGAGACGACACATTGACGAACCTTGGAGCTGCAATTTCCGATTCGTGGCATCTCAACTACGACAACCGGACGGAGTCGACCTAATGTAAATATCCTGATGGTACTAAGGACTTTGTTCCATGCAAGTTTCCGCCATGGTCTTCTCTATCAATTTTCGTGTTCGAGTCTATCCTTTAGCAATCGCATGGCGTTCTCAATAGCCACTTATCCATTGTTCCTTAGCCATGAAGATTGATTGCACAAGACGTCTTGTTCCTCTGGACCCTTCAGGATTGACTTCATAGAACAACGGCATAGGCTTTATGCGTTGCGCGTTTTCTTCCTATAGCTTCGCCCGTCCCTGACCCAGCTCTCTCCGGGCCCGATCCCTCAATTCCCGCCGCAGTACCTTGCCGGATGCATTCTTGGGAATCTCGTCCACGAACACCACCCCTCCCCTGAGCTGTTTGTGCGCAGCCAGCCTCTCCTTGACGTACCGTTGGATCTCTTGCTCGGTAACGTCAGAGGATCCCGCCACAACGTACGCCCGGGGTAGATCCGAGCTCGGGTCGTCTGGCGAAGGGACCCCGATCACCGCGGCCTCGTGCACCGCCGGATGCTGAATCAGGAGGTGTTCCAGCTCGGCGGGCGCGATCTGGAGGCCCTTGTACTTCAGGAGCTCCTTCTTCCTGTCGACGATGTAGAAGTGGCCGGCCCGGCGGATGGCAATGTCGCCCGTGCGCAGCCAGTGCTCGTGAAACGCTTCTTTGGTGGCCTCGGGGTTGTTAAAGTAGCCGTTCATGACGGTCGGTCCGCGCACGAGCAGCTCGCCTGGCTCTCCATCCTTTACGTCGACAAAGTTGTCATCGACCAAGCTGTGCATTACATTAGCTGAGACAGCGCTGTATGCGAGATAGGACGTACCGCAGCTCTAGACACGGGAGGAGAGGGCCCAGACTACCAATCTCATCGTTCTGATAGCTTTGAGTCATCGTCACTCCCCCCGTCGTCTCGGTGAGTCCCCAAGTCGGCCCCACGAGCCAGTCGTTCGCAAGTCTCAATTTTGTGCTCGCTGACGCCTGGAGGTTACTGTCCATGGGCGCACTGCCCGTGGCGGCGGTCCTCAGAGAGGCAAATTGATCCGTGACATCAGGAGACTTGGCGATTCGGAGGTAGATGCTCGGCACCGTGAACATGTACGTTATCCGGAATCGCTTGGTGTACGCCAGGAACAGGTCCCATTGGTACTTCCGCATCCAGACCACAACGCCGCCGCCGTAGTGGGCGGAGATGAGATAGCCGAAGAGGCCGGAGATGTGGCTGGCCGGGAGGTGCGCGAGGATTCGGAACTCCCAGGGTTCGTAAGTGCCTTCTGCAACCTGCTTGGCCGCGAGCTCGCGCCCTTGATAGTGCTGGATGTAGGTGTGCGACACGAGGTTCTGGTGTGACAGCATGACGCCTGGGACAGTCAGTGGCTGGCTCGTCCGCCATGACCTTATTCCATGCTCACCTTTCGGTACGCCGGTGGTGCCGGACGACCACACGATGACGATGAGACTCTCTTTCAGTCGAGCTGGGTCTGTAATCGTCTCCCACACCAGCTGATGTTCCGTCAACAGCTCGATGCCGTCCGTGACCCTTTTCAGACTCCAAAGTGGGTCTGATTCGAGCACCAGGACATTCTCCAGAGGCAGACTGTTGGACCTGGCCGTCTGGCACGCAACCTCCTTTACCTCCTGGCTGCAGATGATCAGCTTTGTGTCCCCAACCCGTACTTGATGCGAGAGCTCGTCGGCGCTCAAGGACGGACTGGCGGCGGAATAGACACCCCCCGCCGCAATAACACCCAGAAACGCCGCTGCTAGGGCCGGCTGACCATGGCTCATGACCGTAACGACATCATTGCCCGGCCCGCTCGAGCCTACACCATATTTCGTCCTCAGGGTATGCGCAATTCGTTGCGTCAAGCTCCTGAGGGCCCTTTTGGTCAGAGTCCGCTTGGGGTTCTCTGCGGAGATATGTAGTATTGCGTCGTCTTGAGCGAGAGTGTGTTCTGAATCTAGCATCCCTGTAAGCATATCATGTTTGAGCGGCTTGTATTACCTAAAAACCCATACCGAAAAGGAGCGTCAGCAAGTCAAGCTTCGGCCATTCGACCGAAGGATACTTTGCGTTGCGATAGATTGTGGGCATGGCAGTTGAAATCGTTTGTTTATATCAATACTTTGAGGCAGCTCGAGGACCTTGACACAAAGCGAGCATGGACGAGATCCCCAAAGTTCCTCAGTATTCGATCTTATAGCCGTTTTGGCGATGCAAGTGCCCTTCCAATTGAGCATCAGCCGGCTTCACCGGGGCGCCGGCCGGTGTCGCGGACCTTTCAACGTCCATCTCTTCCCCGGCTGCTATGATATTCACAGGCCGGGGCCCCAGCCATGCGGAGTCCCCGTGTATTTATCCTCGCGGTTGCTCCCTGATTGTTTGGAAAACGTTTATGTTTTCAAGCTCTGCCGGGGAAGCGCATACTTTTTGTAATACAATAACAATGTCGTCCTCTGAAAGTTTCAGTCACCGCTTGGAAGGCGATGAGATGGAGATCGGCTACACCGAAGCCTTACGGAAGCATGTAACTCGACACGTTGTGCCAGCGCCGCCCGTGAGCCAGAGAAGGCTCGATTTCGAACATCGCCGCCCACGGCTGCTGCAGGAGTGTATCGCCGAGGCCCTGGGAACGTTTTTCTACGTGTAAGATCCATACTCATTACTCAAGTGGTCTCGGGTGGATGGCTAAACTCGGCTCTATAGCTTCTGCGGCATTGCCTCGGTGGCGGCTTGCAACTTGAACCTCACCTCGCCGGTGTACGCTCTGTTCAGCTCCCTGCAGCAGATTGGCCTCGCATTCGGCCTCGGGATCGCCCTGGCCATCACAATCTGCAGTCCCGTCTCTGGCGGGCATTTCAACCCGGCCGTGTCTCTCTGCTTCGCCATCTACGGAGGCTTCCCCTGGCGCAAAGTCCCACACTACGTCTTCAGCCAGACCTTCGGCTCGTTCTTCGCCGCCTTGCTCCTCATGGGCTGCTACTGGCCGCAGATCCAAGAGCTGAAGGCCGCCAACGTCAAAGACTATGGCACCGCTGTGTTCAACGGGGGAGCGGCGAACATCTTGTGCTCGTTCCCTCCGCCGACACAGCTGAACCTGGGATACTTGTTCCTCATCGAATTCGCGTGTTCCTCGACCCTCAGCATCGTGATCGCGGCGTGCATCGACCCGGCCAACCCCTTTCAGACGCCCGTGTCGCTGGGCTACACCATCGGCCTGGCCTACGCTGTCATGATCTGGGGGTTCGGGTCGCAGGCATTGTCCCTGAACATGGCCCGCGACCTGGGCACGCGCATTGTGGCGGCCATTTTCTTCGGCAAGGAGGCGTTCACGTACGCCAACTTTTGCTGGATCCCCATCTTGGTCAACCTGCCGGCCTACGTCTTCGGCTTCGGATTCTACGAGTATGTGTTCCGTGACTCGCTGCAGAGCATTCGAGCCGGCCACGCCAAGCACGAGGACGGAGGCGCTGGCATAGTCAGGCATTTGACCAATGTCGGCGCATTTGATCCGGAGAGTGCGTCGGCAAATGGCAACGTAGCTGAGCAGGAGGTGAGAAGTGCGACGCAGGACAAAACCAATATCCAGCAAATCGATAAAATTGTGTGAGAGGGGCGGTCTTCCCTATCCTAGGAAGATCTTGCTTTGTAGGATTCATGTGAGACGGGCACTTTTAGGACGTATGTTCGAACCATCGGAGCTCGTGGATGGCCCGGTGGTGATGACGGGAGGTGCTAGTGGAAGAGTCAGCAGGTGTCGAAGATAACTCGACTGGGGTCTTAGAGCAGCAGCAACCATCTGGTTGAAATGATCAACAGTCCTTCAGATCTTCTCCATTCTTGTGCAATAGAAGAAGTCTTTGAATCATAACATCAAGCGGATGTCCGCCGGGTCGGCAACACGACCGACGGTTTCGAGGCTGAGAAGGGCTCGCCCCCCCGGGGACTTGGCTGCAGGCAATAAACAAGGAGAGGATGGTGCCGAAGAACCTTTGATCGATATCGTGCTAGTTTCTTGACAAACAGAGGCTTGCATCAGTGGATGGTCAACACTGGGCGGTCATTTCTCACCTTTGACCCACTCGACCGGCCGGCCACTCTTTGCATGTTTCTTGCCGGCTGCAGGCAACCGGCCACCGGCAACCGGCAACCGGCCTCTCGAGGATTTTCGGTCACTGCACTCACGAAGACCTAGATCTGACAGGACAAGTTTGACACAAAGAGTTGGACTGAGTCTGTCCTGACGCCCGGGGGATCGGTATCACTGCAAAGGGACTTCTTGCCAGGTTCCGAAAATACTCGGCTGCCGCCACGACGAACGCGGTAGATTGCCACGTCTTTGGTGCGCGACAGCCACTTCGGCATAAGTAAGGCAAGGCTATCTCCTTGCTTGACCCCCTGGCGATGCGAATTTGACAGGCCTGTCTGAACACAACAGCATGGCTACACAAACCTTTTGCATTGCCCCTGCTCTGCTAGATCTGTCGCAAGGTCAATTAGTGGGTCACATCCAGAACGAGCACAATGGCATCGACAGCAGGAGAGCCGTGATCAAGCAGGGCTCCATGGACCGTGAATGCCCCGGTGATATCATAGTGCCATGGGGTTCTCCCCAGTCATGCGCCGAGGACAAGGAAGCATTCCCCGCTTCGGAGGCTGGTATGCCAACCTATTCCACAAGGGAGTGGTTTCATTTCCGCCCAAGCTTGATGCTGAGTGTATCTTAGAAATAAAAATAACTGCCACGACACTGTCAGAACCAGCACTTCCACACATTTCTTCGGCAGATGAGGTGAAAGCCGAAGCAACAGACCAGCAAGATGTCGGCCAGCGCCTTTCGACGAGGGATTTATTGCACACTTTGCTCTCCGCAACCACCGTCACCCATAACGAGTGCAATTTGCTGCAGGAGTTAATGCCAGAACAAACCACCAGTGATGTTCTCAGTAAAACCTGGACGCCTGAATCGAAATCTTGCCTAGGCAGCAACAACATGCAATCACAAAAGCACCGGCGATTCCAGGCCGACCGACATCGGCTGAAACCTAAGCCCTTAAGATGTCGTGGGAAAAAGGCATTTCCCCTTGCACAGCAAAATTTTGGCGGAAAGGACAATCCGAGAAAATATGAGTGGTATCTGCCCAGAGCTGTCTTCGAGACCTCTGCTGTGCTTTGACGGCGGGGAGGAGGAAAGAGCTGTGGGAAGGCTGACGAGGCTGTGACTCTTGCCTTATACTAGGGGGCAATCCTGTCATCTGGAGTGGAAGAGGGCGTGGGTCGTCGCTCCAGCATCAGTGTGCGAGGGGAAACTACACAAAATAGTCACTGGGTTTAAAGCTTTCCGTCAGCCCATTGGAGGTCGTGTATGTCGTGGACCATCAAACGGTTAAATGAGAGGCGGTCCATATATGTCGGAAGTCTCCTCACCGATGGAGGGATGGAAGAAGGCGTCGGTCGAGGTGTCAAAGAACCAGTCCTCTCCTTCCAATATAGGCCCAAAGTCGATGGAATTGTACTCATGGGCCTGTGAGGAACTCGGTAGGGAAGGATCTTGCAGGGTTATGGATGAAGACTTGGCGAGGCGCATCAATCGAGCAACGACCTCGTAGAAGCTCCTTAAAGGATGTTGCTTTAGCAGGACAGCAGTTTGTTCGACTTGCACCAATAAATCATCCCGTCTCTGGGGATCTGGATGCACCTGCAACACCTGAAACGCCAGGATGATCACAAACGTAAGAAGCAAGCCTTCGTGCGTTGGTGCCCATGAGAAGACTCTTTTGTACGCACGGCAGTTATTGATGAAGGTCAAAAGGTCCTGCACCAATTGTAAGATGCGTATGCTGAGCTGAACAGACTTCTCGTCGTGATCGGTCGAGACCGTTTGAGCTTCACGAAGCTGTCGCGCCTTGAGAACCCGAACGAACATGATGCCGCCCTGTATCAGTCTCGCATAGAGCTCTTGGATCCTCAGGTGTGAGCGTTGAAGAGACTCTTTGTGGACACCGTTGTCCTCGAAACGAGAATCCCATTTGCGAAACCAGAGCTTTACACCCGTTTCAAACTTTTCCGTCGAAAGGAGATCCGGCCCTTTGCGCAGCCGGACCAGGTCCTGAAAAATATCGATGGCGGCGCAGGAAGATATCGCGGAAGGATGCAGCGCAGCAAGATCGAGAAAGCTTTCTAGGTCGGCGATAATGAGCTCTTCGGTGCGAGATTTGCGTAAGCTCCCAAAGGCGATTGCCCGCTCGTATTGAACAAGTAAAAGCCAGATGCGCGCAAAACGGAGATCAATGCGCGTCACTCTGGTGGAGGTGGACGAGTTAGCCTGTGATACAGAACTGGATATTATCTTCCGGACTGTATAGTGGATTCCAAGATCGAGAGCCATCTGAAGAGCGTGTCCAAGCGCAAACCATGTCTTCTCGGAATGCACGGCTAGAATTGTCATGGCCTCTAATGTCTCGAGGGAGCAAGGGTTCTGGAACAACGACTCTGCTGCGTAACGCAGAGCCTCCTCCTTACACAATTGCAAGGTTGGACTGTTCGTCTCTTGGATATGTTGGTGACGAGCTGCCACGTAGAGGATGACTGTCAGGGTGAACGGAGACGTCTGTCGGATTGAGTCGAATGTGTCCAGGAGCGGATCGAAGATAGGCAGAAAGGCATTGCCCCCGTGCATGTATAGATCAAATAGTTCGCGAGCTTCAGACTCATCGACTAGTTGACGATCAATAATATCTGGGCGGGAGCCTTTGGATTGATCTTCGCGATTCCATTTGGACTGATTTTCCACTGTCCAGCCCGACGAGTTCCGCTCAGGCTCGCCGTCCAGAGGTGGGTGCATCATGACATGAACAGCACTGACGGGACAGCCTAGATTCTCCGGAGAGAACGTGTGGCCAAAATCGGATTTGCCATCGTCACCGGGACCACTCTGGGATGAAAAGGCAGTAACCCCTCTGTTGACACGCCCCGACTGTTGGTCTCCTGCGATGGACAGCGCTTCGGCTGTTTCCTGGGCCGAACAGCTGTGCGACCGTCGAAGGATTGCGATCTGATCTTTCAGCATGGCAACCTCATCCGCCAAACTCTGCCTGTTTTGCCGTTTCGCGGTGGTGGCCTCGTCGGACGGTGAGTTTCGCCTTTTCATGACCGTCTTGTCAAACACACAAGGAACCCTTGCATTGAGGCATCGTCGACAGGGGATGCCGTCACTACCATCACAGCGCATTTTCTGTCTTCGGCATGTTCGACACGCTTTGTAACGGCGCTCACTGTCGTCGGACATTGCGAGATGATCCCGTGGTTTCTAGGTGGTCAGAATGCAGACGTGCGTTCTTCACTTCACTCGCAGGATGCGCGAGGCCACGGTGGCAGTGAGGAGGTCATATATTCTCGGTCTGGGAATCGGCGAGCAAAGCCGCCTGAGGAGGTAGACTCGCTGCTTGTGTAGTTGGTAGTGGTTAGAGGGTTGGATGGTGTGAGGGTGGACAATACTTCGCCTAATCAACGTTTCGGGCCCGTTCCCTACCATCCCAAGCTAGGCCTCACCAGCCTCCATTGGGCTCGGTACGAATGGTACTTCAGCAAACCTAGGTAATTAGGGTAGTTATAGTCATAACTCGACCTAGTCGCTCACCTACCTTTGTACGGAGTACCCGAATACCTATAGGTGTACCTGACATCGCTGTCACATACTAGAGTGGCTACTAGGCTGATTAATCCAGGCATTGTCATGTCACGCCCTTGAGCCTACAAGGGCTGTTTACACCGTTAACTCGAGATCTCGAGATCTTAGACGCCCACGGTGGGGTTTGCCCAAGGGTGGCTGACATAGAGATACTACTCGACTTGCGAAAACTTTGAACGAAAGGCTCTTTGGCATCTTGCGAAGCGGGGTTAATCACAGGGCGCCTCTGATGCCCGCCCTTTATGCCATAGTCGGTCATGAAGTGGCGCGGTGTTTTTATTATTTAATGTTCATCTTGGCGCACGCATCTCTCTCCAGCAAACACCCAGACAGAGCAACAAGATGGCGGAACAGGAAACCTCAACGTACAAGATCCGCTATGCCACCGAGCGCGACGTCCCGGTGATCCTACACCTGATCCGCGAGCTCGCCATCTATGAGAAAGCGCTTCACGAAGTCTTCGCCACGGAGCAATCGCTGCGAGAGTCGCTTTCCTTCCCACTCGACCCCAAGGACCTCGACAAAGGCTTTACGGAGGGATATGCGAAGACGCTACTCATCTGTCCGGTTCCTGGCTCGACCGCGTCAGGCGGGAGTGAGCAGCATCACCCGGACATCCACAAGGATGGGGAAGAAGAGGTCGCTGGCATGGCATTGTACTTCCACAACTACTCGACCTGGCACGCCCGACCTGGCATCTACCTGGAAGACCTGTTCGTGCATCCAACCTACCGAGGCCGCGGGTACGGCACGGCGCTGATCCGTGCCCTTGCTCGAGAGTGCCAAAGACTGAACTGCCGCCGGCTGGAGTGGTCCGTCTTGAAGTGGAATACCCCAAGCATCGACTTCTACCAAGGCGCGAGCGTAGGCGCTACGAGGATGGAGGAGTGGGTGGGCATGAGGGTTGAAGGGGAGCGATTGGAGAGGCTGAGCAAGATGGTGGAGGGCAATTAAACGACTGGCAATCGGAGGGAGGGAAAAGTTCGCTTTCTGGAATTTGTTGTCTGTCTCTAGAACCATTAGACCCTTGAGAGCGGCATTTGTGGTATAGAACGGCGCAGCGAACGAAATGGTGTTGCGGATGGTCAAGCAGGATATGGTTGGGGCGGTTGCCGTCAACGTCAAGTCTTTTTCAGTTCGTCTCATCTCATCTCATCTCATCTCATTCGTCCCATGTGAACACCTGAACGCCTACTCAACCTGATTCCCGCAGAAGCATCTAACTCCGAGTTCCAACACGGCGGTTCCAGGCCAGCAGTTTCCTGGTTGTTTCCTCGCGGTTCTAGAGCCCGACGCTCACATAACAACACAACAGCTGTTCTGCTTCTTGGCCTGCTGGTAGAATATCCTACTCTGTGCGCTCAGACCATCACTCTTAGCCACGAGAGAGTCAATCTTCTCCCCTCTCTCCAGAACACTTTGGATTGTCTTGTGCAGCACAATCTTAGTCTCGTCCAACTCCCTTTGCACCTTCATGATACTATCCGCTTGGCCCGGATCCTGGTATTTCACAATGTACTCTTTAAGTTGTGGGAATGGTCTCGTGTTTGGGGGGTTGGTGGAGTATGAGGCCCGCGGATTCTGCGAGGAATATTCGTCGATGATCTTCGAGAGGAGTTGATGTGCGACGAGCGCTGGGTATTCGCCATCGGATATAATGATGCCGCAGAGTCCTAGGCTGGAACTGTAGGCGTGGAATGTGTAGGATTTCTCCTCAATGTCGGATCTCACCCCGGGCTTAGTGCGTTCGGCCACTGTTTTGGCGAACACGGTCATGAATTCGCCATAGCTGGTGGAATCAGCGCGTTAGCACACTCAAGGAGAGAAGGAGGTGAAACGGGGTTGAGGGAAGTGCCATGCCTACCTGTCTCGAGTGAACCGGGAGAAAGAGGACAGATCTCGCTCAACAGCAAGTTCGATGGCAGGAGACGAGTCGTTTCGAAGGACCTGAAGGGATATTAGCGTCTATTGGCTGCGACACAATCCATGATCAAAGGGCTTGCTCACTCCGATGTAGAAGATCTTCATTCTGGCGGTGTGAGGGCTTTGTCGACAAGGTGGGAAGTGTGGAAGAAGCAGAAGTGTATCGAGGTCGAAGAGTTGCTCGGGGTGTTGATACCGTAGTAGAGCGCCCGGGTGTATGATCCTACTGCTAAAGGAAGGATCACAAGGGGAAGGGAAGAAGGATCTTGTGAAGGAATGATAAAGCAGATGAATTGACAGTGCCTGCGATCGCTGGAGGGCACGTCACGAAGTGTAGCGCCGGGACCAAAGGTACCCGTTGTCTGCCTTTGTGGGCGGTGCCCGCAGCTGCCAGCCCGCCAAATGCCCCTCCAGCCTCAAGTTTCAGCCCCCGCGATGCCCTTTGGCCTATCAGTATTGACTTCTGCTTAGGGCGAGGCTGCGACCATGTGCGAGTCATCAGCCAGCAAAAGTGACTTTTTCACTTTACCGCATCCCTCTCGCCCTCTTCCCATATCAACATAGCCTTCCGGCATAGGCTGCCAGATTGTTTCTCATCTCTCTGCAGGTCTCGGAAGCCCGTTTCTGCTCCGCCTGTCCAGCTGACCGCAAAATGGTTGACCAAACTTTCCAGTCCGCGGAACAATGGCTGGCTCAAGTGGCAGTCATGCGAAAGGCTATTGCCGACCTGAAATTGCCATCCCTCAACGATGCGTCGCAAATGTATGGGGCGGATCTGGACTTGGACGAAGACTTGAGTGAAGACATCGAGGATGACATCTGGGATGCTGAAAGCGCGGTCGATGAGAGCCCCTTTACCGACGACTTCGACGACACCGTAAATGGGCTCAAAACTCCCAACTTCGCTGCCGATGGTGTCTTTGACAGGACATGGCTACGCTCAAAATGTGCTGCCTGGGCTCGCTCACGGCCTGGCATCGATTCGACCGAGGTCGAACACCAAATCACGGCGCTGTTAGCTTCAGACAGTTCGGACAATGAATTGCAGATGTCGCTTGCAGATGTCATCGGGTTTGACGACCTTGACTTTGTCATTGAACTCATCTCCCATCGTAAGGAAGTCCTGGCTTCTCAAACTACAACTACTCGTCAGACCGACGGGCTCTTTGGAACGCTGGAGACTCGTCAGGAGCGAGAAGCAACTCTCCGACGACAAGACCACCAGCACAAACATGCTGCTTTGGCTCCGGCTTTCGATCGATCTGGGCCCAAGTATCCGCATGTCTACAAGTCCGATGTCGCTGCTACGGGCAATAGGTTGGATGTGGCTGGCAGAAAGTATACTCTACCTGTTGGCAGTACCCGACATGACTATCCAAAATACGAAGAGTATTCGATCCCGGCCTCAAAGGTAGGCGCTCTTGCTGCAGGACAGAAATTGGTCAATATCTCCGACATGGATGGTCTGTGCCAGCGCACTTTCAAGAGCTACAAAAGCTTGAATCGAATGCAGAGTCTACTTTATCCTGTGGCATACACTACCGCCGAGAACATGCTAATCTGTGCTCCTACCGGTGCTGGTAAGACTGATGCTGCCATGCTCACAATCCTGCAAGCGATTTCAAAGAACGTCATACCCAATCCAATCGAAGAGCCCACTGCCACGGAATTTATAGTGATGGCAGACGACTTCAAGATCGTCTACGTTGCGCCAATGAAAGCCCTGGCTGCCGAAGTTACAGAAAAACTGGGCAAGCGATTGGCATGGCTAGGCATTCAGGTGCGAGAGTTGACAGGGGATATGCAGTTGACCAAGAAGGAAATTGCTGCGACCCAAATTATCGTGACGACACCAGAGAAGTGGGATGTTGTCACTCGGAAGAGCACAGGAGACACCGAACTGGTCCAGAAAGTCCGGCTTCTCATCATTGACGAAGTCCATATGCTTCATGACGAGCGAGGTGCGGTTATCGAATCTTTGGTTGCCAGGACAGAACGGCAGGTGGAAAGTACACAGTCACTAATCCGTATTGTTGGACTGTCTGCCACTCTTCCCAATTACATCGACGTTGCAGACTTTCTGAAAGTCAACCGGATGTCTGGTCTGTTCTACTTTGACGCCTCTTTCCGCCCGGTCCCACTCGAACAACACTTCATTGGTGTTAAAGGGAAGGGAAGCAAGGTTCAGCGCGAGAATCTAGATCAAACCACCTTTGAGAAGGTAAAGGAGCTTTTGAAACAGGACAAGCAAGTCATGGTCTTTGTTCACTCCAGGAAAGACACCGTCTTGGCTGCCAGAACCCTCAATCAAATGGCTATCGACGATGGTTGTGCGGAGCTGTTTGTCCCGGACCCCAACAACCCTGCGTTTGTCAGAGCAATGGCAGATTTGAAAACCACTCGAGGCCGAGAACTGCGAGAAATCATTCCCAAAGGATTCGGATGCCATAATGCTGGCATGGCGCGGTCGGACAGAAACTTTGTTGAACGGGTCTTCTCCGAAGGCGCTATCAAAGTCCTTTGCTGTACAGCAACTCTTGCATGGGGTGTCAACTTGCCCGCCGCCGCTGTCGTCATCAAAGGAACGCAACTTTACAGTGCCGAAGCTGGTAAGTTTGTGGATCTTGGAATATTAGACGTCCTTCAAATCTTCGGGCGTGCTGGTCGTCCTCAGTTCCAAGACAGCGGTGTTGGATATATTTGTACCACCCACGATAAACTACAGCATTATCTGTCTGCTGTCACCCAGCAACAGCCAATTGAGTCCAAGTTCTCTCAGAAGCTGGTCGATAACCTCAATGCTGAGATTAGTCTGGGCACAGTAACCACGGTTCAAGAGGCTGTGACGTGGTTAGGCTACACTTATTTATTCATTCGCATGCGGCGGAATCCGCAGGCATATGGGATCGATTGGAACGAGTACCAAGATGACCCCCAGTTGGGTCAAAGAAGGCGCAAACTAATCATAGATGCTGCAAGAACGCTGCACCGAAGCCAAATGATTATCTTCAACGAACGGACGGACGAACTCCGTGCGAAAGATGTCGGTCGCATCGCCAGCCAATATTACGTCCTACAGAGCAGTATTGAGATCTTCAATACCATGATGCGGCCGCATGCGAGCGAGGCAGATGTTCTGAAAATGATCAGCATGAGTGGCGAATTCGACAACATCCAATCCCGGGACAATGAAGCGCTAGAACTGCACCGACTCCGCCAAGAAGCCGTCGTGTGCGAGATCGAGGATCGAAAGAGTGGTCCCAAGAGCTCTGAAGAGGAGAAAGAGCAGAAAGTCATCGAGAACCATGCAAAGACAAATATCCTGCTGCAATCATACATATCTAGGGCCAAACTTGAAGATTTTGCCTTGGTTTCGGACCTGGCATACGTTGCACAGAACTCCGCCCGCATCTGTCGAGCTTTGTTTATGATTGCTCTAAATCGTGGTTGGGGTTATCAGTGTCAGGTGCTGCTATCCATGTGCAAGGCCATTGAGAAGCAAATCTGGCCTTTCCAACATCCGTTTCACCAGTTTGATCTTCCTCTATCAGTCTTGAAGAATCTGGACGACAAGGCGCCTTCCTCGAATATTGAAAGCCTGCGAGAAATGGAGCCTGCTGAGATCGGAAATCTTGTACACAATCAAAAAATGGGAACTACCTTGACGAAGCTGCTCGACAACTTCCCGACAATGTCTGTCGAGGCAGAAACTGCACCACTCAATAGGGATGTGCTGCGTATGAGGTTATACCTATATCCAGAGTTTGTGTGGAATGACCGCCACCACGGGACTTCTGAAGCATACTGGGTTTGGGTGGAAAATTCGGAAACGTCAGAAGTCTACCATCACGAGTATTTCATCCTGAGTCGGAAAAAGATGCACGACGATCACGAACTGAACTTCACCATACCGCTGGCTGACCCTCTGCCTTCTCAGATTTATGTCAGAGTCATATCGGATCGATGGCTGGGAGCAGAAACCGTGCATCCTGTCTCATTTCAGCATCTCATCCGACCCGACACTGAGAGTGTCTATACAGACCTTCTCGACCTCCAACCTCTTCCCATCACTGCCTTGAAGAATCCCGCGCTGGAAGAGCTCTATGGACAAAGATTCCAGTTCTTCAACCCGATGCAGACTCAGATTTTCCATACCTTGTATCATACTTCCAATAATGTCCTCCTGGGCTCACCCACCGGTTCTGGGAAGACCGTTGCCGCAGAGCTAGCGATGTGGTGGGCATTCCGTGAAAGACCAGGAAGTAAAGTCGTGTACATTGCACCAATGAAGGCGCTTGTTCGCGAGAGAGTGCAAGATTGGCGCAAGCGGCTCACTATACCGATGGGTTTGAGACTGGTCGAGTTGACTGGCGACAATACACCAGATACACGGACTATTCGTGATGCAGACATCATCATCACCACACCTGAGAAGTGGGACGGTATATCACGATCCTGGCAGACCAGATCCTACGTTCGGCAAGTTTCTCTCGTCATTATCGACGAAATCCACCTCTTGGGTGGTGATCGCGGTCCCATTCTGGAGATCATCGTATCTAGAATGAACTACATCGCGTCGCAGGCGGAAAGCGGTTCTATTCGGCTGGTAGGAATGTCCACCGCCTGCGCCAACGCCACAGACTTGGCAAACTGGCTTGGAGTTAAGCCTGGAAACAATCAAGGGCTGTTCAATTTCCGTCACAGTGTTCGGCCAGTTCCACTCGAGATATACATCGATGGATTTCCTGAGCAGAGAGGGTTCTGTCCATTGATGCAAAGCATGAACCGCCCGACTTACCTGGCGATTAAGAACCACAGTCCAGACAAGCCTGTCATTGTCTTCGTAGCTTCGAGAAGACAAACTCGTCTCACTGCAAAAGATCTCATCAATTTCTGTGGCATGGAAGAGAATCCGAGGAGGTTCCTACATTTTGACACTGAAGATGATCTTCAGCATACTCTATCTGCTGTCAAGGATGCCGCGCTTCGAGAGGCACTGAGTTTCGGCATCGGACTGCATCACGCCGGTCTAGTCGAGTCTGACAGGACACTATCTGAGCAACTTTTTGCTGCGAACAAGATCCAAATCCTCGTTGCCACGTCGACGCTTGCGTGGGGTGTGAATCTACCTGCCCATCTGGTTGTCGTCAAGGGAACACAGTTCTTCGATGCCAAAATCGAAGGATACAAAGATATGGACTTGACCGACGTACTTCAGATGCTAGGACGAGCAGGACGACCACAATTTGATACTTCCGGGATTGCTCGCATTTTCACGCAGGACTCGAAGAAGGCATTTTACAAGCATTTCCTACACACGGGGTTCCCAGTAGAGAGCTCTCTGCACAAAGTCCTTGATAACCATCTGGGCGCCGAGGTCTCCGCTGGAGTCATAACCACCAAGCAAGATGCGCTCGATTACTTGACTTGGACATTTTTCTTTCGTCGTCTCCATAAGAACCCAACCTACTATGGCCTTGAGATCTCGGCAGAGGAGCACAAGGAGAACCAGCTTGCTGCAAGACAAGCTGCCGCCGATTACATGATCACGTTGGTGGACAAATCGCTCGACGACCTAGCTGAGAGTGACTGTGTTTTGGTGCACAATAACGGAGACGTGGATAGCACCCCATTTGGCAAGATCATGTCGTACTACTATCTCAGCCACTTAACGATTCGCAAATTCCTGTCGAAAGCGCGCAAGACCACCTCTACAACCTTCGCCGATGCTCTCGCTTGGATAAGCCTGGCCACTGAATTTGACGATCTTCCTGTACGGCATAACGAAGATCTGATCAACGCCGAGCTGGCGAAGAACTTGCCCCTGGATACTGAAGGCCTAATGGACAATTTGCCCATGTGGGATCCCCACGTCAAGGCATTCCTCCTCATTCAGGCGTTCATGGCCCGCATCGACCTCCCCATTTCTGACTACGTTGGCGACCAGATCTCGGTGCTGGACCAAGGCATTCGCATCATTCAAGCTGGAGTGGACGTCATGACAGAGCTCAACAGGTTTGACGCTGTGGTGCAAATGGTTAAACTTTTACAGTGCATCAAGTCTGCGCGATGGCCAGAGGATTATCCGCTCAGCATCTTGCCTGGAGTGGATGAGGTGTTTGACGAAAAGCTTGAAGGAAGAGTCCCCAAGGACTTAGTCACAACTGCGGTGCTGTCTACAAGGCATGGGGTGAAGACAATTGACGGGCTGATGAACGTTCTTGGAATAAAAGCCCATCATACTCGTGCGGCGTTCATCAAAGCTGCGAACGCGCTTCCAGACCTTGCCTTGTCGGCGACGGGCAACACGGACAATCTGCAACTCACTCTGAAACGCAGCAATCGACTGCTTGACCGCGAAGCGAGAATATATGCCCCAAAGTTCCCAAAGCCACAGACAGAGGGCTATTTCGTACTTGTGCTCCCTCCTGGATCGGCTGCAGACGGCCAAGGAATGGATATTCTGGCACTGAAGCGGGCCAATTGGTCTACTACGAAGCAGGGAACTCAGAGCAAGGCGATCGGAACTGCAAACGTCAAGCTCAAGATCCCAGCGCCGGAACTAGATATGGGAAGAGGACAAGAGGAGATGAAAGTCGACATTCTCGTAATGAGCGATGCGTATCCGGGGATGGAGTGGCGGCTGGAGAATGTGGTTGTGCCTGTGGCGCAAAAGGAGACAGGGGGCTTCAAGACAGTAGAGGTGAAGGTTGATGAGAATTTGCTGAAGAAGAAATAGACGGAAGAGGGAAGAGGCGCAAGCCCCATTGCCAATTGATGAATTGATCTGAGGGTTTGAGTGCCATCTGAGAGCGAGGAGTATTACCAAACTCCATCTCACTGCCATTGCTGCCATCCCCCAGAGGACGAACAATTCAAGCCTAGACATCGCCATCGATGCTCAGGATGGGAGCGGAGTTCGATATGTCTTTAATCCTTGCTCCATGGGCCTTTTGCCTTACATTTCCCTATGCTTGCTCATGATGGATCGGCAACACCAAAGTGTGGTCTGAGTTGAGCTGAACTGCTCATACCAAAGTAAGCTCCTGCAAACGCTGGGAGGCAAAGAAGGAGTCTCCGTCAATGTAACCTGCGCCGAGTCTTTTAAAGTGACCATGCTCGACCTCTTCAATGGCGATAAAGACAGACGTATAGTGCCCTGAGTCAGACTTCCGTCTATCTACAAGCAAGCAGAGGAAGTTGATTGGGACCACAGCTCCCTCCGCGGCGTCGTCGAAGGTGATTTCGCCACCTGGAGGGTCCGTCGCATAGTATTGGGAAATTCTCGTCAGTCGCCCTCTTTTACTATGGGGTCGTCGCCTCTCGAGAGCGCGGCTGAGACGCTGCGTTTTCCCACGTACGTGGAGGTTGGCCCTTGTGAGTTCACCGAAAGGGTTCGCCACTTCTCTTGGAGAGATGTCAATGTCGAGGATCTCCAGTTGCTCCACCGGTGGTCCGGCCGACGAGGTCAACACCATGGTTTGATACCCATCAGAATGAACGGCGCCTTCGACAGAGGCCCAAGACCAGGATGGCGCCTTCCACGATTTCGGTCCCTGGCTCGTTTCAGTGATCAACTCGGCGTTTATTGTCCAAAGCAGGTCGAGTGGTAGGCCCTCGCGCCACAACCCGGCGATGTACGTTGCACTGGTAAGGCGGTGGAATTGTCGCGCCAGACCAGCCAGAGCCGGCAGCTTGTCGCTCGCGGCGAATAGTTTGCGCCGGGCATAATCGTCGACGATGCTCTGCCAGCGGACCAACTTGAGCTCCAGCGTTGGTTTCCGATCCAGTGGTGGGAGAAAGATTCGACTGCTCTGGGACTTGTCAAAAATCGAGCCGTCCTCGGCTAGGATGCACTGCTGGCACTCCCAGAACAGGCGTTCCCTGGTGAAATACACTACCCGAAGCGATAGCGCGCTTTCTTGCAGAGTCCACGCTCGACGAGCGAGCACGGACTTCTTGACAACGTCCTCAAAATGGCCGTCCGACTGGGACAAGGTCATGGTTCCGCGCTTGGAGCTGTCATTGGAGCACGGGGACGAAATCTGGATGCTTTCGGCTTGAGCCCTCTTTCGGAACAGGGGCTGCCACTTGTCTTCGCACATGGAAGCAGCAATGGTGAGCGTCGCAAAGCCGTAGATCTCATCCATAATAGCCGAGTTCTTGGCCCAGTCATCCCTATCATCTTGTACAATGCACAGAGCATCCACCCACAGATACTGGAAACCCAAGTTTTGTGTCAAGTGGACAGCATCTCTGATAGTGGTCGGAAGATCCTCAGGTCGAAACCCGCAGATTCTGTCTTTATAGGTGACCTTGTGGGTTCGAAAAGACTTGGACCGGCCCCAGCTATAAGACAACGCGCAATATCGTCCGTACAAGCCGTCAGTCTCCTTGAGCTGCAGTACCGCCGAAGACGCGCCTCCAACGTCGATGAGCCTTGGGGGTAGCGGCGACTGATGTAGGGAGTTCTCAAGGTCTTGCGAATTGCGCAATCGCGAGGGTGTTTTGTCGGATATTACGAGCGGGTTCCGGCAATTCTGGTGTTCGTTTTCACAATTGCTGAGCCATTTGATGATCTGGTGGGCACATCCAACAGGCTCGCAGTTTTCAGCAACTTGTCTTCCGACTACGTCCCCAGCAAGGGCCAACGGATCATCTGTAGATAATCTCAGCAAAGAGGTCTTTATAGCTGTCCGGACGAAGGCAAGAAGCTATGATATATGGACTTTGGTCCCGCAACTCACCAGGTTCAGTCGTGATACTCAGGTACGCTGGTTTGGCGAAATTGCTCCAACGGGACCAGATGAGCATGTGGAACAGGCCTTTGGGCGTCGACAAGTTCGAGAACGCCGTCGCGCCGGCAATCAGTCGGATGAAACTCCCCTGCCGCACGCTATACTCGTGTGCGACTGGCTCACCGGCATTGCTTCGTTCGAGCGCCGAGTTGAAAAAAGCGCATAGCTGGCAAGATCGTGACGATTTCTGAAGTGCATCTAAAGTTGGCTGGTGAGATAAACCTCCTTGAGAGAGACCCGCCCTGGGATCTATTGGGCCCGTTGATATGATCGAATCGATTCTGATGCGTTGGCAATACTCGCAAAGGCTGTGCGAGTCAAGGTACGCCATATTTGAATCACCATTCGTAAGAACAAAAAGTGTCTATCGGTTAGGTCCAATTCGGCTGGCCTAGGTGGTAGGCACAGAAAGCCAGCTTTGAACGTACCCTGTCACACCTTTCCGCTGTACCCACATTCTGTGGGCGTCCCAATCCTTGTGTAATATGAAGTATAATTGACCGTTAATGACGCGCGGAAATCGCTTTCTCCGCAACAGTGCCCACTGGTTTTATTTTGGTGTTGTGTACACATTCAGAGTCTTTGGACGGTGGCAAACACGGCGCCACTAGGCAAGCTGAAGACCCGAGAACGTAAGACCAGTATGATGATCATAGATTAGTAGACTGATCGGGGTGGAAGAGTGTTCATTACAAGGCTGGCAGGCTCCCGCGCTGCCCGAGTTGTGGGGCCAAAAGTAGCCTGTTCTATCCCACTAGCCTAATCTGACTAGTGGGGTATATCTCTAGCGTCCTTGCCGCCTCAACCTCCGATACATAGCTGTCAATGCAAGCGAGCATCTACAGTAGGTGTAAAAATCATGTGCTAGGACCAAGAGAGTACTCTCAGCCTCTCTGATCTTATGGATATACTAAGTAGGTATCTGTTTTGCTTCTTATTATAGAGCCGGCAATATGCACACAAACCCAAATGACCTACGCGTGAATCATCACGACGGCCAACCTATTCCTCCCCTTCTTCTGCACTCTCCGCTGCTAATTTAAGATTACAATATAGCCTTCTAAATTCGTCATTATTCGATTGGTGCCAAAACATGAGACTTTCATCCAACTGTCTGCTGAGGAATATCTAGCGTTCTTGGATCCCTCACCTTCAGGCTGACGTCCAATCCTGATTGAACCACCAACCAGCCCGCTTTCGCTTTATACCGATTGGGGTCTATCAATTCCACCTCAAAGTGTCGAAACACCTCGGGCACCAGCTTTGATATCTCAAGCATGGCAACATGACGTCCGATACCTGCGTCACCATTAGAGACTATTTGAGGCAGAATAAAGAGGTCGACCACTTACAAGTCCGCGACCCTGCACCAAAGGCGAAATTGTATCTCTCCAGCATCTTCACCTTTTCTTCATCTTCGTCCAACCATCTTTCTGGCACCCAAAGGTCGGCGTCCTCACCATATACATCTTTGTCCCGGTGGACCGTCCACGCATTGCATCCCACTTCGGTGCCGCCGGGAATGAAAACGCCGCAGATAGTGGTGCCTTGAACAGGAACCACACGAGGCAAGATCATTCCGAGCGCGGGATGCATGCGCAGAGATTCTTTGATACAGGCTTGGAGGAACGGCATCTGCCGCGCCTCGGCCCACGAGAAGTGGTCGCCAAAGCTGCTGTCCCTGGCTCGCAGCGCCAGTGTCTCTCTGATTTCGCCCATGACCCTCTCAAGCCTGTGGTGATCTGTCAAGAGATAAAAGAAGACGGCGCGGAGGATTATGGCCGTCGTGTCGGAGCCGGCACTGACGTTTGTGACGGCAAAGTCGATCAATTGGGAGTCGGTCATGACGTCGGGGTATTTCTCCTGAGCCATTCGAAAGCGGGTCACAAAATCCGGTTTCCCTTGTGCCTCGAGATGGCCTTTGTGCTCATAAATGTGCTGGGTGGTGAACTTGACGATGGCATTGGCCTTCACCAGCAGCCGCGCAAGTGGGTTGTTGAGTCGGAACCATTTGTCGAGCGATGGCAATTGTCCCATCGTGCCGAGGTATTCCATATGTTGAGCAGTATGGTAGAGCATGTTTTCCAGATCACGCCCGGCCTCCAGGAAGCCGAACCGCTTGCTGAAGGTGATCTCACCGAGAACGTCGAAGGCATACATCTGGAGCCAGGTCGCGAAATCGCAAACCCTGCCAGGACGTGCGAAACGTTCCGTCAGCTCCGAGAAGAACACATTGGTTGTGGAGTCCATCAGATGTTCGTAGTCAATGACCGTGCTCATGGAATAGGCGTGATTGACCGGCCTCCTCAAACGCGCATGGAGTTTCTCGTCGCGCGTGGAAGAGAGATTGGGCATCACCTCTCCCCGAATGCTCTTGAAGCTGTGGGTCACATAAGCCTCCCCCTGCCACTGTTCAGCCCATTCACGCTCGTCACTGATATACACTGGAAGCCCACCTTGTTGAAAATCGGGTTCAAGCCGTAAATTTTGGGCACTTCTGTCGCATCTGACACCGAGATCTGGTTCGGCCCAACACGTACCAGCTTGGAGTTGTATTTTCTGTGCAATTGGTAGTCATGAATGCATTTACCAGCCTTGCCGTGAAAGTATCTCCACACGTCAGTCACACCGGCCAATACTGGGCCAGGGACAAACGAAAGCCTGTAATAGGTATATAGAAGCCTTGTAAAGAATAGCAGACACAAAATAGCCCACCACCATTGCTGGAATATTTGTGTGAGTTGAAGCGCCAGCCCCATCGTTTGATAGCCCGGTACGGCAGCGTTGATGACAAAGTCGTCGATACTAATGGCAAGTCAAAACTTCTTCAATAAATAAAAATATGAGGCAATGTACTGGAAGCCCTCGGTTTCTGTTCTTACCAACTATTAAACTCCTGGCAGCATCAGACCTCCGTAGCTGGCGGAGATAGAATGCCACTCATAATTTCCACCGAAATGCTAGCCAGCTGGCACCGGGTACCCTTTTCCACAAATCAACTTGTCTGAAAACTGTGATTCATTGACATGGTGCCTTCATCCGCTGCTAGTCTTAGTGCATCTTTGCTGGATTTGTTTTGCAGACAAGGTTTCCCGATGCTCTTTACCCCTCGTTTCGACTGTTATGGTCGTGCTGCGTCAATCTCGACGGACTCCACTCGGTTTTCCTAACAGGAGCAACCATTATTGTTTACATTACGATCTCCGTGGATTTCGCAACAGCTAGGATGCACGACACTAGTTGAGCAGACGGCGGCGCTAGACCCCACGTCTTACCGCCATGTTTTGTTGCAAGAACTCTTCAAATGCAAATCCTTTGCTTCGACTTGAACCGTTGACTAACCTAGACGTCCACAGATTCACAGAACAAATCGCAAAGGCCTTGCTTGCTCATTCCTAATTATTAACTCACTCTTATCTTCTTCGCGCCACCGGCAGTTCCGTCGCCATCCTACAAATGACGACGTTCCAAGAAGTCAACGGCACTGCCGTATATAGTGACTTGAAGGGGAAGGTGTTCGTTATTACCGGGGCAGCCTCTGGCATGGGCCGAACAACAGCTCTGATGCTTGCTCAACAAGGCGCGCATGTTGGCCTTCTGGACCTCCATAAGCCCGACGCCGTCCTAGCTGAGGTCGAACAGCTAGGTGGACAAGGCATTTCGATTGAATGCAATGTCCAAAAGGCCGACGTTGTCAATGCTGCGGTCAAGCAGGTAGCAGAGCGTTTCGGCAGACTGGACGGTGCAGCGAACATGGCTGGCTACGTTGGAAACCAGGGGTTTTTCGGCAAGGGCTACGCCTTTGACGTGCTGAAGGATAATGACTGGGACGATATGCTAGCAACTAACCTGAATGGTGTCAAGAACTGCGTGCGAGCCGAGTTGAATCAAATGAAGGGCCACGGATCGATCGTGAATGCAGCCAGCATTGCAGGCCAATACGGTCCGGAGTATAACGCACCATACTCTGTTGCCAAGTGGGGGGTCATTGGTCTCACCAAGTGTCTAGCACGCGAGGTCGGTGCAAGAGGTATCCGAGCAAATGCTCTGGCTCCGTGAGTACTTCACGATTCTGCCTCGTAGTGATGTGGTTAACAAGACTCAGTGGTATTATTCGCACAGCTCTTGCCGATCAACTGGGAAATCCCGACCAAGTGAATGAGCTCTTGGTAAAAAAGACCGCGCTCAAACGTATCGCCGAACCCGAAGAGGTGTCCAGGGTTATTTTGTTCTTGTTCAGTGATCAATCGGCTTATATCAGCGGAAGTGTAAGTCCATTCACCGCATGTTCGGCTGTTGCTAGGGTGGTCGTTCTTTATCTAACTAAATATAACCAGGTTATTAACGTTGACGGGGCAATTGAGAAAGGCTGTTAAAGGTCTTAAACGAAGCGCTTTTCTTGACACTGAGAGCAGATGGACACAAGGCAGCATTTAAGCTTCAAGGTGCATAGAACATTAGTTGTATCAGCTAGCCGCAATCCAAGGACAATAAAGTCCTCCAAACATGTGAAGATATCTTCCTCGCTACCAAACCGCACGGTGCTGAAGACGGCTGAAAAGAATCACAGTTTCAAGTGCTGGAGGCTGGCGTATGAGCTGGACTATTGCACCGTCGGCTCTAGAAGCTCTTGGATGACTCCGCGAAAGCATTCTCGGCGGCCCGAAGTTCTCCTCTGAGTCGAGACCGCCGGATTCTCCTTTCCAGGCTTCCCCGGATTTCCTTTCTCCGGCAATACCCACGTTCAAGGCTCCGCATCAAAAGTATCCACATTGGCTCTGGGGTTGACCCCTTCCCCAGGTTGGCCGGCCTTAGCGTAGAGGTTGCATAAGAATAAATGGTCCACCTCCAGGACCACCCTCCCACAAAGGTGGCAATATTCATACCTTGCAGACACGTTTCCGTTATCATCCCCATCGCCGCAGACCAAAAACAGTTCCCTTGAATGACAAAGACAAGCTCAGTCGCAAGTCCCCGCAACAATGCACGAAATCAGTGAAAAAGGCCATCTTAGGGTCAAGACGGTCTTGATGGTTTTGACCATGTCCATGGCTTCGGCGTCCATGGGCATGACGGCCTCAGTGATCAGCACCACCCTGGGACAGCCGTCATTCATTGTCAAGATGGGCCTTGACGGTCCGAATGGCGCCTCGCTGACTGGGGCGGTCACCAGCCTGTACTACGTTGGTGCCACCTGGGGGGCCTTTGTGCATGGCTGGTTTGCAAATCGATATGGGCGCAAGCCATCCATCATATTTGCTGTCTGCGTGATCCTGGTTTCGCAGGCGCTGCTCACGGGCTCTGCGAACGTGGCCATGTTCATTGTATTTCGGTTCTTCTTGGGCTGGGGGTATGTATTCCTGCTCCTTGTAACCCCTCCGAGGTTGAAAATCTGGCGCTGACTGGGACCAGTGGATTTCAAGCTATATGCGGCGTCCCTCTCTGGATCAGCGAGATTGTTCCCCCGCGACACCGTGGCAAGCTCTCCGACATCCACGCAGTCATGATCAATATTGGCTACTCGATCATCGGGTTTGTCGGAGTTGGCTTTTACTACTACGACTCCCCCGACGCCTGGCGCGCTCCACTCGGCATCGCCATTATTCCCGAGATTATCTTCCTGGCTGGCTGCTGGTGGCTGCCGGAGAGCCCGCGGTATTTAATCGCGCGAGACCAGTCTGCGAAGGCGTGGAAGATCCTGCGTGCGCTTCACGCGGATCCAAATGACCCGAGCGACGAATTCGCCAAACGAGAATTCTACCAGATCCACGAGCAGATCCAGTTTGATCGGAGTCAAGATACGAGCTGGAAGTTGATATTCACGCGGCCATCGTATCGAAAGCGCGCGTTGATCTCCGCCATGCTCTCCTTTTCCATCATGAGCGCTGGCCTGATTGTGATTCAGAGTAGGTCATCACCATTTGTCCAGGCTTTTCTAACCTCATAACTAACGTCTGGTGTTAATTAGACTACGGTGTCACCCTGTATTCCGAACTAGGTTACACGGGCGTGGATACTTTGCTACTTCAATCAGGCTATACTCTGACGCTGTGCTGTTGCAGCATTCTCGCCATGACTTTCGTCGACAAGGTCTCGCGCCGGAACTTGATGGGGACGGGCTTCGCAGCCCAGTGCGTCTGCCTCATCATCTACACCGCGCTCGTCGCCAATTTCCTGACCGGGTCCAACAAGTCCGCGCAGGCGGCCGCCGTGGCGTTCATCTACCTGTTTGGATGCAGCTTCGAGTTGTGCCTCGACGGGCCGGAGTTCTTCTACATCCAGGAAATCTGGCCGAGCCACTTGCGTGCGCAGGGCGGTGCGATCGCGTTCATGGTCTACAACGCCATCAACATCTGCTGGCTGCAGGCCGCCCCGACCGCCTTTGAAAGCATCGGCTGGAAATTCTTCCTCATCTTCATCATCTTCGCCGCGCTGGGCTCCATCACGGTCTTCCTGTTCTTCCCCGATACGCTGCACAAGCCCATGGAGGAGATTGCCGACATGTTTGGCGACCCAGACTTGGTCGTTGTGCACCAAACCGCCATCACGAGCGAGTTGCTGGAGGCGAGGTTCTCGGAAATGATGGGCGGTGGAACGGATGATCCGCACACAACGTCTATTTCAGTGCAAGAGAGCAAGGGCAAGGCTGACGAGCCAGCAATGCACTCAGAGAAGCTGTCCGTGTGAGCAAGATTCGGGTCTCGTGCTAGAGATGCGTTTCTTGCGATTGGCTGGGGGGGGGGGGGGTGCAAGACCACAATGAAAATGGGAGAGACAACCTGGTGGGAAGTGGGGGGGGGGCCTGTATTTGAAATCTACAATTGGGACTGCTCAAGAGTTGCCTTGCATATAACAGAATGCCATGTGTTCTTTTCGCAGGAGATTTTGTTAGACCGCATTGGTTGCACATGGTTGTACCCAGCCATGCACTATACATTGCTTCACTCGAGGCTGTCACTTGCGCCCATAGAATACCCCGAATAGAGCTACAACAATTGAACGAGGAGTCTGCAGTTGCGTAAGCAAAACATCAGTCTCATCTTCTCCCGCCCAATCGTGGCCGAAGTACACTTGAACGCGCGTGCTCTTCAAAACTGATGTTCTCGGAGAAGACGCTGTATATTTTCCGTGGAGCTGCTTCCCCAGGCGGATGCGGGACAGCGGAGTTAGAGAGCAGAGGAGGAGCTTCACCATGTCGCCATCCTTCGCCGAACGCGATAGGCACAACTCAGTGATGGCGTAGCTGTATTTGGTTGAGAAAGATCCTTTGTTGCTTTGGTATTCCACAGACTGATCTGGCTCTTGTCGTTTTATAAGAGCCACCAGTCACCGTCCGAGACTATTGCGAATACCTAACGCCCTAAATTTGGTTTCAAATTCTCAAAATCTTTGACACATAGCCCACGGACGTCTTTTATCTGTTAGGGCGATTTCGATCTGCGGCTTTGAGTACATCGTTGCCGAGTAGTGAAAAAGGAAAAAGATGGGTTCTGTTGCGCCCGAGCAAAATGTCGAGGTCCTGGTGATCGGAGCTGGGATTTCGGGAATATACATGCTATACAAACTACGCGAGCTGAACATCTCTGCCAGAGTACTTGAGGCCGGCGATGGCGTCGGGGGAACATGGTGAGAGAATGCCTGTCCTTCCAGGTCTGGCTGATCCTAACGTACGGTAGGTACTGGAATCGATACCCCGGGGCACGTTTCGATTCCGAGAGCTGGACATACTGCTATTCATTTTCTCAAGATCTCTTGAAAGAATGGGACTGGAAGGAACATTTCGCGCCGCAGACCGAAACGGAGAGCTATCTCAATTTTGTGGTCGACAAATTCAAGCTGCGCGACGGCATTCAATTCCAGAGTCGCGTCAGCTCGGCACACTACGACCAGGCTCGCAACCAGTGGAAAGTAACGACCGAGTCGGGTGAAGTGTTCAACGCCCATTTTCTCGTCACCGCTATTGGGGCTCTGACCAACCCGGTCTTGCCACGCATCCCAGGGATACCTAACTTCAAGGGGTCTTGGTGTCATACAGGGCTCTGGCCGAAGGACGGTATCGACTATGCCGGAAAGCGGGTTGCAGTAATAGGGACGGGTGCCACCGGCATCCAGACCATCCAAGAGGTGGCCAAGTCGGCAGGCACTTTGACCGTCTTCCAGCGCCGACCCAATTGGTGCTCTCCGCTGGGAAACCGCAAGATCGAGGCGCAAGAAATGGAGAGCATCCGGGCGCGGTACGACGAGATCTTCGCCATCTGCAAGACGACCCCAGGGTGCTTTGTCCACCAATTCGATTCTCGGAGTGTCTTTGACGTTTCTGATGAGGAGCGGGAAGCCTTCTGGGAGAAGCGCTACTATGAGCCTGGGTTTGGCTTGTGGATGGGTAACTTCCGAGACGTGTACACCGACAAAAAGGCAAACGCCCTCCTGAGTGAATATGTGGCCAAGAAGATCAGGGAGCGTGTGAAAGACCCCAAAGTCGCCGACAAACTGATCCCGAAGGATCACGGGTTTGGCACACGCCGGGTTCCCCTCGAGACGCGATATCTAGAAGTGTACAACCAAGAGAACGTGGAGCTGGTGGATCTGAATGAGGAGTCGATCGAATGCATCACGGAGAAAGGAATCCAAACCTCGAAGCAAGAGCGAGAGTTCGACGTCATCATCTATGGTAAGCCCCTTGGATTTCCTTGTCACTGTTTCTCGCGTTTGGAAGTCGCAGACTGTCCCAGAACCTGGCAGGCTCTCGCTGATCTTATGGCCTGAATATAGCGACTGGTTTCGACCCTGTGACCGGAAGCTTTAACGCCATTGACATCGTCGGTGTTGACGGACAGCGACTGAAGGAACTATGGGCTCCGGGGCCCAAGACGCAACTGGGGTTCTTGGTCTCAGGATTCCCAAATATGCTAATGGCCATGGGTCCGCACTCGGCTCTGGGGAACTTTCCCCGGAGTATCGAATACAGCGTCGAATGGATTGCGGGCATCCTTGGATATGCGCGCGACAACGGCGTCTCTGTTATCGAGGCCACTGAACAAGGCCAGAAAGAATGGACAGAACACGTCAGAACTTGCAGCGAAGGTCTGTTGACCAATGATGTCGATTCCTGGATTACGGGCGTCAACAGCAACGTCGATGGTAAGAAAACGCGGACCTTGGTGATCTTCAACGGCAGTGCGGTGGACTACCGAGCTCGCTGCGACCAGGTGGCCAGTGAACGATACAAGGAATTGTCCTTGAAGCCTTAGTGCATCTTCCTTATCGAGAAGAATATTCAGATGATATTCATATAGCTCCCGGGGACTGGGGCATCACAACCAGGCAACCCATTGACGATATTAATCATGATCTTGTGGCGATGGGAGTAAAAATTTCATTTTTGACCATCGCGTCCTAAATCGACGAGGACAAGAATTGCAGGCTTAACGAGGAGAGCAAAACAGCCAGTCTCAATACTGACGCTCCGGCACTCGACCCGAGTGTGTACTAGGATAGACTCTGGCTGTGACGTTGCCATGAAATTCCTGTAGGCCATTGCAAATCCGCATGCCTTGTGTCTGATATCAACCGCCGTGCACACCTTTGATGGCAGGAAACATCAAATTCAGGTCGGAGTACGATGCAGATGGTCTCCTCCTATTTCGGACGACCCTCTCCAGCGCCGTTTCGCTCTGGTTTCCTTGAACATCTGGTGCTGCCACGCGCGTCTCAGGGAGGTTATCACTTCGAGCCCGTGGATGCTGCTTCTGAAGGACTGGCCAATTTCAGCCAGGGCCTGGATGCAGACCACAAAGTTATGCTGCGCCGCTTTACCCTTCGGTCCCGAGTAGATGCAGCTGTCGTACGCGTGCACAACCCCGGCGGTGACTGTGGACGCAACCGCTTGGACATTGATATATCGTAGCCCGTAATTGGCCTTGAACACTTGCAGCAGTTGACATATAATCCCGGCAGACTTGGTGCAGTTCTCTCCAGCGAGGATCTCGGAGTCTGATTCGTGCACAACGAACGGCCGATTGAGGATGATCAGGATCTGATGGTATAAGATGCTTGCCACTGGATTAGCTCTGTCAAGATACGTGCACACTGGTGATATCATCTCACTGAAGCTGGAGCACAATCGGCGCTGGAACTGGAGAAGGCCGTTCTTCTCCATAGTCCACACGAAGCGCCGGCGGTAACGCTGTTAGCCAATGCTGGAGCTGTTTGGCCATGGCGGGAACGAACAGTCTGGCATCTTCGGAGCCAGAGGCGGTCCCGCAGTATCTGAAAACCCCTTTAGCAAAACATCGAGGCAGACGCTTTCTGGCGGCTTACAGTGTGTCGTAGATCTTTCGCAGCTTGATGGCCATCTGCACCACATATGCGGTGACTGATCCAATACCAGAACCGTCGAAAGCAGCCGGCAGCTTCATCGCTTCGCCGTCCGAATGGAATGGCTGCCAATCGCCGTCGTTCAACGCATCCAGACCAGGAGCATCATATCGCATCCTGTTCATCAAGTAAGGCCGTCCACTATAACTACTGTGGTACCTGCAACTCCCGAAAGACAGTCAGCCATTCTACCCATCTCATGAAGGGCCGGCGTTCGTTCCCTGCTCCGAGGCTACGAGGATGGAGAACTCACATGTCCGCAGAATACACGGTCCAAAAGAGACTTCTACGAACGTCCTCAAGACTTCGCGTATTGTCCTCGCTTCCAAGGTAGTCATCGTTGGTGTCGAGACGGAGCTGTAGCCCAAGATCCGTCGTCATCTGGACTGCCACGCCTGTGGCTGGTTAAACCTGGAGCACGGTAGAGCTTCTTATCATCAAACCTGAGTAAATCCAACCTGGGGATCATAAGTCCAATGCCTTGCTCGAAATGGTGCGAGGACTCACCTCGAGAATCATGGCCGTTCGCCGACTCAAAAGCAGATAGAATCACTGCCGCTTGTGTTGTCGCTATCGTCGGACGGTCCATCTCCGTTTCTAGGTATAACCGGGTCCTCGCGCCAAAAAAGTCCGAGGCACTGTCCTGGATGGCAGGATGTCGTCTGGTCGAGTACAATGCGCCGATCGCAAGACTGCAGACAACCTTCAGTAAGCGTCCAACGCTGGAGATGCTACCTGACTCACACTGCGTTCTCCAGTGCGGGCGAGAACAGCGCGGTTTCATAGCCGCTGTAGTACAGCTCTTTCTGCTGGAAATAGTTCTCCTTCTCCACCTCGCTGACGAAAGTGTTGTGCCACGCAAAGTAGAGCCGTGTCAGATGGAGCTCGTATTCGGGGTCGGGAGTCCAGCCCAGGTGCGCCCGCTTGACCACGATTTCGCCTTCCTCCCGGAACACGCGCATGTCGGGTCGATAGATGGTTCTGAGGTCGTTCGGCAGCATCGAGAGATGGCTGGTGGCGCCAAAGTACCGCATGTGTCCGTCCTCTGTCAGACACATACGACCGAGTCGCTTCGATATCTGCTGCGTGATATCGTCCTCGGAAGTCTGCGAAGCTTGATCGAAACTGGTTGCATTGTAGTTTGGGCCGCTTCCGGGACTTTGATTGGGTGACACTGACTTGTCTTTCCGGCTTGCTTGCGAAGCGATGGGCGAAATCCGAGACAGAGGTTGTTCGGGTCCCACGTTTTCCAGTAACGTTGACATGGACTCAACTCCGGCCTCATACACCGTCTCCATATTTGACGACGGTCCAAGGTCGGAAAATTCAGCGAGGTCGGCTCTCGTGTCGTCGACGTGCTCCCAGAAGTCCAAGTCGATGTCTCGGAAAACCATTGGTGTCGAGGAAGAACACTCAGGCATGGTCGTGACGTATGGGCCAGTTACGGTTGCGGAAGAATTCAGTTCTTCTCCTGCATCCAAAAAGTGCTCAATGAGCGGATCTGGGGGAGTGCTTCTGTCTATTATACTAGGCCTTTGAGAAATACTCTCGTCCTGTGACGTCTGGGCCAAGCGTGCTTCAACCTCGGCCAGCCTGTCGGTGAGCTCGTTGATGGTCTTTTTCGTCGACTGGGCTCTGCGAAGCAACCATGAGCTTGGTGTTTTCTGGAGTCATTGCAAACTGACCTGCGTTTGTCCTCTCCAAGAACACAGTCCGTGTTGTACAATTGGCAGTTTGAGCATTTGGGGTGTCCGTTGTCGCACTTTGGCAACACTTAGCTTCTTGGATATCGAATTTCAGAGCAAAAGCTGGGAATCTAGCGCGAGCTCACTCTTATCTTCTTCTTGCGGCACTGCAGACAGGCCAGACGAGCATGTCGTTTTTGGGAGCCTTGGGCTCGACTATCCATCGTTCCGTGTACCAGAGCCCCGAGCCTTGTGCAATATATAAGTAGCTGCAAGCTCCAAAGGTGTCGCTGGTTGGTCGTCAAATAGGTGAATAATCGATGGCTGCATTAAAGGAGGGGAAGAGTGCGCCTTGAGGAGCAGGATGTTGCTGTCATGAGGGTACTGTATTGCGGGGTGCAAGTGGCCCTTTAACCCAAGTTCCCCGGACTCCAAGACATCCAAGCCGCTCAAGCGGAGTCCCCCCCCAGAAAGAGGGTGCAAAGCATACTGAGTGTGTGGCAGCTAGCGGACAGGCCCAGCCATCGGGGCGCGAAGGGCGGCACATTGACTGGGGAAGGCAGCTGCTCTAGGCAGCATCTAGGCTGGTGGCCTGAGAGCCTCGCTCCTTATACAATAGGTTCGGCCAGTTTAACTCCAGCTTTGCAGGGGAAGCCAAAGACATTGGCATCCAACACTATCTGCTAATATATGTCTCTCACTCCGACCGATATTTTGCGCATATAATCAATAGTTGCAGGTGTCAACTCTTTTCAAGCAGTTTCGATACAGGTCTGCTAGCAAGGATATGCCCTGGCTACTAGCCTTGCATTCAGTGTCACCACAAATGTGAAGAAACCCAGTATGCCGATTTCGGAGATGCTTGTCCGTGGAGATCCTTTCGCCGAGCCGGCTGCTTCAGGGAGAGGACGCGAAGCCAGACAAGGACATTGTGGGCCCTGAACAGCCGGGCCGCTTTGAAGACAGGAAGCGGTACTTTCTGTCTCAGGAACTAGGCTCTTCTTTCAGGGGATTGAGGACAGAGCTTGAGCTTGATACCGACTGCGGCGTTGGCCGGGGAGTTGCTGTCCTTGGAGTAATCAACGCGATCTAGCGGGAGGACAAAACAATGGCTCATGAATTCCATGATTCGATGTTTGACACCGATACGATAGACAGTGCATGGCATACATAAATGTAAGATGGCGAACCCAAGTTCCCAGGTGGAAAGATTCGACACCTCCGTGAGCCACAACCGCAAGTGGTAACGTGAAGCAGCCTCTGCGTACTTACCTCTTTATCTCAGAAAGGCTGAAGTGTTGATCGTGAGCGGCGTCAAACATACTGGATAGGAGCTCATATCGAATCCTGTTTTCTCTTTTCCACGCCCATAACTTATAGTGGTGCTTAGACTGACATATATTGTTGTCAACGACTACTTTGCCTTTGTTAGCATACTGATATGAGGCACTGCGACCTCTTTGACAAAGTCCTCTATCGAATGAAACTTGATCCCAAGCTCCAGCGTCTCCTTCTCCGGAATGGGAAACTCCGAGTACAGGCTGTGGTCGTTGTAATACTCGTACATGACATCCAGGTCCTTGAACCCCGACGTTGGTGCAGTGACCACCCGCGTCTGCTTCCCCGTCTGCCTCTGAATCTCCTCGGCCACGTCTGAGGTGCTGTGATACCCGCCCACGCAGTAGACTTCTCCGCCAACCAGCGGTTTGGTGCGGTAGTTCTTCAGGATCGCGTCGACGGTGGGCCCGAGGTCGCGCTCGGTCCAGATCATCCCTATCTTCGTCTCCGGCCTCATGACGGGCTGGGTGACCTCGATCACATCGTCTGCACCGACCGAGAGACACTGGAAATTGCGCCAATTGTCGTAGTAGAAGCCCAGGTACATGTCAACGTGGGGCATGTTGATCTTCTTTAGGTACGCTGAAACGTAAAATTTATTCTCGACCAAGGGGACAGAGGCGAACTGTGCCTTTGTTCGCAGTAGGGCGCTTGGTACTGTCGACCAAATCACGAGCTGTACACCGGCTTTTTTGGCAGCGTCGGCAATGGCGATTCCCTGCTGCGCCTCGGCGAGGAGGTTGGATTGGTTCTCTGGATCGTAGAAGTTGGTCAATGCATAGACCACCTCGACGCCTTCGAACGCCTTGAGGAGCGAAGCAGGATCATTGAAGTGCGCCTTCACCACCGAAACATTGGGAAGACTGGCCAGCTCCTTCGCCGCGGCGCCGAAAGGGTTGCGTGTAACTCCTCGAATGTCGTATTCCGGCTGTGTCGAGAGGTATCGAGCAACCTACAAGTTTTTCCATTAAAATTGAATAGAGACTTTTGCTTCTTCATGGGCCAGTAATTCACTCACAGAGCCACCCTGGACCCCTGTTGCTCCGAGCACCGCTATGAGACGTCTGGAGGGCATGGTGATAGAGGGCGACTGGTGAGAAAATCTGTTCTTCCACCCAGATGGTGCTAGATCCCTACTTGCTCTTCCATGGGGTCGGCGGAGCTTTTATCATTCCCCTCTGTCTTCGTGAAGAGAGTCGTCAGCAGAGACGTCCATGGCCCGAACCACTGTCACGGGTCATTCGTAGAGGTGAGAGTAATTTCTTCCCCATCCCCTACCATTTTTATCCCCATATTTTCCCCACAAATTGTTCTGGAGTGTTGCTTTTCATCATCGTAAGTTCGACCGAATCTAGAAGGTCGCAAAATTGATCCCACCGGGATGTCCATGTGCTACATTCCTCGCTCTTTACTGTGAATGGTGTAACAATGCCAACTTTGTCTCTAACTGGATCGGCTGAACTCACATCTTGTGTTCTCCCCAGGATATATTTTAGGATTGGTAGTTCCGGAAAGCCACGGGGTCGTTGGCTCCATGCTCAACCCCCTCGTCCGTGAGTACGTCTCCAATGATATGGAGAACTCGAGAGATATCCGAACTACACCACATGCCCACACCTTCCAGGAGGTTGGCAAAGTGCACAAGAATCCGTCTTGCAGAAGAGTAGCCTCTGGAGAGAGGGACACCGTCAAAGGTGAGAGTGCCCCCGTGCACAATGAAGCCCGCCTCTGGAGCCACATCAATCTCTAGACCGTGGTGCAGACTACTTCCGAGGGCCACATCGCCCAGATCTCGCCAATCCATGTCACCCAGGAGCTCATAGACATTGTGCTGTGAGGAAGCATCGGTGTCAGCCTTCATAACGAGGACATAGAGACCGAGGACCAGGGCGGCGAGGAAAAGGCTTGTCTCCGAGTGCAACATCATCCTATCAGATATCTTCCCTTTCGAACATATCCAAAAGATCTGAGCTGCGTGAACACAAGCCCGTCTGGCCGCAAGAGTGTCTGACCAGGAGGTAATACAAGCCAAAGCGGCTTTCGCGGCCTCTGCACCTTTTTGACCGGCCCCGAGCTCGAACATCCACGAATTACTCAGCAGCATCACACACAGGATATTCCACATGATCAGAGCATGAGGATTCCCATTTTGCAGTTTCCTGCCGTGCAATCGCATGAAATTGACCAGAAAGGGCGCAATTGATTTGGCAGTGTGGTCGGTCGAGTAGACCTCGTACGGGATGAGTCCCCACTCATGGCCTAACAAGCCGCTCCGTGACAAAATTCTGTGATGAGCCTCAGACAAACGAATCCATACAGCGGCGAGGACACCGTGCAGGCCCACGGAGCCCGGATAATACGTCTGTGGAGATATCAAAACTTGGTCGGCGCAAAAGGCCAAGGTTGCGGACGAATTTGTGCTTTTGGTCTGGAGAATTCGCCTCCATTCCACTTCGGATGGAGCGAAGAAGAGTTCTTCATCACAAGGAAGGTACAAATTCAACATCTCGGTTGGGATAGTGGGGATTAAACCCTGAGAATTGGAGTAGAAAGCGTCAACCATTACGATGGCGATGATCAGCCTGGAATGATCAGTGATGGTAGAGCTTGGTCGCATGGGGGATCGATGACAGACCTCTTGGTCGATTCGACTCGAGCCCAGACCTCCCATCCATAGCGGTGCGCCAGGGCTTCATCAGAAGCGCCACTCTCCGTGGCTGAGACGACCTCATTTTCGAAGAAGCCATGAGCAATCATCGCCTGGCATTTGTCAGAACTTAAGATGCCAGGACAAGGCGGTGCGCCCAAACCGAGACAGTCTCTCTGTGGAGTCTCCGACATGACTCTGTGTTGCTCCTGCCCTAGATAACTAGTCAAACGTGACATGACATGCATTGCTACTGGAAACATCAGACCGTAAGAAGCGCAGAGAGCGTGGCGAGGTATGAGCTTGCTAAAATCGGCAGCATTGGCGCCGTAGTAGTTTGTAATGTAGCTGCCCGAAGCGCTTGACGGCAGCGGTCCACCAAGGCCTGGGATCCGTCGGTTAGTGCAGTTCCACTTCATAGTTAGGCATGTTGGGAGTTGGATACCGTCAGATTTTTCTCCAGGAACTGTTGTGCCGCAGGACCTTTAAGCCTGACAAATCCTGCCATACATAGTGCTAGGAGTAGTACGTCAGGAGCCTTCCTGGCATCAAACGTCGGAACATGGATGACAGGCACAAAGGTATGAAGGTGATCGAAAAACAAATCCAAGCTGAAGTCAAGGGTGCTGATCGATGGGAACTTCATGGTTGCGCCGTGGTTTCCATTCCACCGATCCTGAGGTGTAACATCAGGCCAAGATTCTTGATCATTTTCTGTTTCCGCGTTGATGCTTGTGAGCTGAGAAGTGACATGGCGGCTTTCTAGTTGGGCTCCTCTGAGACATGTCATGATGCGCCATCTACAACTCTCGTCAAACTTCCATCTCGACGCAGCAGACTGTTCCGCATACACGGCCCAGAACTTTGACATAGGCTGTGAGAAGGTGTCATCTTCAGAATCATCAATGATCTGATCCCAGAGCTGACTGCCGTTGGCCCCAACGTTCATCGTCGTTGACCAGCACTGACAGACCTTGTCAAGTAGTCCGTTAGGTAAGCGCTCTCTGGAACGACCCTGCTCCTGAGATTTATCTAGGACCGAAAAGGCTGGACCCGGAGGAGCCAGCCAGGGGTCTGCAAATGTCATGTCGGCAACAGGAGCCTCTGCTGCGTTCCAGAGAATGTCGGTTGCTTGATGATTATTCGCGGAGTCGAACCAGAAGTTGCTATCGTCTTCAGATTCCCGTAGTGCAACTCTATGGCTACCTGCTTCAGCAGCAGCATTGAAGTCTTCATCAAGAGCATGCTCATTGGGACAAGCGCGTTGTAACGCCAATGGACTCGACAGTGGCATCGCCACCGTGTCTACCGAACCGTACTGTGGCCCATTCAGAGGATCAAGATAAGCCGACGCAAAATGCACAGGATAAGCATCGTAAGCAGCTTCAACTCTATCGCGAAGCGAGTTCCTTATTGACATGTGCTGGCCACGGCCCTCTCGACTCTCCCCCGGTGCATGGGAGAGCCCCCCGTGGAGATGGCCGGGCTGGTCAAGGGGACTTAATGTCCTGCCGCTCTTCTGCATAAAGCGTGTGTGTTTCTGGACGTGATGTCCGAGCACATCCCTGCATGTATGGTCAATTTGGTTCTCAAAGATTCTGCAGCCTCAAAGTCTGACTTGCGGGAAAAGCGCTTTCCACAATGCGAGCATTCGAAAGGACGCTCTCCAGTGTCTAAAACATCTGGGTCAGCCGATTCCTTCCCAGGCATCATCGACGCGGCGCGGATAGATAAACATACGCCTTCTTTCGTGTCGCTGAAGATGTTCGCTCTTGGAAAATTGCTGGCCGCATGTGGCACATGTAGTCGAACACAGTTTGCGAGGCCGCCCCCGGGGTCGCCCAGGCAAATTCATGATGTCGGCGAAGTGAGTGTGGCAGGAGGTAAACGCGAGAAATCCCCCGGACTTGGTCTTGCGCATCGTGAGACTCCTGACTCCGTAAGCGGGGAGTCGCCCCTCGTCTGCCACATGCAGCCTGATGCAGCTGGGGGCGACAGCTCCGCACAGATACCGACGTGCGACAAGGCTGGGTTGTCACATCGGGCTTGGTGGCTGGGGCTTCGCTCTCAACCTTGTGTGCGGCGATTCATCGGTTGCGGGGCTCCTGAGTCTCCTTGCATGTGCCACTTTTGTGCGGAAGATGCAAACCGCCCTGTCTCGGCCGGATGAGGTTGCAAGTCACTTGACCTTGAGATCACTGCTGCTGCTGCTTATTGTAAGCCCGCTGCTTCTAGCCCCACCAGAATCCTGTGGATGGATGCGAAACAGCCGCAATGATTTCATCTCCAGTGCTTTGCGCCAAAGAACCACCAAAGATTAACCTGGCACATGCTCGTCGTTGGTTGAGTAGGCGCTGCAAATGAGAGACATGCGAGTCGCCGCGGGCAAGACGAGAAGACCGCGGGTCAGCCTCACAGTGCCATATATGATCTGATCAGTACCTAGCTACCAGCGAGCAACAGCCGCTCACAGTTTTGACGACAGTCTCTCAGCATGTCTTCAGACTCGATGGCGGGTCTTCTATTGGACCACGTTATTCGGATACTGGGATCTCATTTCTTGCTGGTGCTCTTCTTGTTACTGGTGGCGAGGGGCATATACAAACGTTACAACTCACCGCTAAGGACATGGCCTGGGCCCTTGCTGGCGTCATGCTCGCGGCTCTGGAAATTCTGGGTCACGTACAAAGGTCACAGCGAACATGATTACATGGACCTGCATCGCAAATATGGTACGGGCGGCCCGATACGTGCGCAGCACGACTTTTCCTACCCATTAAAGCCTCACATTGACCTGTTCTTGATATCCTCAAAGGCCCGATTGTCCGCACGGGTCCCAACGAGCTGTCCTTTGCGTCTCCGGAGGCGGCCAAAGACATTTTCGCGGTGGGAAAGGGCGTGGAGAAGACCGACTTTTATTGGGTGTTTCCGCCCGCCGAGAATCCGGATGTCTTTACAGAGATCCGCGAATGGAAACACGCCCAGCTGAAGCGGTTTACGGTCCAGCCGTATAGCTTGGCCTCGCTACTCAAGATGTCGTCTTCGATCGAGGCAGTTGAAAAGGAGCTAATGGATAAGTTCGATGAGTTGGCCGGCACTGGTCAAGGACGTTGTGACCTTGGAGACTACCTCCACTACTTCGCGTTCGATGTAAGTCTCCCTCCTCATCAAGTTGGCGGAGTTTAAACTTGTGTCTCCAGGTTCTAGGTGAAGTTGCGTTCTCCCACCGCTATGGTTTCGTGAGCACAGGCACCGATGTCGACGGCTGTATAAAGTTCATCGACGACGTTCAATTCTATGACGGCCTCGTCGGGCAAGTCCCGTGGCTGCATTACCTGCTTCGGCTCAATCCCGTGGCGTCCTATATTCCTGGGCTGGGTCTCAGGCCTGTTCTCCTGACACGCATGGCCCTCGAGGAACTGCAAAATCGGAAAAAACTGGACGATAATGGCAAATCAGCCACTGGGAAAGACGACTTGTTGGCCCTGTTCTTGCAGGGGCACCTTCGGTCTCCTGACAAGTTCACCGAGGCCGACGTGTTTTCCGTGGCTCACGGAGCAATGTAAGTGCTTTGCCTTCAAGAAGCAGCTATTGTCCGGCACCACCGTCCCCCAGCTCTGTCCATTCTTCCAGAACGATCCCAGAGATCTTTTCTAATCACGATTTAGCGGTGCTGGCTCCGACTCGACCGCGTCTACTATGCAGTCCTTCTTCTATCTCCTCCTCAACTCCCCGTCCAGCTACCAGACGCTCCTCTCAGAGATCGATGCAGCCACTACTTCAGGGAAACTCTCCGACCCCGTTAGCTACGCCGAGGCGCAGGACCTGCCGTACTTCCAAGCATGCCTTCATGAGGCGATGCGGCTCCGCCCTGCCGTAGGCCTAAACATCTACCGCAAGTTACCACCCGAGGGTATGCAGATTGACGGCACTTTCTATCCTGGCGGAACCGAAGTCGCGGTGAATGGCTGGGTCTTACACCGAGACAAGACTGTCTTTGGCCTCCATGCAGAAGACTACCGTCCGGAGCGCTGGCTTGAACCGAATGCGAAGGAGATGCACCGACATATGTATCAGGTACGCCTGTCCCGGTCCCGTCTAAACCCCAAACTCTCTGCTTCATGAGTTCCTTATTTCGGCATTGACTGATGAAACACCCATACAGTTCGGGGGCGGGAGCCACCTCTGTCTGGGCCGGAATCTCGCGCTGCTGGAGATGAACAAATTGCTCCCACGGCTGCTACGGCGATATCATTTTGAGCTGCTCCACCCAGGAAGACCGTTGAAGCACCATACCACGTTCTTTGTGGTGCAAGAGGGGCTAGAGGTGCAAATATCGCGTCGAATTTGACGGCTCTTGTTCAAGGTGCATGGGTCCTGTCGCGAAGTTGTCGTATCTGGGACGAGTACAAAGCAAATCTGGAGAATTTATTTTTACGCAACCTTGCGCAACTGGCAAGGGCATACCATCGTTATCGTCGCCGCTACTTGCTCCAAACCCTCATCGTAGTCTTCGTCTTGGCCACTGGCATGCTGGAAGTCGTCGTACCCATACTGAGGGTACTGTTGCGTACTATTCTCCAAGCAATTGCATTCTGCCAGGGAGCGAATGTTGATATCGAATCGTCACCAGCACCAGGAGGGGAAAATACAACACCAGGGACTCGTCTAGGGACAGTGCAAGGACCAGGACCTGCGGAAGGGTTGCAGAGAAAAAGGCCGATTTCCAAATCTTAATACAATGAGGAAGGCCATGAGTTCACTGCGAAAGCCGGTCGGAGGCTCGAATCAAGGCGAAAGAAAGCGTCAAGGAAAGATAGGGACACGGCTCAAGATCACCAAAGCGTGGGCTTGGAAAAAAATATCAAAGGGAATCTGTGCATCTGGATCTCGCAATGTTGAAGTACAGCAATACCAACTGTTGCACCTCTTCAAAGCCTGGAGCGAGTTCTTGAATTTAGATATCCTGTGCATGCCATTCAATGTGGAAAGATACCATGGGTTGGCTAGTTGTCGTTCCAAAGGATGACACCGAGCAAAGTAGACAGTTCACCCTTAGCTTCTTGCTTGCCACCTTCTGTAAGGAAGGAGGTCTGCCTGGCAGCAAGCTGGAATATTACACCTGCATCTCTGCCGTATCCGCCTCGGTATTTGAACACCGACTGCAACGGCCGGAGGTGCAATTCTCCGAAGCTACTGAAAGAAAGAACGTCAATTCGACCAGCTTCTCACTGTAATCAACTGTCCCACTGGGTCCCCAAAAAGGGAAAGGAAATGACGGCGAAAGTAGATGGCTGCCCACAGTAGTTGTTCTCTTGGGCCAAGATGAAGTAACATACGTTGAGTTGCTTGAGGTGGTCGTCGCCACTGAAACATACAGCCAGTCCCTCGCACAATGCAAAACTCTTGACAGCTAGCTAGATCCCCCCCTTTTCTTTCACAGCTCCAAGATTTCCACCGGGACCTCGATTGTTTTCGCCCGGATGTAGTCCGCAAATGCTTTGCCCAGGGAATCGAGCAGGGTGCTCGCCAACACGCCGCGACCGAGAATGCCGTACACCACAAAGTGCACGGCCTTGATCTCGGGGAATTCCATCCTCTCGATAAAGTACGTGTCTCGCCAGTCGTCGCCGATCAGCTCCTGCAGCTTCGCCCGCGACATGTACCCGCGGAACCAGGCCCAATGCGCCGGGTTCCGGGGGTAGATGCCGAAGTTGCAGTTTGCGCCCTTGTCGCCGGATCGACCGTAGGCGATATCGCCCAGAGTTACGGTTCGAGTGGGTCCCTGAGGATTGCGCAGAGTGCATTGTTCGGCGTCGAAGTTGATCCTTCGCTCCAGACGGTAGAACTCGGTCGGCAATTTCGCGTCGATCGTCTGGGCGACTTTTCCGTCTGGGCCCAGAATGTGTGCTGCTTCCTTGAGCGCGGTCTGATCGTACAGGCCGGGATAGAAAGATATGTATGGCTTGGGGTGAGCAGTGCGGTAGTCGAGCGACCAATGTAACCCTGGGACCAATATCAGAATGGATTCGACAACGGCAACAGTTGAACGAGATTCAGCTCAAGGTTGGGCGGTACTTGCCGTGAAAATGCTGCATTATGTGGTCCGCCCAAGCTGGGAATATCTGGGCAACGGCCTCTTCGGTTGGGGCTTGTGCAAAGACACGACAATAGGTCGTACTGCGGAGCTGGCTTCGAGGATTGGGCTCCGGTACGCCCACACTTTGGAGAGGTGAAAATGTAGGTCAGCGCTGAGGGTTTGAAGAAACGAGCCATGCGTGGAGAGAAGCGAAAGGACCGCAAAAGGAAAGGAGAGGATTGGCTCACATCTGGAACTCGAGGTGGTCAAACTGGTCCAGAACGCCTTTCTCGTTGAGGAAAAAGCGCATCTGCTTCTCGAATAACTGCCATTTCTTCTCTGTAGCGTACCCAGCCGCGTTGGCCAAGAGCTGGCATTGATACCCTGCATCATAGAAGACTGCCAGTTTCGTCGTCGGAGGCGGCGGGTAGCCCTTGATCCCCGACATTTGCACCCGGTTTTTGCCCACGTCCGTGATCACGATGTTGGTGGTGTCGGCGGAAACATCGCTGTTCAGGTAGATGGCGCCTTGGATCTCGTAGAGAAACTGGCATTTGATGGTGTCCGCGTTTACGATCCCTTTCTGGGTGTGTTCATGTTTGGTGATCACGGACGTACCGTCGTTGGCCACCTCGGCGATACCAAAGGGAAGGTCCACAAAGAGATCCAAATCGAACTGATCGAACCCGGCAAAGTTGGCGCCGGTCGTGTACGCGGAGCATTCGATCAGATGACCGGCGATAAGTGCACTCGCCAGTTGGTCGTAGTCTGTCGGCTTCCACTGATGCCAATACCAGGCGGCAGCGATAACGGGAGAAGCGTCAGCGACTCGGCCGGCGATGACGATATCTGCGCCGCCGTCTAAAGCCCCCACAATCCCTCTCGCCCCAAGGTATGCATGTGAGGTGATCACTGGTCTAGATTGGTAGTCCTGTAATGCGACAGCCAGCTTTTCGACCTTGACGTCGGGGTTATTGGAATCAAGATGGGCTGGAATTTGACCCGTCTTGGATATTTGGTCCTTTGTTTCCTGGGTCAGATCGTCACCAGAAAGGTAGGCTACCTTGAGGGAGAAGCCTTTCTCGTTGACCTGAGACCTGATTAGATAACTCCCAATGTCTGAGGAAAAAACAACGTAGCAGTGGACGTGGGAGAGTCGTACAAGTTGTTGGACTTTGGCTGCAAGCCCGGCAGGGTTTAGAGCTCCTCCGTTGACAATGACTTTCAGCTCTTTCTGGGCGATCAGATCAATGGTCTGCACAAACCCGTCCCAGCAAGTCGGTTCCCAGCCCTCGTGCACACCGGCATCCATTCCTTTTTTGTTCTCGGGGAGATTGATCTCTGTCCTCGCATCAGGCGCATAACCATCAGTCCCACGTCTGAACAAGGACCGAGGAGATGAAGTCATGATCATGACCTGTATCAGCACTCACCCGCAAGGTAGTCGCCGGTCAAGAAATCAACATCGCCCCATTCAGCTTGTCGACGCATATGATAGCCGGGATCGGCTGACGGAACGTTAGCCTCTCTACCGGCGTCGACACAAACAAAGATCTGAGATAGACGAACTTCTGGCACCCGAGACGTTGGCTATTCTCGCGGGCCGCTTGCCTCGCTGGTCCCATCTCGAATTTTTTACAATCATGGCAGGCAGCGGAAGGGCGTGGCAAGTGGGTTAATGTCAGCTACAAAATAAGGCGGCGATATCAATCTGTGCTGAGGGCAATCAGATTACTGAGAAGAAAGGGACGTTTATTAGGAGACAGGATGCCACGACGCTCATGTAAAGGTCTGAAGTGGAGATCTGGCGATCTTTGTTTCTCCAAGTTGTTCAAGCTTCGCATGGTCGCTTCTCTTGCAACCCGCTCTACCATGTCTCAGGGTTGCCATTCATTCTCCAACCCCACTGACTGCATCCGTCAACATGGAGAGTCGATTCTTGGAAGCCCCGAGGTTTCGGAGGTTTGGACCGCCGGGACTGAGACGACCCCAATACTAGCGTAGTAGACCAAGCTGGCTTCCGTCTCCTCCGCAGCAGTCCAAATCTATCGAGGGCTAGAACAACTTCGCGAGACCATTTCGGACAGAGAATACTTCCTATCCTGCGTCTCATATTTCTACGCTGCGATGTAGCTTAAACACCATCGCCATGAGATGATGTGGCAAATGAATGAGCTGTTATCTGCTTAAGAGTCCAGACGAAAGGATTACGATGAATTCCAGAACACTTGGTTCATTTGACTGTCAGAAGCACATGAAAATAGACAAGCTCAGCCGTATGAGAAGAAGAGACCTGCATTCTAAATTCCCGAATCACCAAAGAGCCAGAAAGGGCCACTGGACTCGAGTCCCTCGGAATCAAACGTCGCCGAGAAAAGGCCTTGGTCGTCGTATAGAGCAGGCATGAAGTCCGGCGACAATATCGGCAGAGACAGGCGTAGCCGGGACAGCAACCCTTCATCTTCCTCGCTCCACTCTTTCTGTCGTTGTGATGGCAGAGGCGGGAAATTGCACCGACGCATCAGGGAGAGGACGATGTTGGATAGCGTTCGAGCGGATGCGAACGAGGTTTCCATCTCCTTGATGCTGCGCACACAAGAGTCGACACGTTCGATGTACTGGTTCTCGTCCGTCGTTCCTCCCTCGGCCCAGTTTGCAATCAGGACGATGACCGCAATCGTGATATTGTAGAGCGAGTTCCCTATCATGGTTCGGGCACTGCCGTGGTTCGCTCTGTAATCCTGTGTAATAGCAGCCAGTTGCAGTGCATGGTCGGTATAAATGGTCCGAGCACTGGTGCTGTCCGAAGCTGCGCTCGACGTTTCCACGCCGAAGCGCCCTTCTGAGAGTCTTTCCAGAATGACCGCACTGTGGTAGTGGAGACTTCGTGCAGTCAGTATAGTCTCTTTCATTGCCCGGAGGGTGTTTCAGTCTTCAAGACGCACTAGGTCCAAACGGGCTCGCAAGCAGGAGCTCTGTGGATACTTACTGCAGAACATGAACTGCCGGTGGTGACTGGGGCAGGTAGCGGAGGACAGGATCCAAATTCAGACGCCAGTTACAGAGTTCCTGGCGCATGACCAAGGGCTGTGAAAGCTTGTGGTTTCTGAGGTGAAGCTGTTAGCAACTGCGCGTACAGAACAGAATCCTATGAGCCCCAAAGGTACGGTGCACGCACATGGAGTCGCATATACGGCCAATGATGTCAAGGAGGTCAGTCCAAGCACCGGCAATTATCTCGTCCCAGGTATGCACTCCGGGTGAAGCATCAGGGCGGGGAAGCGTCACGACGTCTAGCCGTATCAAGTACGGTCGACCCAGGTAGGTAGCCCATAGCCTGTTCGTTGCAATTTTAGTCAATCTCAAACGCTTGAGAGCCTGCAGACCGCAGGAGACAGTCGAGTGCTTACCTATCCAGAGTAAAACAGCCCCAGAATGTTGTCCTAAGCACACTGCTGTCGACTCTGCGAAGACTATTCGGTCCAATAGACGAGAGCTCTTGATTCAATCCGAATTCGAATGCGAGACGGACAGCACGCCCTGCGGAAGTAAGTGCTTGCCACCTCAGGAGGACTCAGTAGGGCGCAGAAAGGCATACGGACCCGAATCCATCCACCCTCTGCCATCGGAGCCGGCGTAGCAGCAGCATAGGACACTCAATAGGGCCAAGGCCTGCACCGTTGTCACGCTAGCATCGTGGCGGAGCTCCTCCTCGACCAGGGTAGACGCTTTCTTGAATAGATAGGGCTCCTCAAAACGGAGGCTGCCAGCTTCTGGTGGTACGACCAGTGCCCGAATCTCGGGATAGTCTGATACCCTGGCAGCTGAGGCGAAGATGGCGTAGAGCAGTGCTTTGCTGTAGTATTGGCAGCGACCTACCTTCATGTCGTTCAGAAAGGCCTCACGGTTGACCACCTGAATAACTCCGTGTTGGAATTTCCAGTACTGGTCTAAAAGATGTTCTTGGAGCTGCACAGGTAGCTCCCGAGCAGTTTGATGCGGCGTCTCTGTATAGATTGCGTCCGTGAAGGTGAACCATGACGAGATGCTCTCGGCCGTGTGTAAACTTGACGAAGGCCCGTAAAAGTGTAGGCGCCCTGCTCTATCGGTACACAGCCGGGGCTCGGCCGCACACAGTCTGTCAATAAGACTGTGAAATCGTCCTCGAGGCTTCTGGCCTTGCCCCAGCAGGGACTGTTGAGACTCATGTTGTGACGTTCCTGATTCTTGCAAGACAGCTTCGAGCACCTCTTCTCTTGATTCCCCTGGCGGCACTTCCAAGTTGTTCTTCTGTAGCTCGGCCTCAAGCTGACGAATTCGGCGCTCTAACTTGATGGTATAATGTCGGGAAGAATTCCTGTGTTTCCTGGTGAGCAAATCCCTCTCTATCGACATCCAGAGCCGGGCTTAACCCGGTCCCCTGACACGTGGTTACAGGGTGATTACAGTTTCCTCCCATCCTCCTCACGAACAGAGCATGCTAGACCGAGCTTAGTGCATCGGGCACAGGAGTGAGGATTATCTCGTTGACACTAGTACCCCATTCATGGTCGAGAACAAGTCAGCCTCGGATATGGCCGCGACGAATGGTAGATATGTTCTATCAACGCGACTGCATCGTACCTTGACCTTCTTCTGTTTGCATCTATTGCATGCTAGAAATATATCATGATCGGATGTATGCCGCCGAGTCCTGCTTCGTCCAGAGCCCGAGGGCTCGTTTCGGCTGGTATTCAATGGATTAGTCACAGCGTTCAAGGGGGGTACCCGAGCGAAGTCGAGGTTGAGCCCGGTTCTTTCCATGATATGACAACTTCCAATGGCGTTTGGGACCACCAAAGCGGTATCTGTTTTCAGGAGGGAGTAGCACAGTAGGGTACAATAGCGCTACACTTTGCAGTACCCAAGAGAACTGATGTCAAGACCCTCGGCTGCGTATGCGGGGGACTCATGGTCCATCGATTCCCCACTTGCTCCGGCTTGTATACTCCAGCTTCTATCCACTTTCCGCCATCCATTCTCCGTTCTCCATAGTTCGCGCCGTAAAGGCTTGTGCAGCCAAGCTCATTGGCAGACTCCTGATTCTCGGGGTTGGCGTCTCCATGCTCGGATATCGAAACCTCCGAGGTCTCGCGTCTTACCACTGCAGTATTTGTCAGTAGTAGGACGACGGAATATGAGCTTTGCGGCGGGAAATCTTTGGGTTTCCATCTGTCGAACGCACACCAGGGTTGTGCGGTTGGCGCTCGGTTCAACCTTCAGGCCTTCTCTGGATTGGAGTTTCCGGATCGCGGAGGAGCATGATCAATCACGGCTTGTGAAGAAGCTTATAAAAAGGTTCAGACTTACTCCTGTCGCGACAGATCCAGATACCCTTTTGCCTCCATTTTCTGATTCCCCAAGCAAGACAACATCATTTCAACCCAAATTTTTTTTTATATTACTCTCTGTACACCAATGCCGTCTATTCAAAATCGCGCCGTCCGTATTGGGGGGTGCGAAGGTGGAATCACAGATCAACATGGAGTTTTAGCACGCATGGCACAAAATGAGGATGTAGACGTTATCTTCGGCGACTGGATGAGTGAATATAACATGACCACTCGAGGGGTGGAGAAAATACAAGACCCGACAGCGCCCGGCTATGAAACGATCTTTCTTCAATCGCTCGAGCCCGCTTTGGAGCACTTGGCGGCCAAGAAGATCAAACTCGCCGCCAACGCCGGTGCCTCAGGCACTGAGCTCCTAACCAAGCATGTCAAGGAAATCATTGCGCGCAAAGGCCTGGACTTGAAGGTGGCCTGGGTCTCTGGCGATGAAATCCCCATCGAAGACCTCAAAAAGCTTCGCACCAAGGGGGAAAAACTGCAGAGACTTACCACGGATAAGGATTTCTCGACCTGGGAGTTCGACCCTATTTACGCCCAATGCTATCTTGGAGGTCGAGGTATTGCAAAGGCTTGGGCTGAGGGTGCTGATATCGTCCTCACCGGTCGCGTCTCTGACCCAGCTCCCGTTATTGCGGCTGGCATATGGTGGCACGGTTGGACCGAGGACCAACTGGACGAGCTTGCTGGCGCCCTGGTCTGCGGCCATCTGATCGAATGTGGCGCGTACGTCTGCGGGGCCAACTGGTCAGGATTCAAGTCGCTCGGAACTGGCAAAAATATCATCAACCTTGGCTACCCGATTGCAGAACTCGCAAAAGATGGTACATGCATCGTTACCAAAGAGCAGGACTCGAAGGGCGTGGTGACGACCGAAACTTGCAGAAGCCAACTTTTGTATGAAATCCAGGGGCCTTGGTATTTCAACTCAGTAGGTTACATCTGAGTCCCTGCGGCACGCCCACCCCCACTGTATAACTGATAGCCCCCTTTAGGATGTCGTCGCCGAACTCTCGAATATCAGTATGGAACAGGTTGGCCCGAACCGCGTCAAAGTCTCGGGCGTAAAGGGTCTCCCGCCTCCACCAACGACGAAGGTCGGCATCACTGCAATTGGCGGGTACCAAGCCGAGACTCATTTCTACGTGGTTGGTCTCGATGTCGAGGAGAAGGCTGCCATGTTCGAAACTCAGATCCGAGACGTCCTTCCGATCGATAAATACCACTGTTTCAGAGTATCGCTGAACGGCAGGCCACCTGCAAATCCGCGCAGTCAGGAGTCGGCTACCTGTGACCTCCGAGTTTTTGCACAGGCTCGAAATCCCGATGATCTGCAAACTTCAGTCTTCCTACAGCCCGTCGTGGACACAGTGATGCAAACGTACCCTGGTGCGCAATTCAGCTTGGACATGCGCCAAGGTACCCCAAAGCTGTACTATGTGAGAGAATCCCTGGTGAAACGTGCATGTATGTGATTGAAGCTCTGCTGACTAGATTCGCTGTCTTCTCCAGGAATTCTGGGTGGCGTTGATCCCTCAAGGAATTGTCTCCCACCGCCTCCATTTCTCGGAGAGGACGTTCGACATTCCAATCCCGACCAAAACCCATACCTACCCACGGCATCAGCCATCGTATGATCCTGAAAATCCACTGCCGCCAACATCTTGGGGTCCCACGACCGTGGCCCCTCTGGGATATATTGTACATGCGCGCTCCGGAGACAAGTCATCCAATTGCAACGTTGGCTTTTACGTTCGCCACGCAGACGAGTACGAGTGGCTCAAGTCGACCCTGACAATTGCGAACATAAAAGCGCTTCTTGGTGATGATTACAAGGGTGGATTGGTCGAAAGGTTTGAGCTTCCAAACCTCTGGGCTGTCCACTTCCTTTTGCTTGATCATCTGGACCGTGGAGTTGCAAGCAGCAGCACATATGACATTCTCGGAAAGAATGTCGCCGAGTATCTGCGAGCCAAATATGTTGAGATTCCCACCGCATTTTTAGAAAGAGGGAAAATCTGAAGGAGGTCACTGCTTGCCTGTTGGGTGCAGTTCTGGTCGCCTGTCGGAACAAATTTGTCTAGTAGGGCGATATTAACGCAAGTACTCTTTCTCGAATGTCGTTCACAGTGCCTTGTAGCTCGGGATATGAGATGTTCGTGTTGGAGGTGGAACACCCTTTCAGATTTTTGATCAGAAGAGAACAACTACTCCTTGAACTCGAGAGGGTCTTGACACTGCTTCTGGCTCCACATTCTGTAAATGCTGCAAGAGTGATGTAACGCGAGTTCTGCATCATCTTGGGGCAAAAAGGGGGCTTGCACTTAACACAAGTACTGAAGTGGTCTTTGTTTGCCAGCGACTACCCTGTGAGCCCGAACGGCAAGGTGTCTTCTTGAAGGTCTGTGGCAAGTTGTCCATGGGAATTCCATTCATTCTGTCGTAGATTGTGCCATTTGTCGTTGTCGATACATTATGACGGGTCCCAGACAAGACTAACAGTGATTATCGGCCCTTCTGACCATGATTCGAATACGCCGCTTTCAATCACCGCTCGCCTACCACTCACCTTGAAACTCACCTTTGACCCACGTACTACTTACCTCCGACCCACTTCTTGCTCAATCATGATTCCTGATCTTGCGCTAGATCAGGATACCGGCCCTAGCGGTCGGAAAGGTTCCCTAAGGTGAAAACCCCTGGAAACACCGTGACCACTCGCCGAATATAGCTAGCCTCGTTGAAGAGAGAGACGGACAGACCAGTATCTTGCGAAAGCTCCAGGTCTCCGCTGCTCAGGTCTCAAGATCCAGAGCACGGCCTTCTTACCCTTTCCATCTAGCTAGTGTCATCAAATTTATAAACCAGGTTACACTTTCTGCTCAGACCGGTAGCACGGCATTGGCCACGGCGTCCCTCTGGCGGCACTTGTCCGGCACCGGATGTATAACGGATTGTTCATTGTTACAAGGCGTGTGGTTATTACTTACCCCACAATGTCTTGCCATTTCCTTGTGGCAGAGATCCTGGTGCCAATTCAATTGGTCTAACAGACTTTTGGCCAGCGTAGGGAAGCGAGCGATAGGCAGATATACAACCATGGCACAGAACACACCGGCATACTCTGCATCCAAGACTGGAGCGCCAACGATCCTTTCTGTCGTCATCACCGTGGACCTCGCTAACATCGACAAGTTTCTCAAGGGCTTCCACATCTGCATGATCCCATTATCGAGGAAGTAGTGTCTGTCATTTGAAATGTACCAGAACATCGAGGAGCCTGGAGTATTTCGCATTCTAGATCTCTGGGATGGTGACGAAGACTGGTTCATGTCGGTGAGTCGGGACCAAGCCAGTGCTTCACTATCTTCGCCTGTCGTGCCCGCTAATCAAGACCCTTTTTTCCATTCGTAGATGCAAGCGAAGAAACCGTACTACGTGCCGTCCTATGAGGCCACCACGAAGCTCTGGACAAAGCCTCGTAAGTCATCGGGAGAATCCCATGCCGGAATGGAAGATGGCCTAGGTTCAGCACCTCAAAGCTGCTGCAATGATGTGATGAGCGTTCGGCCAGTCTTTCGTTTGTCTGGCCCTTGATGCACGGTCGAATACACGGGCAAGCACGGCGGCCGTGCATCCAGGCGAGATGACAAATGGCGGGCGGTAGGTTTAATAATCGGTCAGACGCCCAGCATGAACGCGACGTCTTCCGGTCATGGTCAGGGCTACATGTGGCTTTCCAGAAATCTACATGTCTGACGCGAAAGTTCATCGTCTACAGGTGAATGATAACATGGCGGACGAGGGTACATCGATACATATCATTACTGCCGTGACACACCCTGCCAACCGTGCATGATCGCGCGGGAGTGGGCTCGGCTCCCAGACTATGCATACATATAGTTCCCTCTCCGCGGATGGTGCAGACCATCAGGTAGTTTCGACTCCAAGGTCTTCGTCAATCGAGGTTCGCGACCAACAGACAATCACTGACGACCTGCCTCGCTGTGGTGAACATTACCTCTCCCTTCTCCCCTCTCTCTGCGCCAACACCCCAAGCAATCCCTATGGAGAACAAAGCCGTCTGGCTCCAGGGGCCCGGCAAAGAGCCATGGGTCTCATCAGCACCCGTCCCAGAACCTGGACCTGGTGAACTGCTCCTGAGAGTAGGCTGGCTGTCCATTCCTGTCCGTGCTAAGACTGAAAAACAACCAGATCAAAGGCGTGGCCGTTCAACCTGGAGAGTGGAAGATTCAAGCGGGACTCATCCCAGTTCCTCTGACATATCCAACCATCATCGGACGCAAGTTGCAGTGTCAAATATCTCCGAGGCTTCAGTTCTGATTTATTTACGTTCCTCAGTCTCGTGTTCAGGCGTTGTCGAAAAAGTCGGTTCCGGGATCACCAGATTTGCTCCGGGAGACCGCGTCGCTACCAACACCACTGGTGTCTTGAAAAATGACTCTCGCTTCGGTGCCTACCAGCGGTTTGCGCTTACGCCTCAAGTCCTGACTTCCAAGGTAAAAGATCAATCCAAGAAACCCCAAGAAGACAACCGGGAGCGCTCTGCTGACCACACTGCCTTTTTCAAAAGATTGGTAACACTTCCTTCGACGTGGCGGCCTCCCTGTCCACGGCATATTCGTCAATGAGCGCGCTCTTCATCCATCTCAACCTGGAAAGGCCGCCTAGCAAAGGTCAAGCAGCACCCAGGGCAGAAAAGGTTCTGATCTGGGGCATTTCATCCTCTTTTGGCGCCCTTGCAGCTCAACTTGCCCAGCAAGCTGGCTACGAGGTCGTCGGCGTGGCCGCAGGGCGCCATTCCGAGTTGGCCAGGTCGTTTGGGTTAGATCACTTCGTCGACCGCAAGTCGTCATCCGTCGTGCAGGAGCTGACCGCTCTTGGGCCTTACAAGGCCGTCTTCGCCGGACAAGACTCCGCGGAGGATCAAGTCAAGATGGGCCAAGTCCTGGCTGCTCACGGTGGAGGCCGCATTCTGTCTGCCGCGGGCATCCAACCTGGCGTGGTATTTCCAGCCGGTGTCTCTGGATTCTTCCAGCAGTACTTGGACGACTTCCTAGACCCTCAGAACAAAGACTTCGTTGAATGGGTCTGGTGGGACTACCTCGAAGCTGCGATCACGGATGGGAGGCTCAAGTCGGTTCCGCTAGAGGTCATGGAGGGTCTATCGCACACCACCGAAGCATGGGACCTTCTCCGTCACCACAAGGTCGGGGGCAAGAGGATTATTATCGTACCGGAGTCTGAGTGATATCCGGGCGAGAGATCAGTGTTTCCAGGAGCGATAGTGCCAGTTTCAAGCGCTAATTAACTCCATTGCTCTTATAGTCTTGACATCCTAGTCAATATGACCATCTGAAGAATACTATAACCTCTCCTTTTGCAACTCGCACGATCAACGATCAGCGAGGACTTATGGCTATTATTTTCTGTAATCGAGAACGTCAAAAGCAAGCTACTATCGCCACTCAATCAGCAGGGAATTTACATCAGAACAAGATCTTTACACGTACAGAAAATGAACCTTCAAGAAATGGGCACTGGACTCAGAGGCGTGAGATTGGCAATGGACTCAGGAACGGACATCCCCAGGGGGAGCCATCAACAGTTTGTCCAGTTCATTAACGCGGCCTGTGTATTCTGGTGTATACTGTCTGCCATTGAAACAAAACAGAGGCTGGCCGGACAACTGCCGCCCAGAGACTCTAAATCAGATGTGAATAGGCACATTTGGTTCAGACGATGCATGGAAAGCCTTGGAGTTCCGCCTGGTGTCTTGCTGCGGAAAAACCCGAATCCAGACATATATGGGTGGCTGTATACTCTGTCTATTAGCTGAGAGAGTGGAAATCTTATGTGCTAGGCTCGATTTCTTGCAACCGCTGCTCCCGGGCCGAAATGTACAGCACGGTCGAGATTGCAGAAAGGCTAGTTTGTGAGGTTTGGTAGGTCTTTAAATGCCACCAATCTGCACCAAGTTTGTTGTTCTTGCGGCCACAGCCGTGGAACCGCTGGAAAAGGGTATTTGAAGGAGAACTAAACCCAACCGGGGCCAAACGAGGAGACTCTCCAATGACCCGGAATATTTCCCAGGATGTCGCCACCATCCACCCACATTCGCAAACGGCGCCTTCACCGAACCCTTCGAATCGTACGTTCGGGGGTGGACTTATCCCGCTTTTCTTTGCCATTCTATGCTATAATCCATGGAGTGTCACATCGAGCTGATGGAGCTATCGGAAACATACCACGGTTTTCCATCTGGGGTCTCGATGGAGCAAGTTCTCGCGATGCAAGCAAAATTGGTCCGCTCACCCTCTTGCGCGGACGGGGCCAAAGGGATGGAACACACTTATCCTTCAGTGGCCGCGACAGTTCTGATGCATCTTCGCTTGTGATAAGTCTCGAGAATTGGTATTTCAGACTCTCGCGGGCAGCCTGTTCCCTAGTCGAGAGCCCTGGCCTTGCGCAAACAAACACGAAATGCCTTCCACAGTCAAGCTTGGAGAGTACCTGTTTACCCGCCTTCATCAACTGGGAGTGCGCTCGATCCATGGGGTACCAGGCGACTACAACTTGACCTTGTTGGATCATATCGAACCTTCAGGACTCCATTGGGTCGGGAATTGCAATGAGCTGGATGCGGGATATGCTGCGGATGGCTATGCACGAATCAATGGCCTGGGAGCACTCATAACCACGTTCGGGGTCGGCGAGCTGTCAGCCATCAATGCCATCGCTGGAGCATACTGCGAACGAGCAGCAGTGGTACATATCGTTGGCACTCCCGAAAGAGCTGTTCAGGATTGTCGCCTGAAGGTTCACCACACCTTTGCTGATGGCAACTTTGACCGCTTCGCTCAGATGCACGCCCAGATCACAGTGGCACAGGCGAGTCTTAAGGATCCCCAGTCGGCACCGGAGCAAATTGACGCGATCTTGAAGCAATGTCTTTTGCACAGCAGACCCGTCTATCTCCAGGTGCCGGTTGACCTGGTGGATGCATCCGTTGAAACTGGCAGATTGCGGTCAGAGTGTCTATTGGCGGACCTCACTTTGGCAGAGATCAAGCCCACACCAGCCCAGGATCGGGCGCTGTCAATAGTCCTGGACAAGATCAAAACCGCCAAGCGACCAACCATTTTGGTAGACGGCGAGAGCAGAGCACTTCGGATCACTGAGGACGTCCAGCGCATTGTTCAACTCACGAAGTGGCCCACCTGGGTGACGGTATTCGCGAAGGGTCTTGTGGACGAGACGGCTTCCAACGTTCACGGAGTCTACCGAGGCAGCTACGATCCAAAGGCGAAAGCTTTCGTCGATAATTCAGATCTTGTTTTATGTTTCGGTCCTCACTTTAGCACCACCAACACTTTCGACACTACCAGCATTCCTCCTCAAGCAGTCACTATCAGCTTCACAGACAACGAGATTCGGGTAGGCGAGCAAACATATCGCGACATCCCCACCAGATCTGCGGTGTCGCGCTTGCGACAGGAGCTGAGTGCCCTGGATTTGGATCTTCCGGCAACGCAGGAGGCCGAGCTACCAGGTAAAGCCCGCAAAGGGTGCTTGTCATCGCTTCCGAGCGAACAGAGTATCACACAAGACCGATTGTGGCATCTCCTCGGCAACTTCATCCGAGAAGGCGATATTGTCCTGGGAGAGACCGGCACTGCAGGCTACGGCATCCAAGAGATGGCACTTCCACCGCATACGCGCGTATTTGCACCGGTGACTTGGCTCTCGATTGGGTATATGCTTCCGGCGGCTCAAGGAGCAGCTCTAGCGCAAAGAGAGCTGATAGCTTCTTCGGTTTATCACGGTATCAACCAGGCGCGTACTGTGCTCTTCATCGGCGATGGCAGCTTCCAGATGACCGTGCAGGAGCTTGGTACCATCATACGTGAAAAGCTGGATGTCATAATCTTCCTGCTCAACAATGATGGCTACACGATCGAACGATGTATTCATGGCTTGAAGAAGCGGTACAACGATATTGCCCCTTGGCGCTATACGCAAGCGCCCCATTTCCTGGGAGCTGACGATGATGTCTTTACGGCCACCGTGAATACCTGGGGAGAATTGCAGCGAGTGCTATCGTCGCCAAAGTTCACCAGCGGCAGCGGGTTGAGAATGGTGGAAATCATGCTCGACCGGGAGGATGTGCTGGAAGGCCCTCTGCTTGATTTGCTCCGGGAGGAACGGAAGGCAAGCTCTGGAGAATCGTAGCATAACCACGGAGAGCATTCGCAGATATGGTTTCGTTTCAGCCTGGACCATCCGATGCCCTTTGTTTGGGACGATCTAGTATAGGGGAAGCATATTACATATTACCCCTTCAATCGTATATGGCCGCGAGCCATTTGTGGTCAGTCAGAAAGTCTATGACCTTGGTAAGCGATACTGCGGGACGACCGCGGTATCTAGGAGTCCTTCTTGCCCAGCTTCGGAAGGTGCTGCCTAAGTTCTTGCCAGAAGCCCAGCGGGGTGTCAACGAAGCTGGCTTCATACGCATCGATGACAGGGCGTTCCCAAACGAGATCTGCCTCTTCCGGCTTCACAATCTTTGTCTTCTTCACCACCTTGAACCCCACGTACAGCAACGGGCAGACAAAACACATGGTGTAGTACGAGAAGAACGTCCCCACGTCCCACCACCCAGGCAAGAACGTGGTGTAGCCGTACGTGCCGACGATGCAGATCATGAATATCATGGCGACCCACGCGACGTACGGTTGGCCCCAGCCCCTGTACGGCAAGGTCTTTCGATCGTAGCCTTGGGCCTTCAGTGCGCGATAGAAGAAGATATAGATGATGCACTACAGAGACCAGCCGATATAGTTAGGAGATGAGGGTGCGCAGCTAAGGGGGCATACAGGGGGAATTCTCACCATGACGATGAAGTCGATGATTTGGGATGCCTCGGTGAGGTTGGTCAGCCTGGTTGCGACGTTAGCACCTGTCTGTCACAGAGCGTATGGGGGGCGTGCGCACCAAGTGATGACTTGTGTACTGCTGGTTCCCAGTGTGAGCAGGGACAAGAGCGGAAACACCATCGTGATGCAGAAGCAGTAGATGGGCACTCCGGCCTTGGTGCATCTTTGCAGGAACCTCGGAGCATGGCCGTCCAGAGAGAGGCCGTAGAGGGTCCTGGAAGCGCAGTAGCTGTGAAGTCGTCATCAGCCTCCGTCCCGGTCAAGTCTTCCCGTTGATCAACTTACACGTAGGTGTTTCCGGCGGAGAAGATGCTTGTGACGAGAAGAGCATTTGTGAGGTCGGGAAGCACCGTAATGCCCATGTTCTGCATGGCGATAACATATGCAGATGCGCCAGCTGTCCCCGAAGAGCCCCCGTTGAGCACGGCGTTCAGGGTCGGGTCGTTGTACGGCACCACAATACCGACACAGAGAGCTCCGAGGATGAAGAAGATCCCGAATCGCCAATATACCGTCTTGAAGGCTTGTTTCAGGTGCTTTCTGGGATACATGGCCTCGCCGCTGACCATGGCCACGTACTCTGGTCCAACCACGGTGAAAGCAGCCATGAAAAGCGCGCCCAGGAATCCCTCGAAGCGACCGAGTGCGCCGGTGGTCACATATTCGGCAAAGGCCTACGTGGGATTAGCAAAAATTGGCGTGGTCGGGAATGTTGAGGATGTCTCACGCCAGGATTATTCCAGTATCGAAATCCGTATGCATCGTGCTGGGGGTTACCTCCAACCTGCATCCTGTTATCGAATGATGACGCCGTATAGGATCATGGAATTACACATACCATAGTGACAAAGGTAAAGGCAAAGACAATTCCGACGAGAATGACTTTGCCTCCCGAGAGCCAGAACTCGGACTCGCCGTACCACTTTACGGCAAAGAGGTTGATCAATCTGACCGATCAGTTCTAGTTCGAGGGATAACAACTGCGAAAGGGGTGATCTTACCCATAGAGAGCGATACACGCAAGGCAAATGGCCACCTTGGGAATGTTGTCGGACCAGAAGGTCAGGACGAGGTTCAGCGCCTCGATTTCCCACGGGATCAAGACAGCCTCGTACAGGAAGAAGTTCCAGCCCACCATGAACCCGAATGCTTCGTCGACCCACTTGGACCCCATTCGAATGAAAGAGCCGCTGACGGGCATAAAGACCGCCATCTCCGCCATACAGCTGTTGACCAGACCGAGGACGCACGAATACAGGGTGAATGCGATGAACAGGCCACCAGGACCGCCTTCAATGAGTCCGTATCCGATACTGACGAAGAGCGCCGTGCCGATCGAGCCGCCAATGGCGATGAGCTGCATTTGACGATTCGTCAACCGCCGCTTGAGCGAGTCGACATTTTCGACAACAGTGGTGGCTTCGCCTTCCTGCACCTCATATACACGCTTCTCGCCCATCTTTTCTACCGACGAGGCGGGTACCGGTTTGATGAACTCCATGACGGGCTCTGATCGATGTTGCAGGCATGGAATTGTCGCCGGGGGATACCAATTTATTTAATATGAGGCCATGGTTAGCATACTGCGACCATCAGCTGCTGGACGGCAAGATTGCGACATCGATTGGACTTGTTGCCACAATGATCCAGCTTCCTGACAAGGTAAATCTATACGATAGGTGGGAGCGACCGATCCTGTGGGAAGAGAACCATACTTGACCCGAAAACGGGTAGTAAATGGAGACTTCTTATCAGTCTGCCGGGGCTAGATCAGCGGTCGTCCCCTTGCCCGAAGATAAAGCCTAGTGAGCCGCCGTCTATCTCGATACAGGGGTTTCTTCTCATCCTCTCGCAGTCAAGACCCAAGACACCTTGTTCTTTCCTGATGCAACCTTCGTCTGTTTACCACGTGGGCATAACCAGGTTTTGTGTGTTTTCAGTGGTGAACTCCGCCAACGACGTGCCGGACTAAAGAGCGCCACAATCTCACTGAAAACTAAAAGCCCGTAACGTTGCAGAAGGGTCAGTGAGGATATGTCTCTGGGGTTGTTTCCCCAGGTGCCGGAGTGAATATTTTCCGGAGTGCTCTTCCAAGGCGTCCAACCGCCCTGACGAGGGCTGCTTCATCGGCAGACGCAAAGGTCAGACGGAAGAAAACAGCATTCCCTTCGTTGACCGGAGGACTTCCAGGCTCTTCGTTAGTCTTGACAACACCATCGCAAGTCAAGGAGGGTGTTTGAAAGGGGCTGCCCTTACAGGCTAGCACTCCTTCCTTCAACCCTTCTGCGTAGATCTTGTCCTCAATGCTTAGCAATGCTTGGTGTCTTGCCTCTGCGTCCATTGGTGTTCGGGACATATCTGGCAGCCGGCTACAGTCCACCTTCAGCCAGATGAACATCCCTGCATGGATGTCGTCCCAAGAGCATATATCCGTCAGTGATCCCCTCCCGAGCTCTGTTTCCATAGCTTTGAGCATTATGGTGGCTTTCCGCTGGTAGTTGCCCGCCAAAACCTTCAGCCAGTTCAGGAATCCATCATGCCCCCATGTCTCCGATACTAGCTTGTACACAGCCAGCTGACTGACCCCGCTGGACTGGACGAACCCCAAGTCATGCGCGGCTTGAAATGTCTCGACGATCGCCTTTGGCGCCGTGAGCCAACCCAGCCTGAGACCCGGCGCCAGGATTTTGGACGTGCTGTCGAGTCTTATCACACGTCCGGTTCTGGAGAGTGAAAGGTAGGAGGGAAGGTCGAGTGTGTCGGATCCACCGTGGGTTTGTGGGAAAAGCAAGTAGTAGTAAGGGTCATCCTCAAGAATGATGATGTCGTGTTTTTCGGCAACATCTACTATCTCTTGCCGCCGATGCCGAGACTGGGTTATGCCAGTAGGGTTGTGTCCGGTCGGTATCGTGTATAACAGCTTTGGTGCCGGCTTGCCCGGATGAAATTCATTCCAAGTCGATAGGATGCTGTCCAGACATTGAGGGTTTAGTCCATCTCCGTCCATGGCCACAGGGACCAGAGTCAGGCCCAAAGGTGTCGCTGCCTCTATCATGCCCGAATACGTGTACTCCTCCACCAGGACACAATCGCCGGGGTCGGTGAAGTTGCGAAAAGTGGTCTCCATTGCCAAGGTGTTCCCTCCAGTGAGACATATCTCCCAATCTGAATAAGGCGGAGAATGAACATGAGAGACGTGGGTGGTGAGGTATTGAATGAGTTGTTCAGACCCAAGGGAATAGCCGTAGGACAAAGCAATGGCTAAATCGATCGATGCTGACGGATCTTGCTTGCGCACCACCGCTGTCTCCTGTTTTGCCACACAATCATTGGTCTCGACAGCCTGGGCAGTCCAGGCAGTAGCATTGGGCAAAGAATACGCAAATTCCATCCTCTCGAACGGATAGGTGTCGGGCGATGGACGTCCTGTGCCGAGACTAATCATGTCTTCGCCCAACTCCGCCACGCTGGCTTTCAGAGACGATGGCTGTCTGACACGTCCTTCGCGACTGAGAAACTTGCTGACATCGATGGTTGACTTTGGCTTCTTGCCGTAGCAGTCGGCCTTGAACAGGCCTGCCGTTGTGATCGGGGCTAGAGTCCGTTGCAGTGTCCCGAGGTCTTTCAGGCGGTGAAAGCTCTTGCGACACGAATCACTGCTTTGCCCGAGTCCATTGGCTTCAGAGACACCGTAGCCGGAGCTGCCATTGAGTGTGTCGTTGAAAGAACCCATACTTCGGCTCTAGGAGTCCAGAGTAGTACGAATGAAAAGTCGTACAGGGATGGGTTGAGTTCCGGCTACCTTCGAGACGGAACTAAGAAGGCAGTAGTGGCTGGTAGTGACATGAGCAAGTAATTCATTTGCGAGACTGTATATTCTAGTTTTATAGAGCTTGACCTTGTGGATGAAGAGGCATCAACCAAAGGGCGCGATCGTAAATCTTGAGTCACATATTGCGGAGTATTTCCTTTGGCAAATCAAGTCCACAGCTCGCTCCGACCAAGCTAATCCTGATGTAGGCAAGAAAGGGAGACTGGCCACCCGACAAGGTTCATGATCTGAGGTCTTGTTGAGGGGAGGCGCATCTCCCGCTCCGCGGATCAATCCTCGCCAGTGGTTGTCGCTGTGACCCTCCTAGGATTGACAAGGTTTCAATCTTTGCCGGTATCGTAGAGTGAACCGGATCACCGCTAGTGACCTTCCTTCCCCTCTTGAGACTCTGTAAACATAACGTCTCAGGTACGCTGGATAAGCTACCCTTGCTGGGATATGACCTTCCGATGCAGGTTGTTCCACAATTGACGATCTGCAAAAGGGACCAATGGTTCTTCGTGCTACACGTTCCGTAGCGAGGCGGAACATAGGCTTGAGACAGTCCAGTACTGCAGGAACAGAGTATCCTTGTGACGGTCTTCATTCGAGCTGTCGCTTCATCATCTTCGATATGGTGGCTTTACCAGACAGATTGTAGATCGGAGACTTGCCAAAGAAATATCTTTCGTTTGGTCTATTCATGTTAAAATTGAGAAACGTGACGTAGCAACCATTGGTGCGGTGAACTCGGGTATTGGCAAACAGGTATGATCTGCTGCGCTATAGAAACCCAGCGAGTCCATTTTCCATCAATAATGCGTAATTCCAAGTTCATCTGATGTTGGTAGCTGTTAAGAAGAGGGTAGCCGTGGACTTGAACACGAGAAACTGATCTTGGGATGCTGCATTTCTCACTTACCTCTACTTTGCAAGTTGAGAGAGCGCGATATTCTGCTTGCTCCTGGCGCAGAATAACGTGTTGAGCTCTATTTCAATCCTTGGACCAAGAGAGACTTTTACGACTCTTCTGCCTTGTCGGCGTTGTGGGCTGGCGAGGCTATGGCTTGGCACTTGGCAATTTGGCAACGGGCTTGACCTTATCAGCCGAAGCTTGTCACAACCACGACGTCTTTTCTTGCTCTTATCTAGAATATCCCTTTAAATCGGCCATCGATATTTCATATACCAGCGCCCAGGCCTTCGAAAGCTGTTCCACCCATATCAAAGGGTGGCCGTGTGACCGAGCGCAATATGGATATATAATCGCCACAATGGAGGGCGTAGAGTCGGGCCCGACACCAATTCCACTGGCAAACAAAGGTAAGAACGAGTTTGGATGTATATGAGCCTCATACTTAGAGTGACGCTGTCAGACTGCCGTGTTTGCAACAGAAGGCGAATTCATTGCGACCGTGCTCTACCATTTTGCGCGAAATGCGCACGAAAAGGCGTTCAATGTCCTGGGTACGGACCAAGATTCCGCTGGACGAACGCTATTGCCATTCGCGGGCGTTTCAAAGGCCGTGGCGCGCCCAACCTATCCAACCAAGGCCAATCCCTCGACTTCGAGCCTCAATCTCTGCAGAAGATCAATGAGGAAGGCATCCCTGCTCCAACATCTCAGTTTGGGCTTGCTCTGGCTCAGCAGCTACCTCCGTCCGCGGCAAAACGTCTCCTTCAATACTATGCCACCAACATTGCACCACTGATGGTCTGGCTAGATTCGGAGAAGAATGAATATAAGCGTCTTGTTATTCCTCTAGCAGAGAAGGATACGATCCTCCGTCTGGCAGTTCTTACCATTTCCGCCGAACACATGCCGCATGAAGATCACCTTCCACCAGGTTTCTCACGGTCCACAGGCGAAGCTGCCATACTCATGATCACTGAACGAGTTCGCCAGATGACGGAGTGCAGTATGGATGATCCACAAATTGACGTCAATGGTGGGATCACCGCAGGAATTCTAGCTGCCATGCTAATTCTCTCAAACCATTCTCTGCTAAAGTCGGAGTTATCTCATGCTCAATCTCACCGGCAAGCGGCACGGATTTTGATGAACTCGCTGGCATTGAAACGGCCTCCTGATGACGACCTCACCATCTTTCTGAAAAACCAATTGGCTATTTACGACGTTCTGGCATGCACAACGTTATTCAACTATGACCATGTTGAGCACGCCGTCTTGCCACATGTTTTGCAACAAGACGTCCCTTTTGGAGATTTCCTTAATATCCTGCACCATGTTACCGTCATGTCACTCCGCAACTTCAAGAATACGAAGCAGGCTGAAAGTCTTGAAGAGGAATTCAAGCTTGCAAGAGGCTCGACATTGCTGGCTGCAGGAACGCTTACTCAGACGCTCACCCAATCGTCCAGACGAGACTTCATACGACTCGTTGAAGCATACCATCATGCTGGCATCCTATACGCGTATACTCGTCTTTACACAACCCCTACTGACGATGAACGAGCGGTTGGATTTCATACTGATGAGCTTTTCAAAGTCCTAGACCAGTTTGAAGACATAAACTCCTCTTTACACAACCTAGCATGGCCTCTTTTCATTGCCGGAACCTCTTGTTCGGGAGATAAAAAGCGCATGGAAATCATTAGCAGGTTGTGTCGAATGTTATCGACTAACACGCGGTTTGAGCATTACGCCAACCTCTCAGTCTTTCTCCAGGAGCTCTGGCAAAGTTCGACTTCGGACTGGACTCTACTTGCGCGTCAATGGGAGCGAAAGGGTACTCCGGTCATAGCAGTCTGAGGCAATATGATGGTTGTACCTTTCTGTTAAGTGTAAGGAAAGAAAACAACTTTTCTAAGCGGCCTTTGGAGTTTCTTGGTCCGTTTTACGCTGGAGTTCAAAGGCTATTTGGAATCTCCAATCACGGACAGCCGGTCTCGATGGTGCGCCTGTACAACGTGGAAGTTGTTGCCATGGTCGATTACACCAGACTCCCTGAGACTGAAGAATTCCATCCACAATCTACACCTGCTACCAACCGGCTCTATACTCTACTTGAGGTATTCCCGAATGGCTTCTTCTGGCGCATCCTTGTGCAAGAAGTTCGGAATTCTCTCAAACATCTCCCATGCACTTCGCCGCAGAAACTCAGTCTGCTCTTTGACCCATCGTTCAACCTCTTCCCGCTCGATCATCTCTCCCGTGTTTTCCTTCTCGGCCAGCCCCGCCAGAACCAGATCAATGCGACCTCGAAGACGGGTGAGCTTCTCCTTTAGGAACAGATTGCACATCAGGGGGATATCATCGTTTGCCGGGTCGACACTGCGAAGCGAAGAGTACCGGTCATCCAGATTGGGATCTGCGTACGTGTAGCTGGTCACCATGCTTATACGCTCCGGTACATTGGTCGCTCGGAGTGCAGCATGCTCAGTGCATCCGCCTTGCATGATGACCGCTCCACCCATCGTTGGACTTTTGACTTTAACAATGGAGCCATCTCCCGTTTTGATCGCCGTCTCTCCTCCTTGCATGGCACTCGTGTCGCTTAACATGACTACACATACGACGGGAACCTGGTCTTTGTGCCAGGAGTCAATTGGAACGTTGTCGTACGCAGACTTCTCCAGTTCCAGAGGCGATTTTGGTGGTAGAGGCGTTTCTGTGAGGTTATAAACCCCCGCCAACCCATCCGGACCAAGTTGAATGTTGACCATACCAATGTCGCCCGTTTTATAGAGCCGACGCAGCGGAAATCCAGCAGCTCGATCTATGGCAGCTTGGGTGGCGGGATGTTGCCATGCTTGCAGCATGAATTTTGCCGTCTTTTGCTCACACAGTCAGATCGACCCATTCCCAATCAACCATTTTTGCAGCGTGAAATAATCAAGCAAGGGGCGAGACCAACCTTTTCATGACCGGCGATGTAAGCAGGGGCACGGTCCCATGACCTGAGGTAGTTGTCCAGCATTTGCTTACTGAGCATCTCACGCCGCAGAATACGCACTCCCTCTTCGGAAAACAGAGGAAATGGGTCTGTGTAGCACAGATCCGGCGCGTTGTGAGGTTTTGGGAGCCCTACTTCTCCAAAAGTATGGCGTTGAGCAGGTGGTTGGAATGCTAGGTGGATTGCTGGATCGAAATCGGGCAGCTCAACTTCATCAAGAATCGTGGCTGGCTCCACGGTTGGGATCGCAGTCAGGGGTGTCGCAATATCGGCAGCCATATTGGTTGGTCACTGAGGTCGGAATCCCAATGGCGTCTGTCGTTGTGTGGTTGGAACACGGTGATAGATGGAAGCCGCACTCTCTTTATCTCCCACAGCATGCTCTGAGGGCTTAGTCACACTCGTCTTTCTCCGGAATCAGGGAAAGACTGAAAGAGATACATCAACCTTTCAGGTACTATTCGGGAGGCGGCATTTTATCTACTTGAGGTATATCTAGGGAGAAGCCGTTATCGTCCAGGATCTGGGCTTTTCGTTGCTTGGACGATGTCGGGCGACGTGATCCAGGCCTGGCAGTCAAGCAACCTCCCCAAAATCGCTCCTTTTCACATCCGGCGCCTTGGGGCATACGCTCTTCCGATTACGGCAAATATATGCACTCTTGGCTCTTGAGCGGGACGACTCGTTTGTAACAGCCTCGCCCACTGATAAGAAACCAGCCCAATCCGTTATCTTTCTGTAATCGAAACAGAAGGGCAGAATTTTTATCCCTATTGTGGTTAGCAATGCGAGCACCCAAGAACAAGGGTTTGGCCCTCGGTTAACGAAGCAGGACAACTGGTCCGAATTATCGGTTTAGCTCCCTTCCACTCCTTCAATGTCCACAGGAAATGCGAGCCTCTGCGTGCAGGGGCCGGCAAGCGCGGGGTCGGAGCGGATTGAACCCCTCCTACGCACTCCACGATCTCCCTCTTGATACTCAAAAGGGTGTGGGAGGATATTCTTTGCAACCCACAATATCTGAAATGGGAAATTGTTGGGAGGTTCGACGAAGGTGAATTCAAGGCCGGACAAGATCGCCTTAGGTTTGGCCACAAAGACTGTCCGATCTTCTGCCAAAGACTCGGCTGATCGATGCGAGAAGTCGCCGCTAGAGCACAAGCGCCTGAAACATTACAGATGTTACCAACGAACTAGGAGTCTGGGTGACGAAGACATAGTTGCGCGGATGGTGAGTGATCGGAAGAACAATTACGTTGTATCTGTTCTTGCAGCAGTGGCAAGTAGCTGCTACTGATATGGCATTATATGCTAGAAGAGAAGGTGTATCTGATGCTGTTTCTCTCAATCTCAATCCGCGTCTTCTCTGTCAGAGGCATTCTTCCTACTTTCAATGAGAAGATCAATAATCTATTCGACCAGCCACATACGCTGTGCTGCCCTCTGAATCTGCAGAATGGCAAGCACATCCACTTTTCCGGTGCCGATCCAAATTCGCGAGCACAATGAGATCCAACTCTCCGACAATACTTTCTTGTCTGCCATGATCTGGCTGCCAGAAGATGCGGCCGCCAACCCAGTGCCAGCGATACTCGAGTATTTGCCTTACAGGAAACGAGATGGAACGGCGGAGCGGGACGCTCTCAATCACTCGTACGTCGCTTCTTACGGATATGCGTGTGTCCGTGTCGACATGAGAGGCAGCGGTGACTCTGACGGCATTCTACTCGGCGAGTATCTCAAGCAGGAGCAGGACGATGCTCTGGAGATATTGCAGTGGATCGCTGCACAAGACTGGTGCTCCGGTTCGATTGGGATGATAGGGATCTCCTGGGGCGGTTTCAACGGGTTGCAGGTGGCGGCACGACGGCCCCCAGAGTTAAAGGCTGTCATATCACTCTGCTCGACTGACGATCGCTACGCAGATGACGTTCATTACATGGGCGGTTGTCTCCTGGTGGACAATTTCACATGGGGCGCGACCATGTTCAGCATCACGCCGACCCCTCCTGATCCAGCCTTGGTCGGTGACAAGTGGCGGGACCTTTGGATGAGCCGCCTGGAAGCTGGCGGCAACTGGATGGTGGAGTGGCACGAGCATCAACGACGCGACGAGTTCTGGAAACACGCCTCGATCTGCGAAGACTACAGCGCCATTCAGTGCCCCGTCTATCTCGTCGGTGCCTGGTCGGACGGGTACTCGAACACGATTTTCCGGATGCTAGAGCACCTTGAATGTCCTCGAAAGGGCTTGATAGGCCCTTGGGCCCATGCGTATCCCAATTTCGCCACGCCTGGTCCCCAGATCGGCTTCTTGCAGGAATCCCTCCGCTGGTGGGACAAGTGGCTGAAAGGCAAAGAAACGGGTGTCATGGATGAGCCGATACTCCGTTGTTATCTACAGGATACTGCGCCTCCTCGCACGCAGTATGATTTTCGTCCCGGGCATTGGGTTGCCGAGAAAAGCTGGCCGTCTCCAGAGATCACGACCCGTGTCATGCGATTCTCCGCTGGGCGGCTAATTGATGAGCTCTTGCCATCGGGTGAGCAGATTTCAATCTGCTCTCCTATGACTGTTGGCCTTGCTGGAGGCCTGTGGTGCGCGGGTCTCGACCTCGACCTTCCCAGCGACCAGCGTGCCGAAGCCGGCGGCTCCCTACTGTTTGACAGTTCGCCAATAAGCCAACAGCTTGACCTTCTTGGTGCTCCGGTTGTTCATCTCCGCGTCGCAAGCGACAAACCGAACGCTCTCGTTGCTGTCGTCCTCTCCGAGATTCTGCCAGATGGCTCTGCCACAAGGATATCCTTCGGACTGCTCAATCTGACGCATCGAGAGAGCCATACAGATCCCACCCTTCTAGAGCCTGGGCGCTTCTATGACGTTGTGATCAAACTGAATGAGTGTGGCCAACGCATTGGCGTCGGAAGCCGCCTTCGTCTAGCCCTGTCAACATCATACTTCCCGATCTGCTGGCCCTCACCAGAGGCTGCAACGCTGACGATCGACTGTGCTCAGAGCAAAGTGGAACTTCCTATACGGCTTGAAAGCGAAGAGGATTCTCGGCTGAGACCGTTCGACCCCGCCGTGACCGGCACACCGGTGAAGACACGGGTATTACGGCCGGGGAAGAAAATGAGTGGCACCATCACCGAGGACATCGAGACGGGCCGAAAGACTCTCTGCCGTGTCTTGGATACAGGCTTGATCGAGTTTGAAGCCATCGGCTGGCACTACGGAGACACCAGCACAAGCATCTATTCGATCTCGCCGGACGATCCGCTGTCAGCCAACGCGGAGGTGCAGTTCAAGCAAGAATATGGGCGCAAAGGGCTCAACCTGGTCATTGAAGGATGGAATAGGATGACGGCTACCAAGACCGAGTTTCATCTTACTGCCCGGTTTGACGCATTCGAGAACGGTGTCCGAGTGTTTGGGCGGGATTATTCTTCAACTGTTCCGCGCGACCATGTTTGAAAGGGCTGTTGTCTCAGGAACAGGATATCATGTTGAAGCCATATCGCTTTCCTAGAGGTTTGGTACGTTCACGTCTCCGATTCCAATAAGCGCTAGAGTCTATGGAAATTTTCCACCGGAGAACTCGCAGTAGAAAGCCTCAATTGATACATACTTGTGAGCCCTTTGTCTAGATCAAGTCTCCTGCTCAACTTCTTGAGCCTAGAAATCGCCACGAAAGTCACCTAGTGCTGGGTCTGGTACATATCTCCATAATATCCCAGCTCCAAGGTCGCGATGTTTGCAGTGCAAAATACGTTTATTACAAGAAGAAACTGCTCTGAGATTGTCGAGATTCAGGTTAGACCAGATAACTATAGAGTATCAGTCCCATACTAGTCAATGACTCGCCGGGCATCTCAACTCCTTCTCTGCCATTGTGGCATTGTCAGGCTTTGAAGGTGAACGAGACAGTCGTGCGATTCACTCCGACATGGTAGTCTCCGATCTGTCTGGTGTCGATCGCCATCACACCACCCCATCCTCAATCCGCATGAATGTCCCTTCTCTGGAGATTCGGGTCGTTGCGGACGTAGTTCTCACACTGTTCCTGAGCCTTCTTCACGTTCACGCAGCAGATCAAGGCGAACCCCACGACGCTGAGCGAGAGGGAAAAGGGGAATCCGGTCCACGTGTTGCCGGTCCGGTCGATGATGACGCCGCAGATGATCGGCCCGATCCAGGCCGTCGAGTTGCTGACGAGCGAGTAGATGGCGAAGAAGCTGACCTCGCGGCCCTTGGGGCAGATGTCGCTCAGCATGGTGGCGGAAAAGGCGTAGAAGGGCGACACGAGCAGGCAGTCGAAGACCGAGTACCCCCACACCTCCCAGACCTTGTGGAAGCCGAAGTTGGTTGTCCCGATGCCTATGCACCCTGGTTTCCGAAGTTAGCTGGTCCACTATAACACAAATCCAGTCACGCGGAGGCGAACTTACCCCAGATGGGCACGACGAGCAGGAAGCAGCAGATGGCCATGAGCATCGGCTTCGTCCGGATCTTGAACCGCTTCTGGATGAACCACAGGCTGTAGATTCCCACCGTGCTCGAGACACCCTGGACAATGGAGAGCTCGGTGGAGACCGTGGTGCTGTAATCGACAATGAGATTCTGGCAGATGCCGTATATCTGGTTGGTCGTCGCGTAGCCGTCCGAGATGAGGAAATAGCCAATCAGATACAGCCAGGTCTGGCTGAGCTGTTTCATGTTCTTGAACGCAAACCAGTAGTTCTTCGCGCCGATGGAGAAGTAGGTCTCGCCCTCGGGCAGCGGGGTCGAGCGGGACTTTTCCAGGAAGAACCAGGGAGTCCCCGCCAGGATCCATACACCAGTGGACAGGCCCACGATGATCACCGCCGCCTGCAGGTTTCCAGAGTCGGACTCGTTCGCGTGCAGCCCGAATGCAGCTCCGAGGGCGATCAGAAGTGTGATGGTGTAGCCGGCGCTGGTGCAGCAGAACGCAATATTGCTGAGTCTGTTGCGTTGGAGTGACTTTTTCTTGGTGTATTCCTCTTCGGTGAGCTCGCCAGCAGCGAAGGCTCTCTTCGCCTCAAGCGCCTGAGGAGTGTTACGAGCGAGTTGGGGGAATGATGGGGTCCAGAAAGCGTAACAGAGGTTATAGGATATGCCTGTCGACATCAGCAAGAGTCCACAACAGAACCAACGTCTCTTACTGGTCAAGATATACAATGCAATCGCAATGTTGTATTGTGAAGGGTGCTTGAGTCCAAGGAAGCCGAACTGGGTCCCCCAACAGACGACTGATGCC